ACGAGTGACAGAGCAGAATGAAGAGCATAAATCATTCTGAACGTCTTTCAATGACGATCAAATCATACTCCCTGCAATCCTAATCTTGCCACATAACACCTTAATATGGTCAGATAATCTGGATAAAAAACAGGGCAGGGGAGGTGCTACAATGAGAGCGACTACAATATGACAGATCGACAATGAAAAAAAGAAAAAGATAGGTGATGTTGTGGATTAATGTGGTCTTTCAGGAGAATCATAAATGTGTAACTGTACATCTCTGTGGCTCATGAAAGACTCATAATTCTTACTAAATCAAACAGACAATACCAAAACAGTGATTTCCATAACAAACAATCCCCTGGAGCGGCTTCTGTTTGACTTAGACAAGAGGCAGTTTTAGAATAACACAGGACCACAAAGCTGACGTTATATTTGGTGTTATATTTGAGTGAAGGCTGATAAAGTTATTAAATGTATGTTGAAATGGATGATAATTATTTCAGCTTTGTCCCTTGGAAGCATAAAAACATGAGGAAGAGTTGCTTTCAGTGTAACACAACCAACCTATTCTTATTGTCCATCCATTTTCTATAGGTTATAAAATCTTGACGCGTCTAGTACTTTGTTAAACTGTTTCCTTTAAATAAATCGACTCAGGATGACGGCTCTAGAATGACTCATCCGTGATTGTGTTTAAATGTCAAATAGTTTGAACTGTCCTAGCAAAGCAAGATTTTAAATGACATGAAAACGAAATTGAATGGGAGCTTCACTGGCTTTACCATCTACGTGCACCCCATGACAGAGGTTATAATCTTAACCCAGATTGGTCCTGTCCTCTCAAAACTACAGGCAAAACCCTTCAAAATAAATCTGAATCAAGTAACTAAATGTGATCATGAGGATTGTATGAGCAGTTGAGGAAACGTTCATCCACTGTTTAGCTTTAAAGACACTTTGCACAGGGCATTATGGTCTAGTGGTTGAGTCATACCTTATTGGCAAAGCCCTTGGATTGGGGTTTGGTTTTGGACTGTGGCCCTTTTCCCACAGTCCACTCTCCTATCCTTTCATAATGGAGGCATAAAAGCCAGAAAATATAACTTAAAAAGAGGCTTTGCACATCCATTACAGGTTATGTTCTGTGTGACTTTGTAATGAGTTGTTAAATTTTGTTATGAGTATGTTTCATTGAAGGAACCACTAAGATTAGCCCTCCCATCATGTCTCAGCTTATCATGTAAGGCTGCTCAAATGCTGCTCTAGGGGTCCGGACAGTGTTAACTTCACATGGACAACTTTCCCAGACACTCCTGCCTGAATGTTCTTACATGAGAAGTTATTTGAGACTTATGCCACCTCACTGTGATAAGGTCAGTCAGTACAGGACACGTGTTCTCACATGGCCCGTGCTCACACACACACACACACACACACACACTCGCATTAACACAGACACACAAACCCAAACACGCCTATCCAGCTACTGATGTTAGTTGTCCGGTGACACTTCAACCCAATCTCAGAGATAGCAGACGTGAGAACGTGTTCATTAGCTGGTGTTGGCAGCAACAGCGTTTAAGGCCTCAAGGTCAGGACTGTCTCTTCACCCAGAGCAGTTCAAGTTAGAGCAACCTATCTCAATCGCTCTGGAGAAATGAAAAACTAGACAGACTATCGCAAAAAGTTCTTAATATGTTGATGGATTTGGTTTGCAGCTTCATGGTTTGAGAACATGCAGCAGCTGAGGAATAACTTGTGGATGTGGGACAGATGTCTAAGAGGATCTAATGAATGAAATCAATATGATTTACCCCCTCTGCCACAAGCTGACCAAATAATCTTTGCATGGTTATACAACACATCAGGGGACGAGTATGAAGTTTGGGTTTGATGGTTAATTGCTGAGGAAGTAACTATTCAGTAATTGATGACTTAATATTAATAGCAAGTGAAAACAGACCGGTGTCTTCACCTCAAGTTGTACCTTAATTTCACAATTACGATGGTATATCTGTGACAGTGTTCCCAACCAAGCACCAGGAAAATGAAGCAGACATATTTACATATTCTCTCAAAAGGATGCAAATATTTATATATTCTTGCCATTTTCTATAAAAGCAGTGACTCGTAAATAAATCCTTGAGATTAGAAAAACCACTGGTCAGGTTACCACAGTCACAATCACAGCTGTAATCCACAGCATTTCACCATCTCCACAGTAAAACATATTACCTCTTAACCCCCGATTGACACCAAGTCCCAGTTTAGCCTAGTCCTCCATAAGGGTCACAATCCCAGTGTAACCTTTGCCAATCAAAATCCCTTTTCCCCATCTATTGGCTCTAATCCACTGCTGCTTATTTATCAAAGATTACTCATCATGAACCTCTTGTTGTCACAAACCCAAATATGATCCTGTGCTTTAGATGGTTAAACTTGTTAGAGGCTCCGTCAGAATCAGATAACCCACTGATCAAAAAGTTCTGTGGCCATCATCATTAAATAGAAACACATCTGTGAGTATGAGCTCCACTCAAGAATTTGTCCCACTGTACTTTGTGTAAAATATTCTATCTCTCTGTCTCTCTGTTTCTGTTCACAGACTTCATCCTTCTCTAGGTTAATTCTTATCCTGGTGAGGTTTATCCAGACATCACTTCTTCCGCTCAGAGCTGTTTTTGGGAAGACCTTGGCATGACCGATAAAGACATTTGATAACAACCAAAGTAATGGAAGAGAGAAACTCTTGGATTCCTCTGCAAAGGTTGGTTTGCTCATCACTCTGCGTAGCTTTTCATCTGCATAGTTTAAGTTTGAATTGATATGAATCATGAATATATTACTCGATACCCTTTTTGTGTGATGGAAAAGCTGAACAAGTAACATCAGTTTTTGCATCTGTCTTCTTTGTTCTTGTGTCTTTTCAAGTATGGAAATGAATTAAACCAGAAGAGCTGAGTAAAGGGATACAAATCAGACAACCAACAAAGAGAGCTGAAAAATCGTCAGACTCTTTCTTCTCTCTACTCCTGAGTCTTTTTCCTCAAAGCACACCACCTCAACCGACTATGCATCAGAGAGAGAAGTCAACACACAAGCAAAGATGAACCCTTACGTCACTTCACACTTCAGGAGGGATCTTTTCCCCCATTTTTATTTGTTGTAGACTTTTGTCTGTCATGCCATTGGAAAAATGGCTTTTACTGTGTAAGTTCAGTTGTAGGGGTAGCCTTTGTTATTTGTTTTACAGTTATTTTTGTGTTTGCTGAAGATTTGATTCTCTTTACTGTTGCATTTAGACTGGATGTGCATACTCTCAGATACTCTAATCCTGATTTTGTCAGGATTCAGTTATAGAGTTCTCTGGAAAGGTTCGGCAAGGTAAATACTTACAGTACAAGCACACATTTTATTGCTAGTGATATACACAGTTATCTCCCTTTTTTATGGCTTTTTAGATGTTTAATTTCTACCTTTTAAATGCTTGAGTATTTCTACCTATTAAGGAAGTCTGCATGCCTGTGCAAGCTCTGTAGTCGTTATTTATGGGGCACTTAAAGTTTCTCACGTATCAGCGTGAGATAATCTTTTATTTTTGTATGCCAAAACTTTCTGTCATGTTCAGGTAGCCTTTGGGATCTTGCCACTATCTTCAAACCCTGTTTGACTCTCAGCATCTGTACTTCTCAGCAGTACACCTGATCAAACCACTTTGGCGCCTGTCTTCTGGAAAGTGTAGAGAACTTTCTCAGGTGACCTGTGTGCTTACCTTTACTCCCCTTTATTCCTGACATTTTAAACTAATGATATGAGTAAGGTCAGAGTTGGATCAAAGTAATCTGTGTTGTTTTCTTTCTTTCTTGTCTTTTGTTAGGTATTGATGATTTGTCAGCCGTAATAATGATCTGTAACGAGGTATGTCTGCTCTAAAAGGCTAACTGTTCAAGTGATTGCAAACAGCAGTGTAATTGAGGTCAATTTTATCCACACCATAGTCAGTACACAAAACAAGTGCTGACCAGATTGACAATGGCCCTCAAACGTATTAGCAGACCCTTGGAAAGGAAATGTGCAGTTGTTAAAGCAGTAACATGAGTGAAATGAAAGTGATAATCTAAAAGGTTTTATTTATTTATTTGTTGGGCAAAAGTGAAGTTTCTTTACTTGTGAAGATGACTTCAACCAAGTCATGAATTGAGTTCATTCCTGCTTAAAGAGATAAAGCTGCTTACTTAATTGATGTGCTGAAAGTACTGTATTCTGTTTCCTCATGCCCATGCCAAGAGGTTGTGAACCCGGAAGATCGTAAGATTTAGCATGATTTATTTTTCTGTTTTAGCTGCATGATGATCTTATCATATTGTTCAATTTAGATTTGTTTATCCTGTTTGCATCTTGTCACAATATTTTGTGGGGTACCCTGCAATGAGTTGTACATCCTTTACAAGTTTATATTTGAGTCCCACAGTCCTATTATATATTCATTGTATAGTTTCAATCAACTGCTTGAGGCTTCCCTCTTTTCTTTTGGACTGAACAAAAACAACCCTGCATGCTCTTGTGATGATGTTCAACTCCGATCCCACCCTGTCAGTCCTTGCTAAACTTCTGTCAGACTGGGTGTCACAGAAATAGACTCCTTTGGTTTCCCCCAAACCACCTTCTTTGAAGTCTGTTTTACACTACTTCTGTGAGTTTCATTTAAGGGAAAGGATTGTTTCATGATTGTGTCTCTGGGACAAATTCAAGAAAGCACACCTTTTGTAGAGGAAGGCATTGAAAAGATGGCCTGTCCTAAAAATCAACACTGAAAGCTTGTGAAAGAACAAACAACCAAGCAGTTGTCTTGAAGACAGCTATCACCAGCCAGTTGGACCTGGAATTGTCTCTTTATTAACAAGAACTAAAAGACTCTGATTAAACACAACATTTGACTGTATTCCAGTCAAATCAAGGAATACTGAGGAAAACCAGGGACTATCTTCACCAAGGCTGGCAAGACTTTAAAGTGCATGATGGGAGCGGCACGTGTTAAACGCCGCTTCAGCGCAGTGGTGGATGGGCCAGTGGAGGAAGAGGAGGTCATGAGGCTGGCACAGAGTGCTGCAGACACGGCTGGGGCAGGGGGGAGCCCAACAGGGTCTGGAACCCCAACAAGCCCCTCCCTGACCCATGCCTTGAACGGCAAAACTTTGCCTCTCCAGACCAACACCAACAATGCACGGAGGCAAAGTGCAATTGGAGAGTCAGTAAAGGGTGATGCAGGAGAAGGCGGGGTGACAGCAATGGGAATGTGCTCTGGAGTAAGAAAAGGCAATAATGTAGGAGGAAGAGGGAAAGGCCGGTCATCATCGGATCAGGATTCTCTCTCTTCCCCCTCCACTACCAGCCGCCGGCGCAACAGGCGCTCAAACCGCCGGCCCCGGCAACGCTTTGTGGGCAAGGACGGACGCTGCAACGTCACCTTTGTCAACATGAGCGAGAGGGGCCAGCGTTACCTCAGTGACCTTTTTACCACTTGTGTGGACATCCGCTGGCGCTGGATGCTGGTCATCTTCACCCTCTCCTTTCTTCTCTCCTGGCTGCTCTTTGGATTTGCTTTCTGGCTCATTGCCTCTGCGCATGGAGACCTCTCCATCCGACTTACCCCAACCTCGGATTCCTCTCTTGGGTCAGGAGAGACCGGGTCTGGTGCAGAGTCTGATAGAAAGGCTGTTGTTCAGGAGCCATGCTTCCAACAGGTGAACAGCTTCATGGCAGCCTTTCTCTTCTCATTGGAGACACAGACATCCATCGGTTACGGATTTAGAAGCGTGACCGAAGAATGTCCCCTGGCGGTGGTGGCGGTCGTTTTGCAGTGCATTGTGGGCTGCATTATTGACGCCTTCATCATTGGGGCAGTAATGGCAAAGATTGCCAAGCCCAAGAAGCGCAACGAGACTTTGGTGTTCTCTGACACAGCTGTAGTGGCATTAAGGGATGGAAAACTCTGCATGATGTGGAGAGTTGGAAACCTACGCAAGAGCCACCTGGTAGAGGCACATGTACGAGCACAACTGCTGAAGGTAAGTCAAAGATGTTAGATGATGGCCTTTGTTTAGTGAAGGTAGACGACAGAAAGCATTGCAGTTATAAAGATATGCCTTTAAAAACACCAAAGAGATGACTGACACATGGTAAAACAAAGTGGGAATGATAACATATTTCCCCAAAAAGTGTACTGAGTGACAAGAGCTCAACTGTGAGTGACAGCAGTAGAAGGGAAAAGGTTGCTGTGGTGAGAGAGAGACAGAGGGAGAGAGTGAGACCATCTGGCTTGTATTCTTTGGATCGTAGTTAATGAGATCTTGTTTTATTTTCCCTCCGGGGTTAGGAAGATTTACTATGGATTAACTTGCCCACAATTCTTTAACTGAAAACCATTGTCCTTCATCATCTCATTTTCCCTCGTTCGCACTGTATGTGTGCTGTGTGATTGTACTATATGTGTGTTGATGTGAACTTGACTGTCTGGACTTGTGGGTAGGTCCAAACACGATCCCTTATTTGACAGCATTCAGTGTCCAGAAGGGAAAAGTCTGGAACATTAGGGCCATGGCACAAAAAAGGTGATCACTCTTATAAATGCATAACCATTACTAAATTCAGACGAGGCAGATGAAATTATGTTTGCAAAGATCAAACAAATACTTATCTAAAATCAGATGCTGGATTCTTTCAAACTGTGAAGACTGAGTGAATGGTGAGCCTACACAAGGGTAGAACGAATAAAGACTTGCACAGCCAAACTCAACTGACCATAGGAAATACTAAGCTGTGGTTCAGGGTGAGACATTCATTTTTCATTGTTCTGTGTCAAATGTATTTAAAATGACTGATGAATTCACACTATTCCATACCATGCTTTTATAGGCAGAGTGAAATAATCTCATTTATTTGATCATGTCAAACCTATCCTGTTGCTTGTTACATAATTGAAAATCGCCTTTAGTCCTCATGTACAACATTTTCTTCTGGGTGAAAATCAGTTTTGTAACATAAATCCCATGTTGTAAGATGAAAATACTAAATAGTAGTTACCATTTTTCTCTTTCTCTCTTTTCTCAACTTCAGCCCAGGGTGACTGAAGAGGGAGAATTTCTCCCACTGGACAATGCTGACATCAACGTGGGTTTTGACACTGGTACAGACCGTATATTTTTGGTTTCTCCAGTGACAATCGTTCACGAAATCAATGATGAATCACCCTTCTTTGAGATCGACCAAAAGACCCTGGAGAATGACTCTGAGCTGGAGGTGGTGGTCATACTTGAGGGCATGGTGGAGGCCACAGCCATGACAACACAATGCCGTAGCTCCTATCTAGCATCTGAAATTCTCTGGGGACATCGATTCGAACCAGTGCTCTTCGAGCGGAAAGACTGCTACCAGGTTAGACAGGAAAGGCATACTGAAGATTTTTGGACACTTTCCTCACTAAAATGCTTTATGTGAAGTGGTTTCCATTGCTTTTCTGGCTGCTCAAGGAGTGACAATGGCTATTTAATTAGGTTTAACGATTTGATTCCAAGTTGAAAAACCTCAACCATATTGTCCTATCATACAAAATATGTGACATAAATTTATCTTTGGGTTAATCAACTGTAAGTTGAAAGTCACATGTGCCACAGTCCCAAATACACTTGACAAAAAAATACCAGGTAAAAAAAGGATTTGGAAAGGATGTTAACCTACATTACCAAATAGTTCCATATATTATCAACATGGCAATGAATATATCAGTGTACTAGAAAATAATTTAACCAAAGAGAAAAGAATAGTTGAGTTGAAACCAATATGGAGCTAAGTGTAGGGGACACCACACTTACATTTTAGGGTTTTATTCCTGTAAGTTTCAAAAACAGTTCTTACTGAAAGTGTTAATGCTATGTGCCCTGGTTACCAACGTGCTTCTTTAAAGTATGTGATGGTCCAGTGTCCAAAGCTGTTGTCAAGACAATAAACTGTCATGAAGAAAATAATGATCCAAAGATAGTTTCATTGATTTCAAATTCATATACTGTATGTGCAGATTGAAAAAATAAAGTCACAGTAGTGCTACCATAACTGCAGATTCTATCCTCTCGTCCACTCTTGCAGCATGAATAAACATCAAAACTAATATTCTAATGAGCAGTCAAGTTGACACAGTGTTATTTTATACAGCAATCATTTAACTAACATTTCTACTAAAGATTATATTAAGAAGGTAAAGGAGAGTTTTGCAAGAACGTTTTTAGCCCTTCTCATTTGTTATTTATATTAACTGTTTGCACTGAATGTTTCATTAGACAAGGTAAACATGTTGACTTTTGTCCTCTTGAAGCCCTTTTCCCAGAAGCTTTGCAGTTGACACATTTAAAACTAAATGAGGCAAAAGTCACAACACTGCCACTGTTATCTTTACACACAACTACATAATATGTATAAGAAATGGGTAATAATAATCTCTAATTTGTGATCTTACCTCATCATATCTCAGCATCTTCTGACAAAATTGGTGAGGCATGGATGCAAAGCTTCACAGTTCCCCAAAAAAACTAATAATGGTCCAAGTCAGTCATCAGGACTCATATCAAAAGTAGCGTCCCAGCAATAGTTAAAACTCTTTGAAACATTATGATCTGCAAAAATGTCAATTACTTTAGACACATGTAAACTAAGCGACATTACCTCAGCTTTGGTTGTTATCCTTACACTGGCAACCCCATAGCTGTAGAGTCTTTGCCTGACATCAGACAAATAGTCTTTAATTTTGAAAGAAAACTTGTACTCAGAATGTTTTCTTCTGCCTTTTTTTAGGTGGACTACTCATTCTTCCATCGGACTTATGAAATTCCAAACACACCTTCATGCAGTGCTAAAGAGTTGGCTGAGCAGAAATACATTGAAAGTTCACGTTCATCATTCTGCTATGAAAACGAAGTGGCTCTGCAACTTGCTTCCCCTGCTGATGAGGCTGACCAAGACCCAGAGCGAGCTTCCCCTCCAACACGAAGGCCATCTTTGGCAGAACATCTTCATTACAACTAAACCTGTGAGATAGAAGGCTTTAGGGAAAACAGACAGGAAGTTAAACGGTTTAGGTGAAGCACAGGCATCAAGAAAAGGACAGAAAGGTAAGAATGAATTGACAGAAAGACATTATAAAAATTGGTTTGGGACATGAGGGTGTCAGTATCAGGAAGTAGGACAGGAACAGACATGGGGAACCATGATTATATGGTAAATAGAGAAAAAACTCAGTTGGGAACAAGTCAAGAGAGCGGATATAAATTTGTGTGCAAATCTCAATATACAGACAGTATTGAAGAGAGTAGATGAGAAATAGAAACGGAAAAACAGGAGGAGGTTTTGGTCGGTCTAAACAGGGGAGCAACTAGTTGTCTGATTGGTCCTGGTAGTCTTTCAGAATTATTAAAAGATTGTCTGCTCATCTGGCCCATCACCACTACAACATGCTGCTCCCTCTTCGAAGCCTGACTGGCAGAACATGCAACAGCACCCCTTAGTGACTTTAATCTGCAACTGCACAATCAGATTAATGATCTGTGGGACTTCTTGAACTCTCTTTGGGGGAGATTATTTACGAAATGAATGGTGTTGTACCTGCTGCCGTATAACTCAGGAATGTATTCCACTCTAAGGCTGATTTATCATTTCATTTTAATGCTTTATTTTCTTATGGTAAGTATGGATAGTGCACATTTTTGATACTTGGGTGTCTGATCAGAATGTAGTTGGTCAATATTGGACAAGGCTATGTTTCGAGCCAAAACAGAGCAACAGTGACACAAAGAAACAGCTGAAAACTAGCAGCAGTTTTCAGCAGTTTCTTTTCATTGTTATGTGTTGTATGTTGTTTGTTTTTTGGCTTTTCTGTTGTGCAGAAATATGTTCACAGATTGTAACACTTGCTTTATTTAACATATTGTGTTGAGCTGAATGCCACTTGATCAAAGAGAGCATTGTAGTTGTAGTCATTTTCCAACCACTGCAGGAGAGGAAGGTTATATCCAGACCAGTCAAATACCAAACACCGTGCTACCAGTGACAGTTTTTTCTCATGTTCTGTGTAGCTAAAATCAGCAGAACTCTTTCTCTCTCTCTTTTTTTTTGTTGCATTGTTCAATTTTGAGTCTTGCATCTGATCTATATTTTGATTTTTTTCAAGAGTCCTTGTACTTGGACTTTGTTTTTATATAGGACTTTTTCTAGTCTTCTGACGACTTAAAGTGCTACTTGAAGGGCCCTGACAGTATAGGATGAGTTACAAGTAATTGGTTTGTGTTCACATAAACTTTGCAAATGCAACGGAGGCCTGTTGGCACCTCCAACACTGACTTTCATGGAAAATTCTGGTCTTTTTGCACATACATCTTTCTCTAATTCGGATGTTTTACAGCTGGTTTCTCTCACAAGTTGCAAGAACAGTGTAGTTAGTAGTGCCTTCATGACAACCAGAGTCCCTGCAACTTCATTTTCGACATGTAATTTCAGGCTTATACTAATAACAGTCCTAATACAATTAGTTTTCAATCAGTTCAACATTTGCAGTATGTTACAAGTAAACAAACATTGTATACAGATAAATTTCAGGGGATCTGCTTGTGTAGTGAGAAGCATCAGTGTCGGTGTGAACATGCTCTGATTAAAAAATGATGTTTTTAGCTGAATTGTATGTAATAGCTGCACTTTGTACTTATATTGAAAGACACCTGGAATGTTCTTGTCTGTTTGAAATCTTGTTGCAGTAAATTATGCCACCTGAGTATTCAAGTGTTTGATTATAGAAGGTGTTAGCAAAGGCAATATAGCGCGATGATAGTAACGAAGCATAGTACTACATGCTAATCTATAACCTACCTCAAGTATTTTGCACGTTAGTTAAAAGGAATTACTATTGAAGCTCCACAGCTGAACAGTAGTATTTCAGGGTCAGTATAGGTAACGTTGATGCATTGGTCTTGTTGTTTCACAGCTGAAAAACATGAGGTCAAAGGTACTCACAACATATTATCTGTTACAAAAAGTATTAATACTGTTTAAGTGTTTGTTTGTGTCCTCCGTTACATTTCCCCTTCATGACCACCATGTTCTATTTATGGGCTACATGGCGGGTCATGTTGTTCTCCCTGCCTCCACACTTCCATGAAATGTAACTTGAATACACAGCACCAACACTTTACCTATGAAGGGATTTCACTGAACAACGAAACAATTAGACTGGGTCTACAGATAATCTCACCAGTCAGCAAGGATACCCCATATATTTTTGAAACAGAGGTTTTCATAATATAACATAAAAGCTGTATATCGTATACCACAGTTACTTCTCTTAAGAGAAAGGGAAACCGGTCTGTTTAACAATAACGTCAGAGCTGCCCTGAACACAGAATATTTCTGAATGAAACTGAGGCATTACATAGCGTCTAGACCAAATAAACCATCTGCCGCTTTACAGCCTATGTAATTCAAAATTATATTGTTTGAATATTATTCTTCATTATATGCAGTATTACTTTACTAATGCGGACATGAACACTCAGAGATTTAAAGAAATTATGTGGGGTAAGGAGATGAAAATTTAAAAATTTTTCTTCCTGTATTATTTTTTTTCTATTTTAACATTTCACTGTTAAACACTGTCACAGCACAGTTAAAGTCTGGAGATAGTCATTAAACAGACAAACAGATTTTTTTAGGAGAATATCTAAACCTATGAAATAAAATCTGCAAATATTACACAAAGAATGAAATATGACACAGGCAGAAAAAAGTAGTAAAATTAATTATCAACGTTTGGATTTCTCTTTATTATGTTTTAAAAATTAAGAGTTGGGAATAAAATAAAACACCCCCTAAAAATATATAATAAAAAATAATTAAAGTTCATGTGATATTGACAAACATACTGAAGATGTTCATTAAATAGTGGATAGTTTTGAATGTATATTTTAATGTCTTAATTCCTGCCCAGTTCGTTTTGAGCAGCTTTAGAGGCTTGATACTACTCTGTCACTGTTATTACTTCCGATAGTCGCAATAGGATTGAATAAGGATTTATAAATAGATCCTATGATAAAGTCCTCTTACTTGTTTTTGGCAGGACTTTGAACAGCAGCTAAAAGTGTCCATCAGACTGTAAAACTTCCATTGTGGAGCTCGTTATATTCGAAAATTCATCACCATATATAATTCTCGATAAAGTATATTTTAAAGCATGTTTTAAGACTCAGCTATGACTCGTGAGATTAAATAAGTACTTCCATTGCTTTTGGTGAAGATGTATCCACAGCTACGTAACCCCGGTACCTCGGGTTCAGTCGGATTTTCTAGGATGATGTGACTCTCTCGCTTGGTATCATGTAATTCCAGGAGAACCGTCTCTTGTATTTGACTGAGGAGTCACAGAAATCTGATCCAGGATCTGTGTCTGCAGACGCTCGCCGCCGCCGCTGCTGCTGAGTGGTAAACAAAGGGCGCGCAAATCTCCAAGCTTTAGCGCGAGAGTGCCGCACAGGCACCTGCTGCAGCGCTCCCATTGGGCGTTTTACCTGTCAATCACTTTTTACCCCGCCTTTTGAGTGTTACTATTGGCTAATCCCTGTGCCTCTTCAGCTATCGTTAACGCCATTGGCCACCGCAGCCGTTTCATGCCAGCTTTGGGGCGGAAAGTTCCCGTCGTATTGAGAAGGCGGGTGTAGCGTTCAGTTGTAGATTTTCATTGGAGTTATGTCTTTTTGATGCTTGACTGAAAACCGTCCTCTCGTTTGTGGTTGGTTTTCCTAGCAGGAAGCCCGTCTCCGCGTCTGAAGCCGCCGCCTTGCCCTCCTCACTGCTCTGCTGTGTCTATTTTATTCTCACCGTGAGTGCGGCTCCGTAGAGAGAGAGCGGTGCAATGATAAAAGCCGCATATGCGGTAGGCTACACACCTATTAGGCAGGAAAATACCAAAGAAACAACCCCACTCCGTCTCTCTTCGCACCACAGCCTTACACACCAACAAGAGCGGAACCTTAAGGTGAGAGATTTAATTGCCTTTACTCTAATCCAACTCGTAAATAGCCGGTGTAATATCCTGAACGTATCATATTTCAGTGTAGCAGGCTAACCTCGCTAGGTTTGACTAGTTACGGTGGAGAATGAAACGCTGTTGTGACCAGTCTTTTATTTTGGTTTTTAAATTTATATTCGCCTGAAAAGAGAGGCTTACATCGAGACAGACTAAAGGGAAAATTGTGGGTTTGTAGTATTTGTATTATAAGGGATTTCCAACCATTTAATAATAGAGTCCAGGCCTTTCTGTGATCTGTATTTTATTCTAATAAGAGTAAATTTGTCCCTTGTAAGGACGGCTTAGTTTCATGGCTGCCAAATGCATGAGTCAATCTAAAGGCTGGGGCCCATGTGATTGTTCATGTCTTATGTTCAAGGTGTGGTTGCCCTCACCAGTTTAGTGCTGGAGCCACAGCACCCTAAAAATGCAGGTAATTTCTAAAGGGCCCACGGTGCAGCTGGAACACTGATCTGTAACTAATTATCACAGCCAGTGGCTTCATAATGTCACCCCCTCCTCCTCACTGTCCGCTCAAGTGCGCAGATGCCACAATATCATCACCGATGCAATGCCACTTCGCATGAAAGCTGAGGAAAAAAGGCGTCTCCACTTCTGCTTCCCCCTACCACCACCCGTTTATCACACGCACAATCACGCATCCACATTAATTACACACACACACACACACAGTGGAGTGTACCCCCCGCAGTGAGTGACCTCAGTTAAAACTCAGGGTGCATTGTCTGCTCAGTGTTCAGGGTGTTGCTATGGAGGAGAGCAGAGGCAGGTTTTGGCAACTCCAGCTGCTGCAGGACGAGTTTGATGGTCAGTCCAGAGGGTGTACTGCGCCAACCTGTGAGGTCCCTGTCTTCTTTGTGTGTGAAGACTTTGCTTTAGTGGCATCATTAGCATCGATGGAAACCAGCAGCAGCATCACACACTGCAGCTATTGTGTCAGTGTTTTCAGTCTCTCTCTGTGATCACTGTTTTAGGTGATTTCAAAATGTGGGTGTGTTGCAAGAAGGATCAAATGCTCATGAGAAAGATAGTTGGTAAAGGAAAATGGTTTATGGTGGATCAGATGTTTTACCAGTGCCAGTCTTTAGAGGTTATATCTCTAGACAGTGGTACTGTTTCTCTAAGGACTGTAATTCATATTTTAAGGAGAAGGCTGCCTGAGTTCTATATTTATCTAACCTGTACACCCAAAAAAAGACCAAACTAATGAATACTGATTTTTATGTTTTAAATGTCATCTGTACAGCCAAGACATTATGAATACTCCTTGTCCTTGTGTCATGAATCCATAGTATGACCTGAACATCCCACTGAACAATAGACGGCTATTAGACATCTAGTTATTTTTTAGACCTAATTTCAACCGTCTAGATTCTGTGTATCTGTAGACGGAATTTGCACTTTAACCCGCTATTCGATAACTATTTCTTTCAAACCAAAATAATTATGATAGACGTTGAGCAATATACTGGTAGATCTCTGTTAGCTGGCTAGTCTAAACTCGGTCTAAATTTAGACGTCTAAAAACTTTTATTTTTCGACCTGTATTAGCCTGATTTTAGACCAGTCGTCTAGGGTACATTTAGACGTCTATTAGACCTCTTTTAGACCAAAACATGCTCAGTGGGATCCTTTATTCGAATCTCTAATTTGCTGCTAATGCTCCTAAACCGATGAAGGTTTTACTTTAGAGGTAGTATTGTGAGCTAAAAACGACACTCTTGGTAAAGATGTCTGTAGGCCATGGAGCTGAGTGCCAGACAGGGAAGAGAAGTCTGAGAGATCTGAAAGACAGACAATACTGGTTTTGGTCTTTTCATTTGTTGACAATACACAAAATAGTGACAACACCAACCTATTAATAACAGATGCACAGCTGTTTTCTGCCACCAAGGGATCACATAGTTTCCATACTGAGTGGCTGGGTGGTGGCAGCTCTTTTGTCATCATGTCAGCTCCACACCCAGAGTCTTATTGGAGTAACAGGTATGGTTAAGGCAGGGTTGGGGACTAGGTCCTGTCGTGAACAGACAGAGCAGAAAAAAACTGAGACGGCAGGAATCAGGCCAGATGACATACCTGCTGAGGCATGGAGACGCCTAACAGTTAACACACACACTAACCACACAGGTAATAGCCTTACCTGTCTGATCAGAGTTGACTTTGCTCAAATGACAGTGCGTTTTATCGCTGTCCTAGAAAAATAAAACAGGATACAGAAACTCAGGAGTCATTTGGTTTTGTTTTAATAATGATACTCCAAGACTGAGTGCTTTTTGATACCAAAAAGAAAAATGAGAGATTTTGAAATCAATCATTCACTTATGTGGCTAAAATGTTATCAGTCAATTCTATTAAGACAGTGAACTGCTTGACTATCAGTGAACTCAGGCTAACATTAAATGAGCTAATAATGTTTAAGCTGCAGCTAATAGTTTCAGAATTGATTCACCTCTTTTCTCAAGTGTTTGGTCTGCAGCCAGTCAACATCTTGATCCCTCATTTGTCTCTCTTAAATCCAAACTGTTTCTGTGTGCTGTAACAGACAATAAGGGAAAGACAATACATTAAAACAAGTTTTTACACCTTTCAGTCAAACAACTCGAGTGTTTCATAAACCTAACCTAACCCCAGTCTGACTCATGCTGCGGAGCGCTGAGGTTAAACCTTAGTTCTCCAGGGCAATATGCAAGAAATCTAAAAAAAACCATCAACCCTTTAAGATTTTTAGATTGTTCCTGTTTGGTTGAAGTAATGTCAGATATGTCCACTCAGCATTTAGGATTTCTTACCCAAAGAAACTGTCGTCAGCATTTTTAACACTTCTTGTGTGATGTAGGGATTTGTACGTTTTTATAAATCCTTGGATTTTAGGTTAAGGCTCATGACAAATTTGTGCCTTTTTTACATTTTAACAACTGAAACAGGTTTAACTTTACTATTTTTAAATAATCAAATTTAACCATCAAATTCTCGCTGATGTGTCTCAACCAAGCCCTAACAGAGCAGCGAGCCATCCCGTCTGAAACAGTGTCAGTCTTGGTTGCCTCAATGAGAAGTTGAAGTATCTCCTCCACTGAGAGAACTTTTCCCGCTTCTGCACGTTAATTCTGAGATGTCAGAGCGAATCTCACACATCCTGCTGGAGTTACTACGACTGCTCTGACTGGAGATGCTCTTCATGTTGTAGAGTAGTAACTACTTTGAAGCCTCTGTCACCTCATCTTTCACAGGATTCTGACTCTTGTGTTTTGGCCGCTCTTGATCTCAGTGAGTCCTACGGCCTGTAGTCGAAGGATTCTGTATTTCCTCTCAGTTCACTCGAGATTCAGTCCATGCCAATCCTTCCTTCTCCATGCTTTTCTTCCCTTGTTTCCTCTTCCCTCCCTCCACTTCTAACTGTCATGACCGTTTATTTTGATGCGTCTCACTGTCCTCTCCACCCTTCCACCCACCGATCTCCCTGTCATTCTTCCTCCTTTTCTTCTCCTTCATTTGCTCTGTCTTTCAATTAGGCCATCCCTGACCCAATCTTAGCCTGCATGCTTCTCGCGTGCAGCCACTTCTTTTCCTTTTCTTTTCTTTTTTTGTGTGTGTGTGTGTGTGTGTGTGTGTGTGTGTGTGTGTGTGTGTGTGTGTGTGTGTGTGTGTGTGTGTGTGTGTGTGTGTGTGTGTGTGTGTATCTTGAAACAGAACCACATCAATGTCACTGTCAACCCCTCCTTCACATCATCTTCAGCACTCTAGTTCAAGAGAAGCTCACGTCTCCTTCTTTTTGTCTCCTGTTCTTTTCTCTCTCAGTGCTAGAAGAACCATGACTAAGCCACTGGGGGGCAGTGCCAATGATGTCACCCGCTTCCTATCATCAGGGGCGGGGCCAGGACCCGGGTCTCCCACTTCTAACTCTGTGTTCTCCGCCGCCAGCCAGGCTGACTGGGCGGCAAAGCGGCTGGTGTGGGTGCCGTCAGAGAAGCACGGCTTTGAGGTGAGCAGGAATTGTTAAACGTTACCATCAGGTGATCAAAAACACACAAATAAGTGAACGTTAAAAGCGTACACATAGTGAATATCATGACTCAATCCAATAAATGTTAAAACTGTTTTCCCATCCCAGTTCCCTCATTATCTCCATATTAGTCCTCTGGTAAATAATTAGCCCCTTTAACTTGAAGGTGTGTCAAACAGGTAAGGCAGAGCTGCGAAGGGTGTGAGTGGATCTTTGTAAGAGTTCAGAGTGACACTTTATAAGGTTCTACTTTTGCACCACTTCCTCATATTGCGGTTATTTTCTTTAAATAATCTGATACAGTGATCGTAAGGCTCTTTTAATAATACTAATAAGTTCCGCGTTTTTGTTTTCAGTATAAATAGATTCATAAGTTTTCATTGGCGCGCAGCACACTGTAGGATGTGACATATGAATTAGATGTCCTATCTCTGAGTCTCTCTCTCTCTGCTGGACTGCTTTCATAGAGCGCTCTATGAATAGAACAATACCCTCCTTCAGCCTCCTAATGTTAAAGAGGCCGTTGTAGAGACACTGACTTCATTTTACACTCAAGATCAGAGAACAGCAATTTTGGACAAACACACACAAATATTCACACTCACATTCACAAAACACAGATTTCTTCTAGTTTAGTAGTCTGAGCATGTAAATCAGTATGTGACTAATACACTCCCACATTATACAAACGCAGACACAAACATATTTTGTGTGTCGTGTGTGTCAAGTGGCAGAGAATGAAGTCGAGCAGAGTTGTGTGACCTGGTAAGACCCAGAGTTCACCACTTCCTGTCCAGCAGCATGACAAGACAGCTCCCCTCCTCCATTTTAAGTCAGCAGCTATTCCTGTCAGCTGTCAGAAACAATGAATACTCCGATTCAAAAGCTTGAAGAGATTCCTCCTAACATTTCCACTCACATATTTTCACTCTGTACTTTCTGCTTTGTTAAATGTAGGCTAGCTGGTTACTGTGGATTTCAAGGAGTAAACAAGAGATTTTAAGTGTGTCAGAGTAGGGCTGTGAATCACAAGAGGCAAAGGAATATCGTATTATTACACTAACTTTGTCACTCATGATAGCTGATTAAAAATAGCAGTATAACAAAAACAAACTGTTCAAATTTGATGTTCCAAAGCAAATTTCACAACCAAATCAAACATTCTCTTCTTCATTCAGTAAGATAATTTTTTAGTTAATTCATGTCAAATCAGTTTCTTTTTTACTGCAGCAATCAAAAAGACCACCTAACCATATCATAAAACCTCCCCAAAGAGATCTACATAGCTGACAAACTGAGCTTGGATTACATGGTTCTACACAGCAAGACTTAGCTGACTGTAAATGTGTGTACACAGCCGTTCTTTTACAAGTATTCCCCTAACAATGTGAAAAAATAGATAAAAGTAACATAACTCATCTGAAAATGTTGTACATAAGCACCCGTGTCAGTCCTAGTTAGTGATCAGATTTCTACCAATTGCATTTGCTAATCTCTAATAAAAATATTTTACTTGTTTTTGAAATATAACCTTTATGACTTTGTAAATAAAGGTTAAAATTTGTATCCTTCCTCTCTTTTGTGTTACATCCTATAACCTCCAACGAGTTAGAACTCTGTGAAAGGATTTCCCCGATAATATAAATCTCCTCTGAATTTATGTTCTCCAGTTTCTCTGCTAAACCTCTATCTTCCTCACTTCCCAGTCGGCCAGCATCCGTGAAGAGCGCGGCGATGAGGTGGAGGTTGAGCTCACAGACAGCCAGCGGAAGGTCACCCTGTCCAGGGAGGAGGTGCAGCGGATGAACCCCCCGCGTTTCAGTAAAGTGGAGGACATGGCCGACCTCACCTGCCTCAACGAAGCCTCTGTGCTGCACAACCTGAGAGAGAGATACTACTCCGGTCTGATCTATGTGAGTGCACTAAATAGTAAACAGGAACACTTTCAGCTTATAGAGACCTCAGTGTACATATTTGCACACCAACACAGTACAGTACATGCATGTGTTCGCAGTCAGCTCACCCGTCTCTCCTGTGTAACTGATAGGGGTTGGTATAAGAGGTGAGGAGTCAGTTTACAGAGTTATCTGTGAGTGAGTGGTGGCAGTGGGAGGCATCTCCAGTTTCTCTCATAGAAAAGATGTGAGTGGGATGAAACTGACAGGAATGGAAGTCGTGACGTCAGTCAGTGATAAGTGACACATCCAGGAAGCATACCTGGTGTTTCATGCATGATTAAGGTTGAATAATAAAAAGTAGTTGAGGATGAAGCTGAGAGGGCAGATTATAAAAATGGGAGAGAGGGGAGCTGGCAGAAATAGCTGAAATAGCTTTGAGAGGCGTATTACAATCCAAGATAAGATAAAAAGGGTTAGCTATCATTCATGACTTTCTCTGCAGTTGGAATGCATTGTAACTGCACTGGTGTCTGGGTGTGGATGGACACTAAAAACACAAAATATGACAAACACGCCGCATTTCCAGGACCACATTTTGAATCAAACTATAATTCAAACACCAGGGCATTCGAGTGCTATCTCTGATTATGTGAATGTTCAGTTCAAGCCTGGTTTATTTGCATTACAGTTAGTTATCAGGGGGAAATTTGCACACTGGGGCAGTGCACTTTAAATCACATGAAGAAGAACTGTACTGAGCGCTTCATGTCTTTTTGGCTTTGCTGAAGCGATCACATATTCATAATGTACTCCATCTGTAGGGGTCAGGCCCCCACAGATAGTCAACTATAATAAATGAAGGACAAAACACTCGACTAAACGTGTGAAAACAGTTGTTGATGAAAAAGGGTTTGAGGAAGTTTGAATAGATTTGTCTGAAATGCTCCTGAATGTGTAGAAAATCTTCATGTGAATCCCTCTGCTGTGTGTTTTTCAGACATATTCAGGACTCTTCTGTGTTGTGGTGAATCCTTACAAGAACCTGCCCATCTACACAGAGTCCATTGTGGAGATGTACAAGGGTAAAAAACGTCACGAGATGCCCCCACACATCTACGCCATATCAGAGGCAGCCTATCGCAGCATGCTACAAGGTAATCAACGCTATCTCTGACCTCTTACCTCACACTGACTTTGACACTACACTAAACCGCACACATCTGCCATTAGCTCAGCTGGAACTCGCGTCTGATCTGTGATCTTTGCCCACTGAGCCACACCGTGAGGACTGCTGAAGGTGTGGCGTTACGTTCTGAAACGTGGCTGTTATCAAAAGCCTTTAAAAGTGAAAACAAACAGGCAGGACAGAAGTTTGTGTGGCAGATTTTTTAGGCGTGGCACTCCTTGTTACAAATAGTTTCAGTGATATAGTGTGTTTGTTGTGGTGATGATAGTAACCACATATTAAAGTCGTGACTACAACGCATGGCAGTCATTTTTTTAAGGTCCTGCCCGTCACGTCGAGTTCATGAGATGAGGTAGAGAGAATTCCCAGCAATCATTTAAAAAGCCGTTAAGGCCCGATTGAGCAATGTCTCTGCCCCAGGGTGTCGTCATGAGATAACAGGAGAGGACAGATGAGGCTGCGTCAGTGTATTTGTCACCCCCTCCACCCCCCTCAGGGTTTGTTGTAGGTGTGTTTCCACAGTGATTTAAACCTGCAGGACCAGTATGAATTCTTCCAGACTGAACGTGTGGGAACCTTTGAAGCCATATGCAAGTTATGTTGCAAACAATGTACAACAGTTGAAAGCCGGTGTTGTGCGGTTTAGCAGCCTACAAAGAGAGAGAGAGAGACCAGTTCAGCTGGTACCCTGCTTCTCTGTACTCTGTAAATTACTTAGAGGGGGGCTGACAAGCTCACAGAGAGCGGCTGTGAGTCCAGCTGTACACATATATTATGTTTTAAAACGTGAAGTGTGCCCTTCATACCTGAAAAGTCGGGTTGGAGACTCAGTGTAAAGTAACACGAGTGAACTGGCGGCCCAGAGCTCTCCCATGCAGTCTGTTTTTTAAGGACTCATGTGTCACTGCCAGTGTTTGTTGCCTTTTAAGGAGAGATGTCATCATTGTAGCTGTTTGCTATTGACTTTATTTAACCCCATGTTTAACCAGTTGCTGAAAATTTTCATAACGTCTAACCTTCAAGGCCTCTAATACTGCAACTCTGTGAGGCCTAAAGCTTAGTTTGTCTCGAACAGTTCATATACTTCACAAGGAAGAAGTTCATTGATCCCCGAGGAGTATGTTTTATAGTGTTGGGCAGATAAAAAATAAAGATAAACATTGTCAAATATACTCTGTTGGTTGTAAATAAAGCTTGAGAGGACCAGGTTGAGCAGATAGTGAGTCTACCAGTCGTTTCAGACATCTGTATTTCCTGTGACATGATTAAAAAGTGTTGAGAGATTCGCCTTCTGTCATTTGTGCTCATATTTGTTTTTCTTCCACAGACAGAGAAGATCAGTCAATCCTTTGCACGTGAGTAGCCCTCTGTAGGACGCCAGCGTGTCTGTGAGCGTGTCTGTGAGTGACTGTCATTTGTCAAGTGGAAAACCATTTGGAGGTTATCAGGAGAACGGCTGTCTCTGTTGTCGAGTGTGTGCATGCTTTCTGTGTCCGCACTTGCGTGTTTTATAGCTTGCGAGCTCATTTGCATGTTATTTTAAGGTAACAGGTAAAATCAAATTCTGTGTCTCTTTTTGTTGGTTGAACAATCATTTTATTAAAAAAAGTGAACACTGTTGGGTAAAATAATTAATTATCTGTATCAATGTCCATGTTGATGTGTGTTGTGGGCGATTATCAAACACATTTAAAGAGTCAGAACAGTCAGATCACATCCTAACAATAAAGTCCGCCCCAGAATGAGACTGCATCCTCCTGACTCTTTGCACCCATGCTTGTTTACCCATCTGCTTGCCTGAGGGTCTGCCATCCCTCTCTCTGTCATCTTGTCTTCCTGCCAGACACTTCCTGTCATTGTCAAGAATCTTCTTAAATCAGAGTGTTTGGGACGAGTATCTGCTTCTTTTAGATCTTTGCAGCGTCTATTTTTACTCCATTCTCCTTCGTTTTTCTCCAAAGACAACAGCACTGACACCGCCAGTATCCTCCACACCTGCTTTCTGTTTAGATCTGTGGCTTTGAGCGCTCTGCATGGGCTCTGAGTTTATTACTGTGATGAATGTGGGGTTGGTCACTTTTTCCTGTGTGTTCCCTCTCATTAAAGGCTTTTTATGTACCGTTGACAATTTCATCCATATGTGTTCAGGATGGAGTGCGAACAGTGTTGTGTGTTTTTTGTGTCCTTCAGAGGTGAATCTGGAGCTGGAAAAACAGAGAACACAAAGAAAGTCATCCAGTATTTGGCTCATGTCGCCTCCTCCCATAAGGGCGGCACACTGGGCAGGAACAAGGAAGCTATACAGGTAAGATGCTTTACAGATACCACAGGCCGCACAATGAAAAAGCTGCTGGAAGAACAAGATTGAAGGAGACAAAGACACTTTCTGGTCTTGTAGCAGTACTGATTTGATTTCCTCCTATCCTCTGCACTCGCTGTCTTTATGAGGTTTCATGCTTGTACCATCAACTGTATCTTCACCTTGGAGCGGGTTATCTAAGTCCTCTTTTCCTACATACAATACCCTCTTTCCTTCCTTCCTTCCTGCCCTTCATTCTCCTCTTTCTGCTTTGTCCTTCTCCTCTTTTTCCTGCATGTTAAGATGGATGGCTCTCGGTCCTTAACAAGAGGCAGTACTTTGGTGAACAGGGTGAGTTATCTCTATCCTGCATCCCTCTCCTGTGTTTTTTTTTTTCGTCCTGCTCTTTTTCCTGCTTAATGAACTCCAGACTGATAACAAACTAACCAAGAGAATGATGTTTAACCTGTTATTGTCAGTAATGACTCTTCATAACCTTGTTCACTATATTTGATTTTGCTTCTTTGTATTTCTTTGTTTGTTTGTTGTTGTTGATGTTATTATTGTCTTATTTGTGTTTTTTCGTTTGTTTATCTCATCCATATGTTCACCCATTCTCTTCCCCATAACTCCTCATTGTTTCCCTACAATTCGTCAGAGTATGCAATATGTGAGTATCAAAGTATTTAGACAACTTTGGGTGAAATCATGGGGGGGTGAAAGTTTTGTAGTTGAAGAAAATTTACCAGAGCTGATGTGAATCTCCTGTTACATAAAGATATTCACATGCTCTGTTCATAGTGCTTTACTTTTTGACATATCTGGTCTTGGTCTTTAGCTATGGGCACATTTCTTTCTCTCTCTGTAGTCTTAGGGATGACTTAATGCCCACTGACTCATAAATGCCAATGGTCTTTAGGTTCTCATTGAACTTTGAGGCATTTCTGCTAAGGTCATCACCTGCTGAATGATTGCATATGTGGCTGTGGGAGTGGGAGTGGATGTGTCAGTGTGTTTGCAGCCATGCGTATGTGTGTGTGTGTGTGTGTGTGTGTGTGTGTGTGTGTTTGTGTGGCAAGGAAACACACAATTAGATACAAGAACCTGTCTGTGTATGAACAGTACACAATCAGAAGCACTGACCTTTTGCCCCGTGTGTTTGTGTGTCTGCTTTTGGTGTTGGCGAGCAAGCATTTCCCAGCAGTTTACAGTAAACCACCTCCTTTAAGTCAGTAACTCATGCTCACTGGCTGCTGCTGCTGCCGCTGCTACTGCTGCATCAACAGCTGCTGCACTGGCAATGCGACAGCCGCAGTCATACATTGCAGCAAGCTAGAATCAGCCTCAAGTGTTAGCATCCAAGCTGCAGCTTCCCTCTGCCCTTCCTCTTCTGCAATGGTTCTCCACTGACTCGTGTTAGTTGATGTCTGGAGATTGCCTTTTAATAATGTAGGAGATGAATAAATTAAATTGTTGCTCTTCTTATTGATTGCCTGACAAATGATGTAGAGAGTGATTTGTTCCTGGGTAAAGGGATGGTGTGTGTTGGAGATGCTATTTAAGGCCCTAAAATGCACCGTTTTGTGTCAGTGCTTGTCAAATATGAGTCATGTGTTATTTTGTTTTATATAACAGATCAGTAGATACTCTAAAGAAGCAGAACAAAATGGTGCATTTTAGTGAAAAGGCCCAGTGGAAATCTTGTTTGTAAGCTGTCAGATTTACAGGATGATACATGTGATCTGACTTCTCCCGTCTTCCTCAGGGAGAGCTGGAGAGACAGCTTCTGCAGGCGAACCCCATACTGGAGGCCTTCGGCAACGCAAAGACGGTCAAGAACGACAACTCCTCAAGATTTGTAAGAGCAAACCAGACGGATCATGGTTATGTTTGTCACCACCAGAAAACTGTATCATTACAGTCATCTGTGTAATAATTAAACAACCTTTTCTTCTACTTTAGGGAAAATTCATTCGCATCAATTTTGATGTGGCGGGGTACATCGTTGGTGCCAACATTGAGACCTGTATCCTTTTACATATCTCCAGCTTTTAAAGCTGTCCCAGTTAACTGTTTTGTTTACGTCAAGTATGAAGTCCACTTATTGTAACCCATTCATTGATTATGATGGCATAAAAGGAGAATTACTGTCACATTTGTTTTTTTCTTGAGTGAAAGTGGCATACACAGAATTTTTGAAAGTCTATATATCTAAAGTACATCTTTCTCTCAGTAGGTAAAGAATAAATCACAGCATGTAGATCAGCTCTTAAGAATAACTACTCTTGCGTGCACGTGTCCATGACCATATGAATTCAGACCTCCTTGAAAAGTCCCGGGCCACCCGTCAGGCCAAAGACGAGAGGACTTTCCACATCTTCTATCAGCTGCTGTGTGGTGCTACAGAGCAAACAAGAGGTGAGTGAAAGATAAATGTAAGCGCAGTAATGAGATACTTTGAGGCCACAGTTCAATATGTGCATTTTTTGGTGGTAATTCATCATTCTTTAACATCTACCTCACTGTCTCACCTTTTGTGCTCCCATCTTTAGCTGACCTTCTTCTGGGAACTGCTGATGAGTACCGTTTTCTCAGCGGAGGCTCTATTCCCGTTCCTGGTCAGAGCGATTCAGAAAACTTCACTCAGACCATGGACTCCATGGCCATTATGGGCTTCACCCCTGAGGAGTCACTGTGTAAGAGAGGGAGGACAGAGTAAAGTTCAGTCTGCTTGCTGAGTAAATGATCCTTTCCGGACTCTTAAACCAGCTTTCTCCTGTCCTCTCTTACTTCTCTGCAGCGATGCTGAAGGTGATCTCCGCCGTGCTCCAGTTTGGGAACATTTCCTTCATGAAGGAGAAGAACCACGACCAGGCCTCCATGCCAGACAACACAGCTGCTCAGAAACTTTGCCATCTGCTGGGCATTAATGTGCTGGAGTTCACCCGGGCCATCCTCACTCCCAGGATCAAAGTGGGCCGAGAGTACGTGCAGAAGGCCCAGACGAAGGAGCAGGTAACATTAATGTTCCTCCTTGTAGATGAACAGAAGTGTCCCTTTTGAAGTGTTTCCTAACACTCTGTCCTTTTTAAACAGGCTGACTTTGCTATCGAGGCCTTAGGGAAGGCCACGTATGAGCGTCTGTTCAGGTGGCTGGTGCACAGGATCAACAGAGCTTTGGACCGCAGACAGAGACAGGGCGCTTCCTTCATCGGCATCCTTGATATCGCTGGATTTGAAATCTTCCAGGTAAGTCATAGAGAAGGACACTGAAACTTGTAGATTCTGACAGGCTTCACTGATACTGTATGTAGGGATGTGAATGATGGTCTAACATAGAAATAAGTGCCTGTTCCTCCATAGGTTGTGTTGTATAAACTATTGCTTACCTTCCTGAATCTCTCCTCTGCAGCTCAACTCCTTTGAGCAGTTGTGTATCAACTACACCAACGAGAAGCTGCAGCAGCTCTTCAACCACACCATGTTCATCCTGGAGCAGGAGGAGTACCAGCGCGAGGGCATCGAGTGGAACTTCATCGACTTTGGCCTGGATTTGCAGCCTTGTATTGACCTCATCGAGAGACCAGTATGAACTCACAAACAGTCCACATTTCAGAGTTCATAATAAGTGAATGAAAATACTAAACATGCAGGCACAAACACACCGCTTTGGTTTCTCTTCAAATATAAACTAATGTTTCCCTTAAAGTGAAATTTGTTTTGCTTGTCCCTGTCAGACTCACCCACCTGGTGTTCTGGCCCTGCTGGATGAAGAGTGCTGGTTCCCCCGGGCTACAGACCGCTCATTTGTGGAGAAGCTCTCTGCCGAGCAAGGCACTCATCCAAAATTCTTCCGATCAAAGCAGCCGCGTGGAGAGGCAGACTTCTCCATCATCCACTACGCTGGAAAGGTATCTCCACGTTTCCTCTTCATCATCTTCCATGGCTGTCATGTTTCCCAATTAAAGGAATAAAGTCATAAATCCCCTCTCTGTGCCCTGGGTGATGTCTCTTAGGTGGACTACAAAGCTGATGATTGGCTCGTGAAGAACATGGATCCTCTGAACGACAACGTTGCATCTCTTCTGCACCAGTCATCTGATCATTTTGTGTCTGAACTTTGGAAAGAGGGTGAGACTCCTGTTTCTTCTCTTGGCGTGCACACTTCACCTTTATTGATTTCACACCTGTATAAGTGGAAACAAAATGAGAGTAATTTCTGAAACGCTTGTTGTGCCAACCAATCAAATACTGAGGTGACCTGGTGCAAACTGTACTGACGGTTTTTCTCTCTCCTCTCTGCTTCTCTATCACCTCTTTGTTCTTCCATCTCATTCTTTCCTGTGTCCTCCTCGCTCCTGCTCCAATTTCTTCCTGTTCCTTCCTCTCTCCTCTCCGCTAATTTGGTGCTTGCTTTCCTCACGTTCCTCTCATCCTTCTCCCTCCCTTCTCCCTGCATCAGATATTCAAACTCTTCCTCGTGTCTACTTCTTTGACTCCTATGCCACAATACAGGCCAATGGCTCTGACAGTAGGTTCCGCTCCTCCTCTGCTTGTCACCGCCTGACTCCGACCTTTGCTTGTTACTCCTTTGTTTCCTGTCTGCCTTGTTTTGTTTGGACCGTGTTTTAGTCTTTGTGTTGATGTCCGTGCTGTAGTTTTGTAAGTGAGTCCACGACGTGACTGTGCTACTAACCTAGCTGTGTCTGTTCACTCTTTCACAGAGTTTTAGCTTGTAGTGACAGTGCTGTGCTGAGTGTTGTGGCTTTTTTCTTTTTAGAGTAGGCATTTAATCGTAGTTTTGATAGAAATCCAACAGTCACAACTAACTGAGGATCACATAGCTGTTCTCCATAATCCCACCATAAGGAAAACCAACTACATGCGGACAAAAATGTGATCCTGATTGAGCTCTGGAGATGCATCATATATGAAGAAGACTGAAAAATCTTAAAGGGGTAGTCCGACGTAAAATTCATTTAGAGTCAAACACACCGTAACACCGAATTAGACACCCCCTCGAGAGATGAATGTTGCCGATCGCTTACTTCTCTAGTTATACCAACTGCTTGTTTGTAGCGAGACCTTAGGCCAGTCCATTACGGACTGCTGCGGGATGACGCAGCTCAAGGAAGAACATTTATGATCATTTCTTTATCATTTCCTTGAGCTGCTTCACCCCGCAGCAGTCCATAATGGACTGGCCTAAGGTCTCGCCACAAACAAGCAGCTGCTGGAAGAAAGTAGGTGAGTTGTGTTTAGTCTCTTTGCTAAAGAAATTAGGCAAAGTTAAAAAGATGTTTGGTGGCTAGGACCCTATATGTACTGTTGATGAAGTTAGGTGCTGTTCTGAGCGTTATTTGTAGCTATAGAGTGGCGTTTTGGTTAAGGTTTGTTCTTGGCTCTTCAGACCGCTGTGTATTGCTATCCTGTGGTTGTTACTAAAGTTGGTATAACTGGAGAAGCAAGCGGTCAGCAACATTCATCTCTCGAGGGGGTGTCTAACTTGGTGTTTCAGTGTGTTTGACCCTAAATTAATTTTACGCCGGAATATCCCTTTAACTTAAAAGCCTCAGAATTAGTCTGATTTGGTGTTTTTACATTTCTGAGGTATGTGCAAATTTGTCAAAAATTCCCACGAGTATATTAGTCAAATGAGGGGTTGAATAGGTTATCTTGTTCTCATGTTTCTTCAAAGAACAGCCAGACACACCTGTAGTTATCCACGTCGAGACTTGTTCAAGATTCAGCCAGAAAACCTGTTATTCACCGGCACACAACTAAACAAACACAAAAGCTGAGTGTGCGATAGAGGCTGGTTTAAGTGAGCTCATATGTTTTTTTTTACTTTGACAGTATATGATTGCATCTCTGATGAGTTGGAAATCCATTGTTTACCATCTGATATCATCCGTCCAAAGCTTGATAACAGATGTGAAAGCAGGCATGAAATCCTCCCACAATGGCATTAGTGTGGCGTTCACACTGATATCCCCACGCTGGTTCAAGTTTGATAAACCCCCTTTTTTCACCAATGAGTCAGTACTTGAGGTCTAATTGTCTTTGTTTGTTTTTTGTGTAGTGGACAGAATTGTTGGTCTGGACCAAGTGTCTTCTGGGGAGAACAGTGGACCAGTCACATTTGGGGCTGCAGGTCTGAAGACGAAAAAGGGAATGTTCAGGACTGTGGGTCAGCTTTACAAAGAGTCTCTCACCAAGCTGATGGCCACCCTGAGGAACACCAACCCCAACTTCCTGCGCTGCATCATCCCCAACCATGAGAAAAGGGTGAGACAGGGGGCAAAATTAACTAAACAGCTGAAGGAGAAGGATGAAAGGTCTGAATTAAATGTTCTGTTCTTTTCTGGTCTCTCTCTTAGGCCGGGAAGCTAGCCCCCAATCTGGTTTTAGACCAGCTGAGGTGTAATGGGGTTCTGGAGGGGATCCGTATCTGCAGACAGGGCTTCCCAAACCGCATCCCATTCCAGGAGTTCAGACAGCGGTATGTGTTTGTGTGTGTGTAACCACCTCTCAAAGCCTCCTGTGCTCCTCTCTCTCTCATCGACACTGAATGCTCCTTCTATCTTTCTGAACTAATGAGTTTTGTCTAGACATCCTCAAATTCACGTCTTTTGCTCAAACAAACAGTAAAAAAGTCACATTTTTATTCCAGATATGAGATCCTGACTCCTAACGCCATCCCTCGCACCTTCATGGACGGCAAGCAGGCATCAGAGCTCATGGTGAGTAACTCTGCAGTATGTTTTCAGACATAACATTCATCTGATTGAAATCTACATGCACTCTTTGAACCGAATGCTGCCTGTCCATCCAGATCAAAGCCTTGGAACTGGATCACAACCTCTTCAGGGTGGGTCAGAGTAAAGTCTTCTTCAGAGCCGGGGTCCTCGCTCACCTGGAAGAAGAGCGAGACCTGAAGATCACCGACACCATCATACGTTTCCAGAGCGCTGCCAGAGGCTTCCTCGCACGCAAGTAAGAGTTAACTTAGTTCAGTGAGCATAAAGATATAGAGATGTTTATCTAGTTTGAACAGACTACCTCACCTTTGTTTGTTTGTTTGTTTTTCATACCTTCACACTCATCTTGTTGCTCATCTTGACCATTTCCATGTTTTTTCTACACATGAACCACCTTGATTACACTTTAAAACTAATCTACTCAATCAAACTTAGGAAAACATTTCACTCTGAGGCAGTTTTTTTTTTTTTTGCGCTCTTGAAGCAGCATCAATTTTTAATCTTCTTCCAGTCCCTATCAGTTGCTGGGGAACTGCCAACACATTGACAGGTTTTTGGCACAGTGTACTGAAACCGTTAAAAAGCATAAGTGATAAATAGATTCTCAGTTATTTGTGTGGCACATTTCATACATCAGGGTAAAGCAAGGTAATCAAGGTAATGCGCTAACATCAAAGAAGAAAACACCATAAAACATCTGTATGAAACGAAGCGTCCTTGATGATGTCCTCACTTACACAGATGCATTTTCATTTGAATTTTTGATTAACTATAAATTATTTGTCAAAGTAGTTTGTGTGTTAGATCTGCCTGTTAATGAGCAGTATCGGGAAAAAATGGACAAAAGAGAAGTGGGAAAAATCCTAGAAACTCAAGTCCTTATTATTCATAACTAAAACAATTCTGCCAGAGCAAATAGACACAGGTATGACTCATTCTTCGAGGTCACAGTCCAGCTAATAATGCCTGCGATCAACCATTTGCATCGAATGCAGAGTTTTCCGACACACGCTCATATATATTCTCCCTCTCCTCAGAGCCTTCCTGAAGAAGCAGCAGCAGCTGAGCGCCCTGAGGGTGATGCAGAGGAACTGTGCTGCCTACCTCAAACTCAGGAACTGGCAGTGGTGGCGGCTGTTTACAAAGGTACCGAACACAAAACTACCGACAATGCACATGAAATATACAATAGATGATTTCTAAGGTAATGTGCTGATAAACAAAACTTAAGTAAGAGTTTATTTTATAAAGGTAGGAGAAAATGACTGATTCAGTAAATTAGAGCATGTTGTAGGGACTTCCTTCGAAATAACCTCTGACTCTTGTTCTGTCTCTTCTAGGTCAAGCCTCTGCTACAGGTGACCCGGCAAGATGAGGAGATCCAGGCCAGAGAGGCCCAGCTCCAGAAGGCCAAAGACAACCTCACCAAAGTGGAGCAGGACTACACAGAGCTGAACCAGAAACATACTCAGGTAAAAAGAAAATACAAAACTCTGCTTCATCCGCCTCTGTTCCCGCACCTGTCTCTCACTCCTCCTCCTCCTCATCTTCCTCTCTATCTTTGTCACGGTGTCTAGCTGATGGAGGAGAAGGCAGTGCTAACAGACCAGCTGCAGGCAGAGGCAGAGCTGTTTGCAGAGGCGGAGGAGATGAGAGCCAGGTTGGCCTCTCGCAAACAGGAGCTGGAGGAGGTGCTGGGCGAGCTGGAGAGCCGGCTGGAGGAGGAGGAGGAGAGGGGCGTGCAGCTGACCAATGAGAAGAAAAAGATGCAGCAGAACATACAGGTCAGGAGCTGAAGTTACTGTAAATACAAACTAACGTTCAGTCGTTTATCAGTCTGGAACAATACACACACGTCAATAAAAGCCCCCTCCCCTCACTGCATACGTCAAAATGTCCCTACTTTGTCAGGACTTAGAGGATCAGCTGGAGGAGGAGGAAAGTGCACGACAGCGCCTCCTGCTGGAGAAGGTGACATTGGAGACGAAAGTGAAGAGTCTAGAAACTGATCTGATGAATGCGGTGGAGCAAAGAGAACGACTCAGCAAGGTGGGCACTGCGATCAAACTTTACTTTAGAAGTTTGATAAAACACTTTTCCACAATTACTGCAGAGATTGTAACAATTAATAAATAATGTTGGCTCCTTATATGGTCAAAGGGAACATATACCTTTTATGTTTCCTATGAATGTCTCTTAGTCTGTGTTGTCTTTTTATTTTTCTCTGAGCAGGAGAAGAAACAGTTCGAGGAGCGTCTAAATGAAGTGAATGACCAGGTCACCGAGGAAGAGGAGAAAACCAAAAGTCTGAACAAACTCAAGAACAAGCAGGAAGCGATCATCGCTGACCTGGAAGGTGTGTGCATAACAGCAAATGGACCTAACAGGCAACATACACATGTGAGAGTGTCTTTGTAGTGATCAAGCCTTTTGATTTGGCTTTAAAACGATGTATTTCAGTTAAAGTGAAGATTCTGCTGCGTAAAAACTTATATTTGAACAAAGTTTTAGAGTCACAAACGATTCAAGTGTTTCTGCTGTAACAATGCTCAGATATATAACCTGATTCTTCACTGATTGTACTCAGAGCGTTTGAAGCGTGAGGAGCAGGGTCGCCTGGAACAGGAGAAATGGAGGAGGAGGATGGAGAATGAGTCTGTGGAGGCCCAGGAGCAACTGTCCGATCTGGGTATGATGTCTGCCGAGCTGAGGGGCAGTCTGACGCAGAAAGAGAAGGAAATTACCATCCTGCAGGGCCGGTGAGACACAAATAATACTGCACAGGCAAAGGAGCATGTGTGAAGGCTTTACAAATTTAATTCATTCTACATTTGTTCTTGTTCTTTCTTTGTTTGTGTCAGGTTGGAGGAAGAAGGTGCACGTCGTGCAGAAGCGCAGAGATCGCTGAGGGAGGCCATGTCTCAGGTGTCGGAGCTGAAGGAGGAGGTGGAGAATGAGCGAGGGATGAGAGAAAGGGCTGAGAAACAGAGGAGGGACCTGGGAGAGGAGCTGGAGGCTTTGAGGACTGAACTGGAGGACACTCTCGATACCACAGCTGCTCAGCAAGAGCTGCGGTACAGAACAGAAATTCAAACTCAACCTTTCAGTTCATTTTCTGTCATTAGATGAGATTTTTTTCACTCAACCCTCATCTTCTGCTCAGGTCCCGTCGTGAGGCAGAGTTGAACGACCTGCAGCGGGGTGTTGAAGAGGAAACTCGTCGCCATGAAGCTCAGCTGTCAGAACTCAGAGTCAAACACAGCGCCGCCATAGACAACCTGCAGGAACAGCTGGACAACAGCAAGAGAGTAAGACAAACTCTCTCACTCAGAAACACTCAGAATCACGTAAACATGCGCCGCCACTCATCCATGTTCTCTTTCAGGCACGCCAGTCACTAGAGAAGGCCAAGACAATGCTGGAGGAGGAGAGGCAGAATCTAACCTCAGAGATTAAGAGCCTCCAGGGGAATCGCACCGAGAGCGAGAGAGGACGTAAAAGGGCTGAAAGTCAACTACAGGAGCTCAGCGCCCGAATGTCTCAGGCGGACAGAGAGAAGGAGGAGAGGGAGGAGCGAATGCACAAGCTTCAGGTGCGAATGGGTGTAGACTCACTTCATTTTTCTTGATCTCTGATTATTTCTCTTCATGAACTTTAGAAAATCTAAGCTTTGTGCCTCAGCCTCTGATAAACTGACCTTAATTTGTCTTTTTCCAGTGCGAGCTTGAATCCATCTCCGGCAGTCTATCCTCCTCTGACACCAAATCCCTCCGACTCTCAAAAGAGGTCAACAGCTTGGAGAGTCAGCTGAATGATGCAAAGGTAACAAAATACAACAACCACAGACACAATAAACACTTTCTCTGATAACTGAGAGAGGAAGATGAAGGAAGATCACTCTTGAATTATGTAATGTAAAGGAGTTAGCTCATGGACTGTCTTGTGGCACTGGTTGACACTCCTCTTACGTTTTCTCGTCTCCCAGGAGCAACTGCAGGATGAGACTCGTCAAAAGATGGCTCTGAGCACGAGGGTGCGAGCGCTGGAGGAGGAGAAGAACGGACTGATGGAAAGACTGGAGGAAGAGGAGGAGAGAGCCAAAGAGCTGACTCGGCAGATTCAGACTCATACCCAGCAGGTAAATTTAGCAGGTCATCCAGGTTTTAATGTGACTGTGGAACAGCTGATCCTTAAAGTAAAGGTCAATAGATTCATCCACAAGACTTCAGTGACAACATCTCTGGTATCTTTGAACCCCGTAGCTGGCAGAGCTCCGTAAGCAGTCCGAGGAGGTGAACACAGCAGTGGAGGCCGGGGAGGAGACACGCAGGAAACTCCAGAGAGAACTAGACGGCACCATGCAGAGGGAGAAGCAGAAGGAGGAGGAGAAGGACAGAGTGGAGAGACAGAGAGAAAGACTGCGGGAGGAGATCGAGGACTTGGCGCTCGCCCTGCAGAGAGAAAGACAGAACTGCATGGCCCTGGAGAAGAGGCAGAAGAAGTTTGACCAGGTTAGAAATTTTTACTTTACTTACATTAGTCTGAATGAAGACTCTTGAGATGTCTCAATCTGACCTTAAACTTTTCTTCCACCTCCTCCAGCTTTTAGCCGAGGAGAAGGCAGTGAGCTCTCGGCTGGCAGAGGAGAGGGACAGAGCAGAGGCAGACAGCCGAGAGAAGGAGACGAGATGTCTGACACTGACCCGAGCCCTGGATGTAAGTTCACTGAGAGCAGACTGTGCAGGAGTGTCAGATATGTGTGTTTTTTGGTCACGGTGGTGATTCTGCTCCTGTGTCTGTGTGTAGGATACCAATGACCAGATGCAAGAGCTTGAGAGATCCAACAAACAGCTCCGCTTGGAAATGGAACAGCTCGTGAACCAGCAGGATGACGTTGGCAAGAATGTAAGAATCTCAGCCACAAGGGTCTTTGCTATACTTTTCTTTTTCTCAGGTTTCAGCGAGTCACTGCCTCCTATCTCCTATCAGGTCCATGAGCTCGAGCGAACCAGAAGATCCTTGGAAACAGAAGCTCAGAGCCTGAGGGTTCAGACACAGGAGCTGGAGGAGGAGCTGTCGGAGGCGGAGAACTCGCGGCTGAGGCTGGAGGTCACCCTGCAGGCGCTCAAGGCCCAGTTCGAGAGAGAGATCAGCTCAAGTGAGGAGAAGGGAGAGGAGAAGAGGAGGGCGCTCAGCAAACAGGTAGAGAGTGGGAGGAAGAAATCATATACGGTTTTATTGGTTTTGTTTTTTTCATCTCACTCAGTCTGTACTTTACCCTCCTTTGTCAGGTGAAAGAGTTGGAGATCCAGCTCGAGGAGGAGCGGAGTCAGCGCTCACAGGCTATGTCGTCTAAAAAGCAGCTTGATGTAGAACTGCAGGACTACGAGGCCCAAGTGGAAACACTGAGCCGGGGCAAAGAGGAGGCTGTGAAGCAAATGAAAAGGCTGCAGGTAAAAAAAGATCACGGAAACTTACTGTGATTAAAAATACAAACAGCATTTCAAGAGACACCGTCAAAGTTAAATAATAAATAAATTGGCTGAAGTTTTTGACAATGTTTTGCCTCTTGAAAGTCTTTTTCTGTCTGACTGAGAACCTTCACAGACAAAACATAAAACTGATCTTCTAAATTTTAGGGGGAAAACACATTGATCTAAAAAAAAACTTGACATTTTCTTGCATTTAAAAATATAAATCATGTCTCACTTTGTCTCACTTTGTCTCAGGGTCAAATGAAAGAAGCTCTGCGTGAGCTGGAAGAGACCAAGCTGTCTCGAGAGGAGGTGATCGCACAGATGAAAGACAACGATAAGAAGATCCAGACACTGGAGGCAGAAGTCCTGCAGTACACTGAGGTGCGCTTTACTCCCTGAACCCCTGCTGAATTATCTTACGCTCTTTAAATCGGTTTGGAGTGACGATTAAACCCTGTTTGTTTGTCCACGCAGGAGCTCGCTGTGTCCGAGAGACAGAAGAGACAGGCCCAACAGGAGAGAGATGAAATGGCTGACGAGATGGTCAACAGCAGCTCTGGAAAGTTAGTATCACTTTATTATTACATGTTAATGATATTAGTGAGAGTGTGTTGGTTTATGTGTCTAACATTGTGTGTTTGTTCAGGAATGCTCTGTTCGAGGAGAAGAGGAGGTTAGAGGCTCGGGTCAGTCAGCTGGAGGAGGAGCTGGAGGAGGAGCAGACGAACTCTGAGCTGGTAGCAGACAGACAGAGGAAGACTGCTCTGCAGGTACTGTAGCTTGACGGACACTCTCTGTCTCCTCATGATCGGTTAGAAGTGAGACATCTCTGCACTGAAAAAAAAAACGCAGAGTTAACCCTCAATAACTACAAATCCTGCTTCATAGTATATCCCCCCCTGCACTCACTCACTTTAAACCCTCTTCACAAACAGCATGTGGGAATAAAGTCCTGGTTTCTGCTTTTTGCCGTGCCCCTCAGATGGAGACCATGACTGTGCAGCTGCAGGGAGAGAGGACTCTGGCTCAGAAGGCGGAGGCGGCTCGGGAGCAGCTCGACAGGCAGAACAAGGAGCTGAAGGTCCGGCTGGCAGAGATGGAGGGAGCAGTGAGGGGCAAACACAGACTCAGCGTCGCCGCCCTGGAGGCCAAGATAGAGTCGATGGAGGAGCAGATGGAACAGGAGAGACAGTAAGACAAACACACACATATACACACAAAACACTCTCCAGAACGAAACCTGAATTATTTATTACATCGACTCTCCTCTCTGCACTTGTGATGAACTCGGTTTATGTTGCCCCCTGTGGATAAAGTACCAGACTAATCCCTTTGCTGTTGTTGTCCTGTGAATTGTTTCCTGACCGAAAATCTCATCCCGTTTTCAGTGAAATATAGCAAATCACTTACTGAAAATTAAGCTTTAAGTACCTTTTACACATCGAGTATTTACACTGTGTGGTCAGTTCCCAGGCCTCACACCTACACCTCACAGTGGTTAAAAAAAGTTAATATTGAAACTTTCAATATTTTTGTTAAAGATCTGGTTTCCTTTTTTAGGCCATCAAAAGAATCTGTTAATTTCAGTCTGTTTCTAAACCAGCTAAAAACTCCTCATAGGAGTTTCAAGTGTTTGATTCAGAGAAATTGGAGAAGAGCAGAAGAATAAAACAAGTTATTAAGGAAATGAAACAATGAGCAGTTAAACCATAAGGCATAAAAGTAACACTTCAGATATGGTTAATTCTTTTTTTTTTATCCATTTCCCTAAGTAGATAAATCAAAGAAACCTTAAAATTAAATTCAAGTTGATTTAAATTTGTGAAAGTACTCCACACTTTGTTCAAATCATGACTTTATTGAGCTGTTCAGTGTAATATCACCTGTCTGCCTCATCTGAATTTAAAGAACTGAAACTTCACATTAATTTTAGGTCACAAAAATAAAAAAGACTTATTTTCTCTTTATTCACATCATTTAGCTTACTCAATTATTACAGCACATACTGCTGATTAAATTTACTATTAAGGAACACTTCGAATCACGAGATTTTAATTGATTCAAAATTAAACCAATCGTCTACAGTCCATGTACAGCACACCTGGTAGAGTAGAGTTAAAGCAGAGACTCATGCAGGATGTGTTCGATGTTTTTGTGCAACATATGGCTAACAGTGAACTTCACTTCCCTTCAGGGAACGAGCGATTGCCAACAAGCTGGTGAGAAAGACGGAGAAGAAACTGAAGGAGGTGATGATGCAGGCAGAAGACGAGAGGAGACATGCAGACCAGTACAGAGAACAGGTACAAAAACACTCAATATAAACCCTGAAGACCCTGAGGAGACACATGAAGAAGAAGGACAGTGTAATTTATATGATTTGCTGTCATCATGTACCAGTTAGTGCAGCTCTAATTATGCCCACGGCCATTAGAGAGTGTTGAAAAAATCTGCCTCAAATGAGTGATTTTATGCGGCTCAATCCAGCCTAATCCTAATCCCGCCCTGGCATCTGTGTGTTCATTGGTGAGGTAGAACGCAGGCCACACTAGAAAAAAACAAATCCCTGAACCTCAGCGGAGACACTGACTCTCCTCCCAAAACATCATCAGTGATAATCTACCAGGTTTAATCTGACTCCTGATCCCTATCAGTCCCACTCAGACTAATCTCTCTTTTTATACATCGCTCTTCTTCTTTCTCTCCTTCCTCCCCTCTTACCGTCCTCCTGCAGCTGGATAAGTCGATGGTGCGTCTGAAGCAGCTGAAGAGGCAGCTGGAGGAGGTGGAAGAGGAGAACTCGCGCTCCAACGCTCAGAAGAGGAAGCTGCAGAGGGAGCTGGAGGAGATCACCGACAGCAGCCAGACCATGACCAGAGAGATCACATCCCTCCGCAACCAGCTCAGGTAACCACATCTGTGTGTGTGTGATAAAGTGTGTAACCATTTGTGTTAAAGTGTGTGTTTGTGTGTGATTTTATGTTTCCGTCATCATCATGTGTTGTTGTTTCGTTTTTAACCCACATTAACTTGATATGATTTGTTTTCCTTTTGCTCTTTTGTTTCTTTCGTTTGTGTTCATCTAACACTGACAAACTGTCCACCTGTCTCCATCACAACAACACTCAGCGTCCCAGAGTGGAGGGCAGACCAGTAGGTCACTGTGTGTGTCATTTTATTTTATCATATATGGGTGTTTTTGTGTTTAAAGGTGGAGGTTCAATGTCAAATTCACCAAGTATTTGCATGTATGTTGTTGTTAAACTGACATCTTTAGTGACCTAACCTTTTCCGTTAAGGTTATTGTTAAAAAGTCCTTGTAACAAACTTCTCAACAGTGAGAAAGACTTGTCTGTTTGACTTTTATTTTGATTTAACACAACTAAAAAGTGTTTAAAAGGAAGGTCAAGTTTTAAATCATGATTTCGTGTTATGTTTGATCAAACACGATCATTTCTAGAAGTCATTTCGCACCCGACCACTCCACATCTGGGCGTGCTCTTAGTCGCTCTTTCTCTTGTTGTTCAGGCGTGCGCCATTGCCCCTGTCGATGCGTGGACGCAGAGCTCTGGTTGACGACCTCTCGTATGAGAACTCTGACTCAGAGGAGCCCCCCGCCTCCCCGACCCCCTCCTCCGGACTCCCAGGGACCCCGACTCCCTCCTCTGAACACAGCCTGGACCCTCCACCACCCTACAGCGTCAACAACACCGAGTGATGCATCAGTAGACTCTTTAGACACGCGTACAAACACACACACACACACTCACACACACAATGACCTGTCACCACCTCAACTTCTCAGGGGTTAATGAGTGACACAAACACACACACAATACAAACACACACTATTTTATCAAGTCGTATAGGATGTAAAGATCGGGGCGCTTTAACCTCAGTGATAACCAATAAAATTGTTAAAATTAGATTTTTCAAAAGAGGGAAGTGGAATTAATTTGGTTTTGTAACAAACTCTGACTTAAAATGGAAATAACAGACTGGAAATTTCTACATCTCTGTGATGAACTTTTGAGAAACTGATAACGTCCTGCAGAGATTATTTGGAAAAGGGAATTGTTTTCGAGTAATTTCATGATGCTGTACAGTTATTATCAGGACGCAGAAACATTATAACAGTGACATCTTTTACACAAGGAGGTATTTTACATCTAAGCCATGTCTAAACTCTGTGATAAGGGTTGATTATTAACAAAACCTGATTTTAAAACAGGTTGAAACTACTTCTTAAAGGTGTTTAGACAATCTGTACACGTAACAAGAAGTCATCAACGAGAAAAGTCTGGGACGTCGATGAAGCGTAGATATGTGAGTCTGTTTTTAACGAAGCATACATGAGAAACTTTGAATAAAATGAGAATTCGGAAGATAAAACTGGAAAACAGCCTAAAGGAGGGTAATCAGACTTACTAAAGTGACTCAGCAATAGAGAAAGAGCAACTGGTGAAACATTTTCAGTAACGTTTTGATCTCATTTGTGTCTCATTGTTGGGACACAAACAGCTGATCGTAAACAGCAGCCTGGATGCAGTTCAGCTGCATGAAAGCTGTATTAAGTGGTAAATCCTTTTACTGTAGATTAGAATCAGTTTGTCGTCAGGTACCGCAGTAGGTAGTATTAGATAGTTTCTTAACTAAAGTCTTAACATATTGCTCCATAAAATTTGTATAATTTATATCCAGCGTGAACTTAAGTTATTGAGCACAGGTTCTTCTCTGTGTGATGTGTGTTGGTCAGTTAATTTGGGCCTGAACTGGGTCGCCTCATGGCTCAGACGTGTTTCAGTCAGCGTCACAGCACCAGATCTCAAAGGTCAAGTTACAAAGAAGGCGTTTGTGGATGAAAAACTATTTTAATGGTTAGGAAACAAGTCGAGATTTGTGGATTTTCTCCCATAGCAGCATAAGTAGAAATAATAACCCTCGGAGGGAGAACCTTATAAATTCATTTTTTTAATTTGAATCTGGACGGATTTTGACAGCGGATCTTTTTCTGTATCAGACTGACAAACACATCGCATTTTATTTTGACAAGCATCTTGTACATTGTAATTTTTACTGAGTAACTTTGTAAATTATTGATCATCAAAGCTTTTTTTGTTTAACCAAAACGGTAGGCGTATGGATGAGAAAAAGGGACTTAAATAAGTAGTGAGCGTAGAGTAGCTGTAGAATAAAATAGATGACAGGAGCGGAGGCCGGAGTCGGACAAACTCCGCCTCCGCTCGCTGTTCAAGTAGAAAAAGTAGAAAAACTGAGCATGAGACTCGAAGCATTTTTAGATACTAGCTGAGTCAAAAATGAGGCACTGAGGAATGAATTTTTATGAAACAAATACCAAGTAGAACTAAAAGTAGATTTATTTTACCCTAGCTGTCAGCCCTATAAGACGTGTGTGTGTGTGTGCTGTATTAACCAGACACACACACTCACACACACACACACACACAGCTCAGTGACCCTGCTGTGTAACAAATGATGTTTAACGGGAAGTTTTTTTGTGTTTCAGTGGAATTTCTTCATCTTCATCTCATTTATTGTTTTATGTGTAATGGTCCTTTTTTTAAGTATATTTTATATCCGTCTTTAGCACCTGTTTGCCTGTCCGGGAACTTCTTATAATGTCTGTTTTTTTTTTTTTGTACACAGACATAATTGCAATGTGTTAAAGGAATAGTTAGACATTTTATGAAATGCTTTAAGACTGACACCAGTCTGAAGTGAATTAAGCTCGGCTTAACATAAAAACTGAAATAAGGTGAAAAGCTTGTCTTTAACAGAATCAGTACCTCTGAGTATCACTGATTTACTGTCATGTTCAGATCACATGAGAAAAAAGAGAGCTTCAGAAATGCTGCATGATGGATTTTGTCATTTTCACACGAGTTGTTCACACCTTGTTCCAGTCTCTGTGATAAGCACTGATGAGGTCATTTGGCCGTAACTTCATGTGAGTTATCTTAGCGTCCGTCGCTACAGAAAAAGTCTTCAAAGGTATTTCTTAAAAACACAAAACTGTCCTTCCAAGTTAGAAAGAATGTCACTGGTGCTTTAACTTTAAATTGGAACTAAAGGAAGATAAAGATTGTGTAAAAGGAAATCAAATATGTTTTTCTGTATTTCCATGAATGTTTTCTTTTTCAGGTTTTGGTTTTATTAACTCGTAATATGTGTTAAGAAATGATTGTGTTGGTGTGGACGGCTGCTCACACACCAAACCGCTTCAGTAATTTCTGGTAAACAGGGTCCTCATGACTACTCCTTCTTCCCTCTTTTTTTATGTTGATTAAAATACAAAGCTCACATCCTCTCCAATCAAAGACTAATCATCATCGTTATGTTTTATGTGTTTTCATATTTCCTGATTTTAAGCTTTGTTTTTGCCATATCAAGTTCACCCTGATAACCATTCAACCACGTCAGGGTGAAGAAAGCTCAAACCACCCGGGTCAAGAAAGAGTTCTGATGATGTATGTTTATCGCCCTGATAAAGGGCTGTGTTGTTTTTTGTTTTCTGAATGTACAATTCTTTTATCTTAGCAATATGCAAAGGATTTTGTTCAAAGCTTTGTTTTTTAACTACAGTGTAAAAGCTGCACTTTACACATTTACAAGTGGAGATAAACACAGGTGGATGTTATCAAGACACATGCTGCTCTGTGGGGTGGTGATTTATCTCAAAGAGGCTGACAGCATTAAGCCAAACGAGCTAACATCATACGCCCTCACTCTGAATATTCACATCAACGTTGTTATCTCTAAAATGTCATATCAACATTCGAACGTGGCGGCTGTGTTCACATCTTTAAAGACCAAAATCTGAGAACATGTGGATTGAAACTGCTGAAGAGTTCCGTTCATGTGTAGCAAGAGACGAGGCTGGTGCTTCTCTGAGGTGTTATTTTTCTCTCTGCGTTTGTTTATGGCTGTTGTGGAACTTGAAACATTTTGAAAAGATGTGTTTTATTGTTTTAGCCTTTTTGTTAATGATGCTGTTATTATAAAACATCTGACTGGGGTCAACTTTAATATATGTCGTTGGTTTTGATCTTCTTGTTTCGGAGTGTTTTTAAGATGCACACACTGACCGGGCACACAGAATTATCCGTGATGAGTTAACAAGTTTTGAAGGTCATCTTCTGCAGTGAGGACTTTCTCCTTGTAACGGTACAAATTACCTTCATAAAGCTATCATCATCTGACAATATGTGATCCATTTTTTTTTTAAATAAACCATAAACCTTCACCTGCATTAGTAATAATAGTGACAATAATCCAAAAACTAATAACGCTGCTGTTTTATTTCATATTACAAGTTTCTTATAATCAAGACATGAAGTTTTTTTTTTATGCAGGTTTCATCTTCATACGGCTTAAAATTACATTTTTACTCACTGTCAAACGATATTTCTCAGAATTACTACAGCTTTTACACCGTTTCGTTATTTAGATGTAACTTATTTTATTCTCACTTCTTGGCAGCAAAACCACAGCAGGTACATCACAGATGGAGAGACACTCACACTCAGCAAATATAACACAAACACACACGGAAAAGGTTTAGCGTGTAAAGGGGGAATGTGTAAGCACTGCAAGACAAATGTGTTGAACCTCATAGCCAACCCATCTTGTCCTTTTTTGTCATCTGTGCACACCCTGGTATGGCGGTACTTTGTTGACATAACCGTTCTAGTGCTCGTGTTCAAAACAAGAAAAAAAATCCACATTTTGAAAAGGCGATTTTTAGTGATTGGAGAAAGTATAAATTTATCTCATCATGGCTTAAATTTTTTGATGTACCGTGCTTTCGCTGACTTCTGGACCTCTCTCTGCGGCTGGGCCCTAGAAAGCTTTCCCCTCCTCACCCCTGTATAAGGCAGCCTTGCTCACAAATACACATCCTGAAAGATCCTCAGATTCAGAGTTAGATTCAGACAACTTTATTAATCCCCGAAGGGCAATTCACTTCACAGTAACCCGCCTTGTTGTTACATGATCAACGGACAGACAAATAACAGACATTCACAGCAGCATATGGCCCAAACATTCTCCTGTCAGCACCACAAATCAGCAATAAATAAACAACTAGATAATAAATACAGGTGAAAATATGTTCACAGTGGAATGACTGAAATGCAATAAAAAAAAGATGCAATAAAAAGAGTAAAATAAGAACCAAAACAATCCTGAGACCTCGATTTCAGCACCCCAAAATCCAACACAGGCCACCAATCCGCAACTTCTCAGCGTTTGGAGTTGGAGTATCTATTTGTTCTTAGGAGGGCATAGTAGCGCCTCCCAGAGGGCATAAGAGTGTGGACAAAAAATAAAACATTTAAGCCTTATTGAAATCCATGCACATCAGTATTAGGATCCAGAGTAAAACCAGAAAAGACACAGAAGAACACTGTGAATATTTACACTGCACAAACAGACTTCCACTACCCGACAAATTGCACACTGCCCGTTATAAAAATTGGTTAATACAACAGTCTACACACCCGACTCTATAGAACCGTTCCTGATTCAAAGCCGGTTCATTCTTGCTCTCTTGAAATGAGGTGGACAAGATGTGTCACACTCCGATCACCTTCACCCTCACCGTCCACAGCAGACATAATCCATGCATCACTTTTAAGAGGAGGCATATTTTCTTGGCACTCCGGTGACTTCAAGATATCAGTGAACAGCCAGTCGTCTTCATGTGGTGGTGTTGGTATTGGACGGTCCTCAGGGTTGTGAGGTGGGACAGAAAATGATTGGGCAACCCCTTCAAACGGTGTGAAGTTTTCACAATTTATCGGCGCACAGGAAGTGTCTTGGTTGGAGTGCTGGCACATCTGCAGCTCTGAGGGGATGTAGTTGTAGTTGGTAGAAGTAGGGAGCTGGTTGTGGATGATGTAAGTATCTTGGGAGGGCTGAAAATCGTTAAATTGTGTCTCTGGAATATCTTTGTTTTGTCTGATAGCCAATCCCTGATCCTCACTGCAAAAGTATCCATACTCATACCTATAATCACCTGTCTCAGTCTGCAAATCCTTCACTCCAGATCTGTCACTGCAGACTCTTCTACAACCATCTGACTGGTCTGAAAATGCCACACCTTCATCACGGCCTCCCTGTCCGCCGTCACCTTGATAAACACAGATGCTTTCGAGGTAAGCCTCCACATCCATGCAGACTTCTAAATCCCTACTGCCAGCACTGAAGAGATCCATGAAATCTGTCCACTGACCCTCAGAAATGTCTGCCATGTTTTTCTGGGTCAGTATGTCTTTGAATATTTGCATCGAGAAGTCACAAGAGTCAAGAGACGATGGAGAGAGTTCTGGAGAAACAGAAGAAGAGACGTCTACATTTTGGCCAAACGTGAAGAAACTGGTGTCCTGTGGAAGTGTTGGCGAGTCTTCCTCAAAGAAGTGGGCTGATACTGGCTGATTTGGTTTTGACCTGTGGTGTCCATCTTCACCATTTTGAAAGCTTACAGATGTGACATCCTCCAGTTTGTGATCCAGAGTCTCCGTTCTCTGCCTCCCTTTGCTCTGGTTGCTCTGTCTGGCACTGCAGGTTGTGTTTTGTGATTTGGGGTGCCGTTTCCAAAGATGTCCCGTCTCCTTCTGCTGCTTCTCTCTGATTTCAGTTTCCTGTGATCCAGTCCTGGACTTAGCCATGTCATCTACTTCTGCATGATGGCTGTAGTGATCTTGATCTTGAAGATCAACATCTACAGAAGGAACATCTGACTTATCAAGAATATCTGGCTTCCTTGATGGCAGAGCCAACATGTTTTTCTCCTTTTCATTATTATCTAGTGCAGGGGCCAGTTTGTGATTTGCTGCTTCTATGTCTGCAAGCTTTCTGATGAGAGAGACAAACAAGGAGAAAAGGGACAAATGTACGATCAGTAGTTTTGGTTGAAAAAAGGAATTACATTTTTAATACCTCAAAAAATCTTACACAAAAAGATAGCCAGCTAACTTGTGCAGAAATGGATCAAAAGAAAATTATTTCTTTGGAGTCTGTGAAGCTACAACAGGCAGCGGCTCAGCTTTGCTTGGCTCAGAGACTGTACCAGGGAGAGCGAGTTCTCTTGACTCTGCTACAAACACAAAGTCTGGCTTTAGGCTGTTTTGGTCTTTGTGCTAATTGATAAGATTAAATTATGGCAACTACTTTCTTTCTTAAATCACTGCAAAGTAAATTTCTGAAAACTTTCCTGTGAAATGAAACAACTTCATGACCTGGCATGTAAAAAGCCAGCCAGGAAAGGAAGACTTTTAAGACTTCTTGAGCTCTCAAGGGCTCAAACCTGGCCCTGTTCAAAATATTGACAATTTGAAGAAATGAAAATAGTGTTAAAGATTTATGCTAATGGTGAAACCAGGACTGGGAATGTCTCTAATGCTACTTTAAAGCTCCTGTGAGGAACTTTTGGTTTGAGTCCATTTTGGCGATAAGCAGAGACAAAGCAGTCTCTGCTTATCTTGTCCTCTACATGTAGGAGTCGTGACTTTTGACAGTCAAATGTGTTATACACATGATGATACAAAATCATCCGTCTTGTTTGATTTCAAATATCATTAAAAGGCATAAATATGACTTTGAGTCTATTTCATTAATGTAAAAAACCTCCCCACAGGAGCTTTAAGCATTTACATACACCTACCTCTGAATCATGTTGTGCAGGAACCGGCGGTGGTTGACCTGCCGTTTGGATGGTCTGTTCTTTCTGGGTTTCTGAAGAGTCCTCATCATGTGACCTGCCGCTGAAGTTACAAAGGTGTAGAGGTCACGACCCCAGGGGACCCCTCGCTCTAACCCAGGTTCCAGAGATGGATGCATGGCTGTTAGAGAGAGAGTGGGAGAGAGGTGTCTGAAGTGAACAGGTAGTGAGACGAAGGTCGGGGTGTACCTGCTTTAAAAGTTAGTGATTTTAATTTCATTTAAAAGGCATTTAAAGGAGTTTTATTTTCCACAGATTGCAAACATATTTTTCTCTGTAGTTTTTTGAATATTACTACCTTGTTAGACAATGAACTTATACACTTTTAATTAAGTACTGCACTCAACTACATTGTAAGGTACTTTATTCTGACAAATACAAATTTGTACAATTCAGTTTCTGTGAAGTAAAAGTCACACAGAGAATTTAAGACTAAAAAACATCAGTGGGCACATTTTTTTGCAGCGCAATGAGACACTTCTTTCAAAATTAAATTCTCAATATTGATGTACTTTTACATAAACTGGATGATTCAAGATCGAAGCTATTTATTTGTGTGTCTCGTACTACAATTTACTCACAAGAGTCACTTTTCTCATACAACTTCATTCTAAGAATCAAGAATGAACATATAACATTATGGGTATAATCTGTGTGGATTGTTTATTGAAATGTATATTTGCCTTATACTGTCTATACAATGTTTCAGTTATCACTCACATATTATATCCTGTCTCAGTCATGAAGACAAATGCTTTTCTTGACTGAGCGATTCCATTAAATGACAGACTTTTGTCTGTTAATGTAGCTAATTTACTTTAATTTTTTTGCTTATGTTTACTTTAAGACTATTGCGTGTTTCTCAGTTGAAAATAGCCCAACCTTATAAAAACATGTATACCTGCTTTAAATGAAGATTGACACTCAATATGTTATTTTTGTGTATTACATACAGTATATCAAAGGTAAAATTCCTGACAGTGAACCGGAGAAAGTTACACATTTCTGTGATGACATTAGGACTTAAAATCACCATGTCACAGAGTTTGCTGGGTTCACAGATGTGAATGTTCTTGGTCTGCCAAATATAAGAGTAAGATCAGTTTATGATCAAGCCGTCCTCCTGACAGCGAGAGGCTCCAACCAAGAACATGGTAAATAACTACGAGACATTCAGCTTGCTGTGTCATGTAGAAAAGGTTAAAAAAAAAAAGTACAACCACTTTTCTGCAATTTTGACATAAATATGCAACTTTTGTAATATTTGCACAAGAATAAATTATTGCCACGATAGAAATGGATCTACTTTCCAATTTACTTTTAGTCATTCATTTGAAAAATATCACGTTCTCTGTCTCTCAAGATTACAAGATCATCTCATACAGTAGGTAAATCACTTCTTATGTGGGTTTTTCTATGCAATAACAGCAAGACAGTTTTTCCAGCGGTAGCAAACTCATAATAATCATTATGCACATCTATTAAAAATGCTTGATCTGAATTTACTTCTTTATATAGTTCTTGTAATTTGTTACTTTACAAAATGTATGTTTTGCAAACAAAACAAATTTATATAGATCTTGTATCTGCATTTGACTTACAAAATTCAAATGAAAGATTCAAACATTTAGAGAAATCTTTCTGCATCTTTTCCAAATAAGAAGCAAAATAAAATATAAACCACATTTACCTTATTCTTCCTCAGGCTGATGTCTTCTCTCCTTCTTCTTCCTACAAACTGCTCTGAAGACTGTCAGAGGCCGGCTGCTTCAGGAGAAGAGGTGTGGTAATTTCTCTGTTTACGTACGTCAGTGTAAGTATTGTCTGCATGCAGCAAATTAAGTGAAGTGACATAAGAGCTCCATGCAAATGCTGAAATGTCCTTTTTTCTTAAACAGCTTGAATAGAAGCCGACTTGACAAATTGATGGAGGCAGAGGAAGTGGGAAGTTGAGAGCCTCTGAAAAGAAGAGGCAATTATCTGAGAAGTCAACCTCTGGTGGAGGTGTGTGCGCACGTGTCCATTGTATGCCACATGAAAAGCAGCTTGTTAAATACTAAGAGACACAAATGCACCATTTGAGGCAGTTAACAAGCCCTTAATTGATCAGCTTAAACTCTTGGCCTCATTATCACATTCTCTGAGGGAAGAGATAGCATGGTTGCTAGTGGCTTTAATTGACCTTCACTGCTCGACCGCATTGCTTCCAAGAACAGCATTTTACATATCTTTGGCAGAGGGTGGATGAATGCAGGCCGTCCTTTTTACAAAAATGAAAGACAATTAAAGACAAGGAATTAGACTATTTTTTAAATGTCCATCTTTAATGTTTTGTTTTGTCATTTTCACGTCTTAAAAAACCTTTAAACTTGTTCTTTAAGATTTAGGTTTATAGTCTTGTGTTTCAGGGTAACTAAATTCTGGAGCAAACATTTCCATTGATTTTAATTTTCTTTCCACCTATTTACGAGTTAGATCACATATAATAAGTCTGTAACTCTCACTGGATGGGATAGCTTTTTTGGCACATTTTCACGACATTATCACAGTGTCTTTTTATCTGAAGAATGGACTCTACTTCAGTTTTTTTTTCCTTTGCTTAAAACAGATCTCTTCGTTAAATTAGCATGAGAAAATGCAGCATGTAGTCATTTCTCACATGAGACAGATCACTAAATACAGATAATTGTGTGCAATAAGTCTCCTTGCTATTCAAAATTTGTATCTGACTCTCCTTTATATAATTTTCTCTTTCAGGATCTAATCTAACAGTTGATGCCATAACAAGTTTTCTTAAGTGTTAAAGTTTAATTTAAAGGGAAGAGAAAGAAAAAAACTGCAAAATTTAGGAGGAGTTTCAGCAGAGGATAATAAACATGAAAATGGTCAAATTTGCAAATGTTTACAGCCTTTGTTCTCCAGATGAAACAAAGACTGAATGCATCTTGAGGCGTCTCACTCAAAACAGGGAAGCATTTTAGCAAGAGTGACGACTATTTTTAGAGACACCACACACCGCACATGTGCTTCTGACCAGAGAGCTGCTGCTGCACACTTAGCTTCATTCTGTGGTCTCAGTTTTAACATGTAAGGAAGTGAGACAAATCTGTGGTAAGTCACTACTAGATCTACGCAGACATCAGGACAAATGGGGTAAAAGGTATTCAATCAGGCTGCATTTTAAGAGTCTACCTACAAAGTGTGTTGGTTCGTAACTTCTCTGGATATCCTGCGCATTACTGCTTTGTCGTTGACCATTCCTCACATGTGCTGTTTTCTCAGATTCCTCTCCAGCAGACGATAAAGCTCTTATCACACAGTCTTTGGAACAGAGGAGGAACTTTGACCTGGTTAGAAGGAAAACCTCCCTCACTTTGCCGTGTGGCCCAGGCACCAGATCATCTCACTACCTCCCACTCTTTACCAAACAGGAGCAATCAGGAAAAAGCTGGAGTCTTTTTTTCTGCTTTTCAGCTTAATAGAACAGGGTGAGAAAAGCTGAACTGAAAGGTAGGTTTCACTTCTTTGGTAACATGCCCAGCAAACGCAGCAATTTTCATTTCAGGGTAAAGTTTAGATGGTTGGTGTTTGTCCTTAAAAGCATTTCTCCTCCCAAATGTGTCACCCATGCAGTCTCATTCAGTGTTGTTATTGCAAATTCATTTTGCTTAAATCCTCTGTCTGATCAGGTTCGTCACCATGAACCGAGCCTGGGCTGCATTCAAAGCTCACCCGTACATCAGTAACGTCCTGGGATACACAACACTGTTTGCCTCCGCTGACCTCATACAGCAGAGTGTGCTGGGAGGCAAACAATCCACAGCCCAGGACTCAGCCACCATCGACTGGTCTCAGACAGCTCGGGTGGCAACTGTTGGCTTCTGTTTCCATGCCAACTTCAACTACCACTGGCTAAGAGGGCTGGAGAGGATGTTGCCGGGAGGTGGAGTAAAAGCAGTGGCAGGGAAAGTTGTGGTAGATCAGCTGATTGCAGCTCCTCTCACCATCAGTGCGTTCTATATCGGTAAGATGGAATCAAAACGCATTTAGATAATTTGTTGTTCCTTTATATTTCTATGTTCTATGCATCATTTTAAAAATCAAGTCTCAGTTATGCATCAGTGATAAGAAACCTTTCATCTTTTTTTGCCAAAACACATTTAAACACATTCAAAAAACCTCCGTACAGAAAGTTGTTTGGTGTTTGTGTGATGTTAAATCTTTTGGCACATGTTTGATTTAGACGGCTCTGTTTTTCAGGTTTGAGTTTGCTAGAAAAGCAAGATGACCCACTTGAAGTCTGGAGACAGAAATTTTGGACTTCTTACAAGGTACCATTCAGTTAACCCACCATCTTATTGGTTGGTTTTGACCTTTGTCTTAAATCAGCTGTAAATTACACTTAAAACAATTCTCTATCATCCAATTTGGTGGTTAAGAAAAAAGAGATCTGTAAATCACATCGTTTGTCTCTTTTTTAGGCTGGAGTGGTGTTTTGGTCAACAATGCAGGTGAAATACTCTTTGATTATTTGATATTTCACTTAACCATAAGGCTGCACTCACAACCTCTAAGACACATAGAATTACTGTTTTTTCATGTTGTTCTCCATCATCAGGCAGTGAACTTTGCGCTGGTCCCACCTGTGGCGCGAACAACTTTTCTTGGAGGTATTGCTCTGGCTTTCACCATCTTCCTGTGTCACCTCAGGCAGCAGCCTGACCAAAAGCTCAAGTAAACCCGAGATCCTTCACCCCATGATGCAAGTTTCTCTGAGGAAAGACTTTTTCTTTGAGGAATATTTGACAATGCCAGATAGTTACATCAAATAAAAGAGCGGAATATTGTTGCTGAGTCTCTGGGTTTACTGAGGAAACATGTAACAATGAAAAGTTGACTGAGTTCAACCCTACAGCCACATGTTCATGGAAGTATTTTCTCAGCGATGAACAGAGCTGTGTGTGTTTTTTTAACTGCTACACTGTCTCACAATGTCACATAAGGGAATATTTTTGTTGATGATGCCATAAATTTTGTAACAAACAAATACAAATAAACTGTGTTTTCATATGATGTGTTTTTTTTTACATTGTTTCAAGGATAATAAGTTGGACTGGTCTAAGAAGGGGCAGAGCCGCCTCTTTTGCCTGAGAAGACTCTGATTAATAGACATCTGTCGTAAGATGTTGCAGATGTTTTATCAGTCTGTGGTGGCAAGTGTTCTGTTCTACACTGCAGTCTGCTGGGGAGGAAGCATCAAACACAAAGATGCAAGACATCTGAACAACAGACATCTGAATTTCCCCTCTGGGATTTATAAAATTATTCTTAAGGATCTTATTTGATTAAACATCAATATAATAGTTCAAATTGTTTGCCACATATCTATAGCTATCTGAGAAATTAAAATAGTTTAATTTTAAATGTGTTGCAAATACATACGTACATATGTTTTTCTTATTTGTCTCTTACTTAACATTGAGTAAAATCAACACAAACTGTATGAATGAAAAGACCGCTCAGCCGCTGGAGGCAGTGTCCTTCAGAGCGACTTGTTCTGAAGCTACCAAACCATACCGGAAACGCGAGCTCCTTAGCCAATCGGAGGCCCGAGAATCCATCGCACTGTTTATCGCGAGAGCTCGGCTCTTCCTTTTCCCTTTTCGCTTAGAGTCCAAGATGGTAGGTGTCGTCAATAGAAATCTTACCTTTCGATAAGTTGGCTATCCACGATCATCCTCTGAAATAAAGCGTCTCATCTTCTTGATAGCATACAGAATAGTTGCTTACACTTTATATGATACAGATCTGTCATGATTTTGTGATAACTGATCATCTATATCCAACTAGCTAACCCTCTTTGGTGCCATAGTAGTGCTGTCCGGGGAGATAGCTTCGTGTTCTGGTGATGATCGGGTGTAGGCTTAGAAGTAGCTTTAAATGCGGTATATTAACAATTTAGATTTTTCAGATATTCAATAATGTTTTTAAATGGCAAACTGGGGAATATATATTTACGGGACTCTCTGCTATGCTGTCTGTAACAGCAGCTAGCTGTGTAGTGTAAACGTGTGAACCGGCCTGTGCTAACATGCTAGGAGCTGATCATGTTGAATATTGTAGAATGATGAGACACAGTGAGAAACTAGGATTGTAGAATTAGAATTGTTGTTGAGGCCTAGTATGTGAAATTACACTATAACATAGGCTATGGAGGCTGGGCAGTGTTATTCTCAGCAGATTTCCATGTGCTGATTGTTGATAGTTTTAGTAAAATGTTCTTGTTTCCACTTTACAGGGAGTTGACATCAGGCACAACAAGGACCGTAAGGTGCACAGGAAAGAACCAAAGAGCCAGGATATCTATCTGAGGCTCCTGGTCAAAGTAAGTCCTGTTTTCTCATCTGCAAATTATCACCTGTTGCAAAAAGCTCTCAGGTGTTCACGTTGGTGTTTTATCATTTTAATTAACTTTAAAACAGTTTCATTTTGCTTCATATTAACCGTTCTGTTTGGCTCTCTCAGCTGTACAGGTTCCTGGCCCGTCGCTCTAATGCTCCCTTCAACAAGGTGGTCCTGAGGAGGCTCTTCATGAGCAGGACCAACAGGCCCCCCATCTCCATCTCTCGTCTGGTCAGTCTCAACAATCTCTCCTTTCTGTCCTCAATGAAAGAGTCCTGCTTTTTACTTGTGTAAAATGTTATACCCTGAGGCTGTGTTTATAAAGAGTAGGTTATTACTCTTTTTGTCACTGAAATGCATTATTTAACCTAACTCATGGTCAGTGTTAGGATCACAATGATATCTAAAAATGTGATGTGGTTGTTTTGATAAATTTAAAAATCTGGTTACTGGGGTCAGTATTAAAGCTGATTTTAGCCTTCAATAAAAAGTTATTTTTACATGTTTTGATACTCTTATGGCCAAGAGTAATATCCAGAGGAAGGGTCTACGTGTATGTTTAGATTTACGTGTTAATAAGTACAACATTTTGGTGACAACTCTTGCTTTTTGCTACTGAATTGTTCACCCAGCATAAAGCTTTGTAATAGGTAACTTTATAGCTTTTACATTTACTTTGATTATAGCATTTTTAAGGATTGTGATCTAAAGAGAAGATATTTATTAAATATGGCTGTCTGAGCTTTTTTACATGCCTTGACAATGTCAACCTGTATTTGGAAAATGAAGATTGAATTTGTCTGCAGGTATGCCTTTTTTGAAAATTTAGTTTGTCAGATGCAAAGAGCAGACCCAGAAAAATTCTCTAGATCTTTCTTTTCTTGCTCATCATGAGTGATACCCAAACTATAATTTCTGTTACAATAATACCTTTTTTTCCATCTCATGCAGACAAAGTCTACTGTTGTGATAATGTTTTATCACAACAGTATATCTCCATTTTTCAGTCTTGTATAGAAATGATCTATTGAGCTCTGTGTGCTTGGGTGACAAGAATTTAGAATCTGTGAAGAAAAAAACCCTTGCATCAAATCAGTACAACTAGATCTCATTATTTTTTACTGGCCTCATTAAATACTTTTGGATTTGACCTTTTTCAATGTTAAGGCCGTGTTCAATGTTGAGGTGCTGTATGTGTCTTGAATGTTTAACATGTATGAACCTTGTTGGCTCTTTAGATGTATGATTAAGCATGCAGAAGTTTCTGACTGAGCTCTCATTGCATCCAGATCCGTAAGATGAAGATGCCCGGCCGTGAGAACAGAACTGCTGTTGTGGTGGGAACTGTCACTGATGATGTCAGGATTCAGGATATCCCCAAGCTCAAGGTAAGTCTTCTTCTTCTTTTTTAAGAATGGCAAAGTTCATCTGTGTTTTTTTTTTTCCTCAAACTTACTCCTGTAATGTCGCTAGTATTGACAGGCTGAGAGGTAACCCAAACACCCTGTTTGTTGTCACACAGATCTGTGCTCTGAGGGTAACTGACGGTGCCCGCCGCAGGATTCTGAAGGCAGGTGGTAAGGTGTTGACCTTTGACCAGCTGGCTATGTCTGCCCCCAAAGGACAGGGCACAGTGCTGCTGTCAGGTAAATACACTTGTGGATTTATAACCAATAATCAACAAAATGATCCAATTTGAGTTGATGGCAGCCATTATCTTGCTGGTTCTCGACACCTCGACTATCAAATGGGCACTACGCCAAAGTCATTATGTTTGTATTAGTGTGGTCATTTTGGCTTGATGGGAGAAATTGAAAACAGAACTTAGCTGTGTCTCTGTAACCTGTATGGAAAGTGATTTTTTTTGTTTGTTTGTTTTTTAAGAGCTCATATCTCGTTATTTCACATCTGTGTCTTAGTAAACTTAATACTTGGCTGGAATTTGTTTTTTGGTGCTTCAGTAAATAAGAAATCCAGCTATGAGCCAAAAAGGGGATTGTAACTATAATTGGGCCTGATGATAACCAATAATTTGCTTTATCTGCATTTTTAACAGGCATGGTGGTCTTACCTATGTTTTTTTGTGTGTATTTATGAAATGATTTTCAAACTTTTGGCCTTGCAAAATATAAAACTAGCCTCATCAAAGGGTTCCTTTTTTGTGAAGGTTGAGGTGCTTGCATATAGCAAAGGCAGAGACACCCTTGCTTTTGTGTGTCTGACCATTGTTTCTAGACTGCTTGGTCAACTTTCAGAACAAGTTTTGGTATTAAGATATGCAAATTAGCTTAATAGAAGATGCTGTATAATGTGTAACTATAAATATTTTTTAATTTATAACCTGTTTTGCTCCTTAGGACCCCGTAAAGGCAGAGAGGTGTACAGACACTTTGGAAAGGCCCCTGGAACTCCTCACAGCCACACCAAGTATGTGTACAGTCAGTGTGTTTGTTCTGTTGTCAAGCACGCATGGATGTCAGTGAATATAACACACATTTCAAAAGTACCATTGATAGTATTAATAGTATCAAAAAGATTTCGTAGGACAGGATGTTTTACAAATAGTTAAAATCATTTGTCTTTTATGTCAAGAAAAAAGACAAATGTGTGATAACTATACACTAAAGATAAAAAACAGTACATTTAACACAGTAAAAAGCCTCAACTATGTAAATGTACCTGTAAGCATAATTTGAGGTCTCTGACACCCTGTTAACTCTGAGGCAGGTTAGCACCTAAGTCAGGGGACAATCAGTAGTATTGAGTTGATTGCCTTTTTTAGTTGGGTGAAATACCAGGTCATGTTTGAATGGTTTTGGTTTTATGGTGCCATCAGTTTGATATAAACTCTTCATTTTTCTTCTTTAGGCCCTACATCCGCTCCAAGGGCAGGAAGTTCGAGAGAGCTCGCGGTCGCAGAGCCAGCCGTGGCTACAAGAACTAGTCTGTGTTTTTGTTTTCCATGCGATCTGATAATAAAAGATTGACTGTACAAAATGAGTTGTCTCTTGTATTTTGTTGGGTACCTTATACACCACTATCCAGTTAACAAGTCACAGATGGTTTCACCCAGTTCATTAACAAGAGAAGAAAACACTGCTAGATATTACACCAGTTCACTCACATAAATACATTTACAACCACTTCCAGCTTCTACATCCTTGTTTTCACAGCCTGGGCCTGCACCTGGGTTTGCAGGTGTATTTTGCGTCATAAATGTGTTGATCTGCATGGATAGGAACTGACTGTAAGAAAACATGACTTGGCCAGGAAGTGGTGGGCTGTCAATGATTGGAGAATGTCGGTGGGTGTTGCAATGTTTTCCTTATCGCGATTGGATTTCCTCTCCGCCGCTCAAAGCTGCTGCTCCTGCGTCTCCAGGCACTTCCTGCACAGAGGCACAGTTTACAGGACAGGCAGGAGACGACTGCCAGAGAGCCAAGATGAGGTAAGTTAGTCCCTTCTGCTGTGATCAATTTTAATTTTTTTTTCTCTGGTGCCGACAAAAGACAACTTATTTACCCATTTTCATTTGACTCTACTTGACGGAACGATATTTTGACGCCTCTTTGCTAACGTTGCCATCTGCTGTTATCTGCGCTAACTTGGATACCCCGTTAAAACTAATCGATAAATGAGATGTCGAATGTCAGACGGGGTTATTCTGTTTGCCCATGACCACAGATGATGATTTCAGGTTGGTTTGAGTTTAAATTGTGTCAAATGTAAGCTCAAACTTGGGCTACATGTTGGGTAGCAACCCGCTAGCTGCCGCTAACTGACACCGATGTGTTGTTGCGCTCGCCAGGCAGCAGTTTACAGTAGGTACTGTAATCATAACACAAGCTAGCGTTTGCCAACTATTCGACTTAACGTTGGGGTTTTTATCCCATGTGCAACTTTAATCGCTTTCTTCATAGTGATAAGTAATACACGGGCCAGACTTGGTGAAAATAGCTCCCCAGCTTGTAGATAAGTGCCAAACTACAGCGAGAATCAAGTTAGTCAGCTGGCTAACAGCCTTTCAACCTGCTAGCTAGCGTTGAGGTGGATGCCAACGGTTAAGTATAACGGTCGGACAGCTTCTACTTTATATCGTCGGGGTGATCAGTCAAGCTGTTATCACTACTGATAAATGTCGAAAGGGACGTCTAAACAGCTTTTGGGATCAAAGTATGAGCTAACTGAAAGTTGCCGAAATTTCCCCCGAAGTCGCCCAACAACAGCAGACTCATTGTTTCGGAGACGAAATTAGCTCGCTGACATTAGTTTGTGGGTGTCCCCGCCCTGCCTTTCACCTAAGATGCAACAATGGGCATCAGTAAGGTCCTGCTTTACTGAGATTTATTATCAACACCGGACATCAGCCAGGTATTGATTTTGTCTGCTCCACAGCTTGCACAATATTTCCTGACTGTTATAAAACTTCAAAGAGAAGATGTGATATGTTAAAGTTGTTCAGAACTTTGGGGTTAAAAGGCCCTCCCCACTGAGCATTTTTGGTCCAATAGACTACCACAGGTCTAAAAATTAAAGTTTTTAGACGTCTAAATTTAGACCAAGTTTAGACTAGCCGGCTATACTATACTACATTGTATATTGCTCAACAGCTATCATAATTATTTTGGTTAAGTTCTTGGAGATCAGCTATGCAACTCAGAGTTGCTTTTAGAAATAAATAGTTATTGAATAATGGGTTTAAGTGCAAAGTCTTGATTCTGTCTAAAATTATACAGAATCTAGGCGGTTGAAATTAGGCCTAAAAAAACTAGACATCTAATAGCCGTCTATTGCTCAGTGGGTCCTTACTTCCAGCTTTGCAATCATTGTGAGATGGTACATTTATACATAGAAAATGTAAACTAATGATAGTTGGTACCTAATTGTAAAGAACATTACATTAAAGGGCCACATCTCAAACATTTCAAGTGCCAAAAATAATCATTCAGTTTGTGAAATGATTTAAAACTTATTCAGTATTTTCAATCATGGAGCTACTTAGTTGTTTGGGTTTTTTAGGAGGGGGATGTTTTTCTCCAAAGCTCCACATTCCAGTGCCCATTCAGGTCAAAAATATGCAGACTTAAAATCTTAGACTCAAATTGTGCAATGCTGTTTCCCCAAATCTTGTTCGACAAAAGCCCTTCACGTGAAAATACCAACCACATATGGTCATTATTCTCATGCAACCTTTCATCCATAGCAATGTGTTTTCTCAGCAAGGCAGTTGAGGATGTGTGATTGTGAGTCATTGTGTGCCGAGACATGCACCCTAGGTCAAGGGGCATAATAGATCTTTTATTGCTTCACACTGTAACCCTAATCTCTTCCTCTTATCATGGTGGTTCTGCCCTGTCCTTGTTCCTCTCTTGTTCTGAAAATGTGATAGAAATATTAACCTTTGCACTGGTGAATTCTGGCTGAATTTCAGACCCAAACATTGTCTGTTATTTGGCCCAGCGTTCTTCCATTTTTGATGCTAACTTCAGAACTTTTTGTGTTATAAACTTGCTTTTTCCTGCTTTTTACAACTGGCTTTTGTCTACATCTCCATTTTTTTCTTGATCCAGGAACAGAGATCTTTGGGCAGGAACGTGAGATGTGACTCAAGGACTTTACAATGACATAAACTAAGGACCCTACTGGAACTGTCTTCTTGTGTGTCTTTTCTTTTGTTTTATTTTTTTGTTTTTTTTTTGGGTTGTTCTGATGTCCGTCTGTCTTACCTTGTGTTTACCCGCTCCCTATGAAGAAAGAAAAGAAAGTAATGCAGGATTATTAGCTTGCATGAAGCTCTTAGATGTAATACACTACTGTCTTGGAGTTTGGCTGTGATATTCCTCTTGTCTGCCTCATTTAGATCACTGAGATTAAGATAGCAATATAGGTTTCAAAGGTCTTGGAAAAAGAAGCACTTATATCTTTGTGGCATTTCTTTGATGCACTTTTCAGTCAACATACTCGACAGAATTCTTAACGTAAGCATATCTTTTATTTAATTGTGATAGCCTCCTTGTGAAAACAAGGTGTGTTTGTCTTATTCTTACTTCATTGATCCTCAAATTTCAGTTTTGTCCTTTTGTGTAATTATTTAAGATTTGTTGTAAATGTTGAGTAGCTGCTCAGCTGCCTTGTAATGGTATCATTGTAGGTGGCTGTAAGTTGAAACAGACCTCTTTTTTTTTATTAATGAAATGTTTGTGAAGAAGAACACTTGTCAGGACATTTGATCTCATAGTGAAAACATACATCAGTGTTGTGTTGTCTTTGAATATGTTGAAGTATTTTTGGAACTAAACTGTAGAAGCAAACAACTCTCCAGATCAAACTGTGGTGGGAGCTTTCAAACTGTGACACAAAGACTGGTTTTACCAGATCCCACCTTCACTGGATAAATACTCTAAGAAGAAGAACGCTGAAACTGGAAGGTGAACTTTTTTTTCCCCCCAAATGAAGATAAACTTCTTTCACGTACAGACATGAACAAGCAACTCTTGTGACTTTTTGAATTCAAGCACTGAAGAGGAGGAACAGTTTTAGAAAGATTTCAGGGATTAAGTCCACTGACTGATGTTCACATATGTTTTGATTCCCCCTGAAGATCTGGAAGAGCTCCTGAACTCCACTCTTCAAGCTTTGAAACATAGAAGATATTTCAGTAAACACTACAGTCAAGCTTGATATACTGACAGCTGCTTGATAAGGCCAGGATGCGGTCTCCAGAACCTTCTTCACCCTGTACAGCAGAAGCCCTTCTTCATGGCCAGTTTGCTAGCTGGGGGTCTGGCAGTAACAGCAACAATAACAGCTGCCCCAATAGTCCTGGTGGTCCAGGGGGACTCTCCCCAGCTGCCTCCCCTACTCCGGCTCAGGCCTCCAACTATGCCTTGACACTCACCCACACCCACATCCACATCCAGCGTCTGTCACCTCGACCTGGTAAGGAAACCCGTCTTCTGCTGCCTCTGTCAGAACTAGTGGGATGCAGCTGCCCTCGTGCCCCTGCGCCCCCTCTGCTCGTTCTTTACTGGTACCCACCAGGCAAACGGCGGAAAGGGGTGTCTCGACGCAGGCAGGTGAGGGCGTACTTGGCAGAAAGCAGGCCTGAAGCTGAGAGGTGGTCAGCTGCTGTGCAATGTATACTCAGAGATGTGATCGTCACTGCTGACACAGGTGAGTGTGTGTTACAACAGCCTTTCTTTTTCTTCTTTTTCAGGTTTAATGATGGAAGAGAAACATTCTTAAATGTTGCTGAATCACAGTGGACAATAAAGTTAGGGTTGTGGTACGAGGTGTTTGCAAGTATGCAAGTCCATTAAATGATTAGATACCAGAACTGATGGGCTTGTAAAGTGATAAGGCTTAGTATCGTCTGACGAAAACAACAATTAAACATTGAAGGCAGAGATCACAGAGTTCATCAAAGTGTAACTGAACTCCATCAATCAGTGTTTTACCACCAACATTGGTGGCATGAATTACAAAATGTTTGGACTCTCGGAAAAATAAAAATTTAACGTGAGCACAATGAAGCAGGATTCCTTCACCCTTGATATGATGGATTTCATGTTATTTACATGCAGAGTTTAAGAGCTCTAGATTAGCATTACGGCAGGTTTATTACTGCTAAATATTTTATTTAACTTGAACATTGGATTCTCAAATAATACTTTAATTCCTCTTGTTTACTTCATTAAAAATACTGATTGGTACCTTATGCTGTCTTGATTTTAGCCTGCTTGGTAAATTCTTGCCAATGATAGCTCTATGTCACATTGACCATGGACCTTCCTGTTTAAATGATGACACATTTTATCCCTATCCAAATAATCAAAGTGAAAGTTGACACTGATACAGCCACAAAGGATAAAGCATTTATTTTACTGAGCTCCAATTTTAATTGATTTTATCGTGTTTATCGACTTAAATTGTCTAATACTTCCTTCTTGTTTTTGCCCTTATCTGTTCTGCACACATGGTCTGTATCATTCAATGTTAATGTAGAGACAGAAGGGGTGGGGCTGCTGCAGTTTACCGCCCCTTCCCATGCACCGTATCCCCCCAGTCTAAATAATCAAACAGATAGCAAGACCTTGCAGGTTGTTTACTTTCACTGTGTGCCCCAGCATCCTTTCCTGTCTCCTTCCTCCACTTCAGACTTAATCTTGAACCTTTCATTCATTTAATCTCTCTGTCACTGATTTATCTCAGTACATACCTATCACACCGCTGCCCTCTTCCCTAACAGTGATAAAGCTGTCATTCATTTTTAATTCCTACCACTCCTCTCTTTGTCTTTTGTCTGCACCTTCTTCATTCATACTCTGCTGCAGTATTTTCACTCCGTTTTTCCCTGCCTGATGCTTGACCCTTTGTTGCTGTTCCACTGCTCACTTAGCCTTGATTCTCTTACCCAGCCGCTCTGTTTGCGAATCACTGGCTTGTGTTGATTCGGTCAGTTTTTACGCCTGTGGACATAATAACCCTGGGTGCCAAGAAGTTATGTTGATTTGCTTTAGTGTAGTTAGTTGCATAACCCAAGAGTGCTTAAGAGTGCAGTCATTCCATTGCCTCTCTTGCGTCACTGGCAGCCATCTTTACCCTGCCAAAAGGTATTACATATTTTCAGAAGATCATTGATTATTTATACCTGATCAGATGGCAAAATAGAGAAGAGATGTCACTGTTTTTGTCGATAAAAGGATTTTCTCCTGTTTTTACAGCCGTGTTTAGTACAGTTCCACTCCTGAGAATGTTACTCATGTTTTTGAATACAACTGATGAAAAGTCACAGTCTGGAGTGGCAGCATTACACACTCTTAATTGAACTCTAAGAGGTGAAATAAAGAGGCTCAAAGGGTTGACTGCACTCAAAGTCAGTGGTTTGGTGACACTAAAATAACAGCTCCCAGTTAGCTAGAAAGTGCAGTGAACCTTAAGTTCCTGTGTTTGTTCAAGACAAAGAACTGAATCTCTTCTAATGTTCCAATCATCTTCTTTTATTTTGAAACAGAATTTTCAAGAAGTCTCCTACCTCGTCCCAGGCGACTACTGTTACTGGTCAATCCTTTTAGTGGAAGAGGCCAGGCAATGCAGTGGTGTCAGACCCACATTTTGCCAATGATCAGAGAGGCCAACATCAGCTATAACCTCATACAGACAGGTGACACATGACAGCATGAAAAGAGCACCAGATAATAAGCAGATTATACACATAAATGAGTGTCTGTGATGTTAACTTAAAAAAATCTGTTTCAGAACGTCAGAACCATGCCAGAGAGCTCATCAGAGAGATATCACTGCCAGAGTGGGATGGCATCATCATCATCTCTGGAGATGGCCTTCTGCATGAGGTATGAAATAGCTAAGCAGAGAAACAATATAATACATGTAAAAGGTATTTATCTTGTGTTTTTGTTCTGTATGTTCAACTCTTGACTTTTGGGATGTGTTCTTGCAGGTTATCAATGGGCTGATGGAGCGCCCAGACTGGGAACAAGCAATAAAAACACCTGTCGGCATTCTGCCCTGTGGTTCTGGGAATGCACTAGCAGGCTCCATCAACCATAATGCAGGGTGAGCATATATCCTGTTCATAGCCAGAACAATGTTTAATTTTTTTTTTCAGCTGAACCTTGAATATTCAGCCCAGAGGGCACAAAAAACTGAAGTTAAGTCTAATCCAAGATCAAAATCTCAGTGATATTAAATCTCACTCTGCATTTCTCCTTCTGTTTGCTAATAATCTGTGCTCTTATTGTACACCAGCTTAAAAGCATCTTATAAACTTTTCTGTGCTTCATGTTTCCAATGCCAAAAGCTGCTCAGATCAAATACAACGCTGGGACTTTGGGTTCTGACAGGTTTTCATGATACTGAGCCTTGAAGAACCTGCTGTAGTTATTGGATTGGGCTCCTGAAAAACAGCATATCAAGTCATTGTCATGGAATTAGGGTTAATGGATTATTATGCTATTACATGTTGTACCTTGGAAGAAGAGCTAAAAATGTGATTCGGCCCATAAAACTAAAAACTAGTCATACTAGGGGAAAAGAAAACAAAGTCACTGTGGTGCTGAAAGGCTCACATGACTATCTAAAGCTTTTTGAAGGGGTGTTTTCTCCCTGCATTAGTTGAGGTATGAATCATCTCAATCTCAACTCACACCATATGTTATCAGCTCACTTAGATGATATACCTCCTGTAGTGATAGGATCATCAGAGATTAAAAATGTTCATAAAATACAACCTGAGTGCAATTATTCCCACTTTAGGTGGAAAGTAAGAAAACGTGACTTTAACTGTGTTGATGCTTATAATTTTATTGAGGATTGGAAAAAATGTGCCTTTTTTAACCTCAATATGTAAACAATGAGTGAAATGTACTTTTCAGTGTCTGCCTAAATAATGTACCATCAGATGAGATTAGTGCTGTAATCATAAGCTGTAGTGTTATATCAAAACAAAGGAGCACAGTGTTTATTCTTTATCTGTACCTGCTTATCTGTAATGTGATATCTCTGAAAGCTGAAGGACTCTGGATTTGGCTTTTATCTTGTACAGTTCTCTTCTTATCTGTGCACAAAGAACTTGTGGCCCTTTTTTAAAAAAGAAAAAAATGTCCCTCAGGTATGATATGTGCCTTCGAGAGCCGCTCCTTTTGAACTGCTGCTTCTTGCTTTGCCGTGGTGGTGTCCAGCCTATGGACCTGGTCTCTGTGACAACAAGCCCTGCTCCCTCCAATAACAGTCGTACCGCAGCACCCAGGAGACTGTTTTCTTTCCTTTCTGTTGCCTGGGGCTTTGTGTCTGATGTGGACATAGAGAGTGAGAGGTGGGTGTTTCCTTGCTTAGACTCTAGGAGCATACACAGCAAAACTTCACTTGTTGTGCAATAACACCTGTTGAAAACGAAAAGGTAGTTTTACACCTAAATCCATTATTTTTTGGTTCAGGTATCGTGGCCTGGGCTCAGCTCGCTTCACCCTTGGCACCTTGGTGCGCATTGCTTCCCTCCGATCCTACAAGGGTCGTCTGTCTTATCTGCCTCCCTCCATTTGCACCACGTCACCAGATGCCACACCCCCTCCGCCAAGGAGACCCCTCTCCCGCAGTATCACCGAAGGCCTGGAGGGGTTCTGCAGAACTCCCATTCATCGCACCTGCTCTGACATGGGCATCAGTGAACAAAGAAGTCTGCGTAAGGGTGAGGGAGAGAGGGAAAAAGAGGAGAGGCAAAGGGAAAGGGAGAGGAGAAGGGAGAGGGCCAGGGGAGGAGGAACAGGAGTGGTGAGGGCAAGCAGTCTGGCAGAAGACAGAGAGAGGGAGCGAGAGGGAGAGGTGGAGATGGAAGCAGAAGAGGAGAGGTCAGGGACATGTTCAGAGAGGTCGGGGACGAGTTCAGAATCAAATGAAAGGGATGACTGTAATATAAGAAAGGAAAGGCTGGAGGAGATCAAGGATGAAAGGGAAGACGAAGGAGGAGTTGAGCAAGACTCCAGTGAGATGGAGGAAGAGGAGAAGGAGAAAGATGGGCAAGGGAGTGGGGGCTCTTTAGAGGAGAGGAGAGAAGGCCGTGGGGTGGACATGGGGCGAGATACAAACGAAGAACCAGAGGGTTGTTTCTCTTACCAAGATAACCTTCAGGAAGCAAGACAGACCCTCAGAAAGAATTCTGCCCCTTCCAGCCAGATAGCCGACACTCTTTTCGGTCAGACTCTCAGTCAGGAGGCTGATGCAAACTCTAGCACCTCATATGAAGTAGAGGACGTGGATCTGAATGGAACCTACTACCAGAAAGAGCCCTACCCACTGGACGTGGCCCGAGAACGGTCACTCACCATTTCCTCTCCCTTCCGTCACTCTCCTTTCTCTTACAAACCCAAGACTCTGGACCAAAACCAAAACGCTTCCCGGCCAAGGCCCCTCTCCCTCCTCCAACACTCCCACTCAAACTCTCTGCCCCCAAAACTCCCCTCCCTCTCACTTTCGCTTTCTCCTACACCTCCGTCATCACCCTCATGTGCCTCCCCACACTCCTCATCCTACCTCGTCCCACGTCCCAACACCCCAAACTCCACCTCCCCCTCACCCTCTCTACGCACACCGTCGTCTTCTTTTAACTTTGACATTGCCGAGCCAGCTGGACCCCAAAAGAACCGTCCCTTTGTCTCACTGCCTTTAAATCTCCCGAGGGATGACTTGTTACCTCCCCTAGACCAACCCCTTCCCACCAGAGACTGGGTCACCGTTGAAGGGGACTTTGTCTTGGTCCTAGCCCTTTACCAGACCCACCTTGGGGCAGACCTTTATGCTGCACCCCAGGCTAGGTTTGACGATGGGCTGATCCACCTGTGCTTTGTGCGAGCGGGGATCTCCAGAGCTACTCTGCTGAGACTGTTCTTTGCCATGGAAAGAGGAACCCACCACTCCGTCAGCTCGCCATATGTGAGCCATGTGTCCTGCAGAGCCTTCAGACTGCAGCCTCTGTCCTCGCGGGGGACACTCACAGTGGATGGAGAGCTGGTGCCCTATGGGCCTCTTCAAGCACAGGTCAGAAAGGGGATGGGGGGGTAATTTTTCTCGCTGTAGTGAATGCATGCATGCCTTGAAGCGCTATAATGTGAGTGTGGGAGACGTAGATAATTGGATTTGACAACATCTAAATCTGCAAACACATAATGCTCATGTAGCTGTAATGTGCTCTGCCAGATTGTGCCGTTGTAATTCCATTATAGCCAATCAGAATGAAGCAAAAACATAAATACAATACTTTACCATCGTGCTCATTTGTACACTACAATAATGTTATTGTTGCTACCAAATATAGATATTTTGGTCTGAAAAATGATATGATCCTAACAGATCTCTTAATTTCTCTTACAACATCTCTTCTTTATGAGTCCTCCTGGCATTAGCGCAAGCAAAGATTTGCTTCCTTGTGATACCAAAACATTATAGGCAATGTTTTAGTGAATGTATTATAAAGATACATGTTCTATCGTATTCCATAATGTCAAACCGTGACGTATCGGAAGTAACCCTGTAATTCACACCTCTAGGGTCCCATCCTAATTTCCATTCTTTATAAAAGGGAGTTTTCACCTCAGAAATGTGTTTTTATCTGCTGCAGTGGCTATAAACAGGCAGAAAAAGAGGTGGTTTGAGCTTAGACTTAGACTTAGTACTGCTGTGGTGTTAAGAAATTACTGTAGGCACAGTATTAACTTTATTTTTTGTCCTGTCAAAATTTCACAGGTTCATCCCTCCTTGGCTCGTCTCATCGTTGGTAACTGTGGAATACAGATCACCAGATTCTAATCAGAGGGTGTTTGTGCTGACCGACATATACAACACTTTACTGAATTATGTAATCTGTGCTGCCATCTTTTCTCTGAAGGGGGGGGGGTGTCTGAGAGACTTAAAATAGCCTGGATTGCAGGAACTGCTTTTCTGGGTTTTAATGAAAGGGATAACCCACCGAGCCACGCATCATTGGAGCATGACTGCAGGGATTAATAGCGAATTTTAAAATGGATAAAAAATGCGCCTCATTGCACAGCTGTTGGATTACATTCAACTTACCCTGAGAAGCATGAAAACTGCACAGCCCGGGATAATAAGAGGGAAGAACAATCGAATGTTAATGGAGTTTTTTGTGCAGATAGTGCATGTATTGGATGTATACATATTAGTATGCATGCAGATAAGCACTACCTGATTGTTGCCTTTCAGTGAGATAGAAAGAGATCAGATTAAATTTAGAGACAGTTGTTCTTAAACTTGGAAAGTTATAAAAAAAAAAAATCAATTTAAATTCAATGGGGCCAGCTTTCTAACAAAACCGGCTCCAACCCTTAATCTTCTGCCTGCTCCAATGTACAACTGTTAGATTATAAGAACCTCCGTCCCTGATAGCATTGCCTTATCTGACACTGGACAGTACAGCCGTACCTTTGCTCTTACATACTTATGTAAGGCAGAAAGTTTTTCTTAGTCTCTGTTCACTTTCTTAGAATTTCCGTCCACTACATGAAACAAAGCTGTACTTCTATATTTGCAGTAGACATGTTTGTAGGCCCATCTACTTACTGTTATCGTTGTGCAGCTCATCACCATTGGTGAGGATCAGTGGAGAAAAAATGTGGAGAAATTTACTGTTCAGTGACTTCAGTCCATGCAAGACTCAACACCGAGCAGCTAGATGGAGCTTTTCAGCATCATATCATTTGTGGGAGCAATGGAACCGTTGAACGGTGACCATTCCTGACGTTTTTACATAATCTGCCAGTTTTTCTTAGCCAGTGGGTGCATGAACATGAGCATATTGAGCATAAAAAATTTGTGAACAAAGCAAGCTTCTTTGTCAGTTGTTTAAGACTGTTAATTTCAAGAATTGTACCAGAATGACACAGAGTTGCCCTTAGCACTGCTTTATATCACTATCTTTGAGTAATCATCTTTGGAAGCCTAGAGGACATATCAAGCCTCTGTTAAATAACAAGTAGTGCATTTGTTTTGCACAATAACTGGAGCACAGAAAATCACAAAAACTAGATTGCATAGTAATCTTTAGACACGTCTAACACATAATCAGATGTTCTAGAAAAGGATGCACTAGTATTAATAGTCTATTTCAGATTCTATAACAAATAGATAAAATGACATTCCTATACTGAAATGAATTGAATGGCTCTGTTTAAACACTCATAGCTTTGGAAAGGTATGACCAACTGATTATATAATCACTTAGATACTTTCTGCTGCAGAGAGAAACAAGGGCACCAGCAGCTCCGTGTTGCCATGTCAGATTTATTAATCTTGATACGAATCAGATGAAGGGAAATCTGTGTTCGGCGTTGGAAATGATCCAGCAGCATAGCCATCCGAGTAATTTATAGGTTTGGTCTTATATGTACAATATCTAGAGAGTATCACAACTTCCACGTGATGACTTGCTCCTCTGTGAAATGAAACAGCATACCTTAGAGCCCTACTATGAACTGTTGTGTTTTATAAATAATATTTGAAATGTTGTAATAGAAACCTGCTGATATATTTGGTCTGGACAAAGGATGAATCATTAGCATGTGCAGTGTATCAATCACTAAGATCATGTGCCAACTGCCTGGGTCATCAACATACTGTATATGTCTGGGCTCATGCCTGGACAAATGAATGCCTTTGTATAATTAGCCTGTAAATTCTGGCTGTTGATCATGAACTGTTTAAACCTGACTGCAGAAAATGGAGTAAAAGTCTTTGCTCACCAGAATGTTCTTGTTCCTCCTTTGCTTTATGCATTTTGCAACTAGATTACTACAGCGACACAGTGTTTGAACAGCTCTTGTATGTTTGTTGAACATTTTGAGTCAAGGCTTTCATCTGTACCCAATAGAAGAACCAAAAAGAAAGGATATTTTTTTCTTTCACCAAAATGTTGACTGTCGACCAGTTTAGAGCATTTTTGACAATTTTAAGATTTAAACCCTCAGATGATAATGCCATTTAGATATATGTAGTGAAATTACAATTAGCCAAAATGCTATATAAAATATAATGACATATATAAGTGAGTGTGTGTTTATGTTTAAGGCAAATCTGCTGCGCTATTGTAACATTGATGCATCTCATTTATCAAACTCACAGGGGCATCACCATGAATCCAGGGCCTGTAGGAGATATCACACTGGGCCCCACCACCACAAAGAAAAAACACAGATACGAGTGTGGGTCAATCAAAAGTAATCGAAGTGACATTCTTTTTAAAGTTTGAGGAAAGATTTGAAAAAGCTGCTTTCTCTAAATTAGTCATGTCTTTTGCTGAATACAGTTGTGCCAAAAAGAATTTTCAAATAAGGCAACAACAAAGCCATTTGTCATGTTTGTTGTCTGTACATGATTTATTATCGCTGGCAAGCGGCAATGTTTTAAGATTTACCAAGGAAACATAGTCCGTAAATGCATCATATGAGGGCAAAAACAACATAGAAGTCTATGTATGCTAAACCATTTATAATATTAGATTTTTCTTTTAAATGTCCAGGGCCAGGTAACTTTGTTAAATTTTCAAAATGCATGTTGTGACAAATTTGGAGCACAGGCAAATATAAATAATGTAATCCTTCTCAGCATTCTCAAGAAAAAGTACCTTATGTTGCTGTTTGTATATAAGGGATGTAAATTAATTTCTAAAAAGTATCATTTAAAGTTTATCAATTGATTAATGTCCCATTGATGCTCTCTCGAAGAAGTGTGCTGACAGTTGTACTTCTAAATCTTGATACAGAATGAAGTGTTACGTATTTTCAGAAAAACAAACAACTAACACCAGGCACAGCAAAAAGTGTTTGTTAACAGCTTAAAGTCTTGTAATATATTATTTTGGATCACTACATCAAGGCGATCATAGTTTTGTTTCTAACTAGTGTATCTGCATATATTTCAAGATGTTGTGCATCCCTGCAAACAAACGCAATGAGTGTAAACATAACTGTCTTCATAATATAGGACGCCAAAAAAAGTGGTCTCCTATGGTCAACTTACCCCGTGTATACGCAGTATCACTACCACCCCCCATAAAACATTTTTTTTTTGTTTTTTTTTGTCATGTTTTTTTTTTTGGTTTTCAAGGGTGAAAAAAGTTTTTTATGGAAATAAATGTCTAACCCCTTCACCAATTTGCCTCTAACCGTCATCATTTCTTTTACTTTTACCAGTTCCAAGCAACAGGAGGTGGCTTAACTTACCCCACTCTCCCCTATAGTAAAACGTCAATTTCCAACGTTTGGATCAATGTGCTTGTATTTTGAAAATCGACTGACCGGAAGTAATCAACTCGACAGTCTGACATCGCTTCCGGTGTCGCCACCTTCTTTGTCTCCGGCCCAACATTTCGACACCAGGGGTTGTCTTTTTTTCTTCTTTAGTTTTAAGGATATATTTACACATATATCCCAATTTTTCTGACATTGAATGACAGTCAACTCTGAAATATTTATGCCTAAAAGTAAAGCGCCAAAAATGGATGACCTGGACTACAGTAAGTGATGTTTGATCAGCTTTGTGCTCAGACTCCCGTCAGCTAACTGCAGCTCAGCCAGATTTCATAGCAGCCTCATACACAGAGAAGTCCGATTAAAATGATCTGATTTGGACTCTATGGAAAACATTTTACCTGCTTATCTGAGTACGTGTCGCGTTTTAGTCCAGCACATGTTAATAAAGTGAAACCCCACAGCCGCAGTAGCTTAGCCTTACGGCAGCTACATATTGATTATTTCACCGGAGCTAACCCCTCAGCCAGCTCCGATTGGCCACCGGGCTTTCTCGGTTTCTTTTTTGGTGATTAGGGTTAGATAAAACTCTACCAGCTATCACTTCATGCAGTACCCAGCTGTAGTGTGAATCAAAGTGTACAGTTAATCCAGACTGTGGGCGTGGTTGGTCTGTTTCACAGCAGCTGTTTGTTTTTCTGAATAAACGCTCCGAGTCTCGTGAGGGTTTGATCACAAGCTGCTACTCTGAGCTCTAAATCTGTATGTTTTTGGCCAAATAAATCATCACGGGGTGCAAAAATATGGAAATGTGACTGTTATTATTGCACTTTCATACATAGTATGAAGTTGTCAGAGTATTATGTATACCAGAGGAAAGATAGTTGAGTGTGAGACCCCCCAACTATGTTTGAGTGTTTTGAAAGTTTGCGCAATAATGATGATTTGTTGATGGTTAAAATCTCTAGAGAAATCCTCACAGTGATTTGGTGAAAGATGGATCTTAAAGCCTTTCATTGTAATGCATTAAAAATATCTTCAGTAGGGGAGAGTAGGGTAAGATGAGCCATTTTTTCATATTTCAGATCACTACATCAAGTCAATCATAGTTTTGTCTCTAACTAGTGTATCTGCATATATTTCAAGATGTTGTGCATCCGTGCAAACCAACAGAATGAGTGTAAACATAACTGTCTTGATAATATAGCATGCAAAACAAGTGGTCTCCTATGGTCAACCTACTCCGTGTATGGGGTAAGTTGACCATAGGAGCGGGGTAAGTTGAGCCGTATCCCTACTACCCCCCCACTCTCCACCCCGGCCCTCCCTCACCTTCTCTCTCCCTAAATAACAGTCACTTCTTCACATTCATGTGTATTTTTATCTATTGTACACTATTCAACAGACCAATCATTCTTTTTATTATTATTGCATATAACTGCTAAAAAGCTGTTTTGTAAAAAGCCATTTTAACATGAGAATGTCTTTAAGTGATTCAAAACATTCACAGCTGTATTTTTAAAAATAAAAAGTAAAACATTTCAACAATCTGAACTGAAACTCTGATCCTCTCATCAGACTTATTTACTTTCTCAGTTGAGTCACTGGATCAACTTACCCCAGAACTACTATGATGGCTTTATTAGTCCTCTAAGCTAAAATGGTGGACTTTTATTCTAGGTTTTTGACCTCATGTCTAAAACAAATTTAAAATAAAAACATTTTTTGGTCTGAACACAATTCTAATAAAACTTATGACAGACTAAATTCACTTTCAAGAGTGAAAAACCTTTTTTAAGGAAATAAATGTCTAACCCCTTCACCCATGAGCTTCTAACCTTCACAGACTCCATGAATTGATGCCCATCTCCTAAATATTTGGTCACATGATCAATTTCTTTTACCATTTCCAAGCAACAGGGGGTGGCTCAACTTACCCCACTCTCCCCTATGCCATGCCTTGGACATGGAAATCATCTCACTCAGTTCTTTTGCCAACAGCAGCTACACACATCTGTTGCTATTTTACCTGTTGATGTCTTCATGTATTTCTGAGTGGTGAAGCATTGATATTCAGTCTGATGACAAGTGCAGTTTTTTTTCTCTCGAAGCTGAGTTTTTGGTCAATTTCTCAATCATAGATGTGTATTTGTGGGTCGATTATCCTTCATGTGTGACTCCAAGATGTACTTCTGTCTGTGTTGGAGTCTGCTGACTTTGTTCAGTATTTCCTGCCAAAGTGGGCAACAATATTAATACTTTTAAAGGTTACATTGCAGTGAAGGAGCATGAGTAAGCTTATCTGCAGTATTTTTTTCACAGGTATTACTCACTGATTCCAGCAAGGAGAGAAAAGTGAAGGAGGAAGGACAAAGGGCTCTATTTAAACTCAACAATTGGGCAATTACGGTGCTTTTATTTAGAATTTGGGCTTCGCATCCAAACAATAGAAACCAAAACACTCAAGCAACCTCACCCTTTGCTTTTCTTAGCAAATATCAACTTCCCTCTCTCCTACATCATCCCTAATTTCAGCAACAATGTGTTGTTAAAAATAGTTTGGATTTTTGATGTGACCAACAAGCCTTTGTTGAGATATATGGGTACACTGTGACTTTTGGTAATATTAGCAGCGGCAGCAGAAACTGACTCATTCTTCTCTTCTTTCCTTACAGTCCCAGTAGACCTGAGCCCAGAGGAGCGCTCTGAGCTGGAGGACATCCGTAGGAGGAAGGGTGTCCTCCTGCAGGAGATCCAGAGGCTCAGGGAGGAATTGAGAGAGGCAATTCTGGAGGTGGAAGGGCTTGAGACCAGCACAGAGGGCAGGTAAGGCAAAGATAAACAATGACATTGCATCCCAGCTCTAGACAACATCAGCTTTTATGTTTATTTTCTACCCAGGTGAAATGACAGGAGTAGACATCAATCACTGCAGTTTGCAATGAGTCATTCACTATTTCCAAGTGCATAGCGTCTGTTTTTAGTCTGTTTCGACCTGTTTATGGTTTAGATCTTGTCGTCCTCCTTCTCTCCTTTTGAATGTCTTGTTTGTAACATTTAAACCAACAATCACTCTGACTGCATTTGCTCAAATTACCACACTCACTCGCGGTCAAACAACATTTACAAACACATCAGATTTTATTTTAACTTCAGTTTGCTGCTGTTGTTGCACACATGCACAAGTGAGGTTGTGATTGGCCTATTTGAAGCTGCTAGTGGTGGTTATTATTATTTTACAAATAAGGATATTAATTATTGCTATATAAGAGTAATTTATCTTTTCATGACATATAAACAGTAACTTTTAATCTGTGATCTTCAGTGATATAATGTCAGCAAGTCTAATGTAAAGGGGCTGTAACCTGACTGCTGTGTGGCTCATTCTTTTACATTCTCCATGTTTTCTTCTCACAGTAAAACCCTACAGAAAAGCAGGCATGTGGCGATGGGAAGGAAGAAATTCAACATGGACCCCAAAAAGGTAAAAAGTTTCGCTGTTACACATTTCTACTCAGCTGTCATATCACTCTTCTATGGCGCTGGGCTGACACGCTCTTCTACCCGTTCAGGGCATCGTGTTTCTGGTGGAGAACGAGCTGCTCAGACACACTCCAGAGGACATCGCTCAGTTCCTCTACAAAGGAGAGGGCCTCAACAAGACCGCCATTGGAGATTACCTCGGAGAAAGGTGAGTTAGATGGAAAAATATACCCACCCTCGATCTCTTTCTTATCTCGGCTGTTTGTAGCTAAGATCTCTTTGTCGTTCTACAGGGATGACTTCAACATCAAAGTGCTTCAGGCTTTTGTTGACCTTCATGAGTTCACAGATCTCAACCTCGTCCAGGCCCTCAGGTAAATGCTCTCTTTGTTGTGTTCTTGGTTTTGTACAAAGGAAATACTCAAGTCTTTTCATTACATGTCTTGGCGTAAACAAATCATCCCCCGAGTGGAAAGTTCTGCTCTCATTGCCACATTGTCTGAAGATGCGGGAATGACTCTGTAGCTCTACCTTGGTTGAAGAATTGGTTCTTGTTCTTCTTTCTTTCTTGCCCTTCACTTCAACCCGTGTCATGCAGGCAGTTCCTGTGGAGTTTCCGTTTGCCCGGTGAAGCTCAGAAGATCGACAGAATGATGGAGGCTTTCGCACAGAGATACTGTCACTGTAACCCCGGCGTCTTCCAGAGCACCGGTAAACATGTTTATGGTTACAGTTTAAATATGTGTCATCTAGGGGGTATACTTATGGTGCCTGATGGAGGATGTTTTGTCTTCTGTATGAGTTTAAGAGCTGTTCTTTTAAAACAATCTTTATTTTCCTGGATCACAGGAAATGGGATTTTTCAGAAAGTGTGCAGTTACACATACAGTGAGCTTCGTACCAGAAATGACCTGATACGTGAGCCAACAGAGTCTGCCAATTTGTAAACACAGTCCATTTGGATTTTTTGGTAGTCATTTCCTTTAATTGTTCGGGATAGAGTAAAGTACCTTGACACACTTCTGTTTAAAGAAAGTGAAAGTTCTGAAATTTCCCAAAGGATCAATTAAGTATCTGTCTGTCTGTTCGTAGTAAGGGATATCTTTTAAATTCTTGATTTAATTCTTTGTGAGGACTCAAACCCAGCATCACTGACCCCTCTGCTTGTCTTTTTTCTTCACAGATACATGTTACGTGCTGTCATTTGCCATCATTATGTTAAATACAAGTCTCCATAATCCGAATGTGAGGGACAAACCTGGAGTGGACCGTTTTATCTCCATGAACCGAGGCATCAATGAGGGAGGGGACCTGCCTGAGGACCTTCTGCGAGTATGATGTCCTCGTTTTCATCAGACAAGTAAAATGACCTCATTAAGAGTTTCTCTTTGAGTTAATTTTACCCAACTGTCTGTTATTACAGAATCTCTATGAAAGCATTAAGAATGAACCCTTTAAGATTCCCGAGGATGACGGCAATGACCTGACACACACCTTCTTCAACCCGGACAGAGAGGGCTGGCTTCTTAAACTTGGTGAGATGACGCTAGTGCAGCTTTTCTGTGGAGTGTTTTTACCACACATATTGGCTTCAACACAGATCTCACATGGTTAACCAAATCCAGCATATCCTAATGAAGTCAGATTACAGGAGTGAACATGTCTTACATGAGAAAGTGAAATGTTTTTGAAGCTGTTGTTCTTTTTTAAATCTTCTCTGATGAACCTGAACCCTCTTGTCTGTGGCGTTTGCTGGCTCTTCGCCTTCATTTAGATCGTCTGTGTTGTGGCATTAGAGTACTGCCACAGCATGACGGTGACCAACACTTACTCTCTTGTGCCACGGCAGTCTAAAAATCTGATTGTTTTCTTTTGCATGGCGGGGCCTGTGATCTCTGTGTCACTAATATAATCTCCCTTTTTTCCTCGTTCTCCTCCCCCGTCTGTCTCTCACTCTCTTTCTCCGTTTGACCTCTAAATCCTCTTGTCTCTTTTTCTCTCTGCTTCATCCCTGCGATTTCCACCCTCTACTGCTGCTGCTTGTTTTCTCAGGAGGTATGTACTTACACCGTTGACTTAGTTTGACGTTTTGGAAGAATTAGACATGTAGTTAGTTGAAAGCATGTAGAGGTTGTAGTATTTCATCGTTGATATTCATAGGACGGTCTTTTTCCTTGTCTTTGACTCACAGTTCTGTTTATTTGTGTTTCAGGGGGAAGGGTGAAAACCTGGAAGAGGCGATGGTTCATTCTCACAGACAACTGCCTTTATTACTTTGAATACACCACCGTAAGTTCATGTATCTATCATTCTCAGGAGTTTACATTCCTTGTGGATTCATTTGTAATGTCTGAATTTGCATTAATCTCTTAGAGAAACATTATTGTACTGGGGATTTGGATCCATGTGTTATTTTGTAATAGGATGTAGCATTGTGTAGGCTTTGCAAAGCCTCTCAAAAACAATGAGCAGTTCTTTATTGTGTCTACAATTCAGTCTGGTGACTTAATTTGAGGATTAGATACATAACTGTATTAATCCCCAGACAACAAAAGCGGGTTTAGTCGCCCATGCAGATATACACAAAGGTGACAGATCAGAAGAGATTATAAAGCAAAGACGTACTATCACCATAGTAACACAAATATACAAAACTAACACATGTTCTCAGCTGTAACTCTTCCTGCACTGAGATTATTATTAACCTTTATTTAAGCCTCGAAAATCATTGAGGTTTCCCTCAATTACAATGATGTCGAGATACATGATTTACATTAAACAGAAAAAAACAACAACAAAAATGACAGTAATCATTTAAAACAGTTAAACATGACAGGAAAATGGTTTGTTAACAACATCTTGAATTGTTCAAGAGAAACAGAAGAGTCAATTTTGAGACTTTGTTGCAAATAATTCCACATTTTAGGAGCATCAAAGCTAAAAGCAAATTTTCCAAATTTAGGAAAAAAACTGAAATAAAAATATGCTATGCTAAAATATGTTGTTTTGTTTGTCTCTGTCCAACAGGATAAGGAGCCACGAGGCATCATTCCTTTGGAAAACCTCAGTATCAGAGAGGTGGAAGACCCCAGAAAACCTGTAAGTTTACACTTTACAATTAGACATGTAATACAGCAACACTACAGTTCAAGTTTAGTTGTACAGCTGATCAGAATCAGAATGCCTCATTTATTCTGGGGGGAATTCATTAACTAATTCGTTAAATAATTTGTGAAATAATGATGATGGTGAGTGATGTTCTTCACTCCTCCACTAACAGAACTGTTTTGAGCTTTACATCCCCAACAACCGGGGTCAGCTGATTAAAGCCTGCAAGACAGAGGCCGACGGCAGAGTGGTGGAGGGAAACCACATGGTGTATCGTATCTCAGCCCCCACACCTGAGGAGAAGGACGAGTGGATCCACAGCATCAAGTATGTAAATAACAAATGAGGTCAAAGGGGACACTGGGGGACGGGGAGACCTCTAAGAAACTTGGTCTGAACCCTTGACAGCTTCTGGTCTTACAGCCTGATACAAACTCCTTCATTCTGCCACACTCAACGCTGTTTCTCTTGTCACCCATACAGATCTGCTGTCAGTGTTGACCCCTTCTATGAAATGCTCGCTGCCAGGAAGAAACGTATATCGCTGAAGAAGAAGGAGGAACAACCGTAGATTGTTCTTGTCGTTCTCCTGTCTTCCCTCTTTCTCCTCATCTCTCCCTCTTCTATGGACACATTTGCTTCTCTGTCCCCTGCTCCGTCTTCATGAATTTTACCTCTTTCTTCTTCCCTCTCTCCAACATGGGGACTTGCTATCATGTCTACCAGACTCTTGAAAGCCTCTGTCAGAGGAAGAGCTCGTCTGCAGCTGCCCTGTCTTCTGATCTCTTTTCTCAAACTTATGCTGTTATACACAAACCACTACACTGTCGATCATCTCTTAAGCCACATTCCTCTGAAGCTCAACTCAAGTGAACTGTGAAACGTGTCTGAGACTGTTATCACACTGATGTTTCTCATTGGCCTTCCATCCACACTTTGCCATGCTCACAAATTGATAACGAATTTGCAAACAAAGAAAAAAGAGAAGTTAAAGAAAGCTGTGATTGTCATAATCTCGGACTCTTGCAGAGTTGCTCCGTAAACCGAGAACAATATTTGAAAAAGAAACAGAAATAAGTAAGTGTTTGGCCATTGAGGCTTTTGCATACTTTCTACATTTTGCTTTGGTGTTTCAAGGCATGGTGAGCAGACTGACTTAGCTCGTGTGGATTGCCATCTTCCAAATAGGTACCTTTGGTGTGAATACGGTCTTATCCAGGGTAGCAAGCAACATCAGTTATTGTGATTTTTTTTTTTCTTCACATTTCTAAAAGTATGAAATTGCCTTTCTTGATTTTTCATGCCCAGAAAATATGTGAATTCACTATTCAGACACTAATAATGGTTGAACCATCTGAAGTCAAAGATTACTGAGAGGTGCATGTTGCTTCCTGTAGTATTCGTTATGGCTTTAATATACACTACAACACGTTGATACTGTAAATATTTCATGAGCACAACGCTCAAGTTAATGTAAATCTTCGAGTATGATTTGGTCTTGAGTAGGACTGGGCGATTTGGCCAAAAAGATGATCACGATATACTTTGTCATATCGTCCGATCTCAATTATTATCACGATTTTTTTTTTAACCACCAGTTTTAAAGCATCTGTACTTAAAACTAAAAAATGAATAGATAAATACTAAAAAAGACGTTAAATAACTTTTCTTCTCAACAATAACATCTTTGGAGGATCATGGCTGACATCTATTTTACTGCCCTCAGCTCCACGTTCGGTTACTCTGTTTACTTGTCCAGCAACTTACAGAAGTGAGCAGGAAAAGCTCAACTCTGATTGGCTGTTGTGATGCACATTTTTGCCAAGTTTGATCGAGTAAATAAGCTCACATCTGATCACCGTGATCGGACTGAAATTTATCACGATAGTTAATCCCGATCATATAATCGCCCAGTCCTAGTCTTGAGGCACCAAAGTTGATAATTTTGCTGAATTAACCGAGACAAAGACATGAAGCTTGTCTCTGAGCAGACGGATGCTTGTTTTAGCTCACAGAGACATTATATACTGTATGTCCTTATGCCTGTTTCTTATCATGTCTGAGCGATAGCAGAGAAAAATGTAGTTTATGTCTGAAGGCCTGTTAACAAATCCTGTCTATGACACTAAACTGAGCAACATGTCCTCTCAGATGTAATACTCCAGCATGCCTCGAACCTCCTCTGCCCCTGAAACACAACGAAATCTTCTCTCAGACGTTGTTCCTCTGTGAGACATTAACTGTTAGAGCCTGAACTGTCCACTATGGTTACCTTCACAAAAACCGCAAAGGCAGCTCATTACAATGTATACTTCTTTGTAAATAGATGTTAGCATATTTGTTTACGATACACATAGAAATGATTTAATTTATTCTTTATCTTTTGTTAAAACCTGATTTTTGTACGAGCTACTGTAGGACCGCATGTTGTCAAACTGAGGCATCAGTCTAGGTGCTGATGCGTTGCTGATCATACTAGTGCACTGATTGAAAAAGTGTTAGTGTTCCCTGTTGACTTAGAAAAATAGCATTTAATATGGAGAATTATTTGTGATTAAAGTAAGTCAGTCTTAATTTTTGTTTTTTGATTATAAGAAGATGGATATAAAGACATTTAGGCGATGTTTAGTAGTCGGGTTTAACTCTTGACCACTCGCTGGTTCTGAGAGTAAATCAGACTCTGTTAAAGCACAAGCCAGTCTCACGTTTTATAAAACTAACATCCACTCTTAAGTTTCAGTGGCTGCTCAGTCCGCTTCAAGTGTTATAAATATATTCAAATGCAGAAATTGGGATTTTGCATCATACCACAGTGTTAAAAATGAAGAGACAGCAAAACAAGGAACACTAACAAAGTTTTGATTCATTATATTATGGGAAAATTATTCAGACATAATGAATCAGTAACAAGTTATAGATTTGTGTACAGTGATAGAATTGCTTGACATCCAGTTCATAAACTTATTTCTGGTAGTTTATTGGATTGGCATTTTTAGATGGTAGTGAATATAACTGTATACTGCACTTTATCAATTGTTAGCATTTTGGAGAAAATGCTGTTACTTTGACTGACATCACTTCATTACTCTGTAGCACCCTCTGCTGGTGATCACACATACTGCAATATGCTGAAGGATGAACCATGAACTGTGTAGGGACACTGTACAATGCCACTGCCTGGTTAGTACCAGCTACAGCAACAACAGTTTCAGACCAACCTGTGATGTATTTTATGTTCATAATTCTTCCGCCTGATAAAAAAAAAAAAAAATCCCGTTGTTTATTTTTTTTCTCTTTGATTTGAACATTTGGACTTCCTGCTGAAGACACGGCAGGTGAAAAAATCAGATCTTGGATTGCCTTCAACTCACTTTCATCAAACTGACCAAAGCCTAACTAGACTTCTCCATGTACGTGCTTCTACACATTACATGGACTGTCTGCAGGCCTCACCTTCTGGGTATTCTTGATGTGCAAAGTTGCCAAAAAAAGTCATGTTGGAAGAGCAGATGTTTTGATTGGAACAAATGAATGAACAAAGAATTGATCAGATTGAAACTGGGCCTCCGGTCCTGACTCCTGTGACCCCAGAACCACCTCTTTCATAAAAATGTGTTAATTTTGTATTTATTTATTTTTATTGACTGTGAGGTGAAGATGAATAGATCATCTGTAAATGTAGCAAATGGAAAACCACAATACACTGGTGCCAGTAAACTACTGTGTAACAATAAAAAGTAAACAGAGACAGTGGATTGATTTGTGTTTTTATTTCTTACAGAGTTTTTTCTCAGAATCTTCTGCAGACGGTAACTAAATTTAGTTTTAACATTCTTTCATGTTTATTATATCATTGGTAACACTTCACAATAACCATAACTTTTAAATGGTAAACAGATAGTTTATTCATGTTTAATCATTTATAAATCTATAGACCATTAATAAATTGTAAATCTTACAATCTAAGTAATGTTTACAGGTGGTTTCAACTGACACATTTAAATCTAGATGTTTTACATCCAATATTTAAACCCTATATAAACCTTTAATAAATTGTCCATTTATAATCAATGAAAACTATTTATCATAATTTAATTTCTTGTTTATGTTAAAGTAACATTAATAAACTATTTGCCATTCATAATTGGTCTATATTCTGTTTTTAAAAGATGATTAAACATTAATAAACTATGTAATTGCCATTTATAAATTATTGTTATTGTAAAGTGTTACCATATCATTAATTATAACATAAATCAAGCTTAATTTGAGACCAATGAGGAAGTCAAGCCAACCTCTCCATGTGTTCAGAGTTGGTTCTCCTCTGTCATGGATGATTCTGTAGCAGAGGCATGTTTAGAGGGTCAGTTTTAGGGTGGCGCAGGGCCCTGTTGAAATCTGAATGACAACCCCATGTGTGACCCAACATCCTACACTATGATTCGCTGTGAATGAAAACCTACTATTTGGGCTTGTTGCTTTCTTCAACATTTTCTTATGTGGGTACTTTAAAAACAAAGTACCTTACACATATTTCTGTTTGGAAAGGTTTGTCTGAGAGGAGTCCTGCTTTAAAAAAAAATCAAGCAATCCTTTCCGTATTGTATTACTGTCAAAATTATCTTTGATCTATCAGAAACATTTTGGTGCCGTAATTTAGATGTTGTCAATAAACAGCTCTGAGATTACAGAAAATTTGCCATCACTGTGAAATACCACCGTCTGAGGAGCACATCAATCGCTGTGTTAATTTGCCAGATGATGGTCAGAACTGTCAGGATTACAGATTAGCTGTTAACTCGCTGCCAGAGGACAGGTAATGCGCGGATTTGGCAGGGTTCCACTTTGTTTTTGTGCTCCTGAATCACAGATAAACCTCACCACTGTATAGTCCACACTGCATTACTTTTGTACTTATGTGTGTCACTGAATTGAATCTGTTAATGCAAATTTATAGATCACTTCTGAAAACCTATGGCTGGTAAATGCAGCATTAATGTTTTTTCACAGTCTGAACACTTTTGTTTGTAATGCAAACAATGAAATCACGGACAGGGAACTTTTTTTTTCTTTTTTTCTTTTTTACTCTTTTACTCGCACTGTTAGAACATAAAAAAAACAAACAAAATTCATACATAACATGAAAGAAAAATCAAATATATGACCTGGCCTGAATTCCTTGAACTATTTGCAAAATCATAACAAGTATATGGGCAGGGCCAGGTCGTTCAAAAAAAAATTTAGTGCAACAGTTTGATGACACAAATTGTCAGAATTGAAAAAGATAAACACAACAACTGTTAAAAAAATATTCACAGAACAAACAGATGCAGAGTATAAAACACATCCTAAAATCTTTTTGCTATACTTTTAAAGCAGCAACGCTTTTTGACAGTATTACTCCAAGAGTCCATTAAGTCAATGAAAAATCAGTAAAGGCTGCTGTACTGAATTCCCTCTGAGAGACGTGTGTCCCGAAACAAAACACCAACTTATCTATTACTGTGACAGTATTAGAATAACAAACAATAACACAAATCAATCCTACCTTGTCTTTGGTCAATTAGCTGTATTTGTTGTGGAAACCCTTTTTTAAAAAAAGGCATCCAGATTAAAATTTGCTTCATCAGCACATTTCTAAAACTAAGAAACCATACAGTTTATCATTCAACCCAAACACAACCAAGATAAGGTCTGCTAATTCTTTACAGACAATCCTGTCTTACAAACAAAATGACAATGTGTCACACACACCACTTCTCTGTGTAAAGTACATCATTAGTTAGTGGTTACACTACAGGCCAAAATCATAGTCCCTACCAAGTGTCTGTAAACACACATCAGACTTATAGGTGCTTTTCTTTTTTAAGACGAAGAAGTCACTGAAGAAGTTTAAAGGAAGGCAGTGATTCCAAGTGGTGGTCATCCTAAAAATGACTGAAAGTCAAAGGAAGTTCTGTGAAATCCTGAATTCTTAATCCATCAAATGTGCTCTCAGTACGTTCAGAGAAATCCTCATGTTCTTCTGATGTCACAGCCTCTCAATGACAGGGATCAAAGGGGTATTTGGAGACGCCGCCATGAAGCTCCAGCTCTGTTTCAGACCAAGCGAGGACATCTCCTCTGAGATGACTGCCGCAGGACGCCAGGCTGTAAATATCACTCGCACTCAGGACATGTGACCACATGTGCAGGTCTGACATCTCACCAACGAATGACTGAGTGGCGTCAAAACGGCCTCCCAAAGTGTCCTGAAGATGAAGGAGAAACAAACGAATGAATATCTAAAAAAGAATTGGTTAAACTATACTTTTAGTAATCTTCTTCTACTTTTAGTAATCTGTTCAGTTTTCATCCATTATCTGACACATGTTGTTTATTCATAAGCAGAACGCTATTAAGATAGAATTGATAGTGGATGTATAGACAAGAGCCAGATGAGTGGAAGAAAATGACTTTACTTCTTTTTTTAGACTGCATTTGCAGAGGGCAATTACTAAGACTGACTCATCCACTTTACCTGTTCCTGTCCCAGGATAAATACACCTCCAGGTTTGATAGGATGCCATGGGGAGAGATTCATGCCAGATCCCCTCTGGACTCCATCCTGGTACACCTCCCACTGTCCGTCCCTTGTCGCCCAGGTCACACAAACATGATGCCACTTGCCATCTCTCAGGGACAAGGGGAGTGTCACAGCCTGTGGACAGGACAACAAATTAGTGAGAAGTGAGACTAAGCACAGATATCTTTGTGAGCTCTGTTCAGTTTAACAAAAATCCTGCAGAGTTGGTGTTTTGTTTCCCTCACCTTGTCATTGATCAGCAGCTCCATGGGGTTGTTTCCCCACTCAATCAGAACCAGTTCATTGGCCTGTCCTGGTGCAGAGTAAGAGAAGGGTGTCCCCAGACTTGGCCCAACACCGGCCTTGATCCAAAGGCACAAAGTTAGAGCAAAGATCTCCTGCATCAGGGTCTTCTTCATCCGCCCGTACATGTAGTTGGTTCTCATGGGGAAGCTGATCTGGAAGGCATCAGGACTTTTGAATTTCTTCCTGCTGGAACCTGTTTAGTGAGAAATAAAAATATAGCCCTTTAGTTTAAGTCCTCCATGTGGCGACTGCTGTGATCTGCAGTTTTCAGTTGTGATAGCCTATATAAGATTTCTTAACGGAGCCGTTTATCATCCTTTATAATATAGATGTCCAAATTGTCTTGTCTTGATCAGCAATTGAGGTAAAAGCAACTTTTCTGATAGCTTAAAAAAAAGGTTATTATTGGTCTTAAAACAGCAGTTAAGGAAATGATCACAGCTCTCCAATGTCATTCAGTGAATGCACAATAATGCTGTTATACCACCAGAGTTGTGTCATCTTTACCATCAAGTATAGACTTTCTGCATTAATTAATTAATAGTTAAATTATGCTGATTTAACTACTTTTTAGACTCTGTAATATTCTGGAGCTTAAGAATATGTATTTTATATAACTTCCTCTTAAACTAAAGTTGGTTCATTAATGGTGAAACACTATATATGATAAATACATGATACTGTCTAGTTGCTACAGTGGTCGTGTACCTGTGAGGTGCAGCTGGTTGAGCATGGTCTCCAGTTTGTTTGTGTGGAAACTGCCGCGTGGACCTGGTATTCTGTATGCCGTGTGTGAAAGGTAACTGTGACTGTCTGCTTCATTATCATGGTGTTCATCATCATCCTCTTCCTCATGGTGGACGCCATCATGGTCATTATGGTCATCATGGTCACGATGGTCATCATGGTCACGATGGTCATCATGGTCACGATGGTCATCATGGTCGTGATGGTCATCCCCAGTGTCATGGTGGTCACTACTGTGGCTGTCATCGTGATGGTCGGTGTCATCCCCACTGGTACTGTGACTTCTGTCATTATGGTCGTCCTTGTGGTCATTGGGGTGTCCATTGTCGTCATGGTGATGATCATCATCATCGTGGTGACCTCCATCGTTTTTGTGGCCGGCGTCGTCTTCATCGTGGTGAGCGTTTGTGCTGCTGAGAGTGGCGGTGTTGTGATGCAGCTGCTGCTCCAGAGCGTTGATCTTCCTCTGAAGGAGGTCTTTCAGAGAGCTGGAGTAAGTGATAGACGTGTTCCTCTTCTGCATGGAGGAGGGAAAAACACATGTGAGGTCATGATGACAAAAAAGACTTCCTGTTTCTTAATCCCTTGGCTTCGTTTTAGGAGCCCGAAAGGATCACGCAAGCTTCTGCAAACCTGCGGTCTACAAACCCAAGTGTGTTTTGGACATCATAATCCCACTATTAGAATTCACTACAAATGTAACTATGTTGAAAACAACAGTCAGGTGTGGTGTTAGTCTGAATGTCTCCCTGTATCTGCCTCTCTACCTCTCAGGTAATCCTGGCTTTGTTCTGGTACATGCCCTGATTACCAGTCTGTCAAGGGAGATCACAATAATTACAGCTGATGCTAGACTCATGCAGCACTCCCCCCGACCACCATAAACTCGCAGCAGCTCCTGACATCTGTCTATGAGGTTGAGGGCAGATAAATATTCGGGCATGTTTGAAAAAAAAAAATCTCTGGCATGTCCAGCCAGATTTTAACCTTGTTAAAGAGTATCTTAAACCAGTGACGTCCAACTCTGAGCCAATTGCTGCTCCTGCTTTGATTTCCTCTTACGGACATCAAAGTGACCCTGTTGCCGCTGTAGTGAGCGGCTTTATGGGATTAGGTAACTCATTGTTAACTCAGATTCTAAATGGAAATACTACTTTGGGACACTGATGACAACAGCATTAATGTGCTTAAACAAGGAAAAGCCATATATGGGCACCCGGCAAATCACCTGAGGCAGACATTTAACTAGTTATGTTTTTTAACTTTCATGTTCTTCTCCCCAGTTTAATAATATCCTCATTGACAGATAGTTGGAAAAGTTTGCTCACCTGCAGGTTCTCCAGCCTCTCCTTCAGGGCCTGCAGCATCCTCTCCATGTGCTCAGGTGATGAAGTGATGTCCCCTCTTGCCACATGTTTATCCTTCCCCTGGCTGCTGCTGCTGCTGCTGCTGTGCCCTCCATCAGATCGTTGCCCCCCCGCAGAGGGGTACAGCAGTGAGTCCGGAACGAGGTTACTGTTTCCATGGTGACTATGATGGTTGCTATAGTGCCCGTTGTCTGCAAACGTGTGGTGGCCGGCCAGCCCTGTGTGATGCAAGCGCGAGGCTATTCCATGATGCTCTTCATGAGATGCAGGGCCCCGTGCGAGGCCCTCACACAGAGCGAGCTTGGCCGTCAGCTCCCTAATGGTCTCCCTCTGGTCCAGGATGGTCTCTTTCTGCTGGACCAAGCTCTCCCTGAGGTGTAGGATGGTGGCTTTGGCCTCCTCGCTTGCCCCCCACCAGCCAGCAGGGGGTGCACTTTGATGACTCTGTCCGCTGGGCCCTGTAGCCCCTACACTTGGACCTGCAGCGGGGGAACAGGCAGGGTCTGCGTTTACAGGGATAGGAGTGCAAATAAAGCGTGGGTGGGCTCCAAAGTCATAGTCAGATCCTGAAGTGGCAGACGCAGGACAGATAAGGAGGGGGAGTACAGAAATGGGAAGAAGGAACAGATGTAGAGACTTGTAGTTCCTCATGATCTTCATCCCAAGTTCAGCCAGTTAGACTAAGGAGCTTGGCGTCGCTTCAAAATGTGAGCTGCCAGTTGACACAGAGGTTGAGTTGACTTTTGCACTGTGGTGTAAGAGACATCAGGGAGCTCAGAAACAAAAATATTTGTCCATAAAGTATCCACTTATCAATCAGATGATTTCAAAATGTATCTTCTTTGTCGCTTGTCTTTGGAGCTTCACACTTTCTGTCTCTTTCCTTCCTGAGGACTGGAACAAACCTGCAAACCAAAAACATCAGATGCTGAATTAATCTCCTTTTCTGGCATCCAGTCAGTTTTTGTTTGTTGCTCTTGTATCAATTTTCCCAACACAAAGAAACACTCCTAGACCTGCCTGACTGAACATCAAGATCTCCAGTCCTAAGCTTTACTTTATGAGATGCTGGATGAGAACCTCAGGCTGACACTTCAGACCTGAGTGAGCTTTACTTTGTCTGACCAGTAAGTTTGTGCAGACGGCAGTATACGCATGCGCCAGAAGAACCAGAGCATGTCCAGACGAGGATTAGTCCAAATCAGAGTTGTGACATCCTGACCGATCTAGCCAACAAGACTTCAGCTTAAGGTTAAAGAAGAAGTGGTTCATATGACAAACAAATCAAAACAGAAAAAGTTCCAAAGCAGATTTTTTACATCTTTGACCCTTTGCATTACAGTAAAAAAGATAAATTTGCTTCTGTTTAAACTCAGGACCTCTAAATGGAGCTGAATTCATGTGTTATATATATATATATATATATATATATATATATATATATTTGACTCTTTGTGTCTGTATCATAAAGGCTTGCTGACCCCTCTGAGCACTTTAACATGTCCTTTATTATACAGGGTCGGCATTTAGAAATGGCAAACACGTGAGGTGACTGCTAAACCTCCTGACCACCTGTTGCTCACAGTGACCGGCCTTTAAAATGTGTGTGTATGTGTCTACGTGTGTTTGTGTGTGTGTTTCTGCCAGAACTTCATACAATATTTACTGTATTTAATCAATAATGTAACAGAGTCAAGACATACGTAGAATATAGTCTGTTTCAGGGCAAAGTTCATGTTTACACTCATGAAAGTGTTCTCAAAGCAAATTCAAAATTAAATAATGAAGCCACAGAAACGTTCCTTTACTAATTCAAGATTTCATTTTCTCAGTGCACATTATAAATGATCAATACAACCTTTAAACTTGAACATGTTTTTTCTCTGCACCTCTAGTTGTGTTTAACGCAGCTTACTAGAGAGACAGATGGTCGAGGCAGAGAAGCATGTCACACCCAATCTCCACAGTTTAGCCTTAAGTTTATTAACTCCCACAGGTCACTTCATTAACCTAATTGCAAGCAGTTTGTCGGCTACCTTAGCCAGAGATAAGTGGGCTTCGTGTGTGTGTGTGTGTGTGTGTGTGTGTGTGTGTGTGTGTGTGTGTGTGTGTGTGTGTGTGTGTGTGTGTGTGTGTGTGCTCGCGTGCATGCGTGGTAATCCATGTTGAACACCAGGGTCGAGCACCATCCTTGTACCATATGGTCAAGGTGGATATTTAAGTAGTACGATTAGTTCCCAATTAAAAACTGACATCTGCACTTAGACCTTTGATTAAAAGGCAGTTGACACTTCTAAAGAAGTCACTCTTTATTTGTAAACAGGGACATAAAGAGGATGGCGTTAAATCTTTCATCAGCCCAGTACCTTACAAGATCACCAAGATCACCAAGATCACGTCGACCTTGTTGTCTGGCTGATAATTCTTCCGCAACACTCAGAGACACAAAGTGTAACAAAATCTTCTGTAGCTCAAATCTCATCTCTGTTTTTTACAGTCCTCTTTCTCATGTCTTGTGTTTAATTCATGGCTGCATGCTGTGAGGACATGTCTGAACTAAAACCAACAACAAAACAACCCCAATTAAAGTTCAAATGTAATCAAACAAGATTTTTTTGGGTCGTATATTTCTATGGCAAACTAATTTTGCATCATCTTTAATGCATTTAATCATTCAACAAAATAATATCTATAAGTACAATTTGCCACTGTGATACATAACTTGAAAAACAAACCATTTAAAAATACATTTTGAGGCAAGTTTGTTAATCTAACTTGTTGAATTGTCTTTTAAAATGTGTGCTTATCCAAGTAACTTTAATGAGGGTGCAACAGTTGTCAAGTTTCAGTGTTGTTCTTTAACCTTTTCTCCTCACTTAAATGTCGAGGTCCTTGAACTCAAAACCTCAATACTTTAGTGAATACAAATTTTATAACTCCATGCAATAATCTATCATCCCTCTACTTTTTACAAAAAGTATTTTGTGTAATGCAGTTCAGTCACAGGTGTTTGTCAGCTGCATCACAGAGGTCATGCAGATAAAAAATAAAGTTATATAAACCTAAACATGTTTTTTGAATGTCATGCAGGTATATCTGTGTTTCCAACAAGGCCTAAGTAGTTTGATATCATATTAAAATGATCAACAAATTTTCATTACAAACCTTTTTAGATTTCCAAAGTCACTCTTCCTGTGAAAAGATTGTCTTTCCTCCACTAAAAGGTTGCAAAACCATGTTAGGCTCTTTTAAAATCTTCAGACTGATACAAAGCAACAATAAGAGACGGCAGCAAACAGAAAACAGAAAATAAAGTTCTTACCTTGCTGTCTTTTTGAATGCAGCTTGTGTGTCCGCACTGTGAACTTGAAGTGACTTAGTCCCCTTCACACACTGATGAGATTGAGAGAGATTTAGCTGGATGTGTCTATCCCTTCTTTATTGTCTCTTCTTCTCTTCCCTCCCCTCCATCAGCTCTGTCATGTTTTTCTTAGAAGACCACACCTCTTTTCCTGTCCCACTGTTTTGGATTTCTCTATTTTCTCATCTTATTCTAACTCCACCGTCTTAATTAATACTGTGGAAATTTCCTATGATTTAAGATCTGGTGCAGATGCATAAAAAATCTGAATCTTTAGAAATTGACCACTAATTGATTGATTTTCCTCAGGCCTATCTCAGCACCTCCGGTACGACGTCAAACAGCTCACCTAGATCTCTACATGTGAGTAATTGGCCTGATTAGTCCCTTGTCTCCTCCCGTCTGACTGACAGCCAGAGCAGCAGTGGCGGGACAGCAGATGGTTCCTTTAAGGTCAGAGAACATCTCATCACACACAAACAATGGAGTAGGCATTTTGATTATAGGATCAGGCATGTATACTTACACATTAACATTAGGTAACAGGTCCAGACACGTTGACATATGTCAGCCTCTGACACTGCGTTGCATCAAGACCGGATGCCTTATTTAAAGCTCAGTACTATCAGATGTAATCTCCTGACCAAGCAGAACGATAAAGGAGAGATTGTTAGACGTCATGAATTCATATTTTATTTTTAATATCTCAAAAGTACAGCGTTTAGGAATATAAATATTAAATGAAATCCAAATGCAGATTATAGATTGAAACACTGCCCTCCTGTTGGTGAAGTGACGGTGGCCTCTGAGGAAAAGAAACCCCCTGCAGTGCATGATAAGTATGATCAAAAAAACATCATTTCACATTTTGTGCACTACAGACACTTTCTCTTTTGTCTTTCAGCTGGTGCTTTTTTCAGTGGCCACTCCCCAAAATCAAAAACATGTTTGGCTTAAAGTTTGTGTGGTCTGTGCTACAGTCGGAACATGGCGGTGCAAGATGGCAGCTTCAGCGGAAGGGGGTCCACACCCACTGTAGATATCAAAGACTCATTCTCATTGTTTTATTCAGGTGATTATACACTTAATTAAACACACAAGTTTTACAATGCTTCAATTGACAAACATTCCACCTTTACTCAACACAACTCAACTTTATTTATAGAGCACTTCAAATACAACCAAAGCTGACACAAAGTGCCGTACATAGTAAAACATAAAAACATAAAACAACAATAAATATATATTTTTCAAAATATAATAAAAAGATATAAAAAAGCAATAAAACAAATGCCGTCTCATGCTGGGTCAAGGGCCAAGGAATAAAACAATACACTTTAAAGTGTACATACAATGAATAAGAACAAGAATAACTTTATTAATCCCCGAAGGGAAATTCAATGATTTGTGTATGATGGTGTACATACAAGAACAAGAACAACACAAGCAAAGATCTAGACAAGAGGAAACAAGATCAGTAAGAGCAACAATTGTTTCAAGTCTATTTGGACTCAGGTACTGCCAGGCTGTGTAAAAGGCAATGCCCGACGGTAAATGAGAATTTTTATTTGGCAGAATGGAAAAAGTGTTTACAGGTACTTTTTATTTAAGCTGTTCAACCTCTTTTTTAGTAGCTGTCTGCTGTAAAGACATGTTTAGAAAACACTGGACCTCTGAGGCATTTGCCCATCTCTGTTGTTTTGCGTAAACTTTCCAAACTGAAGAGAAATGAAGCTCATTTTTAAAGAAGTCCAGAAGACTATAATCACCTTTTATAGAGAGTTCGATGTAAACGTAGGTTGCTGTTGATGGATTATCAGTCTGATATTCTGTCTCAGGGCACCTGTAGCTCACATGGCAGACACAGAGTTGAATAACTGGGCTGGTCAGGAGACATCATACAGAGACCCACTTTGCCGTTACACTTGTCAGCTCTCCTAATTTTTGACCTTTTTTGGCTTAAATAAATATTTCAGCTCAAGTTTTCAACTTCTCTTGGACTCCTTCTTTCAAATGATGAGTTTATTCAAGTTATTCCATATCGACTATCAAAGATGTGAGTGCTGAAGAAAAAACTTTACACTATGGTTCATGAGCAGGATATTCATCCCAACCACATTCAGACACAGATTCAAAGAACACGAAGCAAAATTCACCTTTGTGATATACTTACAGGTAAACACAATCCAGTGATGCAGGTCTGCTTCACTGCTGTGTCCAGTGAAGTCTGCGTGACAGGCAAAGGATGCCCGGATTGAGGAGGTGTGTACATGAGCCATGTTTATTGTTTAGGTCAGTGTGGGCCAAGTTCTTCTGTCTTTCAATCTTCTTATCTGGAGTAAATTAGGCCTGGAGGAAGTGAAGCGTCACAAACAGCTTTACGGATCAGGCTCAGGGAAACAAGACCACAGACGAGTCAATTGTTCCCTACGCACTGAAGAAAATGACCCGGAACCCAACAAAGCTCAGCCCACTGCTCTGTCATGGCTGCCAAACTGGAGGCTGCTGGGATAATGGAAAAAGATGACATCATATCTTCTAAACAGAAAGATGATGAAGCTGAAGGGAAACAGCTTAATTTTACGGAGTAAATATACCTTTATCTCTCTTTTTTCCATCATGTAGTTTAGATTTGTTCTTATTCAGTGGTAGAAAATATTTCCAGTGTGTTTTGTTGTGTTTTAGTAATGTGGAGGGGTAATATGCTGCAGTGATGAGGTAAAATTTGAACAACATTAAATAAAAAAAAACAAAAACAACTAAGACAAAGAAACTAAAAAAACTAAGACAAAGAGGATTAACACTAAAGCTGAGCTTAAAAATCTTTGAATATGTAAAATTTGTCATCAGTATTCTGTTCGCTTCTGTAAATAAATAAAATTATGAGTTTGCAATCAGCATCCTGAATGACACAGATTTAAGGAGTCTAACCCTCCAACAACTCAGTATAAATCTGAGGAAGTGCAGCAGGAAAGTGGCTTCACACTTCCGCCACCTCGAGGTCTAAACCTGATACTGCAGACTTCCAGCAGGCAGTCCAGGAGAGAGTGTCCAGAGGTCCCACTTTAGTTAAAACAAGTCCTGGATTGTTTTTTCAATGAGCTCTCTTTAAATTTAAATATCATCATAGTTGATCAAATAAGACTGTATTTTATGATTTATCAATCAGGGATAAATCTGTTAGCTGTATTTACATTAGTCGTAATCATAGGTGCCAGAGGTCAAACCTTCAGACATTTTTTTCTTTTTCCTTGCATTAATTTTAAAATTGAAAATAAAATCACGAAATAATTACTGTTCAAGTTATACAATATTGTATGGTTTAATAGATGTTGTTTCTTTGTCATTTTTGCTTGTTTAAATTGTATGTAAGTATTTTAATTCATAGGATATTTTTTAGGATGGGTTGTACAATAACCTGAGTTTGTCGAGGTGCTAAACTTGTAAGAAAACTATCTCTGTTTAAAAATACTCCAAAATATTCATCAAGTTTTTACTCAAATACAAAAATGTGGTTAGTTAGTCTTCTCACTGCCTGCAGGTGTTAACTCCCAGCAACCATCACAAAGCTGATGTTTCAGTGTTCTTGTGCCCTCTAGAGGTCAAATGAGACAAGCTTGAGCAGCTTTATCATCCATAAAGGCCATTTCCTGTAGAAAAGCTCCATTCCGTGTAACGTTATATGAGCAACATGGTCTGAAAATTGTGAATAAGATATTTACACTTAAGTGTGGTGGTATTGGAATGATTTGGAGCTGCACTGAGTATTTTTACTGATTTTTACTGACATGTTAGATTTCGGTCAGATGTTTTTGAGTGATGCTGGGCTTGAGTTCTCATAACCACCTATCTTACATACAGCCTACAGAAAAACACATCAAACTTGTACTTGAGTTAATGATTTACATTAACTCTTAACTACATTGTAGTAGAACTGGGCTACAACCAATGGTTCACATAAAAGTAATGGTGCCAGATTTTAATAATAGTCAGTAAAAAAAGAGATGTTAAAAATTTACTCTGGCACCAAATGTTTAAGTATCTATTAAGAAAAGTAAAGGTAAAATGAATTTAAAAAAATTAAAGCATCTTCTAAAAACAAAAGTTTCAGAATAGTGTTTATCACTAGGTTTTAAATCTAAATGTTTAACCGTAACTTTAACATTACACCTGTAAACTTCATTTAAATGGCTGTGTGTACCCTCAGTTAGAGCTATGTCCTTAAAGCTCCCTTGCCAACATTTTGCTGGCCTCGAGGGACAAAGGCAGACCCCACTCCTGTGTTGATCTTTTCTAGCACATGCATAAGTAGAGTTTTCTGGGGGGAAAAAAGTCATATCCTGGTTTCTTTGAGAAATTAATTGACTATTTGTCTTGAGTATTAAAGGGAAAGTCTAGCGTAAAATTAATTAATTTTCATATAGAGTGGCGTTTTGGTTGAGGTTTGTTTATTGCTCCTCAGACTGCTGTGTATTGCTATCGTGCTGTTGTTACTAAAGTTGGTATAACTGGAGAAGCAAGCGGTCGGCAACATTCATCTCTCGAGGGGGTGTCTAACTCGGTGTTAAAGCATGTTTAACCCTAAATTAATTTTACACCGGAATATTCCTTTAACTGGGGGGAAAGTGGCTCTGTTGTTGGTGTGTCTGTAGTGTCATCTGACACCCGTGGCAGTGGTTACAGAGATCAAAAATTACTCTATTGAAATCGTCCCTTTTGTCTCTGATGGTCTTGTTTACTTTGGTAGCTGCATTTCACTTTGTCATGGCAAGATAAAACAAATTCTCACAGGAGCTTTAACACTATTTATATATGATTTATAAACACTGTCATTTCCTAATACTTGGATCGATAGAAGTTTAGAACAGAATGTGTAATAAACTACTTTCTTTTGAAATTGTAGGGTTATTGAGAAAACACAAGAGCAGTTTAAGGACTGGAACTTTTTGTTGAACACTTGATTTTTTAAATTCACTCACTATTAAAAAATATCAAAAGTCTTAGTGGACTTCCCCTCCTCTCCTCTCTCAGTCACTTCTAATGTTTCCCTTTTGCATAAAACATAACCAGCAGTAAATGAATCTATCTATAGTAGTTAATGAAGACCCTCCTCCTCTTTCCCCCCTCTGAAAATGGGGAGCAGGAACATGGTGATGGTCTGGGTGTATGTAGGCCAGTGATGGGCCTTTGCCTGTGCTTTGGCTTAAAAAGTTCAAGTCATTATTCTTCTCCTGCTTCTATTCAGACGGGGTCCCGTTGGCTCATTGTTATTCTGCCCGAGTGACAGAGAGAGAGGCAGAGGGAGGCGGACACTGAGCATGAGGCTGACTGCTCTGGGAGCTGCTTGTTCTGGGCGGGGGTTTCTAGTCGGTGGTCGGTTTTTCTGCGGGCGTGAAGGCATGTTGGTAATCGGCTCAGTAATGAGGAGAGGTACAGAACGGCACCAAATATCTGACCCCGATTCCTGGGAGTAAAGAGGGGCAGAAAGAGGGAGGAAGTGTGTGAGAGAGAGGAGAGAGAGAGAGAGAGGCAGAGAGAGAGAGAGAGGGCCATGTGAAAAAGGGGTGGAGGGGAGGCTGAGATTTAGTGCTCTGCTGGATGAAACAACCCCCCACTAACTAACAGAGAGGGAAAGTAGCCTAATAGGAAGAAAGGAGGGGGTGTTGTACTCTTCATTTAACACTCAAAGACGCACAGGAAGCCTTTATCGTTCCCCACAATGACATCTGAAAAGGTATGTAACTTTTTATTGGAAAATAGCTGAATTATATGTTGCACTTGTACAAAGGGAGTTCAACAGGTAGCTGCTGCTGTGGACTGTTGGAGCAAATGGCCGGGTGCTTTTTGACACAGAGGGAAACATCCACTGTGAAACTTATCATCCGTCTATTTACAAAAAGGGGTTCACTTATCCTCTTTTTTGTTATTTCAACAACCCTATTTGATGTATTTAGTGAAACTGACTGTAATGTTGTTTAAGAAAGACTCAGTTAGCATTGGAGTTCAATTTGAGCTGCATTTCAACACTGTTAACTGTTTTACTGACTTTTGATTTGTGTAAAAACCAAAATTGTACATCATAACAAGTGAAGAGCAAAATAGTTTTGTTGTCCTGATTTTTTGGAGTCCTTTGAAACTTGAGGGATAAAGTACATAGCGGTGTCATTAAGACTGCAACTATTAAATGTCAGGAAATGGATGTAAATGTCAAACGGCACAAAACATGTTATATTTATAACAGAAAAACAAGAAAGTTAAATCCCACTAATTTAAGATTATTAGGGAGCAGAAGTTTGGGATGTTTAATTAAATTAGACGTGGAATAAAAAGGCTTAATACACTTTATATATAATATATTTTTTTAACCTATCTGAGGCTCATTCAAGTGGCAGTTATGTTTTAATCTGTTTGGGGAAAATTGCGTCGCCCAAACCACATGAATGCACCTTCTGTATCAGTTCTCCAACCACCTGCAGACTTTTCTCCTGCTTCCAGAAAACAAACACTTTATTTATCAGAATAAAACCACACAGAACTGCGAATATAAATGCAGAGATGCTGCATCCATCTTCAGCATTTCACCGAATCTTTCAAACAACATGCTATAAAGCTTTTAACATCATTTGTAATGTAGCGTCCGAACAGTACACTGTTGTAGCTCCTCGGTTAAATTACAGACTACACCAGGGTGGCCCTAATGAGCAAGAGTCTGGAAATGTTTTCTTTGTGTCATATACCATTAGTTGATCTGGGTCACTGTTTTCTCTGTAATCTCGCTGTGATAACAAAGGAGGGTTGCTCAGGGAAAACAGGGAACAGGGATTTTGCCATCAAATCCAGACTGGAAAGCCTTTGACCCTGGATCAGTCCCCCCTTGATCATCCCCTCGGCTGAGGAAACATCATTGTCGCATGTTTATTCAGCACTTTGACACCTGTGACTCGCTCTGGAGGAGCCCATTGTTCTTATCTGAAATGGTATAACTCGCCTGGCCCTCAAATCTTGGGGAAATATTTGGGTTGCCGAAATGTTGCGAGGTGATAATGTAGAAACTGGCAGGCTTAGACACAGTAGAGCCGTGTGAAAATAACAGCGCCGCCCTTAGACAAATCCCAAGACGGTCTGACATCCTCATCACTTGTTGTGGTGGTGGATGGCCTTAAAAGTCCCCTGGCGGTCTCGAATGCTGATCTCACGCTTTATAATGTCTCAAATAGGGGTGAAAAGAGTCGTTTTAGTCGTGATGCTTACTGTTTGTTGTCTTTAAACAGTAAAATTTTCCTTTAGAGAAGAAAGTGACATCTTCAAATTCCTTGTTTCTGTCAAAAAGTCAAATGTTTGCATTTTAATTTCAGTTCCTTTTAATGAAGGCAGCACATTTAGGCACATAAAGGTTGTGTTTGGTATTTCTAATCATTTAATACCTGTAAATTCATTCCAATGGTCTAACCCGTGTGCAGTAAAATCAAATGAGCGGGAGCACCTTTGGTCACAGTGACCTTTCTTGAGTATTGTACCTCTTTCTTTTCCCTGTCTTCCTCTTTATTGCTGAACTTTCAGAAAAAGGTCAAAGTGCCCCAAAAGTATGTCAAGAGAGAGAGAATTAGAAAAAAATGCTTTGACTTTTGGAAATGAAGATTGAAACACTTCAGTTTGTCCTTTGTTCCCATTTTCATTTCAGAGTCATTGGGATTTCTCGTCACTCACTTGCAGTATCTTTTTACCTTTTCTCTTTTAGTGGATCTTTGTTTTCTGTAAAGACTAGGACCCAGAAGAATATAAATAAAAAACAATACAAATATACTAAGTGGCTGGTCCTAACAAGAAGAAGAAAAATGTCCCGAACAGAAGAAGTCAACAAGATGACAGAAAATGTCTACAAGGTAGGACTCATTTAGACGTCTTCATCACAAACCAAATCTCACACAGTACAACCGGTTGTGAAATGGTAGGAAATATCCTCATACTGTTGCCAACAGGGGATTCTGGACCAGTTTAATCCCAGTCTGAAGAACTTTGTGACTATGGGGAAACACTACGAGAGAGCACTGACAGGTTAGCCAAACACAGGCTTATCATTTTGTCCTCTGTTTTGAGTTTTTCCATCGCTGAACAGGATATTTCTCCTAACATGAACTCTCTTCTTCAGGAGTAACTGTGGCTGCCAAAGGCTACTTCGACGCTCTGGTGAAACTGGGAGAACTGGCGAGCGACAGCCAAGGCTCTAAAGAGCTCGGTGCGTGAGTGGGGAAAGTGGGGGGGGAGAACATAAGAATAAATCTGCAATGGCACCTAATAAAGTGAAGAGAGTCGACTTGACAGCTGCAGGAGAAGATGAAAACAGTCTGCTTGCATGTGTCGTTGAAGGAGGAGAGGAAGACATGAGTGGAAGAGTAAATGTAGAGAGAGAGAGAGACGGAGAGAGAACAGAGGGAAAGGGAGAGAGTAGGGTCATTGTTGGGAGATTAACAACACCACATGATCTCATTGTAATGCTGAAAACAGCGGGGGAGGCAGGCAGGAGAGTTGGAGGGCGAGATGCCAGCCACCACATACTAGAGCGCTGTGTGACTGAGGGAGGCACTCACAGCTGACTGCCGCTTTGTAAATGAGAGGCTGTGTGAAAACCGAAAGTTTAAAGGCATTTTCACTCATGCCTCCTCTCCATGTATGTGTGGATGCTGATTTTGCTTTATGATGGTCATAATCAGAAACTAAATCACTTTAAAAGCTGCTTATTTTTGTATCTATATCATACTTAATGTTTCTTTACAGGAGACACACTGTTTCAGATGGCTGAGGTGCACAGACAAATTCAGGTGCAGCTAGAAGACGTGGTAAGAATGAATCATCTCCACATGTTAGTCAATACTATTCCCTCTAGATGACCACAAAGATCAACATTAGAGTTTTTAGTTTAGTCCAATATTGGTATTGTTGGATACATTATGTTGAGGCTTCATTTTGCAGTCATCCTAACAGTAAACTTATATCTCATCGCTAAGTTTTGATGTTTTTATCAACAGTTGAAGCTGTTTCACTCTGAGCTACTTGCCCAGTTGGAGCAGAAGCTGGAACTGGATATCAAATACCTCACGGTAAGATGACGTTCTGGCTAAATTACTTGATTTATTAGCAACAAAACTTGCAGTTGAATTTATAGGTTTTTTTGTGTGTAAAATACTTTTTGTGATTATTATTAAAAATAAGCCATCACAAAGTCCATTAACCTTGTTTCACTCGGACAAGAGGCATTTCATTATGGAGTACAATGGCACTGAAACTAAAACTAAATTGTTCTACTTCATGGCAATTGTTCTGGATACTGTCTCTAAAAATCGTTCTGGATACTGTCTCTAAAATTCACAGCAAATAGTCATTGTCTAAATTTGAGCAAACTTGTGCTTAAAATGCATTAATTTCCTCAAAGTGAAATTGTAGACACGCTGAAAGTTACAAGTGAGCAGAATTTAATTGTAGTGTTTGGCAGCAGTCCATTTTCCATTAATTTGTCAAACCAAAGGAGCCACTTGGGTGATAAAAAGTTAGAATAGGTTGTTTTCTTTTGACGGTTTACTTTTTACTGTTAAGTAACGTCTGTTTCTTGTAGAACTCTTGTATAAAAAGAAACACCACACAAGAGGTTGTGCTGTTGTTCTGGATATAAGCACAGCTGTGGTTATCTCCAACAGTGTCACGACTGTCACGGTCCTGACTGAAAACAAAATGAAAGATGACAAAAATTAATTTATTTAAAAGGAACTAAAATAAAAGCAACATAAATTGTCAAAAATCCAAAATCCAACAACGACAATGGGGGGGAAAAAAAACACATGGAGACATCGAAGTCATACAGAGGCATTGACATACAACATACAACATACAACATACAACATACAACATACAACATACAACACAAATTCACAATGAACCAACAAAGAAACAGGGGAAAGCAAGGACTATATATATACACACAGGGAAACGAGCAACGAGAGGCAGGTGAGACACTGAGACACAGGTGCAGACAATCACAGAGGAGGGAAACTGAGGAAGTAAAACAAGACTAGAAACACAGGGAATATACTACTACAAAATAAAACAGGAAACTCTGATATCAGGAATAAAACACTGAAAACATGAGGGAACCGGGGTCAGACACAAACTGAAAACTTACAAGACAGGACTACAGGGGAACAGAAACAATAGGGAACAGAAACATTAGGAAGCACACAGAAAATAAACTCAGATAACCAAAACCAGGGGACACTAAATACCCGAACATACCATGACAGAAAGTGTGATCATCATCAAGCTAATCCTGTAACACAACAGCTCTCCACCTCTGTGCTATCACCTAATGGTGTGAATCTTCTGCTTTTCTCTCAGGCCACTCTGAAGAAGTATCAGAGTGAGCGGAGGTCTAAATCTGAGTCTATCGAGCGCTGCCAGTCCCAGCTGAAGAAACTCCGCAGGAAGAGCCAAGGAAGTCGACACCCAAACAAATACGGGGACAGAGAGATGCAGGTAAGAGAGAGTCAGAGCTGAGAAATACACGTGAAAAAACACACACACACATGCACACATTGGCTTAAGTTTGACTGTTTTCATTTTGGGAAACAAAAATCCTCCCAACAAATGGATCGTGTCACTCAGTATTACAGCTGATTAAAATCCAGGGTTATGTGAGTGTTGGAGTAAGAAATAGGCCCGTGTGAATAAGATTAAAGAACAATCTGCCTCAGCTGATTTTTAAGAAAACAAGCAACTTTGTGCACGAACATATTCCTGAAGGAACGAGGAATGACATAAGAGGATGAACCGATTTAACCACTCGGAAGGTGAGAAATAAAGGGTGAGCTTGAGGGTAATGTGAGAGGAAAAGGTCAGCAGGTCATTTGATGGTGCTCCTCCATTAGTTTCATCAGGATGTCGTGTCACATACTCTCTCAGGTGTTTTTTTTATTTCTGTCTTAGAATTTAAAACTCACGTATTTGACCTTTTCCTCAGTTTGTGGAGTTAATGAGCCGTCGTCAAGGTGAGCTGGACGCGCTGGTTGCCACAGGTTACAAGTCTGCTCTCACCGAGGAAAGGAGACGATACTGCTTCCTGGTTGACAGACAGTGTTGTGTAACCAAACTGCTTATCAGCTACCACTCCAAGGTGATGTACCCACATTTACTCATTCGTTTAATCTGACGGCTTTTTAGCTTTCCTGTGTTCAAATATGAAAATCCAGATAATAGTTACCTTAATAATAATCCTACTAATGAGTAGAATTAACTTTAAGTAAAATCCTGATCGAGACGCTTCCTCTGCCTGGAAAAAGTTTATATTTCTCTTGAACACATTTATAATCAGCCCCACTGTTAAACTTGTGGAAATGTTCCTTCACTAAATAAACAAAAGTACAGTATTGTCTAGAAATAGAATCCAAAATTTTACCTTTTCTTCTTCTTCTTTTTTTTTTTTTTCCGGGAAACTTTAGTGCCCAAGTGTTTCAAGAAGTGTAGGGCTTTTTGTAAAATGAATAAAAAATAGTATTTTTGAGATTTATGTTCCTGATAAACATGTTCAGTTGGCATGAATGAGATTGACTTGAGAGCCACAGGCACAAAAGGGAAGCTGTATTGAGAAATCTGTTCTTGTAAGGGAAAATTTGATAAAAGCAGCAGTAGCTCAGGAGGTAGAGCGGTCGTCCAATAACCAGAAGCGGTTCGATTCCCCCCAATCCTGAGTCTGTCGGTTGTGTCCTTGGGCAGGACACTTAACCCACTTTGCTCCCAGTGTGTGTCCTCCACTGGTGTGTGATTGTGAGTGTTGTGTGGTGGTGGTTGGACGGGCCGTAGGCGCAAACTGGCAGCCACATTTCCGTCACTCTGCTCCAGGGCAGCTGTGACTACCAAGGTACTTGACCGCCACCAAGGTATGAATGTGCGAGCGAATGAATGACGTATCTAATGTAAAGCGCTTTGAGGGTCTCTGATAAAGCTCTATATGAAATCTGATGCATTATTTAATTAATTAAAAGTAAAAGGATAAAATATCTTAAAACCCATCCTGAAACAGTGTTGCGGTCTCTTCATTTGTGTGTTTTTTATGTCTCATCCAGGTGAGAGAACTCCTGTCACAGAAACTCTCTTCATGGCAGCTGTCTTGCTCTCAGCCCACAAAACTACCTGAGCGCGCTCTGAACCTGCTGCGTCATACTGCCCCTCAAAGCTCAGGGGCCGCTGGGATAGCCGAGGTCCTCCGCCACACCAAGCTGGGCTCCGCTCAGCCTGAACAGGTCAGATGACTTTTTGTTTTTATTGGGTTTTTATTTGGTCAGACATTTACTCCGGTTTGAGTCGAGCATTTTTAGGTGTCTAAGTTCATAATCCCTGCTTCTCTATTGTTGTTTGCATAATACGATTATGTCACGGGTTGATATTTTGAAACCCTTTCCAAACTTCACTGGATTAACTCAGACATCCATTGTTGTAGGCAGGTGCAAAACAAGTCTGTTGAGACATAAGTGTAAGTCTGTTAGATTATTGACTAAGAAGAAACATTTGTGCTGATAAAATCCTGAAATTAAAGTCAAACTTAAAGTAAATAAATAGAACTTTTACTTTTTTCAGAGGCTCTCTCTTCTGGAGATCCCCACCATGCTGAATGGAGACTCCAGCCGCTCCCAACAGCAGCGTCAGCTCCCTCCTTCCTCCCAGAGTGACACCTGTCCTCCTCAGGGTTCTCCCCAGACTTTCTGCTCTCTCTCCTCTGGAGGGGCTGCCGGAGGTTCCTCACAGGGGGCGTCTCCTCAGCACAGCAGCTCTCCTCTTAATGCATCAGTCAGCCTCCTCCCTGAAAGCGGCACCAGTGGCAGCCCCAGCCCCTCTGCATCGACTCCCACCCCGTCCAGCACCTCTGCCTTGCAAGGCCCTCTCCTCCTGACCACCAACACCTCCAACCTCTCTCCAAGTCTCATCCCCTCCACTGTGATGTCGCTCAGCCAGATCTCCCCACCCAGCAGCTCCCTGCAGGGCATGACCCTGCCCATCACCCACAGTGCTCCTCACAGTCCTCCACTGCCTCACAGTGCCCCTCTCTCCAGGGCCATGACTCCTGTGCAGCTCCTGCACCAGCAGGTGGGTCCAGGAGGGAGCAACACTTCATCACCATCCCATAACCCTTGGTTGATGAAGACGTCTGACATGAATACAACAGCAACACTGCCTCTGCCAAGGAGACCCATCAGTGAAATGAGGCTGGGGGGCTTTCAGGGTAAGATGTGATGATTTGAAAATTCTAAGTAAGTAAGTAAAGTTGATTTATAGAGCACTTTTCACAGATAATCATCAAAAGCGCTGTACATAAAAGAAGTGCAGTTAGATAAACAGAAAACAGTACAAAAAAGATAAGTACACATACACACACAAATACATATACAGTACAACGAATATGGAAATAAGTGCAGATATAAAAGATAAGTAAAAGAGACAAACAAAACCCTGTTAATTAAAAACTCGTCTAAATGAAATAGTTTTCAACTGCTTTTTAAAAGTATCCACTGAGTCGATCAAACGGAGGGAGAGGGGCAGATCGTTCCAGAAACTGGGGGCTACGTCTTTAAAGCTCGGTCTCCACGAGTTTTAAAACGGGTCTTTGGCACCATTAGGGTGTTCTGGCCTGATGACCAAAGGGTGTGCCCTGGGGAGTAGGGGCACAACAAATCAGAAATATATTGGGGGGTCTGACCGTGCAGCGACCGGAAAGTCAGAACTAAAATTTTAAAATGAATATAGAAATTGACCGGTAGTCAGTGAGGATGTGAGACGACAGGGGTGATGTGAGCAGATTTGGGTCAGAAGTCTGGCAGCTGAGTCTCTTTATCATCGCCTTATTAAAACAGATGAACACAGAATTACAGTAATCAATAATGATCAATTGTAGTCTTTTCTGACTTATGCAGGATTTGGTTCATGTGAGAATGAGGACAAACACTTATGGAGTGTCTACTTAGTCAAAATTCAACAGGAGAGCAGCTTTTCTTTCAATTTAACACTTATAACCAGCGTCTGATTTCATCCTTTAAATTCATAAGTAATTTTTAACAACTAGAGCAGAGAAGAGTTTGGAAGATCAGCAAGTTCCCTCGCTGATAGATAGAGCTGTGGCAGCCAGAGCGTGTCAATGCCAAGGTTTGTCTTTCCCAACTATGCCCTGAAATGTTTACAAATGATCTGCTGATGAAAACAGCTTTTATTGTCGAGCAGCTGCAGCAGGAAACTATGTGTTTGCATTAGCAGTAAGTTGATACAGTGCTAATACAGCTGTTCTAGAGTAAACACTGAACTGTTACGATGAAGATCATGCGTGCATCATCTCAAATCCTCCCATGCAGACTCGCAATTCAAGTCCTTCCTGTGTCTGGGAGACTCTGCAAATAAACAATGAGAGCTACTCTGCACAGAGACACTCACTCAATATGAAAATAGTGATAATAGTGCATTAACATTTTATCCCTTTACGTCTACCCAGGCTCCACTCTCCCCAGGATCATGCCTTTATCTGGACCAACTCGTGTGGAGGCCTTGTTTGCCCACTCTCCTGGGGAGTTAGAGGGCAGTGGAGGGGGTGGAGGAGGAGCCTGTTTACTGCACTTCCAGCAAGGTGACAGCATCGCTCTGCTCATCTCCGAGCCTAGAGACGGGTGGCATTATGGTCAAAATGAGCGAACTGGACGGTATGTATTCAGAGGGAAGAATGAAGAATTTACTGACACAGGAGAGAGTGAACAAAATGCAAAAAACAAAAGAGGGATGTCACTCCTGTTTAACTTTGTTCCTTTTTTTCTCACCGTAAGAGTTTTATTTTCCCGACATTGAACTTGTTTTTTGTTCTTATGCTGTGTTCACATAAAGTAATACCTTTCTTAACAGGAAAGGCTGGTTCCCTTTCTCTTACACTCAGCCACAGCACAGTGTGATGGATCACCTCGAGAGGTCAGTGAAGAAAGAAACTTGGCATTTGAAGTGGTTGATAAACTTTTGCGCTCCCATATTATCGTGAAGCTAACTTATGACTCGGTAGGACTTAAGCAGGACGTCATAGCATTCACTGACTCGAAAAAATAGTGGGTTTATTTTTCCTTGAATTGCACTCCTTTCTTCTCCGTCCACATTCTCAATAATTTAAAGCATCTTCCAAGCAAAAACTCACAAAAGGTGAAGAAAAGCTCAGAGACAGCAGAGTGATCCTTTCAGCTGATGAAATACCACAAGTTCATATTGTGAATTCACGTTTCCTTTGTCTCTTGTCCTCTATGCTCTTTTATTACCCACTCTATCTGTAAACCTTTGCTTTAGCTCCCTATTCCTCTCTAAGGCTAACAGCACAAGTACAGGCCAGCTCGACAAGCTGGGCCTCCAGGCCACCACAGCCCTCACCCCAGACTCAGAGGAGGAGCGCGCTCTGCCCCCACAGAGGGTCAGCACCTTCCGCCCACGTCCGTACAGCATGGCTGACACCAACAAGGTGAGAAACCTAAAGCCTTTCAGGAGGTCCTCATGGTTTTCTGAGAATTAGTCCAACTGGACATCAAGATCAATGAAAGAGAAAGAGATGAGTTGTGATAATTGAAATCAAACAAAGTCTTCTTCACGTTACAGATCTCTGCAGCACTGGCCTCTCCACCACCTTCTCCAACCAGGTAACTTCAGTCGAGCACACAGGCTCTCTGTGTGTCTTTACAGGGACAGGTTTGATCATTTGATCTTTGGCTTGACTTTGGCGATATGTTTTTTTCTTAAAGTTGTAAGTTAAATAAAAGATAGATAATATGACATTTTAGCATTTCCTGATCGATGAGCCACAACAACGACAACAGGTATTGAAAATCCAGATGTTCCTCTTAAGTAAAACAACATTTCACCATCAAACACAAGTTAGTATAATAATTCAGCCACTTCCTAGCACACAGTATATCACCCTCAACCAAAAAATGTCTTTCCTTTTGAAAATGTGATACAAAATTGCAAAAAAAGTTATCATGTTTGATATGAAAATAATCAATGTAATTGGTTGTCATGAAATTGGTGTCGCATTTTTGTCCTTTAGGGATGAAATCTTAAAACGCTGTCTATCCCTGAGTCCTATAATCTAACATTTTGACCCATGGCACTACATTCAAACTTATGATGTTTCTATCAGCCTCAGCTATTCTCTGTTTCTGTGCTGACTAAGAAATCTTACCATGATCAGCTCATTGTTGGTATGCCTAGTAAGCATGTTGGCCATCTGATTTCAATGTTAATTCATGTCCAAAACATAAGAGACAAAAAAAGGTGACCTGCCCCATAAATGTGACATACCTGTAATTACTTTCTTCCTCACAGGATCAATCCATTTGCCCACATCCGACTCAGAAAAACTGTGACCAATGACCGCTCTGCTCCCATCATTGAGTAAGCCTTTAATCCACACCGCAGCACTCCTATTTTCTTGGGTTTCTCAGTTCTTCGAACCTCAGGTTGAATCCTGGAAACAAACAAACCCATTGGTTTATGTTACGTTTTTGTTGTTGTCAATTTCTTTTTTGATTTGTTTTTGTTTTCCATCAAATTAATCAAATACAGATTGTGTTTCTTTAAAAAAGTGTTAAATCAAATTTTAAAGGTTTATGTGTACAGATCTGTTATACATGTGATTTCAGTCCATTCAGTTTGGAAAATATAAAAAACACAATAATGTCTGAGTACATCTGAGAGAAAAAATTATAGGCAAGATTTTGAGACAGAATTTGAGATATTTTGCTGTACTAAGTTTAGAGTGAGATTTCATTTGTTCAGGATAACTAACATTTTCAGGTTTTCACTGGGATATGGAAAATGCCTCTGACTTCTCTCACTGTGCAATTCAACAGAACTTTTGATGTAGATTTTTGGTTGTTTTTGTGCCATATTATTCAACTCTGTTTTCTTCATGTGGTTGATCGAAGGACTGGTTCCTAACAGCGGGTTGTGAACTTTTACTGTAACAAAGTGTTATGGGAAGAGGACAGGCTCCTACTCTAAAAGTGCTATTAAGATGTTATATTCTTAGACATGCTGCCAGATTGATGAATTTTCTCAGTTTTGATGAAGTTTAAGTTTTACATTTATTCCCAGTGTCTTTTCAAGTACAAAAGTGTTTTTTTGTTTAAGAAGGACTTGGTATATGTCAATGAAATTGGCCATAAAATGTTATTTTTGAGTGATTGCTACTGAGGATTTACTGAGCATGGGCAAAGCTGTTCATATTTTCGGTCCCTGTTGGCTCTATCTATTTGTTGATTCCTGGTAACACGACATATTCTGCTGCTGTAACTTCACATTTAAGTGTTTTATGTATCTACTTTTTCTTTTATTAATTTAAGTCTTAACTTGGCCTCAAAACGTTTTGTGACAACAAATCCTACCTTTACTTTTTGGAATAATTGATCTATGATATTTTTAGGTTTTTAGAAGACTTTTATTTTTCAGAGCAAGTCCAACAATAAAGCCTCTGAGCTCCACAGACACAAACTGTGAGAATTAATAGATGAATGTTAAGTTGGTGGTATGTTGACAGAAGTGTTTATTTCAGAAAGTTGTATGTTGTTGAAGGTTCAAAGTGTTGAGTATGAAGGATTTTCCTGATTAGTCTTTGGGTCTGATGTCTTCTTGGTTCCTTTACAGTCCCAAATCTAAAGCTAGAAAACATATAGGCTAGCTGTTTGTAGCTGTATGTTTACCAGTCAGACTGAGCAGAATCTTTAAGGACCCATGCTTGGATTCTCTGGAAGGGGAAATGTGTTTATGAAAGTGAGGACGAAAGTGTACCAGAAAGTTGACCAATGTCTGAGCAAGTGTTTATGCTAAACTAGAAATATCCAAAGTACGACCCTTTATTTCCGTAGTTTCCTTTAGAAAAGTATGACTCAATGATAAAACTCTGTATCTGTAAAAACTGGAACTTTTATGTTGATGTTTTTGTCGTAATTACTGTGATCTTGTAGCACCTTGAAGATTTGAAATATTGCCCAAAAGGGTTGTAGGAAAAAAAAAATTCTAACAGCATTGATCTTACTTTGAGTAGTCCTGCATCATTTTTAAAGATGACAGCTAAATGATAGAGCTAATGCTTATCCATGCTTGTTCATAGTGCAAAAATGTGTGATTGTATGACTTTTATTTAACTTCTTTTGTCAATAATATTTCCCTTTGGTAGAACATTTGGACTTTGCTGATGCAGTCAACACCAAGAAGTCATGTTGAACTGAAAATAAGGCCTCTTAGACAGTGACAGAGTGAAAATGCACAGTGATGTTTTTTCATCTACATTAGGTCTGAATGTGTTTTTGACAAACACTATCGATTAATCAAGACTTAATTTAAGAGTGACTGGTGGCTGTTGTAGTTAGCCATACTGAGCAGAGTGAAACATAAACTGAGTTTGGTGCTGGTGTCTTTACAGTATCAATAATAGGACAACAGAAATATGATTATTTCTGCAGTAAATGTAAAACAGAAATCAATCTTTTTTTTTTTTTACAAAAGCAGAATAACATACTGAATAAATCTATTAATGTTACAAACATTTAACAAGATAATGAATGGCAAAATCACACATTAATAGCTTATCCTCATACTATTGTTTACCTGTATATTAAGTATGTGTATTATCAGTGCAATGTCACCATTCTCCTCATAACAGCTCCAGACTGAGACACTGTATGTACAAAGCTGTTTGTGGCTATTTGATTACGGGAGAACTGGCACAAAAAAAAACAGACAAACAACCAAAGTCCAAAACTCCTCTACCAGAGCGAAATATTGTTTCTATATTGCACACCTGTTGTACACAGTTCAATTATTCTGTGAAATAAAAATAAAACTGTAAATGGACGGTCAGTCTGTTCTACATCGGACTACATGTAGTCTGAACTACATCGACATGAAATCCTGCTGACTGCAGAAGATATTTTACTATGGTGGTGAACACTGCTGAAGACTTTCTTCATCTGAAAAACTGCATATTGATGTGATGTGAAATAAAAGTTCTATGGAAAAAATGTTTGCCTTGTTTTTATTACAAAGAAAACTAAAGTTTTCCAGTGAAATATAGTTTTTTAGTTCTGTTTAACAGAGCAATCCATCTGAATTCAAAGTGTGCAGCTCCAGTTGTATCAGCCCTTCAGTTTTCAGGGGTTGCAGTACAGCTCCACATAGTTTGCTGCCTCTGTTTTTCATGCAAGCAGATTAATGAAGGTATGAAACAAGGTATTCAGTCCAGCTTTGCCAAGATAAGCCTCTTTAGAGGGATCAGGGTTGTACCGAAGCTTAGTTTCAAAACTCTCTTGATCTGCTCTGTAAAATCAAACTGAAGTCCTGATGCTGAGTTACGATGTCCAACAGAAAAACTTGATTTGTTTCACATGAGTGTCTGGAGATGTTGGTTTACTAATTTGGAATTTATGAGTGTAAATTTAAGTTAAGCTTGTTTGAAAAGGATGTTTATCTTTGCCACAGAAGTGAGGCACATTTCATTGGATATGAAATTGTCACTGTTCCTAAGTTCTTTCAGAATTTATACGCAGACAAAATCCCAAAACATTGACTCAAAATTGGCCATTAGATCAAAGTTGTAATGTGCTTCAGTAGCTTCAGTCTTTGAGTATTTAATATGTCTCAATAAAACAATGCAACAGAAAAGTTGAATTAAATAGAGAATCTTTATTTTGGGACACATTGAGCATTAACATGGAAACATATGAACAAGAGAACAGCATAGGTGTGGGCTGAGAGATTTGTAAATTTACAGGTCTCTTAGCCAGGCCAAGTTGTCTCCACTAGGTTTACAAGGATGTTCTGGGACATCAGGCAAGTTTCCATCATCTCGCACCGGGACTGCGGAGGGGACAATGGAAAAAGAAATGTAGCTTTAATCACAATTCTATTTACATTTCACTTATGAGATGGTTAATTATACAAAATGGTGTAACAAAATCAATCCAAAAACCAAAACAGTTAATGGCTGTAGTTATGAAAGAACAATGTTCCAACAAAAAGGTAAATATCAGTTCAAACAAAGGCTACACACATGTAAAACAAAGCTAATGGCAAAGAAAGAGAAACGTTAGAGAGCACCCCATAATACTGTTTGTAAAGTTATAGGAAAATAACCTGAAGTGGACAGACCATCTTATGTAATTGTTTATTTCTGTTTTGAGTGAGGGGCAGGTAAAATAAGCTTTGTCTTCTACCTGCTCCGTTCTGGTCATGTGCTGTGCTACATTTGTTAAATGACTTTTGTATTTATGGAAATACTTAAAAATGGCCATGAGTGGAACAAAGAAAAAACAAAACGAAACAGCAAAATAATGATTTAACCATAAAAACACAGACTTAAACAGTACAGGTGAATAATACAAAGCTGTTTAATGTGTCAGTCTAGTGTAGCATCTTTACACAGTCTGCTTTTAAATAATCAGCACTGGAGTTTACCTGGGTAGTTGTAAGGCACAGCTGCATTGATCATCGCCGTGTACTTTGTCATGGGGCTGATGAATGGAAGAACGAGGCCTAACGAGGAAAAAACAGATTTATTTACATAGATCATATTAAATATATTTCTCACACTTCGTAATAGCCTAAGTAGGATACCCTCAACCGCTATTCTCAAGTGTGGTACTTGTACAACCAAGTAAATACTCTCAGTAACATGTATTATTTTGCATGGGACTATACTGAAGTAAGTCATAATGTACAAAGCAATGCAAATGTATGAGGTAATATAACTGCAATACTCTCTCATACCCTCGAGTTTGCGCCAATGGCTCTGTCAATTTTTACACTATTTCCAAAACAATTATGCAAAATGAAGCAAAACTAACCAGCCAGTCCAATAACACACGATGTCAGGATAACAGGCTCCTTGTTCCAAGCATTTTTTAGGAAAGCTGCCACTCCTGCAGGTAAAATAGCACAACAGGTAAATATCAACCAACATCAACGACGTGCTAAGCATAGACTGTATAGAGATGAGTACATAGTACAGTCTATTGTGCTAAGGTTAGCTTCAGTTAGCAACACATCCAAGGTCACGATTTACGTTTAGATTAAAATGGATTATACTGTATTTAGGTAGATATAAGACCATGTTAGCAGCATTGAATGCGCTTAAATTTTAAATATGTGATGTCGAGGCTTCTCATCGATCTCTGTTTCACATAAAAGATATATGAAAGGTGGCAAAATGTTCACGTACCCGCCATGTTGACTTGTGTAGTTTCCAACAGCGCGCTCATGGGATACGTAGTATAAAGAAAGATGACGTTTATTTTCAGCGCCCGTCGCACAAAAACATTACATGAAGCAGAAGAATGATAGAGGGGAAACCTGACGCACTACATTGATTAAATTTTCAGTATAGTTTTATTCAGCGGTGTGAAGATCTTGTACAGTATATCTACAGCATACAACGACCTTATGCAGCATTTTGTTGTGCGGATTTTCGATAGATTTAGCGGCTGCTGAGCCGACGTCTGTGTTTTTTTCAATCATTTTTTAATTAAATGTGAGTAAAGAAGGACCTACCTTCGAAGATGGACAACAAATCGCCTCTAATGATAGTCTATATCTGTGTCTAGCGGTCATATTTCAAGACTTATAAACAGGATATTAATATTCAGGAGTTTTCCCAGTCAAATTCATTCCTCAAACCACTAAGGTGAAGAGTTGTAATGAGATCATCTTCGTTTTTGTTTTCAGATGATGGAGGATTTCTCTGGGTTGGCTCTTCCCCCTCTGTTTGGAGGACACATCCTGGAGGCAGAGCTGGAGCCTGGTGGTGTGGAGCTGGGTCCCGGAGAGGTAACCTTAAAGATCATGCAAAAGGCCAGATCGATATTAGGGTATTGAAAGCTTCTGTTTGAATGTAAAGACTGTTAAATTTGTTGATATTGCGTTCAAATCTAGAAAAGAAAGAAAAAAATCAAAATTGATAAAAGGAAAATCCCTAGAAAAAAATCTTTGGCCTCGTTCAGTTGTTTCATGAGGGGCCAGAAACCCGTGATCCCTTTAAAAAGACACGGCTAAATGTACAGCAGAGCTATAATAGAGATGGTAAGGCAAGTGTAGTGCACAAAGCAGTAATAAGACAGCTACTAGATATGTAAACAATGTGTATATGGCTGATAACAGATGAGGAAAGTGGTCATAGTGTGTGTGAAATATTGATAGAAACAGTAAATATGTATGTTACCTGCTGTGCAAAAATAGGCTTGAATTACAGATTAAGACCAGGTATTGATGCTTTAATTAGAAGATTGGGTGCTCCATTGGGCAGTAAGTGCCAGCACTTTACTGAAGTTATCAGGCGGGCATCTTTATTCTCTAGCACTTAGTTGAGTTAGGTCCACAACACGTAAAAAGGCTCAACAGTTAGTGCTGGCATCTCTGAGTTACCACCCACAACCCATCCTATCCACAAGCAGGCCCTCTTTGTGTTACAAAACAAACCCATCAGCATTGCCATGTTCAACAGAACCAGCTTCAGTTTGCAATATTCATGCTACCTACCCTACTACATAGCCCCTAAAGACCCCTACGACCTAAAAGCAATCAAAGACATGAGCCTGTGGAGGGTTGTTTGACAGTGAACAGGGTAGGAGAAAGCCTGTTTTGGTCAGAGGTTACTCATGCTGGGTTAAGCTGTATCTTCTACTTACCCCCGTCCTTTTTTAAGGGATAAGTGGAGAGGGAGGTGATAAACAGCTTTATCTTGTTGTTTTGGCTCCCCACTGACATTGTTTCTTCCCAGTCAAGTAGAGCTGGATGAAAAGAAATACACATTTTAATCTAGCATTAATTCATATTAGATATCACAAAGTTGTTGTACTAGAATCAGCAACAGAAATGATCTTTTTGTAAAACTATGTTGGATGACCTAGATAGCCAGATAGAAGGAAAATTCAGGTGTTTCATGACTTCCAGGTGGAGCTGGGTCCAGGGGGCAATGAGCTGCTGGAGACTACAACACAAGAGGATGAAGAGAGAAGAGCTCTTGATAAGAGAAAATATCTGGCTCTGAACAGGAGATGTAAAGAAATTGAGCAGGTTTGTGCAAGCTTTAACATGCGTCAGGAAATGTGTGGTTCATAAAATGTATCTGGATTTTTTTTTATTAACTTCCTGATTGCTCACAGATTTTCCCTGATTGTTTTTTTTAACCAACAATGGTTTCTAAAGTATTGGTATCCATATCAGCTGATTCAGTTTTAGAAGTGCACATGCAGGGCAGACCACATTTCATAACTACTTTTTTAGGTATATTAATTCAGAAGAATATTCAGTCGATTTCATTAAACATTGAGATGGTGGACCTGTGTTGATAATACTGTTTCTGACAGTTAACTCATTATCTCTTCATATTTGTCTTTTCAGGTGAATCAGAAGATCCTTGGTCGTCTTCACCAGGTGCAAAGAATCACACGCCGTTTGAAGAAAGAAAGACGGTATGAAACTGTTTGACGCTTATTTACATCTTTCTCAGAGACGTTTCCTTCTTGATCATCAATTTTGAGATGATGTTGATGTTTCAGGTTTCTCATGAAGACTTTAGATGCTCATGGAGATGACTTCAGAAACGCCCAACTCACCATACTTCTAGAGGTGAAATTATATCAACTCATGTGACCTTTTGGCAAATCTCATTATGAAGCGATGTAATAATTTTTCTCACCACCCATGCCATTTTATTACCACAAGCTCATGTTTGACAAATGCACCATGTGAAAAATACCCAGATTTCACAGGTTAGGGGCAGCTACTATAAAGGCTAGATCACCCTTGGAGGCCTGGAGCACAGGTGATATAGTTTTTCTTTCCTGTTAGGAGGTGAGCAGCAGCTTTTTAAACGGGCCGTAGGTGCTGAAAAAATGACTCCTCTAAGCTCACATGCAAAGATTTGCAAGAGTCTTGATGAGATGTAACAAAAGAAAGTATTATCCTTTCAAACTCTGTAGCAGGGAGAGAAACCCTTTGCATTGACTATCAGTCTCAACAGAAGGAAGCTGGACTTCTGCCTGTCAAGTTTCAAAGCGCTGTCAAAACAAACACCAAAGCTCTTAACAAAAGAACGAATACTATCTACACAACAGCTGAACGTGCTTTCATTTAAGTGTTCGCTGTGTCCAAACAAAATGACGTCAGTTTTATTCTCACTTAGTTGAAGATTCAACATCTTATAGACAATCAAGAAATTGCTGCATTCAGCTTCTACTTTTCAGTTTTAAAGGCAAGTGTTTTTGCACACCATTGGCAAAGAAGTGCAAAAAGACATTGTATTTTTAGCAAAACAGGCCCCTGGGCCGCATATATAGAGAAAATAGGATTCAAAACAGACTCTTAAGAGAAATCACAAGTGAGAGGAGCTGTCTCAGAGACAAGAGGACTGTGTGATCAACAGTGTTAGAAGCCGCTGTGAGGTCCAAAAGTATAAGAATAGCTGAGTCTCCAGAATCAACATCTAAACTCTCATCATTAAAAACTCTCAAATTTGTATTTTTAGTTTTGTTTATAACCAGACTGAAACTTTTCACAGACAGCATGTCATGACTAAAAAATGTCTGCAGCTGGCTGCAAAACAACTCACTCCAGAATTTTACACAAAAGATAGTTTAGAAAAAGGCTCGAAGTTCGAGAGAGCTGAAGGATCAAGATTTTTTTTTTTTGGCTGTACAATTACAAGTTTAAAAGCTACTGAAACACCATCAGAAACAAGGCAAATATTTGTCAGTGTAACAACATTTGGTCCATGAGTGTCAAATACTTCCTCTAAGAGATAAATGGGAATGCTCTTGAAGATATTTTGTGGTTTTACATAATTACAGAAAGCATAAGAAAGTCTGACATAAGCTGAGCAAAAGTTACGCGTTTCATTTTAGTTTTTCAGTATTTTCTGCTGATGGAGTACAGGCTGTCTTTTTATTAAATCATTAAATTGAGATCCAATTAAATTATAATGTAAAGTACATATCAATTTAATCTTGAATATTGACCATAAGTGAATGAATCTGTGAGGAGTGTTTATTTACGCAGTTGTTATCTTATATTCAGAGCTTGACTGAAATGACCAAGAATCTGCAGCTACTGTGATGCTTGAATTTGAATGATAGAAACCCAGCCTGTCTGCTTTTTATGTTTCTGTTACTTTTTAAATATTATTATAGAAATACTCAAGTTCCCTCACCGCATGCTAGAAATTGTCTGCTCTGTTTGTTCCAGGAAGAGTCAGGAGCACATTTAGATCCCGCAGCTGGAGCTGAGGACGACCGGCTCAATGGTGTGTCTGGTTCTGCTTCTTCTACATCTTTGCACCATACTACAGGACCAAAAAAGAGGAGGCACAGAATTCCCCGGCAAGACAAAGATAAAGATCAGGTATATTCATGCTCCAGTTTTTCTGTTGGACACAATTTGCACTGTACCTTGTCTTGAAATGGTGTTTTGAAATGTCTATACAGTCTATGTCAGTTATGTGACAACGCAGATTAACGATTTTCTGTCAACTTGTTTTCTGCTCTCTTTTCCAGTCTGAAGCTGATATGTCCGTGTTGGCAGACACACAGTTTGGAGAAATGCCCAGTCCAACCTCACTGTCTCACTGATTGTTGCACCTCCTTGAATGTGATGATGACAAAACGATCACAGCACCAAATTTCTGTAATTTTTCAAAAGACACACAATCTCCTTTATTCTGCCGGGTTTTGCACTGTGTGTAATTTTACTTGAATGTTATGAGCTCATTGAATTAACTTACAGTAAAATGTAATTTACTGGTACATTTATACATATATTTCAAATACATTAGTTTCTAACTTCATGTTTTTTACTGACAACATATAATTATGACCAGTAATAAATCATACATGTTCATGGACATTTTTTCTTAGGTTTTTATCTACCCAGACAGTGCAGTTATACAAGGATACCAGCGCTTTAATAATTTCTTTACAATAGATGTTAACAAATATTTGATGGTTTATTATTTTAGGCAAAGGGAGTCTTGACCAACATTTGAGAAGGATCATTCACACCCCTTCACAAATCTCTTTGATTAACATTCTGTGACATGCAAACACCTTTATCTTGGAGTTTTTCCTCTTCTTCCTCTTTCTTCCTCTTTCTTTTCTCTGCTCATGAAGGATATGTCCTTTTTTTGTGACACACAACTACCTGCACATCGCACAGTAGAAGGCACATAACGGTAGCGGAGCTTTGACATGTCGGCAGTAAGAATCATAGGCCTACGTCAGCAGCAGCACTAAAATGTTTTTACTTTATTTTTTTTATTTTGAAAATAATATATATTTGATCACACAGAAAGCATCGCTCATACATACAAAGAATAAAAATATTGAAATTATTATTTTTTTGATTGCTCTTCGAGGGGCCCCCCTGTTGGCCGCTGGGCCCTAAACAGGCGCTTAGTTCGTTTATGCCTTGGGTCGGCTCTGCATTGATACATAAGAGTATATCAACAGAAGACAGTGAAAAGGGCACTTTTAATAATAAAAAAAAACTATATATTTAAGTTTCAAGCAGCAACATAATAACACATAACACTGCTTTCATTGAGATACATTTATGAATCCTAAATGAATTAATAATCTGTGTTGGAAAAAATATCTGTCACCCTTTAAACAACGATGTTTCAGCTGCCTGAGATACCACCACAGACAGTCTATGGATAACTACACATGGAAATATTCCAGTAAGTGATATTTCAGATTTTCGGAGCTCTCCTGGATTTGCTCTCAGTTCATCTGACGCCTGAGCCAATTGTCGGATCTTACTCAAGCGGATGTCTCCACGTAACGGGCGTGAGTCGTTTCCAATCAGATCCCGCAGATTAGATTTAGGGCGGGGCCTCCGGGCGGAGGTGGGATTTTAGCTACCGTCCATCTTCAGCTACATTACAGTGAGCGAGCTTGTCGAAAAGAAAACACAATTTGGAAGTGAAGAAGACTTTCTGGAATAAGTTTTGGCTCTATTTGATAAAAGACAAACGAAAGCCCATATCCTAGGTAAATGTCGTGATCCAGTATAAATCTAGATTGTCGGGTTGACCCAGTTTCCCTTTTTCCTAAATTTGGCTAGCTGGCTAGCTAAGCTGCTAGCTAGCATTTTATGCATTAGCTAGCCAGACATTTAGCAATATTAGCTTGCAGGGTAACGATTAAAATGGATTCTGATATATTGTGCCTCTAAAATGCAAAACCACAATATAAAAGCTGTACTGAACCCTGGAATAATTATGCATGAATATGATAATTATAACAATGAACACGCTTCGTGGTGCTTGTTTTGAAACGGGCCAGTTAGTCACCGAGCGAGCTGTTGGAGCTAGTGTTCACGTTAGCGGGCTAGGTGGCTCATTTTAGCTGACAATCATGTCACTAACAGGGAGATCGGACACGTTAACTATGATTTAAAGAAACTAGACCCGGTTTCCAAAATTCTGTGTTCAAATCACTTTAATATTTGAGGTTATATTTTCATGCAGCCACCGTGAAGTGAAGAGTTAACTGGAGTTTCCGTCTGAGCCTCTCAGGACACAGGAGGACTGATGGCTCCTTTGAATGAATTTGTGTTTTGTTTGAAAGACACACTGATGCACTTTTCTTTGTTCAGCTTACTTTGTGACAGACGGAATGTGGACATTGTCGTAGTCAGGGCCATGGCTGACAAGAGAAAACTTCAAGGTAAGAGTCCTGATGGAAGGAAAGGTGCACAGGATCTCCATCAGACTCTGGACCAAGTTTTATCAGATTTCTAACTGCATCATTATCCCCTCAGGTGAGATCGATAGATGCTTGAAAAAAGTAGCAGAAGGTGTAGAGCAGTTTGAAGACATTTGGCAAAAGGTGAGCGAATAGTTTAATGTGGATGTGTTTGACTTCAGTTTGTTTTTAGTCATTAAACTAATATATATCTTTTTCTTAATGTTTTCAATAGCTTCACAATGCAGCCAATGCAAACCAGAAGGAAAAATACGAGGCTGACCTCAAGAAAGAGATTAAAAAACTACAGGTAAAACACTTTACGAATGCGTTCATTTTTACTACAATCTTTTCCAACATGTTCTCCTGTAAACCTTGGTGATGTTGTGCTCATTCACGCCTTGTGTTCTTTTTTCAGCGATTGAGAGATCAGATAAAAACATGGGTGGCCTCAAACGAAATCAAAGACAAAAGGCAGCTAGTCGAGAACCGCAAACTCATAGAGACAGTAGGATTCTCTTGAATTTCTCCAGAATGACATGATGTGTTTGCAATCTCGTATTTACCAAAACACGGTTCATGTGATTTTTGTTTTCTTCTTTAGCAAATGGAGCGGTTTAAAGTAGTGGAACGGGAAACAAAAACAAAAGCGTACTCTAAAGAAGGCCTGGGGCTCGCTCAGAAAGTCGATCCAGCTCAGAGGGAAAAGGAGGAAACGGGACAGTGGCTAACAGTAAGACATCATCTTTTTTTCTTTACATTTGTCACATCTCAGTGGATAATTTTGTCATTTTCTGTCTTTATCTCAAATATGAAAAAGAGCTTTTAAAAAAGATAACTTTATTTTGAGGAAATTTAAAAAAACAAACATTGTGGTTCAAACAATATCAGGAAGAAGTTTTGATCAGTTCCATTTACATTGATATTGTGTTTTTGCCTCCTCAGAATACGATAGACACTCTGAATATGCAGGTGGATCAGTTTGAAAGTGAAGTGGAATCTCTCTCTGTTCAAACGAGGAAGAAAAAGGGCGATAAAGAGGTAAGAATTCTATCACAATACATTTTATTGAGAGGATCTGTAATTGCCATGCATATCCATTGTTGTGCAGTCCAATGTAACATCGTAAAGATTATCAGAAACCACTATCTTATCATCTCTTTTTCATGTAGAAACAGGATCGTATCGAGGAGCTCAAGAGGTTGATTGAGAGGCATCGATTCCACATTCGGATGTTGGAGACCATTTTACGAATGCTGGACAATGACTCGATAGCAGTGGACGCAATACAGAAGATCAAGGATGATGTAGAATACTACATCGACTCTTCCCAAGACCCAGATTTTGAGGAGAATGAGTTCTTGTATGACGACTTGGACTTGGAAGACATCCGTGAGTAAAGCTCTGTGGGCGTTTTTGACCCTTGAATTTATAAAGTAGACATCGGAGAGTCAATAAGGAAAACATGCGACACTTTTCTCTGTCCTGTCTGTCTCTCACAGCTGCAGCTTTAGTTGCGACTTCTCCATCAGGTCAGGGAAATGTGGAAGATGAGCTGTATCTCCACTCCAGCAGCACTCCCACTTCCACCACCTCTTCTTCACCCATCCCTCCATCCCCAGCTACTTGCACTGCTGTAAGTTTTTCTCTTTTATATTATCACACTTTGACACTTTGGGTGTTTAAGGGGATGCTGGGTAGAAAAGTACATTCTGTCACAATGCATTGAGTTCAACAACACCAGCTGTTTAATCCACTGACCAGTTTGCTGATTTAACATTTGAAAAAGTGGATTGTCATATCAAGGTATCTCCTCCTATAGGAGAACTCAGAGGACGATAAGAAAAGGGGACGGTCGACAGACAGTGAAGTTAGTCAGGTGAGAGGCTCTCATCTGTGCTGTGCAAGTAGATGAACAGTTTAGTGCAGCTCTCTTCACCCTTGGTCCTGAAGAGTCTTGGTGGCTGAAGGGGTTTGGCCTCTCAAGCACTGAAAAGGATCAAGCTCTGTCTCTGTGGGACCATGGTGGGAGACTCCTGATGTAGTTTGTACCATCTCCTGCTTAAATGGGCTTTTTTTAGTTCACAGTAAACTTTGGTCCTCCTACACTTCTTACAGCTGAAGCTGCCCTCTGCACTGTTAAGTTGAAAATCTTTTTTTTTTTCTGGTGCTCTGTCATTTTCAGTCACCTGTGAAGAACGGCACCCCATCCTTGCTATCTTCCTTCTCTTCCTCTACCACATCTGGGTCCTCCTCATCTTCCTCCCTGGTGTCCATGGCAAGCGTAGTCGGAGGCATTTCAGCAGTTCCAACAAGCAGCAGTCTCATAGGCAGCTTCAGCAGCGCGGTGCAGCAACACCAGCATCCACCTGCACAGCAGCAGCAACAACCTCAGCCACCGAACCAACCGCAGCTGCAGCAACAGCAGCAGCCACCTCAGACAAAACCCTCTGTCCCGTCAAATAACACCCCCAGCCCACCCAGCAACCCCCTACTCCCTGCCTCAACTGCCCCTGCTCTTCCCACACCCAGCACGCCCATCTCATCAGCACCCAACTCTCAGCCTCAGCCCACATCAGGGCCCACACCTACATCCAGTTTGGGACTCGGGCTGGGGCTAGGGTTAAGCAAAGGTGGCTTGACGGGGACCAGCAGCGCCAGCCAAATGTCCAGTTTAGGTCTGGGTGGCCACCCCACTCCTCTAAACACAATAGCAGGGCTCATTTCAGGCTCCACACCTGCCCCTTATGCTCAGGCAGCAGCAACTGGAGGCTTGGGTCTGAACAGCACCACACAGTCCAGCATTTCAGTGGACAGCAGCACTTCCATTCCCACCTCCGGCTCCAGTGGAGTCACCACCAACGGGGCGGGGACAGGGCTTGGTCTGCTGGGTTCCAGCCCAGCTCACAGCTCTTTGAGTGGGAGTATTCTCGGGCTGGTTCCTGGGCAAAATGTAGCCCCCGGTGCTTCTCAGGTGCCACCAAGTTCTGTTAGCAGTACCCCCGGGGTGGTTGGCATGATGGGAGGCAATGGAGGGAGTGTTGGCGTGGTTGGAGGAGTTGGGGTTAATGCTGCCCCTGCAAGACCACCCAGTGGACTGAAGCAAAATGGAAGCACAAGTATGTTACCTCAATGAGCATGTGTGGCTCTCAATGTTTGAACATTTCCTTTTCTTATACAGCCTAACCTCTTGTGTACTGGTCCACAGGTTACAGTGCTGTGGTGGCAGAGAGCTCCACAGAATCAGCTCTAAGCACACCAAGCCAGTCACAAAGCAGCCAACCGTCATCTCTCAGTTCTTCAACCAGTCAGCCGTGAGTCACTGTTTTCATTCGTTTGTTTGATCTGAGTCCAAAAGCATTTCTTTTTTTTTTTCACAAACTCGTTCTGAACTTTTTTTTGTCCCTTCTCAACTTTTTGCAGGATGGACAACGGCCCAAGTTTAATCAGCTCCATCACCCTGCCACCCAGCTCTCCGTCCCCCTCGTTCTCAGACAGCACACCTGGAGGAGGTAGTCTTCTCAATGGGCCTCATTCCTACACACAGGCCTCTGAGGGCCTCAAGGTGAGACGACAAAGCATGGAGCCTTATACTGGGTCATGTGAACCAACAAGATCACAAAGAGTTAATATTGCTGCTGCTCAACAAGGTTGTGATTATCAGGCAAATGACAAACTGTGGACTTAGAAGATTACTTTCAACAAATTATACTTGACTTTTTCAAGTTATGTGACCTAATATTGAGATATCATTGTTTCCTTAAGGCCGTTACACTTCCAGTAGTGACTAATGATGATACGGAAAAGGAATAAATATCTATGAGGGTGGATGACCAAGTGATAAAATCAGAATTGGTGGTTGTGTAGGTTCTTTAGATCACTATAGTAGGGAATCAGTTTTAAATTTAGTTTAGTTTTTTAGTTGTAAATCAATTCTTGAAAGTATTTCCGTCTGGTTATGATCGTTTGTACAGGGATTTAATAAAACTGCCTGTCTGTCACAACTCTACTAATACATCTATGAATTTTGAATTTACTATTCGTCAGTCAATCCAGCTGAAATTTCACTCATGAAATCTTCATACACTGCCCTGTCACTCTTTTATGATCTAAACTGTGATTACTCTACTCTCACTCTTTCCTATCAATCAGCCTCCTTGGTCTGATCTTGTCTCCGTCTTTTCCCCACGTCAGGCCCCAGAGCCCCTCAGCTCTCTGAAGGCGATGGCTGAGAGAGCCGCCCTGGGATCAGGCCTGGATGGAGAGATTCCCAACGTGCACCTAACAGACAGAGGTCAGAACAGTCAGATACTTTCTGTTGTGATTTGTTGGGACATAAAAAGCTTAGAAATACACACCTGCGACCTTCTTTTACATACACATAACCACTGCACAACTCTGTGCATTAGATGGCCTTTGAAAACAGTTTTTAACCCAAAGTGGACTATGCTCAGTCAATACACTCATAGTTGTGTTGTGGTGTTTTAACCAGAAGATGGTGCATGTGCTGCCATGACTTCAAGTGCAACTGTCATCATCACATGGAAAATTGGAAATTTGCACCTTTTCATCTATATATTGTTGGTGACTATGCTACACAAAGCATATATTTGGGCAGCACAGTCCTGGCCAGTAACACTGATTTTTAACAACTTTCTTCCCATGTCACCTTGCCATATTCATGCATGTAAGAGAATCTGTGGTGTAGTTTTTAGTCAGGAACTGTTATGAAGGACTGTTTTTATCGATATACCGAAGTATAATGACAGTACTTGTAGCTAGCAGGAATGCTGATTCCATATGCTGTAAAATAAAAGGTTCGAGAATAAGATACACAGACTGTATGTTGTGAATTTGAAATCACAAAAAGACGATTGAAACCTTTTCCCTACTTAGTTTTCAAATCTGCATAGTTGTGATGACATGATTAATGTCATTTATCTTTCTCGCCTCGTCTCTTTCCCGCAGATATCTTTTCTGGCTCCTCTGCGGCGCCTGGGACACCTGCCGCTCCTCAGCCGTCCGTGTCAGAGGTCAGCATCCCCCCTTCGCTCGGGGTCTGTCCACTTGGCCCCACCCCTCTACCTAAGGACCAGCTGTACCAGCAGGCCATGCAGGAGTCTGCGTGGACACACATGCCACACCCCTCCGACTCTGAGAGGATAAGGTGAGGGCGCCTTTTATCGCAGAGGTTTAAATGTATTCAACAGTAATTCCACACACTTTACATTGAGGGTCTTCTGTACAAAATTAAAGTCCCAGCTTTAATGGTTTTCTTTTTTAATGTGAATTCAGTTCAGCCAACTCAAAAAAGAAAGAAAATATATTTATTTTTCATATTCACAGAAACAAAGATATTAACAGACTGAACCACAAATCAAGTCTAACTCTGGTTTGATGGAGGTTCATCATTTTCCAAAATCTGTGAAAAAACATAAATGCTGTTTTTATATGTGGACAGCTGTATGAGTTATTAACAACAGCATTTAAGAGTTTTAATTTAATTTGAAGCTAATCATTGTTTCTAATTTATCATGGATCTGGTTGGTTTAAAAGAATCTGTTCTTTATTTTCATTTCATTGTTACATGAAATCACCTCTCTGTTTTCACTCCTTTGTTCCTGTGGCTCACTATCTTTGCTTCCATCCCACAGGCAATACCTGATGAGGAATCCATGTCCCACTTTGCCCTTCCATCATCAGGTACCGCCACACCATTCTGACTCCATAGAGTTCTACCAGAGACTGTCCACAGAGACACTCTTCTTCATCTTCTACTACCTGGAGGTAAGAAAAAGATGCGCTCCCACCAAGCTATGTCTTCTGGTCTGGCTCTGTGGTCTTACTGGTTTGTTTCTGCTGCCGCTTTTAGGGCACCAAGGCTCAGTATCTGTCTGCCAAGGCTCTTAAGAAGCAGTCATGGAGGTTTCACACCAAGTACATGATGTGGTTCCAGAGACACGAGGAGCCCAAGACTATCACTGATGAGTTTGAACAGGTGCAGACTCAACACGCTTCACATAACTTCTTAAACTCAAAGTATTAGGACTTGTGGTGTCAGCTGTTGTGTTTGGAGTCGTTGATTGATTGTTTCCACTCTTCTATCCATGCAGGGCACTTACATTTACTTTGACTATGAGAAATGGGGCCAGAGGAAGAAGGAGGGGTTCACCTTCGAGTACAGGTACCTGGAAGACCGAGACCTGCAGTGACACACAGAGCGGACGCAAGAGGATGGAGAGAGACAAAACGTGCTGCTGTTGACATTCCGAGACTGAACTTCAAACTGTGGATAGAGATTGTGATGTGTAGTAGAAACCCTCTCCTGGAATGGAGACTGGTGTCTGTATAGGCTGCATCTCGACGTGACACCCTCGCTCCTCGTGCAGCGCTTTGCTTTTGACAAAAACTGCCCCGTGGGACTGATGAAAGGCACAGTGCTGCACGAGTTGGGGGGGCTCTCACTAGAGATCTGCGTTTGTGCCTGTCTGTGTGCACACTCAGTATGTGGCATTAGGAAAGCCTACCCCATGCATGTTTCTCATGTTTTTGTTTTCTTTTCTCCGTTTCAACAAGATTCTCTGTACCACCTACCCGACATGAGCCTGGAAGCCTTTGACTTGACACAAAACAAACCTTGGATTTGATTGTTGAGTAAACTGCCCTACTTGTATTTACTGTAATTTGGTGGTTTAGAATGGGGAGGTACAGCGGACATTTAGTCATGGTGTGTAGGACTGGCTTCTTTTAAGACCCTACGATGCCTGTTGAATATGGTCACTATTAGAGATAGTGAGCGTTTATCAATAGTTTTATTGATATTGTCTTGGTCGATTTAAAACGCTGATTGAGAGTGACCACAGGGCCTCTCCGTGTGACAGGGAAAGAGTCCTTATTGGACATGGATTAAATTGCTATGCAATTGAACTGGTCTCTGACTCCCTCTCTTTACAAATAAAATGTTTTTAAGTTAACATGTCAAAGAAAATGCATTATTATGGCGCATTCATGTTTGTGACAAATTAATAAACTTGTAAAAGAAATCTGAAAAATAGGGTTTGAGACATTAATTTACTTGATGTTTGATACTCTTGCCATTGAGGGATTTTCATCAACCTCAGTGCAAAGAGTCATGCTAAGCGTAGTGAATGTACCTGCACCCAAATCACCTCTTAATTACTCTGGAGATACACAGCATCAGATAATGAATCTGAGTTTGCTTTGAGTCGAACTTCCCACCTTTAGTTGAGGTTTTATTCTCTTCTGTTGATGTTTCTTCATCTTAAGAGCCACTGTGTTCAATTTACCACCTGATATTTAAGTGGAACCCCTATACAGTGAATGTGCACTGATTACTTGTTTACATGTAAAATGAAAACACAGAAATCCTGAAATTCTGGTGGTAGATTAAACGTGTGGATTTGAGAAAGCCATGTCTCATCTCTGCTGTGGTTGTTTATGTGCTACCCTGAAGAAGAAAAACAAGGTTGAATCTGGTTCTGGATCTGGTGCGGGACAGATCCAGCTGTTTATTCGAAGTATGGGGAGGGTATTAAAGTAAATCAAAAATTTTCCATTTAAAGCAACCACGAAAACTCCTGTACTGCAGCTAAACTTTATGTTGTGTGTGATTAGTTTTCAGGCTTTTTGGGAGGGAGTGGGGGGGGTGAGGAAGGTATTAAAAATGGAAAATAAAACAAAGTTATGAGAGATTTGCCTTTTATAGATTCTATTTTTGGGGCTTTTAAAGGTTTTCAGAAAGGGAAGGTCCGTTAAGAAATTAATAAAATGTGAATTTCAAGACATTTACAATTTTTTCTCATCACAGTTCTGCATGGGAGATGTCATAAAACGGGGTTATAACAGGATTGTAAAATTTCAATAAATACTTTTAAGAAAGTACAAGTTAGTGTGGTGTACAGTCCTGTTATTCTTTCATGGGATATCGATTCATGTTTGCTTTGCTTCTTTAATGAATGTGACTGAAACTCTTCTGGTAAACCGATGGGTTTATTTTTAAAACATTACTAATGTGGTAGTTTAATATCTATTTTTTTAAGAGAACAAACGAGACCTTTTTGAAAGCAGAGAGGATGCAGTTAAAACTTGTACATATTTTATTCAGATGGCAAAAAAAGATCAAGCAGTAAAACAAAATAAAAAACAAATATTCTAGATGAATTTAACCAACACTCTGCAGCAACTTTGTATGTACAGTGAGCCAAGTGTGTGTGTGTGCGCATGTGTTCACATCTTAGCATCCTTCTTGACTTTGAGAAACTCGGCCATGTTGGAGAAATATTTCTGGTTGGCTTCAGCCACCTTTTTCTCGGCAGCCTGCGGGTTCACGATCTCCAGGCCCTGGAGATTAAGAGAGAATCATGTTTTAACTGGAATACATCTTCACACAGCGGAGGAGAAGATTTCAGACAGAGGGGACTTTTATTTACCTGCAGAGGAGTGAACGCCACGCTGGAGCTTGTTCCTGAGGAGCGGTCTCTGACGGTGGACTTGCCTCCGTATGTCATGCTCTGCTTCTGCAGCGTTCTCTGTTGAGGATGAAAATAATTAGAGACTTAAGAGGCTGGAAAGAATCCAGCTGCGCAGTGATCATAGGGCAGATAAGCTGAATGAGTTTACCTGGAGAGATTTGGAGATTCTGGCCTTGGTGGCCTCGTTGACCTGAGCCTGCCTGACACGCCCGCTGCCGCTCTTCCCCAGCTGACCCAGGCTGAAGCCCAGGTCCTCCTGATATGCATCGTCTTCGATCTGCAACAAAAGACAGCAGGCATTTAGCTGAGAGCTGCACTGCCTGGGCTTCTTTCACTTCAATAAAATGCTTGTCATGAAAATGGAGAGAGCGACTCAAACTCTCGCTCAGTCATGACTTCTCTGTCTTGGAGCTTTGCATCAGACTCTTAAACTGAGGGATTTCTCTCACTAACAAATAATATAGACACTTCTACCAGTCATCAGTTTCTTTTTCTATTCCCGTCACTTTCAGGAGCAAGTGTTACCGAAATGGCTTAGCTGTAAACAATAAGAGTGAGTCTGCCTCAGCTGAAATACAACACAACACTGTCCCATAGTTGCCACATCTGTTTTACGGTTGGAGTACCATGGCTACTGTCAGCCACCGTCATTCTCACCAGAGTCACAGTTTAAACCTGAGGTGAGCGACATGATCTACACTTTAATCTGTGTGTTCGTATCAAGACGCTTTGGGAGGGAAGAACATCCAATCTGATCATCAGTGTTGTTTTTTTCAGCGTATGTCATTTAAACCCCTTTTGTCTCATTCCTCACTTGCAGGCCACGTGGTTTACAGAACCAGAACCAAGCATTATACTGCAGTTAAAATAAATAACTTTGGGTTGAACCGAGTTTAAACCTGCTGGAAGCACAGGTGAGCAAACAAAAGATGAGAAAAGGAAGCATATAGACATGGACCAAAATATCTGACCTCTGCAAAGGTCATCCTGTTGGCATGTTTCCGGATTTCAGTCAGCCCGAGACGCTCCTTCATCTTTCGGTACCTTTAGGAACAGAGACAGGAGCAGCAGAGCGGTTACACTGAATATATATTTAGACATGATGCTGTATTCTAAACTTGGCAGTACACATTATGTAAGCTTCTCGTCGTTCTCAAACATGCAGTGTAGTTTACAGCTTTGTCTTGCTTTAACACTCCTTAAAGATAAAACTGTTCCTGTAGTTCAAGAATCTTCTTAATTTTTCCTGATTACATGTAAATCTGTAAAGAAGCCGAGAAGTCCCATACCTTCTTCCCCCTCTTTTCTTCCGCTGTCCGTCCAGCGGGGCCGGCAGGGGTTTGACCTGCTTTACAGGTGGAGGTTCCTGCCATTTATCAAACTTCCTCTCTATTTCCTCTTTGAGATCATAGCCAACCTGAAAAATAAAACAGCATATTGTGGTAAATGTCAGTTAAATCAGATTGTAATTCAACATTTCTTTCAAGTTACTGAAAGGTTAAACGTTAAACTTAATCTGAGTTTCAATTTCAACAAACTAAAATGGCAGATGCAGTAGTTTTGAATTGGTGCTTGACTTTGTACTGCTGTAAAGTTTCTCTGCTCCTCCATAAATGAGAATGAGGCCCAGAAATTAAACTGGTTTTACAGGACTTATATTAAACATCTTGCCAAAAAACTCATTAATAATCTGTGGATCCTGGATCTCAACCTTGCCATCTGGGCTCTCATGAAAACTGTCCACCCGAGACGCCAGAGTGCATTTTGCAGCCACCAGGCGAGCTGCTTTCCTCCTGAGGTCCTGAAGACAAAGAGATGACGGGTGTTGTCAGCAACAAGGTCCTCCAGTTGAATTACACTCAGGGACATAGACTATGTTTATGTAAATAAAAAGTTTACTGACAGGTGGGAGCGACTGCACGACATCACAGTGATAGATGAAGCCGGTGTGGGGCAGCAGGGACGTGCTGCTGAAGCCGGACAGAGTTCTCCTCTGAGCTCCCAGCAGCATCAGGTTACAAGCAGGCATCTTGGAGAGGTTAGTGAGGCCGCCAGCGATACCTGCAGTCAGAGAGGAAAACAAATGATAACATTATCTGTTTGGCTGAGCTGAGAAATATCTTACAGCATTCTAATAATCTAATTCTATCCTTTTTGATCTCATACCCATGATCTTGGCTGCTGTCGATGCTCCAACAATGATGGACAGATTTGGGGCGATGAAGGACATTCTGGACTCTACATATTCATATATTCTGTGTTTGGACTGGTTCAGCTCCAGAGCCATGTCACATGCATCCTCCAGCTGCTTCAGTTCCTCCTCACTCAGCTGTGAACTAAGACCATTCGAACACAAACACAGTCAGGGTATTGATCAGCTGTTAAATGGTGCTGTTGCTCTCAGCAGTGGCAGTGAGGATGATGTGCTTGTGGATGGGAGTGAATTAAATCAATTGACCAAACAGGTCGGTGAACTCACCCCTGTGTGGTGGAGGCCGTGACACTGACGACCATGATGGTGGCATTAGTGAGGATCTGCTGCAGAGTTTCGTTGTTCTTGCACTTTTCCAGGTTGTTTCCTAATTCCTGAACAAAAATCCCAAGAGGAAAATATGATGCTAAAACCCCAAAAATTCAATAAAATGGAAAAAGCAAACTAGATATTCATGATACTCTATAGAGATTTGTTTTAAATGTATATGAACTCATTGGTCAGTATTGTAGCTAAAGTTGTGACTCTGGATTCCTTACTCTCATTTTGGCTTTCAAACATTTCAAACCATCTTACCTTGACTGTTCGTATGTAATCTAGAGAATCGGGCACCAGAGACTCAAGCTCCGGGAACCTCTTGGAGTACTTGTCCCGAGTAAACTTATGAATGATGTCTGAAACAAAGTCAAAAAGGCACAGGTTATAGAGAGAAGAGCAACATTTTGATGTTTTCATTCACAAATGGTCAGGGGAGGACTCACTGAGCTCATTGTCGATCTCAACTGTGAGGTTATTGGCCGCTACAATCAGTCTATATTCTGGGTCAGCCTCAACCGGCCCCGAGACTAAAGAAAGACAAAAGACAAAACAAATAGACATGGTCATCAAGCTCTGGTTTTCATTTGAAATAAATGAAGAGTTATCAAAACCCCAAATTAAAAAAAACAAAAACACGGAAATGTGCCACTCACCCTCTGAGTTTTTGCGCTGCTTCCCAACATACCCCGAAATTTTATCCATAATCTCTGAAAACTTCAGACAGATGTCAAGATTAAGTGGGAACAACCAAAACAGGCACATAAGTATAAATATCACACAGAGTTGTGGGGAAAAACTCACCTGTTTACTGTTGCGAAGTTTGGCAATTGACCCAACATTCTCAGCCTTACTGTAATCCACTTCCATCTCCTCTGGGATGTCTTCAAGCCCTCCCTCTGTCCTTCCTTGTGTCATCTCTCCATCACTCTCCCCCTCCTCTCCCTCTGGATACAACCCATCCTCCCCCTCATCTCCGGCCTCCTCCAGGTCCGCCAGGAGCTCATCCGCCAGGGACATCTACAATCAACAGCAGAGGTTACAGAAAGTACATTTCAGCTGCTTAATAAGATTAAATTCCAAAGACAGTCAGTGATTTGGAGGTTGAATTACAATGCCAGGCTTACAACTGTAGAACAGCTGATTTATTTGATAAGGTTATGGAAATGGTTAGAAGACATGTACCTCTATAAATCTGCTCTAGTTTCTCCGACCACTCGAAGTGCTCTTGCACACAGCATTCACACACTGATGGCAGGGGATGCTACAGCAGGGACTGTCAGTTTAACAAACCCAATCTACTCACCACTGACTGGGAGCAACTAAAGGTTCAGTGTCCTGTGAAATAGTGAGTTGGCATGTGAAATACCTAAACTACAGGAATACCTTTTGAAATCATCAACCAGCAGTCCAATTCAATCAAATGTAATCCAATACAACACTGATCTTTAAATGATTGTGGGTTATGGTGGTGTGCTGGAGTGCCTCATCATAAAAAGGTGTTTTTGATATTTTGTCCCCCTCAATTATTCAAACTGGACAAAATGTAAAAGGAACCCCCGTCAAAATTACTAAAGATGCAGTGATCCATTTTTTTCCGATCCAATCCAACATCGATACCTGGGCTGAGTGTAACGGCCAATATCCGATACCAATCCAATACTACTGTTGAATGAATGAACTGTATACCTTGCCCTGTGAGTGTAGGCATCAGACTTGACATAAGCCTTGTTAAAAAAAAAGGTAACAAATTAACACAGATATAACTTACGTAATATTTTTATTAACAAATAACAAATTGCACATTAGCACACAGCAAAAAGAAGTAAGACTTCCATGTATTTCAAGAAAAATTAATTAAAAGAAAAAAAATGGATCGGAATGCTGGATCGGCATCATTCATCCGATATCCGATCAAGTTAAATTGTCAATATCGGAGCCGGTATCCAATCCAAATATCGGATCGGTGCATCCCTGTAGTTTAACATGCAAATCTCTGTCCTAGCCGCTTAGCCAATATGTTTATCACAATCTAAGAAATTACAACTGCTTAAGGATCATAACTTTGTTCAAATTAAAGATAGGATGTTGATTTATTTTACATGAAGCAACTGACTGTGCTGCGTTTGTAGTACAAGGTAAACATGTCTCCTTAAGCTGTTAATCTTTACAGTTAATAACATGAACGCCCTCCTTTTAAACCAAAATACAGATCAACACTATAAACCATGATAATTCATAGTCTTGGATGCTGGTTCATCTCTTTTAAAATGTTATGGTCTTTTATTGGCACATGATCACTTAGATATAAGGGGCTATTTAATACTTAATATACCAGATATTTAAGTCCAGCTTAGACTTTTTACACTCCTCTATAAATACAACACGCAATGATTTCTTTGTGAAGACAAAAAGCTGAATAACTGGCCACATTTAAACTCTCTGGTTTCATCATTCATTAATGTGGCGTTTTGTTGCTGTATTAGCATCTCGTTAGCCTACGTTGGCTAAACGTTGCCGGTTAGGTATACCAACGGTTGCAAAATGAACTTACCTTTGAGCTGAAACTGGGGTCGCCAACAGAGGAGGAAACAAATGAATGTGGATGTTATTAAGATTTCAAGTTTTTTGCTCTCCGGTATATCACACGCTGCAAGAGTTTGCTACGGTTTACTGTTGTAAACGCTTGTCGCGGGCTAAATACGTAATCGCTTTCGCGTGGCATTCTGGGGGATGGAGTCAATACAATGACCATCTAATTATGCAGGCGATGCAGAGGATAGAAACGGAGCGTGTTGTAGTGTTTTGTCGTTCACGAACGGTTCGTTCAAAAGAACTGAATCTTTTAGGTGACGTACTGAACCGAATCACTCGTTTCTCACTTAAGTTGAGCTCGCGTGATGCCAGTCGAGCAGCCACAAATGAGGGACAGCATGCACCGACACCTGAATCACTTGGTGAACGATTAGGCATTGAACTACACTCTGGAATCATTTTTGTGAGACAAAACTACTTTTTTTTTTTTTTTACTGCTAAATGCCCACCACAACAACTTGCATACAATAGGACACAGTACGTAGCAAGTGGTGCATTAAGTCTGCAGCATCCTATCATTGCAGCGGTTTGGGAGGGAAAGGTGCATGTTCAGAGTGAAATCTTCTAAACGTTCAGTGAACAAATCACTCACTGAGCCCAATTAACCGAGCAGACCTGATAACTAGTATACCATAAGACAGAGCACTTAAAACATCATCACTTACAAACAAGTTCATTTTTACAAGCCTGTTTGCCAAAGCAACACTCAAACACTCGTGTCTCCCAGCCCCAGAAGCTATGAATTAAACTGAATCCTGAAACGTTCAGCTGTGCATCAGTTCAGGAGTTCGGAGTTGCAGGCTTTTCCTGCCAAACGCTACATGATTCAATGATTTGGTGAACAAATCTTTTAAGTGAATTGATTCTAGTGATTCAGTTCATCTAAAAGAACTGCCATGCCCATCACTAGCGTGTTGGGATAGAGGAAAAAATACAATTCCTTATCATGAAAAAGTTCAATCAGAGGTCCACATTTTGAAGTTTTTATTTCCCCTCATCTGTACATTATCCCTTGAAAACCATTCTTTAAACAATACAGGTTTTAAACCAACATTTAAACAGACTAAACAAATCGACTAGTTGGACCTGAACTGCATGATGGGCTCTTATTAGTAGAAAATGGGAAAAATGAAGAGATACACTAACAAATGGAGTTATTTACTGATGAAAGGCTTCGGTTTTTCATGCTAAGCTACATTAACTGTCCTTAAACAAGGAAAAAAATGACAAGACGGCTAAAAATTCATAGACATTGGAAAAAATGACACATTACAGGACATAGTTCCATACAGATTGGCATATATTAACAAGTAAAATTATACAAAATACTTTTTTTTAGCAATTAAGACGTTTGGGAAAATATTTTGATTTATTTGTTATGAAGATCTTAGATAAGGTATAACTTAGATGCATTCTGCCCCAAACAAATTATAGCTAAGTATATATTTGTGTTAACTAGAGAGAAGCAAATAAATAAATTAAAAAATAATAAATAAATTAGGGAATAAATAAAGATGTAATAAAATATCGCATGGAATTGGCTTTACATGAATAAAATAATATAACCAATATAAAATGCTAGTTATAAAGTAATATAGTTCTTCAGAATTAAAAAGTAAAGAAGCATAGCTCGTTTAATTTTTCGTGCAGTCTAAGAATACATCTAAAGTAAACAGCTCTAAAATGATATTGTATACACTTGTCTCATGGTATTTGTACAAATGCATATGAGTATTCTCAAATACAGAAGCCAAGTGATTTCTGTTCCAAACTGCTGTCTACATGAACAACTGACCGCCGACTGCAATGAAAAACATCTGTAGTAAAGAGAGGACTGGAATCCAAGAGTTTACATAGACTGATTAATGACCAACCAAAGTGCATCCCTGCTCATCTGGGGAACGATACGAGAAAATGACGCAGAAAAAGAGAAGGTTAGCTGGTACACAGCAAGACTCCCACTGCATAGCTGTCAGATCTGTTTCTGATTTTACAAAGCTCCAGGCTCCTCCTCTCCTAACATATGCCGTTTTTTTTTTATTTCCAAAGACTTCTGTACCCCGGCTATGAATAAACTCTGTAAATAGATGCAGGCAGGAGCAGAACAACCTCTGTCACACAAAATCCTGTCGCTGGTAAAACCTGGAATGTGTCCAGCTTTTAGATCGGGAGTCTCGTTCTTTCAGTTGCCTCATCAATAAAAAAATAGCCTCTGGGTGGATGGCTGGTTGTTGGGATCAAGTCCAAGTCCTAGAGGGTTCGACGCTAAAGGTCCCCGTGTTGACATTTAACATCACACCAAGTGGGGGTCGTTGGCAGGGCTGACAGTGAAACGGGATGATGTCACTGGATTTGCCCCCATAGGCGACCTTGGTTTGATTGATAAATCCTCTTTTCTCTTTGAGTCTTTGCTCTTGATGTTTGACCCTGGTAGAGAGAAAAAAGACAATTGAGTACACAGCCTTGTGTGGGAAAGTCTGGCACTTGTCCTTTCGATGTGGTCATACATCAAAAACTTGGGTTCACAGGGTTAAGGGAACACTGGGAAAAAGCATCTGATTGAAGTGACAGTAAGAATATCTCGTAGGAACCACAGATCTACTGTATGTACTGGTTACACTTTCTAGTATAAGAAATAGTGGTAACGCTTTCTTTTACGGTACACTTATTACCAGGTAATTAACAGGTAATTACCTAGTAACAACTAACTCAATACTGTCTAGTTTTTCTTTTTTTCTTTTTTCTGTGCAGCTCCATTTTCAAAAGCTATTTGGGGTTCTTATTTTCTATGATTGACACTTGATACAGCCTATGGGCGTGCGAAGATTGCGTAGCGATACGCTGTTTGAGCCGAGCATTATCACAGCGACTCACCCGCCAATGCTACTGCGCAAGTGGTGGTTCCAGGAAGCGGAGAAAATTCTGGAAATACCAGAGCAATTCAGCTTCAAATCTATATGATGATGGAAGGTTACCTACCTGGTAGCTAGACTAGTATTGACTTAGTAGTTATCATGTAATTACTAGATAATTTCATGTTGTTACTAGGTAATTACCTGTTAATTACCTGTTAATAAGTCGACCGTAACAGAAAGCGTTACCAAAATAATTTATGTTGAGCATCTGTTTAATTGTATCATATTGGATATCTTTCATAATCACTTCCTTTTTATTACAGCTGCACAGAAAATTAAAGCTAATGCAATACTAAATCCAACTACACTAAGAGACAGTGCAACAATCAGGACTACCGCTTCATATCTAGTGTGACACACAAACTCATGCTGAGGTTTAGTTTTCCAACCATCAGTATTGTGTCTCTCTGTGACAGGTAAAACTGGGAGCATTCAAAATGTCTGTGCCCCAAGGTCCATTTATGACTGATACACATGTGGCTTCAAAACTGCTAACACATACTGTGAGATTTTAGCAACAAGCCAAATACAAGTTGGGAAATAAACTAACAATCCTCATCTATTAATATAATCATACTGATGCAATACAAAAAAAGAGTTTGGTTAAAAATAACTCAAAAAGAAAACAGCATCTTCTCACAGGACTCTGAAGTTTCAACTCTAAAGGCAATGAAAGATCACAAAAGCATCTAATTTTGGTGTTTCTGCAACTGTGTCAGTGTGTGTGTGTATTTGTGTGTTTACAGCCTAAAGGAAACTCTGAACTCAAACTTTCATTATTCTGTGAAATGAGGTGATCAGAGTACAAGATGGAGAGAGGAAGTCAAGAGAGCGAGTGAAAATGTGTTGGGGAACACAGCTTAGGCCGGCATTGTTGAGCACAGGATTTATGTCTCTGCTCCGTTCCACATGTCAGAGTGTCGAGAGGGATAATTATAGAAGATTAATTCTGGCTGCATATTTGGAGAGGAGATGGTTGAAATTAGAGTTTTTCATTTAAGTGGGCGGGGATGAGTTAGAGACTGCAGGAATCTGTGACATCATTCTCCTGCTCAAGGTGAAGACAGAAACAGACTTAATGCAGGTGAACTTGAGGATGTCTTTGGCTCGCTGCCAATTACAACTCTGTGTCTGATACAGCAATAAGAAGTTGTTGGTAAGCCTTCTTGAGGCTATACTTGAGTTTTTCTGAAAAAAAAAAAGGTTGATAACTCATCCTGCATCCACTGCATACACTGTCTATTTCCCTCCCCCAAGACACTCTAGACAGTCAAATTAGTTTGTAGTTATTGTTTACCACTATGAGGCCACTGCAATCACTATTCAATGACTCTAAACAGGCCCTTCCTAAATGTGAGCTTTATGAGAAACATGTGAGAGTGAGAAATCATTAGCCCACTGTTATGTGTTTTATGATACTCTGAACAGGTATAACCCAGCATCTTGAGCCCTATTCAGTTAATGGTGATGATAATGATATTCAAGCCCCTAAGTTCTTGTCTTCTGCTGCAGAAGTGTTGCAGAGTCTGTGCCAGTATTGGAGGAAGTCACAGAGGTGTTATAGAAGCCAGATGGGGTCACTGTGAGCGGAGCAGGTCTGATGTGTACGTTTGCATGTGTATGTGGGACTCCTGCTGTGTTCACCTCCTGTGCTTATGCATCGCTGTAACACAATGTGAAATTACACACTGGGAAACCGACACTGCGAGCACCATGAAAGTACAGAGACGTGATAACGGCGGAGCTTCCTTTGAGCACTGTTGCATACACATAATGAGAAAAGAGCTTTTCAGTAGGCAGGGTAGCATGCTAGCATGAGCTGGATTGATCAATATAGCAAGTCCTGATGGATGTGTCAATAGTTTAACCTCAATGAGGAGTTCAAGAGGTAAATCTGTCAAATTTGCCATGTGGTGACTGGTTAAACAAAACCTATTGGCAAGTTTTCCACAAGACCAGCTGATAGCCTGACTGATATTGACGTTCACATAGCCATACTGCTAGTTAGTGCAAACACGTCACTGTCCTCTGGAGGTGGGATGTTTTATCTTACCACGTAAATCCAGCTTGGTACTTTTGACGGACACTGGGGCTGGAGTAGTGGGCGCTGAAGTGCTCAACTCATTTGTTGGAGTCTCCTGTTAAATTGAGACATAAAAGTCATAGGTACTTTAGATATTACCGACATAATCGATCATAAGTTAGTCATAAAAGTCTTGAAAATACCTGATCAAATAGATAAATTGTGACATCATCAAAAAAGGACACATTTCTCCCTCTATCCCTCTCTCTGTCCATCGGCTCCTTCGGTGACTTCAGCAGACTCCTCAGCCCCACACGTTTGTCTACATCTGTTTCCGTGACAACAATCACTCTCCGAGAACTTTCATCTTCCGGTTCATCCTCCTCCTCCTCATCTTGGTCGCTTCCCGTAGACAGGCCTCTCCGTCTTCCAATCCGACTCCCAATCGATCCATCCCCAAACCCCCCTTTACCAGACGTGGTGAGGGGGAGAGTCAGAGCGAGAGGAGGAAGAGCGAGAGAGAGGCGAGCAAGTTTTGCTGTGTGAGGGAAAACAAAAGCATGAGGGACTTTACATGCAGTTCAGACCTACAGTGTAGATTTCATTACACTAGATGATGTCTCACTAAATATTATCCCAGATAAAAACACACACGTACAGTGTCTGTTGTTTTGAGCTGGAGTGTTTGTTTCATTTGTATTCAGTTCAATTCTGTATGTGTCTTACTGTATTCATAATGCAAAACTCAACACAGATAATTTCCCGCAGTTTGTTTATCATGATCACAGACTGTTAACGATATGAGCTAGATCTGGGCACCTTTCATAGCCTGGTTTGTGGTGGGCTGAGGGGTTGTGACCTCAGGTTGTTCAATCACAGTGAAAGGCTCAGCTTTAGTATCATCAGACTCAGCGTTCGCCTGCTTGGTTGGTGAACTTTCTTGCTCCTTGTGGCTGTAACAAAAAAAAGTACAGATAAACAGACAAATTAAAATATGAAAGACCACTGAGAACTCTTGATGTAGTAAAAAAATTAATAAAAATCGGAGTGGGACTTTAACCAGTTTTCTTGTGGATTGATAGATCCTTATAACATGATCTCTGTTATGTTATCCCAAAAATTATTTCACAGTAAGAACATTTTTTTTACCTTTCACTCTCCTTTTGTTCTTCCACAGGAACCAGCTCGCTGCTATTTTCTGTGATCTGCTCCCCCCAGGGCCGAAGTGTCACCGTGTCTTTAACAGTTGTTCCCCAAAGCACATTTGTTTTCACATTTTCACTGAGGGAAAACTGCAGCCTCTCTTCACACACCTGAAACCACGGAGCAAAACAACAAAAGGTGGTAAATAAACTGAGAAAGATGATAAAAAAGCAATCTCACAACAGGTCCCAAAAATCTGCCCACCTGCATCATGAGGCCATTCTTTGTTGTCAACTTGGAGAGAGATCCCTGGTCTTTGACTTCCGATGCTTGTACAGGAGGTCTCTGGCCTCCATTCCTTTCCTCTTGAGGAGACAGTTTGTTCTGTGAATCCAGGATGACATCTGGCACAGGCTCTGCCAATTTATCAGAGTTATCGGACATTCTGTCCTCTGTCAAATCCATCACACCCCCCTCGGGAGTAGAGGCAAAACATACCTCCTCAGTTGTATCATTTTCAGCTACACTAGCAATTTTCTGATCAGGTGTTTTCTTTAAAGACTCGAGGAGCTCCAAATTCCCCAGAAAAAGGTCACCTAGAGAGTCATCCTCATCTCCAGATATGCAACAAAGTTGCTCCAATTTTTCAAAATCCTCCAAGGGCTCCTCATCCAAATCTTTCCATTCAGAAATGAGTAATTCTGGGAGATTGTTGAGAGGAACTTGGGGTAAAGATGAGTTGGCAGATGAAGTTTCCTGCATCAGTTCATTTTGTTCATCCTGCCTCTTTGTGTTTGATGCACGGTTGCTATCATCATCCACTGTTACATGCTCACAAGAGAGGCTGAGATTGGCTGAGATCCCTGCACTCTGAGTTAAAGCAGGTGAATCTGAGATTTGTGGGTCGTGAGCAGGAGAAATACACGGCTCTGCCTCGGTAGGAGCAATAAAGTCTTCCAGATTAATGTGACTAATAAACTCCTCTGACTCTGTAACAGATGGAGGTGGACTAGGAAAAGAGTCGTCTAAACTCTCCAATTTATCATCCTGCACATCAAGGTCTATGCTCGGTGGAGGACTTGGAAAATCCACTGAGCTGAAATTGTCTACCAGAGGATCTGAATGATCTACCTCCTCCTGCACATCAAGGTCACTTGGACAAGAGCTGGGATTGGAGGAAAGAGGCATTTCTCTGTAATCCCCCTCGACACTCCTAATGCTTACTCTATCTTCTGTGCACTGCTGCTTAGCTGGCCATGCTCTTCTCCCTGCCTCTGAGTCTAAGCCTGATTCATCATTTTCCTGGTCTAAAGAGTTCACAGCAGAAACCTCACTAATGCAAACAGATGTACTTGTTTTGTTCTGTGAAGTGTGACTGAGGTGGTTCTCATGATTTGAACTTGTGCCGTTGTCAGTATGCTCAGCTGATGTTTGCTCCTCTTTTTGCATGTCGCAGAGGTGATCCTGAGGCCATCTGTTAAAATTTTGATTCTCCCCTGTCTCTGTGGAGTCTGATAGACCTTCCCCTTCACTGACTGCCTCTGTGTAGGACAAAATTTGTCTCTTTCTGTGCTCCGAGGTCTCTTGCTCTGGGATTTCTTTATTTTCTATGTCAGCGTCTCTTTTCAGGTTTTGGTTAAAGCTGCCAGTTTCCCCGAGGTTCTCGATGTTTTCCTCCTGCTGGACCATGTGCTGGTTATCTTCTGTAACGTCCCATTTTTCCTTAATGGCGACGCCACAGTTAAGTCCTTGTGTTTCATCGTTCCACGTTTCTTCACAGCCTTCCAAGACCGCAGGGTGAGGCTCACTTCCTGCAAGCTCGTCATTTTCTTCAGTCTCCCAAAACTCCTGACCAACGACGAGCCTCTCCCCTACCTCCCAGGCCTTGTTGCAGAACCCAGAGAAAAACTCAGATCTGAGGTCAGGGTCCTGGCTCCTCCTCTCCGGAGAGGCCCACTGGTCATTTTCATCTGGCCATAAGTGCAGGTCTCTTGACTGTGAAAAACGGTGGCAGTCAAACTCTCCTTTGACAACACCAGCTTGTGTATGTTCCTCCTCCTTCTCCATGGTGCTCCACAACTCTCTGGTCTTCATCTCTAGACCTTCAGAGGAGTCTTCGTCCACATTGTTAGCAGAATCCATCCAGCTTTTTGCTGCTCTGAGAGGGGACTTTTCCTTCATGGCGTTCCTCAGCTCTGCAGCAGCCAGCTGTTTATCCGTCTCCGTGGTGAAATGTTTGCCCTCGCTGCCATCTGAGCAATGCAGGTTTCTCAGGCCCAGCTCGTTGTGATCTATACCGGGCCTTTCGTCATGTCTCCCCAGCTCTTCAACAACCTCCACAGCCCAAGTAGGACACATCAGGTCGGTCTCTTTATCAGAGGCAGACTTCCCATCATCACATGGCTCGATTATTAACGGGATCTCTCCACCTCTTTGGATGCAGTGCAGTTTAGATAATCTTGACTCCTTGTCATCAGCTTGGGATGGTGTCACAGATTCCACAGTGTCATTTCCACATTTGTGGGAGTCCAGCGTAGAGAGGAGATCGATATCTGTCTTTGTAATGCTTGTGTAATCATTATTTCTTGGCCTTGACACGCAATCCTTTGACTGGCTGCCAGAAACAGAGTCGATCAAAGTATTAGTCTGAGCGAGGGTCCTAGAATGAAGGTTTACATCGTTTTCTTTGGAGTCTTGATATTTGTAATCTGCTACTTTAAAGATGATTCCATCTGTGTGGTGGTTGTCAATATACCCACTGCAGTTTGGGAGCCCTTTCTCATCGTCTAAATCTGAGAACAACCTATCAATTAAATCAACGCAGTCTTTGACCTGCAGATCATCCCCAGGCATCGCTGAGTTTAAGCTTTCGTTGTGAAAAATGCCTGAATCATCTCTCTGTGTTAACTCCAGCCCTTTGTTCAGAACGTCTTTGTCGTTGCCTAAATGAGATACAGCATTTTCTGGACCGCTTTGATTCACAGTACTTGTTTCATCACTTATTTTAATGGTCGTCTTTTCAACTGTTTCTCTCCTCTTATCCAGCGCCTGTACATTATTTCTCAAAGGGCTCTTGTCTCCCATCTCTCCCTCCTCTTCAGTTTTTTCCTCTATCCCTGTCAGTGTTCCCCGATCCCCTCCTCGGCTGCTGCTCGGCCTCGAGGCCACCAGTCCATCACCGCTCCTTCGGTTTATCAGATCGCCCTCCCAGTCACTATCTGAGAAGTAGGCAGAGTCTCGATGGGGTGTCTCATTTCCCAGGGCTCGCCAACCCCCGTTTCCCACTCCTCCTCCTCCTCCCGTACTTGTCCATGAGTCGCTGGGTGTGAGGCAGTCGGCTGAGCTGGAGGTCATAGGTGACAGGACGGAGTCAGTGGGGGTGATGAGGGAAACATCAGTTGAAGGGTCCCAGTCTGGAGTGGTTGGAGTGGCAGCAGGAGTAGCTGCTTTTTGGACGCTGTGACTGTGTTTTGCATCATTGTGTGTCTGTAAATTTTCTCTTTTCATCTCTGCAAAGCTTTTGTTATCATTTTGACAACCAAGATTTTTGGCATTCTGCAAGTCATTAGATGCTGTGATGTGCTTGGACTCTACTGCGAAATCTCTCTTGTTATTTAGGTGCTTTTCTTTGTCATTATCATATAACGTACTACCTGTCATTTCACATGTCTGGTCATCTCTTTTAGGGCTGCTGGCCTGCAGATCTTTCATTATCTCACCGTTTCCTATGACAGCAGGCTTTTGAGAGCCTGTTTCATCTGTTATCAAGGATTTGTTGTCGTGGAGTAGCACAGTGTTGGATTCATTAACTCTCTCTGTGGATTTGGTCGGAGAGTGCTCGAGGAGGTCTGGATGCTCTCCTCTGGCAGGTAGAGCTGGACCATCTGCACACTCCTCCTCCTCTTTTTGACGATCGAGTGATTGGTTGTGTAGGAGACCATTTTTGGGCATGATCTCTGAAAACACATACTCGCTGGATTGGCAGTGGTCTGCATCGCTGTCAGCTTTTTGAGACTCTTTGTTCGATCCTATATGAAGGATCGGGATCCCAGGTCTCATGGATACCTTGATCTCACTCTTTTTAGCACGCTTGGTCACTTGGGCATAGATTGCTTCAGTTTGAGTGTCACTTTTCCCTTTGCTGGATGCTCGTATGGAGCTCTCTGACTGAAACCTGATGGTCTGAGCAGAGTTTGGGTCGATGCATATGGACTCGTATTCAGGAGACAGAGGAGTAGGGGAGTAAGAGGAGTCTGCCTCCTTTTTGTTGGCAGCAGCATTTTGTCTTGATATGATTTCGGTCAAGAAGGTCTCTGCTGATTGGATCTCCTTCAGGAACTCCTCCCTGGTCATTTCTGTCTTTCGGGGCTCCTTCTCAGGCTGCTGCACTTCTGACTCCTGCTTCCCAATGGTGATCTCAGAGAGGAGAGAGCGGGACCTCCTTATACCCTTTGAATAGGCCTCTTCGGCCTCTGTGTACGAGGGAAGGCCCGGGGCACAGACATAGGGGCGTAGTCTGGATCCTGCTGGATAGAGGTATTTGACTGGATCAGGCTCTGATCCTCCCTCTAGATCTGTTTCCATCCTTCCTGTGTCGATCTCTGTGAGGAAAAGATCCCCCTGGAATGATTCTGTGGTGCCTGGATTTTCCTCCTTCGCTCCTGTGTTGTTGTGTTTTTCTGGCCCCCATGAATGAGTTGCAGACCCCAACTCTGTGATCAGCGACTGGGAGCGGCGCATGCCTCTGTTAGGGAGGAGAAAGTTCCCCCATCTCTCTCCATCTCTTTTCTCCACCTTCTCTCCTTCCCATGAGGAGTCCTTCTTGGACTCACTGGATTCTGTCACACTGGATATCTCAGTCAGGAACAGATGCATAGGGGATTTCTTGGCAGCTGCAACGCGTTCTGCTTGAAGTTCAGCATCTTCTCTCCAAATAGTGGGCAGGATGGTGTCGAGGCGTGACTGAGTCCTTTTCATCCCCCTGGAGAAGAGCTCTGCACAGGCTGGGTCTGCATCTTCAGATAGGCTAGAGTGAGTGACAGTAGTCCCGCCGCTTTGTCTCTCAGGGGACATAAAGGGAGAGTCATCCTCATCCGAGTAGGTGGGACTGGATGAGGACTGTCTTTCAATCTGGGGGTTTGTTGGCTGGGGGCGGGGCAAATTGCGATAAATGGGGCGCAGTGGGTTTTCTCGACGAATCGGGGACTCAAAGTCTTTCACGCGACAGTGAGAGGTCTCCCTAGAATTGTGCAATGATACTGAGGGCCTGGTACCCCCCTCTCTGTCAGACAAGTCACAGGAGAGCGGGTCTCTATGACATCTCTGCATCTGCGGCTTACTGTATCTGGAATAAGTCTCTGCTGTGTTGTAGCTGGGGCAGCTTCTTTGTGGTTTGGAGTGGGGGGGAAGAGGTGGGGGACACATTTGGGGGGGTTGGGGGTAGATAGGATGGCTCGATGGGGGAAGAGAGGGGGAGAGAGAAGGGGATGGGGGAAGAGTCTGTCGGGCCCTGTGGAGCCCCAGGTGGTCGAAGGTGGAGGGTGGGCAGCTGCTCATATGATGCGGGTCTGTTTCAATTTTTCCACCGACAGTGTAGTGAGGCAGTCCTCTGTATCCCAGCGGAGGGGCGGGAAGGGGGCGTGAGTGAAGGTGGTTGGCTGATGACATTGACATGGAGCGGGGCTTAGGAGGGAGGACTGGGGCTTGGGAACTCGACGCTTTTTTATCAGCATCGCTGCTCTTCTTCCTCTCCTCTTCATCATCATCTCCTAAATCCACTATGGAGAAGTCGGTCACTCTACTCGAAGTGTCTCTGAACTCAGCCACACCTGTGTTTGGCACTTGGAGTTGAACCTCACTTGATTTGACAGTCTGGAGGCCCTTCCCACACTTCTCAGAGGAACAATAAGGGACTCGCTCCTTTCCAAGCAGTCCACTACGAATCTCCACCAGCTCCAGATCTCCATGGCACATCGAGTCCGAGCGGAAAGATGACTGGGTCTTTCCTTTAAGGGTTGGCGACTTGTCCTGGGGAGTGTGCTCCTCTAGTCTGATGTAGTACTCACTAGCGAGGGAAGGGCTGCGAGCACTTATCACTGGGACCACAGTGGGTGTGTCCAAAGACTGTCTGTGGTTATTGTTGACAGTTGGGATCGGCTGAGGGGGAGGAAGAGGTTTGTAACCTCGTCTGGCGTGAGCTTTCTCCCAGAAATACTCAAAGTTCAAGCCTTTGCTGGTTTCAGTGACTGTTAGGATGTCATCCAATTCAGAGGAGGTGGGGGTGATACAGTTCCCCACAGGGTCCAGCAGGGGGTAAGAGTTGTCTCTGTCGTCCCTTCCATAGTCTCTCTCCCTGAGTCGCTCATTTGCTGCAGTCTGAAATGCAGGTGGACGAAGTAAGTCCCAGCGTCTTTCAAACGACTCCTCACTCTCCCCTCTTCTTCCTCTGCCATCCTCATACTCCTCGTCCTCTTCATCTTCTTCCCCAACACTCCCTCTCGCCATTCCTCGCTCAGCAGCCAAGAGGGAGGAGAGGAGGAGGAATATTTCTGCAACAGAGGGGCGTTGAGATGGAGGTAACCAGCAGGACTGCATGATCTCATACCTGCAGACAAGGGAGAAAGACGGGAAGGTCAGTTTGGAGAGACACAATGAGGACTTGATTCCTTTTTCTTTAGATCACCATCATTTCTGCATTATACACTTGGATGGGTACTGACCAGTAGTCTGCATGAGAAAGCTTAAGTCTGGGCTGGGCCAGAGTGATCTGTCTCTCCCGAATGACGAAGGTCAGCACTTCTTCATCACTCAGATGTCTGTGGGGCTGAGACCCAAACTCAAACAGCTCCCATATCACCACCCCCAAGGACCTGGAAGAGAAAAACCGATGAAGAGAAGGTGTAAGACTAATCTCCAAAGACATTTGAGTTCCTTGTTATGTAATGCTTTTACAGCAACACCTTTCATGGATCTCCACTCTCAAGCAAGAGAAAACAGTTTTAGCTTTGTAAATGAAACAACTTGTTTAGAGAAGAACTAGGATAGTAAATATCCTCAAATTCACAGACATCTTTTCTGCTGTGCATGCAAAGACTAGTCTTTCTTTCCATGTTTGTTTTGATCCCAGAATATTTTCTCACTGGCTCAGTCAAAGCAGGAGGTGATGGTTAAATTTGGTCAAAACATGTACTTAAACTGCTTCCCCTTATGTGGAAATAATGCCAGATTTTTATCAAACAGGACACGAAGACTGTAACCACACTGATTCGTTTAAAAGCTACTTTTTCCACCAGCACGGTACACAAACAACTGTGATCGCACAAAAACATACCACACATTGCTGGTTTTTGTTTGGTCTGTAACAATCAGAGATCCTCTGTACTCCTCCAGCAGCTCCGGAGCAATCCAGCGCAGTGGGATCCAAAGCTTGTCTGGAGTAAGGTAATAGTCCTCCTTGACGAAAACACACATAGGGTAAATTGAGATTATTTCATTGCTCAAGAACTCAAATTAGGAAGGGTTATGGTTCCTCAGATTAAAAAGAAGGGTTGAAGTAAGATCCACAAACCTTGTAATGGTTGTGTGAGAGGCCGTAGTCACCTATCCTGACAGTGAGGTCTGAGGTCAGCAGGCAGTTTCTTAAAGCAAGATCACTGTAGGGAGCAGAGCACAACCTCAGAAATACAGCCACAGTACAAAGACATATATCAACTCGGGGTACAATCTTGTTTCTAACACTTAAATCCATAAGAAAGCCATGACTGACCTGTGGATGTAGTTGTTCTCATGAAGATGGAGCAGACCAGAGGTGATCTCAAAAGCCATTCTCTGAAGAGTCAGGAGGTCTCGAATCGGCAGGTCAGGGGTCATCCCGTCTGCCTTGCGCTGGGCTCTCAGATACCTCTTCAGGTCACCCTAGTTGTACGATAAAGACAAAATGTATGCAGTTACTGGCACACGGACACGGAGAGAGGTTGAGTTAGTGCCAGGTTGACTTAAGTTCTTGTGCTTCTCTGCTAAAAGAGGAACAAAACTTACAGGATACATCCTATAGGCAAAGGGGATTTTGGTGACTTCTGCAGTAAATTTGTCTCCTTTGAGGTGTTTTCCATCTCAGGGCTCAAAAGCACCCAGGGAATTGGTAATGAGCTGGCAGCCTTTATTCGTCATTTATGCCTCGAGAAGGGCAAGGAAATAAAATGGAGCCTATTTAAGGGGGTTGAGAATCATCTGAGAGGGAAGGGACAATAGGAGACTTTATCAACAAGGGTGATAGCAGTCTGTGAGGTCCCCAGTGTTGTTTGGCTTCCCTCAATGTGTTGCTGTAATTGATCTGCTTGTGTCTTTGTTTGGCCTGAGAGTCGACTTGCACTGATTTCTCAATCAGTCAGTGATTAAGCCAGCTTAGCAAAGGAAAACAAACTGATTGAAGGGATGTAAAACCAATTTCAGTGACCCTGGAACATCCATGGCTTTTCTAGAATATAGCTACAACCCAGTACTTGTAATTTACTTCTGTCGAGTGTCTAAATATGGCTGATTTACACTCACCAGCTGACAGAACTCCATAACCAGGAGGAAGGGGATGCTCTCACTGCACTGCCCCAAACACTGAAGGATGTTGGGATGTTTAAGACTCCTGGAAAGAAGAGGAAGAAAACACAGAAAAAAGATTTGGACAGAAAAGTGAATTAGTGAAAATTTTGGTCTTGCCAGTAGTCAATAAGACTTCATGGGTAAAATGGGATAAAGACGAGGAAGCACTCATGCATATCCCAGCAACAAAGCTAAGTTAAGTGTGACATAAAGTTGGACAAATGAAATGAAGCATATCAGTGCTTTTGCTTTTCATCGAGCGTATGAAATGTGTTTTCAGCTGACACAAACTGAGCGTGACAAGGGAAGGGTTCGTGCAACAGAAAGAGCATAAAAATCAGGAGACGTAAAATGCACAAAAATGTTGTTTTAAAATGACTATTTAGGTGTTTAGGTTTGTAAAAGTGTAAAAGAGAAGAAAGGCAGCCTTTGTTTCTGGTTGAGATAGATTTTGCCCAAAGAAAGGAGTAGAGAAAGAAACAGACAACCCTGTCCTTGAAAGCTTCCTCTGAGTAAGTGTGTGTGTGTGTGTGTGTGTGTGTGTGTGTGTGTGTGTGTGTGTGTGTGTGTGTGTGTGTGTGTGTGTGTGTGTGTGTGTGTTAAAGAGAGAGGACAGCCAAAACATAACTCAGATTCAGAGTCAAGCACAGATAACACATCGGTTCAGCTGTCACTGTAAAAACCAGGTTGTTCCCATATACCCAACATAAAAATACCAGTCCAAGAAAACATGAAAGTTTGCTTTTCCAGTGACTGCAGACAGTAAACAAGTTCATGAAGTTGCGACTTAAAAGATTTTCATGTAGGCTACCTTTGTCATCTTAAAACTAAACACTGCGTCATACTCAATACGGTTAGCTCTTTGCTACCATTATGGCTAATGTTAGCTAAGGGTGGACACAAAATAATAATCGTTCTCTCTCCGTTTAAGGTGTTTTTGGACCAACATGTCTAGTACTTCATGTTGATGAAGGCCAGCTTTAATTGGCTTACACTGAGAATGAAATATCAAAAGACTTTTCTTGGTTTAACACTGAGCTAATGCCAGCTAACAGACTCACGAAAATCGTTCCAGTGACAGGAATCACTTCACTACTTTTGCTACTCTTACACTACATTTATGTTTTTTCATAAGAGTCATGAAGTTTCTATGTTCCTGAAAGCCCATGTTTACCTAAATGTAATAGATAAGTACAGCATTTTGAATTTAACCTTTAAACAGAATAACAGGTGACATAATTGCGCTCCCTGTAAAACTATAGCGTTGCATTTAGCACCAAAATGGCTGCTACAGTCTCAGTAATTCCCTCACCTGTATGGCTCAGACTCGGCCAAGAACTTCCTCTGCTCCAAGGGGCTGGCACTGACGCGCAGCTCCTTCACTACAGCCTGTGAGGAGCTGCAGTCACACAGCACTTCAGCCAGGATCACCTGGAAGAGATCGATGGACAATGTTATGGAGGAGTGCTCGAGAGGGAGACAGTAAGAGAACTATTTTGAGTGAGGACTCCTGATCTGGTTGCTAGCCAGTAAAAAACATAACAGAGGATATATGTTTTCGGATGTATTTTATATGAAAACACAATGATACTTGAATATAAGAGGCGTTCATCCTACCTTTCCAAACCAGCCATTTCCTATCTCCTGAAGGTAGTTTAAAGTGTGTCTTTTGAAGCACTGAGACTTGGAGTCTGTAGCAAAGGAGAAAAATAACATCAGGGTCAGTCACACATCAGCATTTTTAAGAATGACATCATATCTCAACAGGAACAAAAAGTCCCTTTTAGAAAAACCATCATTTGCAGCTCATTGGTGGTACAAAACAAAAAGCCACTGCCATCAGCATACATTAAAGAGCAGCCCTAAACATACTTCAAGACATAAAAGTTCTCTTTGAATCAGGAACATCTAAACGTCTAATGACTGTGAGCAAACATATCATCAGCATAGTCTTCATAAGAAATCAGAAGAAGATGTAGATTATACTAAAGTTTAACTGGAAGAGACATGGCATCACTTTTTGCTGTGGAGTTTATTTTAGTGGAAACGTGGAAATTTCGCATCTCAGCACCTCATTTGTTCAAACTTCATATTGGTCTGTACATGACCCTCAAAAGATATAAAATAAAGCGTTTGTAATCACACCTCTTTAAAGCTTTAATGAACGTTTGCGGTTGAGGGTCTCTAAATCAAAACAACAATAAAAGTCATAGCCTGGTGATTATGAGGATTTACTCTCATGGTGGGAGTTGTAGACTTTGCTAATAAACATGAGCAAATGCAGATGATAGTTTAACCTCAGAAACTTGTGTTGATGGATAAAGAATAAAAAGAAACATTTAATGTTTAACTTTTGGTTAGAAAAGGTGATTCTTGTGAGGAAACAGTCGCTGGTAATCATTAACCCACATGTACAAATACTCATCTTCATGTGTTTTGTTCTTTTAAATTATTCACTAGAGGATTTACACATTGTAACTAGACTCCTGGTGTCAAACTAAACACATAAATTACCCTCCACAATGAAGACCAAATATCTTAATCAGGTCAAATGCATCCGAGAGTGAAGAGGGGCTTTGATAAATGACACAATACCCTTTTTTGGACATAACTGCATCTACTGCATTCCAAAGCTGTGCTGATATCATCCTTGTCTGTCATCAAATTTCATGCTTTTTCTGCTTGTAAGAAGACCAGTCATAGAATTTCCTCAGATCATAGTTTCCACTCCATTGACATTCCGCATCTGGTTATACATCCAGTTTGAGACCTTCGATGGATCCGCATCAGCGACTCAGGCAACAGACCATAAGCAGGGTCAGTGCAGAACAGAAATTCAGCCCCTCCTCAGAGGGATTTGGGCTTAAACAAGAGTCAAGCAAAGGAGGAGGCATTTGGGGTTGTTACCTGCTCCATCCTGCAGGGCGGGGCAGTTGGACCTGTCTCTGACTGGCAGGGTGTAGACCTCAGGGAGGGATGGACATGATGACAGGCTGTCCTCCTGGATGGGACTGGAACCCCCAGAGCACTCCTCTCCGTCTGCATTGTCAAACTCCTGGTTCAGCCAAACAACACAGAAAAATCACAAAGCTGGCATAAACAGAAATTGAAACTGTGCTTTTTTCTTAATAACAGGGTTAACATTAAGCTTTAACTATCAAGACAGACAATGAGAAAGCAGCCACTCTGAACTAATGATACCCTGTCTGCACACCACACAGCAATACAATCAGGTCAAAAGACACGCGCTTAGTCTGAGAGATCAGTCTGACACATGATTATTGACCATTTCTACTTCATTACATCTGAATTATTGACTTCTTTCTTCCATTTCCATACAGTTTTTCGAAGCATGCTTACTTTTTTAAGCGTACCAACATGCAAAAGTTAAGTGTGAAAACTCAAAGAAAGCAGAGAGAGGTGAATAAATCTCTTACATGTGGAAGACTTACATTGAACCCCACTCCTCCTCTCTTACAGCACAGGCAGGTCAGGAGCAGCAGAACAAAAGAGACGAGCCCCGAGCAAGAGATGAGGATGACAACGTAAGGTGGAGGAGAGAGGGAAGCAGCCCTGGTCTGAGATACTGAGAGGAAGACAGGGAGATATATACAAAGGAGGAAAAATTGAAGAGGGAAATTCAGGGTATTAGTGCTAATATGAGGATGGCACAATATTAGGTTTGAGTCAGTGAGAGAGAGAAGAGAATTCATTGAATTGGAAAAGTGTAAAATCTTGTTACATAGGTGGATTGTTTAGAGGGAAACCATTGGAGCGTTTTCTTAGCGGCAGGTTTGGGTCACAGTGGAGAACCCCAATGGACAGCTTGCATCAGGAGGTTTAGGGGCAAAGCAGGAAAGAAACTAAGTTGAATTTAAATTTGAAAAAAAACATTTGTACAACTAAATAAGATAGAGACTGGAATCAATATTAAAAGTGGGATAATAGACCATTCCAGTAAGGAAGAAAGCATAGGGAAAGGGGAAGTATCAGAAACGGCATTCCACTCAGGAAACACAGTTAAGAAGCAGGAAGGGGTGGCTGGAGTGTCACTTGGGTAAAAAAAGGAGCGCGACTCAGGAGGGGTTGGAAAGAATTACTTAAATCAGGAAGGTTGACTACTCAGGTGAAAGAGGGAAGGATCGGGTCATTTGATTTTTGTACCTCAAAGTAGTCGATTGTGGGAAGTGAACCATCTGTAGAAAAGAAAAGGGGCAGGGCAGGGTGGTTAAATACCCTTCAGGTACTAGCTATCTCAATACTGAAGCCAAAACATTACATCACTCATGACATAAGAGTTACAGGAAAGAGCAGTAGTGATACCTCAAAAACACAGTCGATGGGTTGAAAGGGTGCAGGACTTTTATCTCAAATATAAACATTAATATTTAAACAATGCCTGGGAACACATGATTCAGCCTGTTGTTTCTAAAGATGAACAAAGGTAGATGTTGTAACATGAGCGAGATAGTTAGCAAGGATTTCACCATTTGCCTTTATAGCTACTAAAAAATCACAAGGAAGCATGAATTGAAATTATACGACAGGGCACTTATTTTTTTAAATATGTGTCAAATAACTGTAAACATATGAAATAATAACAATCCATGGGTAAGGAGAATATCAAAATAAAATGAGCTATATGAATATCAACTGTGAGACTGCCATTAAATTTATGACTTGGCTTTTTGTTTCTAAGTCTGTCGCGTCTTAAAATATCTCAATTTCTTTCTGCATCCTCGCACAGATCCAAAAATACATTCATTCATAAGGTCATGATATTATAAACACTGCATACATGAATCCCAAAGTGCATTTAATAATTTACTGACTTTGTGAATATTTCAAAAAGAGAATCATCATTCTGCTAAAGACATGAGATGATGCTTGTTTTATTTACAAGGTAAATATACCAGCCTTGTTTTGATAGCATTGTCATAGCTTTGTTTTTCTTGGATTTATCAAGTGTTTCACTGGATTCATATGCTCAACAAATGTAAGTTAGGACGTAAACACAGCTTAGGGTTTATGCCAGGAGGGTCCACTTTAACTAGTACTCTGAGTTGCAATATATCTAGATAGTCAGTATTACATTAGTTGTTGCTCATAAAACAGAAGACAAAAGCTAATTCTTGATTCCAATCACAGCACATGCAACACAGGGACTAAATGAGAAAACTAAATGACCTTTTTGGGAGCGAGCCCCCCTAAACATGCTCCCAATCATACAACTCCAGTCTTGATAGACAATTCCTGTGCAGTGCTATTCTTTCATCTTTCCCTAGACAGATGTCCAGACAGACACTGCATATAAATAGGAAGCTAACACAAGGCCTTTTCCACCAGCTATGGTGCCAGCAGCTCTTATCAAAACAATACACCACAATACAATGACTGCACAAACACAACACTCTGCCAGATCTTGGGGGTATGAGAAGGTATATTCAGATGGAGAAATATAAGGATGCCAGCAGTGGTTAATAGGCTAAATCATCACCAATGACCAGCAGAGGCTATTTATAGACTAAATGGTCGACGATTTTTGCCTGCTATCCAAACAGTAGTTGCTGTTTTAAATGCCATCGATGTGAGGAGGCCCGAGACCGAGACACCCCCAAATATTTTCATCACGGTATGCAAATATGGTACCCTACCCATCTCAAAATCAGCCTCGCTCCTGTTTTCATTAAGTCAGCCACGTAGGCTACGGCAGTGATCATTCGCATTATGCCTCAGCCACACTGGCTAATAATACAGTATCACCCCCCAATGTATAGAGAGGCCTTTTCATAACTGACTACATCCCCCCCTCTTGACTCCTTTCTCCAGCATCACTGACAGGTTTTAACACCCCCCTCCCCTCCTCCTCCTCCATCACCCCCTCCGACTCCGCTCACCTTCCCTCTGCGGGGCCCCGAGCGCTCTCTCCGGGCTCAGGTACGACATGATCCCCGCCAGCGCTACCATCACCCAGCAGTGTGGCCGCATCGTCGCCGCGTCCGGAGCAACAACAACAACAGCATCCGAGCGACGCTGCCGACTGTCAGTGTCGGTGTCCTCCTCTATCCGTTCCCTCCCGCCACGGTCTGTGCCGTCTCCGGGCTCGCTCGCGCTGTCTCAGTCTCTCTCCCCCCTCCTCTCCGCTTTTTCTCCTAATAATAAAAGAGCGTCTCCTTGCCTTCCTTGTTGTGCCCCCTCCTCCTCCCTCTCTTTCCTCCTCCTCCCCCTTTCCTCTAATCCGCAATTAAACACGGTGTGAGAGATGCTCTATTGTGCAGCATGCTCCCGACACCGTCTGTGTTGAGCTCCGGTGAAAACGACCGTCCGCTGTTTCTTCTCTTATATATAAATAAATAAATGAATATGAGTCGTTCGTTCGCCCCCTCTTTCCCCTCCTCACTCTCCAAGTGTTTGAGGGTCGTCTGTGTTTTTCTCCTCCGACTGCCTACGTCAGACTCACACGGCGCGCATTGTCATGGTCCAGCTCTATCATCATAATGGTACCCAGAAAAAAAAGAGAGAAAAGATCCGTGGTAATATTCCCACAGGGAGCTAATGGTGTCTGTAGTGGGTTTATATTGATCCCAAATTGGATTTTTAATCCTTTCAAGTATTCATTTGAGGTACCATCTGAAATAATAAAAATTAGAGGTTACTAATGGCCACTCTCTTTGGGATTTTAGATATGTCACGGGGTTATATTGACCCCCATAACTGCGCAATAAATATAAATATACAAAACAAAATGAATAAATGAATGAAAACAATAGTTATTTTTTAAAACAGTAGGGGAGAGTGGGGTAAGTTGAGTCACCCCCTGTTGCTTGAAAATTGTAAAAGAAACTGATCATGTGACCAAATATTTAGGAGATGGGCATCAATTCATGGAGTCTGTGAAGGTTAGAAGCACATGGGTGAAGGGGTTAGACATTTATCTCCCAAAAAAACATTTTTCACTCTTGAAAGTGAATTTAGTCTGTCATAAGTTTTATTAGAATTGTGTTCAGACCAAAAAAAAAATCATTTTAAATCTGTTTTATACATCAATTGTGGTATCTATGGCTGTGTCCGAAATGAATCACTCAATCCCGAACCCCTAAACCCCATATGAGATTTCACAACATCTTGAAAATATATGCAGATTCACTAGTTAGAGACAAAACTATGATTGCTTTTATGTAGTGATCTGAAATATGAAAAATGGCTCATCTTACCTCACTCTCCCCTAAATAAGGCAGACTTAGACACTGACGACAGCAAACCACAGGTTTCAAGATCAAATGGAGATTATTAAAGTAGCGGGTATATGGAGTAATGATTTCAGAGGATGTTTTATTACAACATATATTTTTTAAATAATTTGCAGCGATTAAAAAAAACTCAAGTAATTTCAATTTATACAGCTCAATGATTTTTGCATAAGGTGCATGGTTTTTACCACTGTGGTCACAGTTAATTTCCCCTAACTGTATATTGTGGCGTGTCAAAATGCTTTCTATGAAAATCCTGTGGTTTCTAGTCTCCTAAGTGAGTAGGGTCAAGTGTGAGACTTCCTAATACAGTTTGAACCTTGATGTCTTTCAGTCTAACCACTAAATTTAAATTAGACATGAACTTTTTCAACCCACCTCAGCCTCTAATAAAATGCCTTGGAATAAAAATCATATAGAGACATTTTAAATCTTTAAGTCCAGTGGGACATTTTTAATTTGATGACTTAAGTACCAACAACAGTCTTAAATGGTTGAAATAAAAACAGCAGGTATCACAACAAAAGTCTCTGATCTTTATATCTGACAAGCTTGGCACTTGACTAGTTGGCAATTTTGCAAAAAATTTGCATATTTATTAACTTTCTTTTGAACAGCATATTGATAAATTAAACAATACTTTCAAAACTTTGTGTAATGTCTGGACTGTAATACTGGTTTATTAGCTGATTGCAGGTTTCTACTCACCTTATAATCTTTTTTGCCCCAGTATAAACAATTCCAACAGCTGCCACCGAGCGTTTTCTTCACCAACAGCCTGAGCTTCAAGCCCCCCTGTGAGGGAACCACCTGCCCTGCTGACGTGATCATGAGCGAACCCTGCACAAGCTGAGGAAACAAAGACTGAACCTGACCTCCTAATTTCTAGCCAGGGCAGCTCTTTCTGGATGAAAAAAAAGGAATAAATGACAATTGATCAAGTTGAAAGGTACATTGTACGGCCCATGAGTCACTATCAGTCTTCCATGTGTCCTTCTTACTTTTGGGCCTTTATAAATTGCTGCATTACAAACACTATGGTGACAATAAATGTCTGCTGACTATGCATGACAGAGGACGTCAGTAATACAGCCATAAATAAATATAGTTCATGATTTAAGTATTTCATCTCTCCAGCTGTCTCGATCCCTTCTTTGACGCTTTCGAGCCAGCTCTGGGAAGTATGCACTGTTGTAAGGTCTCTCTCTTTCCATGACCTCCTTTGTTTGCTCTTTTCCTTTGCCATTCCTCTGGTCGAGCAGGGACTGTGCTCTTCTCCTTTCTTCTGCCTCCCTCTGTAAACGCTCAGCACGTAGCCTTTCTATGGAGCTGGACAAAAACAGAAGAATCAGATTATTTATATAAATCTTTTAATACCAGAATTTTTAAAAAATTGATCAAATGATGAACAACAATGCTTTCTGCTGTTGCTTGTGATACAAAATGTCAAGGTCAATGTTTTAGGGATTAGACTTGTTCAGTTTCTGGCCATGGGTCAGATTGTAAGATTAATACAACTCTTACACCTGGACTGTAAATTTGAGACCACAGCCAGAGGCTTGTAAGCTTCGCATGGAGTTTGGAAGCATGACAAAGCAGCTTGCTTGGTTTTGTCTGGAGTGGGCTGTCACCACACTCTGAATATTGTCAGTTTAATCAGAGTTGGATGTTCAATACAAATAAAAGCTTCTCCCTAAACTGACAATTTTATAATGCAGAACAAGAAAATCTGACTTTACCTCTCTCCACTGCTCCTCTTCTCCCCCCGGTCTCTTTTTTCTGATTTCTTGCTCTTGTGGTGTTTTCTCTCCTTAACAGCCAGTGCTTTCTTCATGTCATTCAGTGGATCCAAACTATCTTTCAACCTCCGATCTTTCTTTTCTCTCTCCTCTTCACTTACTCCCTTTCTTTTTTCTTTTTCTTTCTTTTCTTCTTGATCTTTTCTCTCTTCTTTTTCTTTTTCTTTTCCTGTTTTCATGTACCAAGGTGTGACCTCAGTCCCTGGTTGGGGTCCAAGAGATACCAGCAAACCGATTGCTCGCTCCTGTTTTTCCTGGGAAAAAAGTGTGAAAGTTTTAGAAAATGCTTGAAACTTTGGAGATGGAGGAAGAGGAAGCTGGATTATTTACTTGCCATCTGGCTACTATAAGTAACAATTTAAGATTTTCTGAAGTTAAGTTTTTCCAAGATATATATGTAGCACTTTTTCATATTTTGACATTATGTCTTGTAGAAGCACTAAATTGCAAAAAAATTTGCAGGGCAAATAAAAAGTCAACACATTTCTATACAGAAGGATGGCCAATCCGATAAGACTCAGTTGCTGTAAGGCAGTCAAATATGTACAGTCAAAACCAGTGAGGATTTTTGATGAGTATCTGCCAAGCATGCAAACTGAATGACATTGCAATCATCGTGGGAGTGACAAAACAGACAAAGGGTTATAACAGAGAAGAAGTTCTACTCTTATTGGTTGACTGTGAAGCCAGAAATATAATCAAACCAGAATCTAGGAAAACATACATCAGAGAGGAGCGGGCATAATCACCTTTTCATCTTTCTTTTCTTTAAGATATTCTTCATTCCCCTTCTTTTCTGAAGACTCCTCCAAGGGGAAAAGATTGAGATGCTCCAAGGTCCCACTTCCTCTACTTTGTCCTTCATCCTCATCATACTGACCTCCTTCTGACTGGAGAGCAGCTCGGGACTTTCTTCTCAGATACTCTGTACGTGCCTGTGGGAAAAAAAATAAGTTGTCAGTCTAAATAAATAAAACCAAGCAAGTATTAAATGAGCATTGGACTTTTGGAAAGAAGTATTGATAACAACTTGTTTTCCAAAGGTACAAAAATTTGAGTGGACAACCAATGATAGCTTGCTCCTTTTTGACTAAGCTTAAAGGGATATTCTGGCGTAAATTTGATTTAGGGTCAAACACACCATGACACCGAGTTAGACACCCCCTCGAGAAATTATCATAAATGTTCTTCCTTGAGCTGCGTCACCCCGCAGCAGTCCGTAATGGACTGGCCCCAGGTCTCTACAGACAAGCGGCTGCTGGAGGACAGTGGGTGAGTTGTGTTTAGTCTCTTTCCTAAAGAAATTATGCAAAGTTAAAAAGATGTGTGGTGGCTAGTGCTGTGGCTGGGACCCTATACTGCTGATGAAGTTAGGCAAGCGGTCGGCCACATTCATCTCTCGACGGGGTGTCTAACTCGGTGTGTTTGACCCTACATTAATTTAACGTCAGAATATCCCTTTAAATAAAAAAGTGGTTATGGAGGGGAAAAGAAAAAAATAGAGCGTTTGATAATGTTGTCAGTACAAGATTGAAGTGAATGTATTTTTGCACTGTGAAGTATAACACACTTGACAGCAAAACTCTATACTATGAAGGTACACCACGGCTTCATCTGGCTCACCTCTTGTTCGGCACGTTCCACGCGACGCTTGGCCTCGCGCTCCTCCTCTGCTGCTTGGGCTTCGTCCCTCCGTACACGCGCGACGTTGTCCTTATTGCGAACGTGCCAGCTTTTCTTCGGAAGGATGTTCATTGTTGCCTTGGCGACTGTTGCTAATATCCGTTAAGGCTCGGCTCACCGAACGAGGACTCGCGTCGAAGTACAAGTACGACACAGTTAAAGTGTCGCTATGTTGTAAAACGACTCTGACCGCAATGACAAAAAGTCACAAATACCCCAACCTCCAACCTAAGTGTTACCTCTACTTGTTTGCCTTGTAGCAATTAAGCTAACGCTCCTCGGGGCTTAGTACTTTCTACCTCAACGCATCCCATCGTGACATTTGTGACATTTTACCTGCTCCATCCCAACAAACTTATAATTTGGAATATTTTGCATTCAAAACGGTTTGGAAATGCTGTTAATGACTCGTTGTCAGACGAGTTGCTCTTTCTGGTGACTGCTGAGTGGCTCACAGGAACAAGAAAACACTAACAGGAAGTAATCGTAACTCAGGTTTGGTAATAGGACAGCTCTGACACCAGGGGGCGCTATAACTCATAGTTTTATTCAGTACAATGAATAGAAACATACAGCACTATATTTGTGATAAGAATTACAATAAAGCACATTTAAACGGACTTTTGAGCTTTCGCCATTCTACTCTATACTGAAAAACTAAGATTGTTAAAAACAAATATGTCTTGTTGATGGCATCAATTAATGGAGTCTGTGAAGGTTAGAAGCACATGGGTGAAGGGGTTAGACATTTATAAAAAACACTTTTAACCCTTGAAAGTGAATTTAGTCTGTCATTAGTTTTATTAGAATTGTGTTCAGACCAAAAAAGATCTTCTTTAATTTGTTTTATACATCAATTGTGGTATCTATGAACTACAACATGAGGTCAAAAACCTAGCATAAAAGTCCACCATTGTAGCTTAGAGGACTAATAAAGTCATAATAGTAGTTCTGGGGTAAGTAAAGGAGTCCGATGAGAGGATCAGAGTTTCAGTTCAGATTGTTGAAATGTTTTACTTTTTCTTTTCAAAAATACAGCTGTGAATGTTCTGAATCACTTAAAGACATTCTCATGTTAAAACGACTTTTTACAAAACAGCTTTTTATCAGTTATATGCAATAATAATAATAAAAGGAATTATTGTAGCAGTTGAATAGTGTATAACAGATTAAAATACACATGAATGTGAAGAAGTGACTGTTATTTAAGGAGAGAGAAAGTGAGGGAGAGCTGGGGTGCAGAGTGAGGGGGATAGTAGGGATATGGATCAACTTACCCCGCTCCTATGGTCAACTTACCCCATACACGGGGTGAGTTGAATAGGTGATTAGGTGAATAGGTGACCACTTTTTTTGGCATGCTATATTATCAAGACAGTTATGTTTACACTCATTCTGTTGGTTTGCAGGAATGCACAATATCTTGAAATATCTGCAGATACACTAGTTAGAGACAAAACTATGACTGTCTTGATGTAGTGATCCAAAATGTGAAATATCCTCCCCTATAGTTAGAAAATACAAAAACACCATACTTAATATTGATGCAAGATTGTCTGTTAAACCCCAGCCAGCATCATATGACACATTATTTACTTTGGTTGCATTTATTCCTTTAGGGTTTTTTATCATAATGTTATTTTTCAGAAGTTTGTCATGGTCCTTATGATGTGTTTAGTCCCGGACTCCTGCAGCGTGAGTTGGTATCTGAAGCTTTCGACTCAGCTCCTCAATCTGTCTGACCAAGAACTGTTTGTCACGACCCTCCTGTAAGCCACAGATACACCATTGTATTAATAAAACTGGGTGCTTGAGGGTATCGAGAAATACCATAGTTAACCCTGAATAGCATCAAAACCAAAAACTACAAGTCTACCTTACAGTACAGGTTAAGGGTTATTCATCAAGATACCTGTTTGAGCTGTTTTTTTAGCAGGGCAACACTTTTCCCATAAACAGATGCCAGAGCCACAAAGTAGCACATCACCACACTGCAAAGGAGAACAGAGTCATTAAAACATGTCATTCAAATGATATATATAACTAATATATATACAATATGTAAGAAATTAAAATATGGCATCAACTTACTTACCATATTAACACAAACAGAGGGATGGAGAATGCTTGGGAACCAATGAAGAAGAGAAACTCTTGTGTTGTTTTAGAAAGGTTTGAGAAAGAGGCTGGAACAACTGACCACATGCTGGGGAAGAAACGGAAAGGACCACAGCCATAAGAAGGATGGATCCTGGGTAGAGAAACGAGAACGTCACAATTTTATAAAACATTGGGGAAAAAAATCCAATACTTTCCAGCAGTAACCTTACTATTTCCTCCTACATATCAACAATAATTGCCATTTCACTATAATTATCTGTCAGTGCCAGAGCTAAAAATACTGCTGTTATGATTGTTACTGGGAGGAAAAGGAGGCAGCTGCAAACAGCACTCACACAGCAAGACTGTAAACCATGACAGCTGTGGCTAGGCCCCCACCAAATAGGAGCACCACCAGGAAGAAGAAGGTGGAGGCTGTAGAGCGAAAAGTTTTCAGCGCTGGCCGACAGTTTTGGAAGAGCGTGAGCTGAGGGAGAAAGGACAATGACGACACATACACAAGGTGAGGACCATACTGGAATAGTGAAGAACAATCCTCAATGTGCAGAACGTGTGCTGAGTTTGAAGCAACATCTTCACCTTCTTGGTGTAGAATAGGATGACAAACTTGATGGTGTTGATGAATGGCAACAAGGGGCAAAAAAGAGCTCCAGTCCACACCACTGTCTGACTATAAACCAGTTCAAGCACGTTGGAGGAAACCACAAACTCCTGCCGACCCACCTTCTGAGCCAGCTTATTTGACCAGTTGTCCACCACCATCCTGACACACACACACACACAAAACACAGTAAAAATCACACAACTGATTGAGCTTCATAATTTTCATAATGACCGTCTCATCTAATGTAAACAATTTTTTAAATTATGATTTTTACCTGCGTGGAAACTCCACCAAGAAGAGCATGGCGATGTTTATGAGGAGGTCAAACAGAGTCAGCTTGTACATCTCCTGCCCTACCCGAGTTTCCCAGCACTACATGACACAACAAATAAGACCAAATATTTTTATAAAGAATTACATCCCTCCATGTATTGATCCTGTATATGAAGAAGAAGCATCTTTGAACTATATGCGTAAGCATAAAATTACTGGATAGAGGTCATGGTTGTATCCGCATAGTAGACAGTCTCCGTGGTTTTTGTTCCCATCACAGGTGATCTGGCCCCAAAGGGTGAAGATGAGGACACTAAGACTCACTAAGCGGAGAACCACAGCCCTTTACATAGAGGAGAAATAAGGAATCATAATCAAAAAACTGGGAAGAGAGAATAGGAAGTGACGCGCTGCAAAGGGTTCAGAGTTGGATTTCTATAGATCTATCTTCTTTGAGGGTTATATCCTCAGTACCTGGGCCACTGATCTAACCACGATGCAAAACTGGCACCCCAAAAAATCAAAACAAAGGCAATTTTATTTCTGAAATGTACTTTGTAAAGCAGAATATTGACTGTGGTATTATTATAGAGTACTGTTGGTAATTTTTACTTTAGTGAAGGTTTAAAGTTGTGCTTCCAGCTCTAGATTACATAGACAACAAAAACAGATATTATGTAGATACTTAGAAATAGAAATCAGTGCAAACCTCAATAGTGCCAGAATGACAGTGAGACTGGGGGAATATCGCTCTATTAAGGCAATCTGGTCACACAGTAGAGGCACCAAGAAATTTGCAGTGGTGATGACAATGGAAGGCAGATACTCAAAAATCAAACCAAGGACCCCTTCTTGCTCACTCCTACCCTGTTTTTAAGAGACAGGAGTCAGAATATCACTAAAGATTTAATACTGAATCACAGTCACTGTCATTACTGTCTTGACATCATTTACCTGGCTAAAGTTTGTAGCCTCAAAGATGCCATAACCGGCTGCTGCAATGAGTCCTGATGTAATGAGAAACATCAAAACACGGAGAGAGTATAACATGACTTTTTGGGTTAAAGTAAGTGAGGCTTTCCTTTTCTTTATGTTCTCCTCCTCCAGATCCACCTGCCAGAGAAAGAGCACAAAGAGACATCAGGGAAGATCGGATATCCTTATATACAGAGAGATTATGAAATACTACCACATGATCATCATCACTCAAACTAGGACACATCCCTCCTGACCTGTAGCCTGTAGTGGATATTTTTCTGCTTCAACTTGGTAGCTCTGTCTCCCAGACAACCATAGTCCCAGCTGGTGAACACTATCTTGCTGTAGTTGCCCACAGTGCTGCCTCCTGTTGCCACAGCAACTCGTGCTGCAATCCCCATGCTGTTACATGAGCAGCCAGTCAGGGGAGAGATAGAGATGTGGGTCAAGGTTACTTGAACCCTAAACTCAAGCCTTTTCGTGCCATCATCTCTACTTGAATTATCGATAATATTGTGAAACTCACCGGGCCATGATACAAATGAAGCAAAAGATGAAATAAAAGACAACAGTTAAGAGGTAAGCCAATGGGATGTTGTAAGAGAAGCTGTCATCCATCTCTGTGTTGCTGTAGTAGCCGTAAAACAAGTAGGAGTACTCCAGAAAGCCCTGGATAAAAGAGAGAAGACAGTCTCAGAGCCTGTATGATTTCCTCGGCATGTTACTTTCATACAACTTTTTTTTTTACTTTTACAGTCCTCATTAACTTTTTAAATGTAGCTTTCATACACTCTTTCTGCTATTTAAAGGCATACGATATATACAATTAGAGTTAATTTACTTTTGTGTAAGTCGATTTCAAGAGAAATACAGAGTTAAAACAGAACATATAGCAGTTTAATCACTCTTAGGTTCTGTCTTCGCATAAAGGCCAGAAAGATGGGAAAACAGGCAGCCACTTGAGGCTCTAGAAAAATTTGGAGGTAGTTCTGTACTATGCAGTGATTCACACTCTTGAATTATTTCTGTTTTTAATTATGTGTTGTTTTTGATGGCTTTGTTCTTTTTGAAGTGATATCTCAACAGTCTGAATCTTTTGATGATATTGTGCATTATGGATGAGGAAATGCTCCAGTTTCTTTCAGCTTTAGACTGAGGTGCATTATTTTAAAATTGATGAACTATGTGCTGTCTTCTATAGAGTGGAGACCGCCTCGCTAGATCTACTTCTAAGATACTCAGTCTCTCTGGAATCCCCTTTTTTATGCCCAGTCATGTTTCAACCTGTTGCAAATGAAGTTGGAAATGTTCCCACAGGCGTGCTGTTCAAGTTTTTCTAAGTTAAAATAATCCTGAACACAAAAATCTGTTTTGATTAACATTTCAAAAGAAATTGGGGGTTAAAACCATCAAAACGTGTGGAATCATAATGTCTGAGTCACAAAAACAATCGTGTGTTTTGAAAATGTTCTGCAAGGCTCGTATCTGTGAAGGTCACTGTGATGCAGCAGTTTCTCACCGTTCCTGAAAGTACATCGAGGAAGTAATTATAGAACAACCCCAAGCCTACAGGATTAGGGTCATACTGCAAACAATCCTGTGGACCTGAAAAACACCAAGAGTTAAGCTTTTCTGATCTCTCTATGTATTCTGTATGTATTTTCTGAGATTACTGTACTTAAGCAGGTTAACACTATGAATGTAAAGGTCACTCTAACAGAGAAAGAGAGGAGGAAAAGGGAAAGTTGCGGTGGTTCATTTGATAACAAAGCCAAAGGCTCTTAACCCCTGCACTGTCATCCAGATAAAGCTTCCTCCCATAGTCTTCAAAAAATTAAAGGCTTATGTCAGATGAAATGAGGTGTTCGTCATAATAAAGAACATCAAGAATATTCAGGAAGAATAACCGATCTTGAATAACAGCACCAAATTGAGGCCTGAGACCTGGTTCAGCAATATTTAAAGGTCTTGGTTTTGCATGATAAAACGCCTTATCCACATATCTTATATTTCTGATGCATAAAGGAAAACCTCAAGGGATGAAATCCTTACTTAGATTGAATCTAGAAATAGAAATTTTACACCATTGAACATTTCATTACTGTAAATTTATCTTGTGTACATTTACCCAAATCTGGCGCCCACTGCCTCCAAACTAATGCTCTAAACAGTTGGAAGGTTTCACAGTATTATACAGGACTGCATTATATCATCACAATGAAGGAAACATAAAAACATTAAAACTCGACATACCAGTGGAAGGCGGTAAAAATGATTCCTGAACTGTGATGTTAACACCACTGTCCCCAACAGATCTGAAGACGATGCTGGGGATGAAGACAAAAGCTGCAATCAGTGAAAAGGAAACAAAATTGAGCACCACCAAGAATCGCAGGAAGAAAAAATAAGACTGGACGCCTCCGCCAAAGTTCCCTGTGGAGAAAAAAAGGACAATGAATGTATTAAAGTTGCAAAAACAGAATGGAAATGACAGGTTATGCATACTCTGTTGTCTGGGGTTAAATAGCAACAGCTCTACATGATCAGCTGACATTCACGTCAAGGATTTACCTCCAATCTTTTGCAGTGACTTGTTCCACAGGGCAAAAATGTAGATGAATTCTCTGGCATTGTCTTTGAGATTACGCAAATACTTGGTCCTTTTCCGTTTCCAGGAATCCCTCTCAGACACCACAGGCAGCTGCATCTCCTGCACCTGTCTGGAACAGAAAGGAAGGGACATAGCACCAAATTCAGGGCCCTGTACACTCTCAGTAACAGTGGGCCCCTATGTATGCCAGTGCATGAGGCACCTGAGCAAAATTTTAAAAAAAACAGGATTTTGGTGGGCCCCTCTCCCTACACGGGCCCTGGGCAGTCAGGTCCACTTTCCCCCCCACTACCACACCCATGCAGAAAGGTTATACTATGGTGACTGTAACAGTAATCGTCTATTTCATATCTTGGTTATCTTTGTTAAGTAATTTCCAGGACATTTCAATAGCAGTCACATGTTGTGTGGTTGTTTCTAAATAAATATCTATACCACTACCTATATCATCTATAATCATTATTATCATTATTGTATCAGAGGTTGTGAGGGGCTCCCAGCTAAAATGTATACTAAGTTTGGACATCGTGCTGAAGGAGAATTTGAAACTAGATCAAGATAAAATAAATTCAAAGCTGAATATTTTTCATATTTTTGTACCTGAGAGGGTTTCTCATCAGAGAGGATGCAAGAGTTAAAACACCATCTAACAATCAGAAACAGGTTTGATACCTCACAGCTCTCTTCAGTGCCATCGGCAGGGGGCTGCTTCTGAGATCCTGGGGCAGACCACCACTGGGCTCCTCATCTGCTGGGTTGGAGCCCCAGGCAAACTGAGGATAATTCTGATTAGACATCTGAGATGGAAAACGACGTAACCGCAGTGACTGCTGATCAGCTGTGTAACCATTTCCTGTGAGCAGTTAAGAAAAGAAAGAGGGACAGATTACACAGTTAGACAGAAACAAAAGGAGGCTTTTATGCTACAGCAGCATTATTTACTTATTTGGCTCTGATACTGCCAAAAAGAACCATGGAAATTTGCTAAGCTGTAAAAACAGACGCACCTTCGTCGTGGTCATATACCCTCCTCATGTCTCGTCGTGGTGGGTTTCTGTCCATTTCTTGGTCGCTTTTTAACACAAAGAGCCTCAAACAAGTTCCTCTGTAAACACACTTAAGACTTCACCAGCTGCTTCTTTATTGAACCAGCTCTTCGTGAAGTGACGCTTCAAATCCAGGAATCTCTTTCCTTCTGTCTCCTGGACTTTGCCCCCGCAGTAATAACCACACAGGTACTTCCTTGTGTGATTTAACCCATTTATAGGGAGGTAGTGACAAAGTTTAATACAAAGACAGGAGGAAGAGCAGCAGGAAAATAAGTCCAGCTGAAGATTCTTGTGTAAAGGGGTTCACTAAAGTGTCTTTAAGTAAATTTAAGAAAAGATTTTGCTGAATTTTAATGGTGGACAGGGATGGGGCTTAAACAAACAAACCATATTAATGTCAATATTATGATTTAAGCTGCTAAGTTCAATTTAGAGTGCTTTCTTAAAACCTGCCTATGTATATTCTCGGCTAACCTGAACATTAAGCATTGTTGAGAGGTAGCTTTGTGGGCGTTTGAGTTCATAGATGCCAGAGTTGATCATTTTCCCATCTCCACTACAGCATTCATCTTTACCATACAAATACATCAAGTATAAACTCGTGAAAAATGAACAAAAACTCACAGAAAATCAAACCAAGAAGACAAAAAGAGCCATGTGGGTTATGTTTACAAGGGAATGCTGATATGTATTTGACAACTGTTACAAAGCTGGGAGTGTTACAGTCGCTGAGGTATGAAAAGCTGGGGGAAAAAAGGACAAGACTGAAATGAATTATGATAAGGAGTAAACAGAGGGGCTAATACCACAATCATCACAGTACAATATTAAAATCAGTGAAACAGAGGGTTGTTTTGGGGTTTGCAATTCAAATTATATTTGTAACTGTGAAGACCAGCTGAGGGGAAAAGACTTTCAGTTCTAAGGTCAGACAATCTCATTCAAAACAGAGACGCAGCAAAGTTGTCACAGTTTGACACAGTAGCAAAAGACCATTTTTCCACAATCACGCATTTATTTCTGTCGTCAGAGCTCGGCGATAATTCAAAACTACCATTTATGAACTGTTGGCATCAGCCTCTCTTAATAAAAAGTCATCATTCTAAAAATTCTGCCAAACATGCTTTGACAGACTTTTACAAATAGTAGGGTATGTGGTTCCTTTTGTTTGTTTCACTGCAGGATAATGGAAAACTACAGCATTACATGACGTTTGGCTGAAATTTGTGATGATGATTTTTATGTCGCCCAGCTCCACCTGTGCTGCTATTTATGAACGACATTGGCAGCTTGTAGTTCTGTAGCGGAAATGACAAAGTCTTGTTATCAAATGTTTGGTCCTGACCCTGAAATGTCCGTGATGGCAGTACAGAGAGACATTTTGGCAGTGAATGGACTGTTGCTCTTCCACATTTAACTCTGCTACAGAGATGACAGTGTTTATGTTCCTGGTGTGATCTGATTTGCTCAAAAATACAGGCAGAGGACAAAAAAAAAAAAGTTGAATTCACTGGATCACAAACGGAAATACAAATAAATGTGGAAGATTCTTGAGGTAAGTAGAAAAAAAATACAAACTGTTTGATAAATATAAACAGAAAAAGATACAAATCTTGTCTGGACCTTGATTGAACCTTAAAATCTGAATATAGTTGAGTTCCAGAAAACCCAGTGCTGCTTGATTTAATGCATCAATTAAATGAATGTAACAGGCCTCATTTGCATGTCGTAGTTATTTGACAAGCAAATTACTCCTTAAGTCAAACTGTTGTGATAAGCATAGTGTGTGGATTGAATTTGTGCTATGAATGTTAAAGAGCTGGTAAACGTTTGAAAACGCTCTCACACAGGCGCATACAAATACCCTCGCTATGTTTTCACTCTGCACTCCAGCGTTAATGTACTATTTCACATTAATGATTGCTGCTGAAATGTTTCATTACTTACGAAAACTCATCCAATCAAATCGAATTAAACATGCCCCCATTTTAATTATCTTTAAGTCCATAACGAGGTCTAATGTTGGACTTGACCTGCTACTCAGCATCTTGACATTTCAATAACCTGATTTTAACCTCAAGTGGCTCATTCAACTATTTCCGCCTGGGAATGTTAAGCATGTAATAAGCGCACATACTGTACTGGCAGACACGGAGATGAGGAGGGTTCATAACTATTCACACTCCAGTCTCCATCCATACTATAAAAAGTGACATTCATCAAGCTCAAACATTCCTCTCCTAGTGTTCACATTATTTTTACATGAACACAAATTGTTTTTACACGTCTCACTTTCATCTAATTACACGTATTTTAAAATCTGTTTGGATGTTTGTGACATTTTCTGCATGAAAGCTGAGTGTTGATGCAATCACTGAAAGTTTATGATGATGCAAGTCCTCTCACATCTGAAAATAGTTTCCACTCAGTCTGTTTTCTCTCCTGTTTTCTCTTTCACACTCTCCCTCTTCTCCCCCTCCTGCTCTCTTTTCCTCCCCGCCCCTTTCCCTCCTTTCAGGATCCTGCCAACAATTATACAGCAAACAGCAATGATGTGCATGATGAAGTAGATGGACGTCCAGTAGTTGACGGTGTCGGATGCCTTCAGGAGCACAAAGCCCATGCACATGTAGTCATATGCCCTCATCTTTAAGAACCAGTGGACCCAGTCGAAGATGTTCTGTCCTCGAGGGCCCAGCTTTGATCGGACCGAGGCCTCCATGGCAGACTCAGCAGCAATGCACAGGGGGATGGTGAGGAAGGAGAGGTAGTATCCTGCGTGAAGTCCATGCCAGTATGCGCTGATGAACATGGTCCAGCCAGCCCTGAGGGTTACAAACACAAAAACCGAGGTCGTTCACATCATAAGGGTTTCTGGTTTCTGCCAAATGAAGAAATTTAAGGGGAAAATGGAGTGCTGGCTCTGGGAGAAGTCATTTTCTACACAAACATTGAGCTTTTTACTCTTTAGCCACACACTTTCATTATTGTCCAAAATTAAAACCCTGAAATTTACACATTGGTTACGCTGTTTGAGACATTTCCACCATCCTGCTTCTATATAGACTCACTAAAGAACCAAATCAGTCCAAAAAAGATGTTTTTTTTCCTTCAAGCAGCAGTCTCCACATTGGTTTGTTAGGATTCATTTATCAGACTGTGACCCTTTTCATACATTTACATATCAGGAGAAGAGAAGAGGAAGTAGTAAAGGGTTGACAAAGATTCCACAGTACTGTTAGTTTGTATGTTTCCTCCTATCTTCGATTTTATCTCGTTGCACAGATCCAACAATCATTTGCATTTTGATGCAGAGACACAGCACACAGAGGTGCCTTACCTGAGCGTGTAGGCTTTAAAGGGAGAATTGGGGTAGATGTAGTGATGCAGCCACCACTGCACTGTCATGTTCCAGTAACGCATGCCGTGCCGGACCTTGACACAGAAGTCAGTGTTGTAACAGTCGATGTTCTGGATGGTCTTGAAGTCGTATTTCTCTTCGGTGGAGGGATCAGGACTGACCAAAAGGAAGAATAACACCACAGAGGCCGAGATGTCAGAGAGCAATTACTGATGTCTTCTCTTTTACTACACTTGATGTGCTGGTGGTAATGTACCTGTAGTTGACAGTGGGCCCTCCTCCAGGTTTGGACAGGGCTTTCTCTGGATAACAGCCCAGACCTGCACTGATACAGCCGGCCTCAGCTCCGCACCAGGCAGCATAGAAACGCATCCGAAACACAAAGAACACAACTACCATGTAGAAGAACCTGTTCACAGGAAGACAGAGGACGAATACAATCATTGTGTTTGACCCTAAATTAATTTTACACCAGAATATCCCTTTAAGCTTCTATGACTCTTCATTTTTAGGTTAATGAACAGCCTAAAAAAAAAATTTATTGTAAAAAGATGTCAATGTTCTCCTACAGTAACGTCACATTTGAAACTTTGATGCTTTTTTTGCAGTAAATCTGTTTTTAATTTAGATAAGTCTCTGAAATCGATATTTTCTTCTAATAACACTTATGGGTATTGAACGCTTTCATTTTATGCTCTTTTTCTAAATGTCTTACAGGAAATAAAACAAGATTAATTTCTGCAATGAGACTATAATAAATCTATCTTTACTTTTCTTTGATGACAGTTTAACAGCATTTATTAATTGTTACAGTACCTAAAGAAATAGTTTCGATCCAGGAATTCCTCCGTGCGAACGTAAGCCAGGGGAAAGACAGAGTTCACAGCCAGGAAAAGAGCGCCGTAGACAGGAACCAGCTTCAGACGCTGCAGGCACGGCTCCCAGCCGGGCAAGGTCTGTGGGCTGGGCTGCTTCAGCCAGTCAGAGTACGTTTGGAAGCGAAAGAAGGGACCTTCAGGAAAATGAAGGGATGACATAAGGGAATAAAGACAAGCGTTGATAAGACAGTGATTGACAAAAAATGGATTTATGGGGCGATGCAAGACACAAAGAGGGCCAGAGGAGGGCAGTATGGTTCAATAGAAGAGAAGGTGTTGTGGGTAGGGGAGATGAGTAAAAAAAAGCAAAAAGAGAAGTATAAGAAAAGCCGATGTAATAATACTGAAACAATATGGACTCACACAATATTGGATAGTAGCGGCGAGTGAGACAAAGAGAGACAACAGTTAAAAATCATGCAAACACAAACAAGCATCAACAACAACAACAACACGCATGATTATAAGACAACACAAACTGATCAAGCTGAGACGTTTGGACAGACTTACCGGTCATTATACCGACATAACAATAGCTATAGGACAGGATATCATAGAGTGAGGGCTCCTGGGACAGACCGTCAACGACAGGAGACTTGGCAAAGTTGCTCACTTCCTTCTTCTTCTCAATGTGGAAGCTGTGCACCTCGTTTGCTAGACTCACCATCTACAACAAAAATCACAGAATGGACAGTTAAAACGTTAACATGGACATATAAAGTGCAAAATTGCAGTTTCATCCCCAGGTGAGATTTCTGTACCTTGAGAGTGAGAAGTAGTTGGACAGCGTTGGAAAAAGGAGTTGGTGATGGCAGTCCAAACCAGGTGACCAGCCGAAAGAAGAGGAGGTAGAGGAAGGTCCAGCTGAGACTGAGCGCCGGTGCATGCCTTGTTAAAGGAAAAATGCATGTTACAAGTGAGTGAGTGTTACACAGGAAACTTTGACAGGAGAGTAATCACATTTCTATTAAAAGTTTTCAATCCACCACAACTTTACCAATAATTTCATCATCAAGACTTTAAAAAAAAGCATGACCAGAAATCAAATAAATTCATTTGTATATTGAATGTTTTTGGGATTTATTCTGGTGGTAAAACAAATCAAGCAATTTCCATTTCCTGAGGGGAAGTTTTTCTAGTTTTCTGACATTTCATGGACTTAATTAAATGAAAATAATTGTTTACCTAGATTCATGCATACTGTTCTGTTTTTTTACTAACACTGTGTATTATTCTATGAAATAAGTCTGTTAAAGAGTCCATGTTTTCCCTCACCGCCAGCTGCTCTTTATAATGATCCATGTTCCAATCACTGTCACCAGAGAGTGGAGAGTGTGGACGTTACAGGTGGCGATAGTGATAGTGAGACCCAGTAGAAGAGCTGCTCCCTGCTTCACCGGAGGGCCTGAAGAGAAAACCAAGTAAAACAGTTTGTTAATTTGTCAAAACCATCCAGCAGAGGGAGTACACACACCGGGGAAAGCAGCAGAGATCAGCAACAAGAGAGTTTGTCATAAACACTAAGTTTCTCTCAGAGGCCCGAACAGAGCTAATAAAACCTTTGCTCAAGTTATGACATGTGAATCAACAAAAGTTGTGGCCAAAGACATAAAGTGTGAAACTGAAAAGGAAGTGGGCAGACCAGGCTTCTATTATGAACAACGGAAATGATCACAGACCGATGCAACGCACCGAACTGTCAGGTCAGGCAAGTGGAAGTGATGTGAAGAGTAGAAAATATCTCGGATTGTAATTAGGGTTGCACAACAAATCACAAATTTCAAAAGAGTTTGCATGAACCATTTTGCAAAATTTATAACTATAAATAAGACAATGATTTCATGTTTAAGTTGCACTCAATGTTTTCTCTCCCAGCATGAAAAAAAAGATGTGTCACGGATTCAGGAGAGAAATGTTGCAAACATACACAATCTAAAGAACATAATGAAACCATATAGACATCACAAACTGCTCGTTATTTCAGCTCATATATATTCTTAAGTATTTTTTTAATCCATTTCTTGTTAATATTAAGCAATGTAACTACACACTTCAGTTTGTTTTACATATCATGCAGGCCAAGTGTCAGATTTGCTGGTCTGAAAGTGTATTTAAAGAAAGTAACAAAGTCAACCAGCAAAAGTGATTTGTCACTTCAGCACTTTTCAGAAGTATACAGGTCACAGTACAGAGAGCGATTCATGTGACATTTCTGTGCATAATGTTCGTTGACACTCAAAAAGCAGCAGCTTGCAATACGAGCTTGCAAATTATCCGTGTGAACAAACTAAGTCCTGTTTTCTGATCATTTTCTGTCTCACAACACAAAACTTGAGAATGACGCAGCAAAATTTTAGTGGACATACATAAAGACAGTTCATTTCACACATTAATTTACAGAGCTATCAAACCAGCAATGTGTACAAATAAAAAACTCATTTTTCCAAATATAAAATATAATCTATATGCAGGTTCAAAGAGCAACCTAGCTGAAATACTCACTGAGGTAACGGAATAGAAATCCTACAGGGATGGAAGCAGCAAGGACTCCCAAGTACACCAGCTCATCAGGAGACATTGTTCTGCTGGCACAAACACAAAGATCAGATCAGAGCTCCAGATCCACCAAAGACGTTTATACAGAACAAAAACATGAAAGAAGACAACCAGTTGGAAACGGACATGCCGGTATCTTGCATCAAACACAATTTGGTAAAGCTGATCATTTTGAGCATCAAAGACTTTGAATCCTATCGTAGCTTTTCAGGATGTTTTTGGTTATGGATTGCAATCTTTCACTCCGTGAATCGGAAAAATATTTATTTATTATTCGCTTATTTATTATCAAATATGTAAAAAGAACATTATAATCCAAACATGTAAAAAAAAATACAAATACACCCCTATGCCTGAGAGGTTTTGCATATCTGACCGAAAAGGTGAAAGTAAGTTCTAGAAATTACATAAACTTGAGTTATACAGAGTAGCTTTTTGTTTACGTTCACTTTTTCAAAAATTTTTTTTTAATCATTGCTTTTACTTTCAAGATATTTCAAGCCATTTATTACTTTTTCCTTGAAGTCAGTATTACATTTCATCAAGAAATGTATTCTTGATGCCTTTGGAGCCTTTTTTCTCCCTCATAACAATCCATTAACTGTGAATTTTTGCCTTTTATAACAAGCAGATGTGTCACCACGTGTGTTAAGGCAGTGGTTCTCAAATCCAGTCCTCGAGGCCCACTGTCCTGCATGTTTTGGATGTTTCCCTGCTCCAACACACCCGATTCAAATGAACAGCTCGTTATTAAGCCATTACAGAGCTTGATAACGAGCTGATCATTTGAATCAGGTGTGTTGGAGAAGGGAAACATCCAAAACAGTGGGCCTCGAGGACTGGACTTGAGAACCACTGTGTTAAGGAGCCATCTACAAAGTACCATCCTGACAAAGGATGCTACAATTTTTTTTACATTTCCCCCAGAATAATCACAGAGTCAAAATGACCTCACACGTTAATGTTGTTGGTAAAAAAAGCTTAAGGGTTCCACTGTTTCCAGCACCATGGGATTAAAAGTAAGAAATCAGTGCTTGGTACTTCAGGTACTTTAAAAGTGAAGTACTTTTGACTTTTACTTAAGTAGATTATATAGACTGCCAGTTTTACTTCATAGGTACAGTATTTTTGTACTTTTCAACCCCTGTTAATAAGAAAGGCTGCATTAAGATCTGCATTAAGTTTTCCCATCTCAAGTTTGTGGATCTGTTTTTCATTTTAGTTTGATGTTACTTTGCTTTCAGGTGACCTTTGTCTTTATATTCCATTTTCAAGTGATCAGATCAGGTTGTGTTTCTCCCATCCTACTCCTGGAGTAAAAATCTTCATATTTAATGTGATTTCCTGATAATTTCAGGTAAGAACCTCCTGTAACACCTTGCTGCATTATTCGGCAGGTATGGCGCTTTGAGAGGATGGTATAGTGCCATTACGTCTTAAAATGAAACATCTTAATAATGTAGGATATTAATGAATGGTATCGTTGGTCAAAGTGACAGAAAACACGACTGAGTAAAGCAGAAAGAAGTAGAAATCCTTTTCACCATCATCCTGTTGCATTTCTAAACCTACTTCCCTGTGACTGAGTTTAAGCGACAACATTAGCCGACGGCAACTTCACCTCAGAACTGATATTATACAAACATTAAAGAGTTTTACTTTAAAGAAAAAACAGCTGTAATCAATGTCAAATAAGAAGCAGGATTAAACCACTAAACCATGACTGACTTTAGCGCTATCAGTCTGAGCAAATGTTAGCATTGTTGAAACTGAACACAATCACTTCGCTGCTAACGCGTTCACAGGCTATTATATCAACACGCATTAGTGGGAGAAAGTTGTCATTTACTTACATTTGGAACAATGAATTCACTAGTGTTGAACTACTGCAGTCTCTGGTCGAGCCCTGCGTACACAGATCCTCATTCACACAGTTGCTTCATGGCTAACACACGGATACTCGCTGCTTCCTGGTAGGTGACGACATACGCCCACTCCTGGTGGTTTCAGACCGTACCATTCGAGCTCCGAGGGGTGTGGGTCGTACCATTTTCACCACAGAGACAAAAACGCACTAGCTTCTTCTTTTGCCTTTCAAGAACTTTAGCACCTCCTTATTTAACCGTTTATTTATGACAAAATGTATTAATGTCAGGTACATCTCATTAGGATGTATTTGTTCTCACATTTCCATTTTAAGCAATAGAAGTTAAAAAAATAAATAAAAACTAGACTGAGATGTCATCAGTTTCTGTCGACTAAAACTAGGCATAAAATAGTCATGGGTTGTTCTGACTAAAGCGCTCAGTTTTAGTCGACTAAAATTGGCTAAACAAAAATGAGTTTGGACGTGACTAAAACAAACATAAACTTAAAATGAAAGTTTGACAAAGACTAGACTAAAACTAAAATTAAAACAAAACAACACTCATTTGAATGTGTTTCTTTTGTATTTATCATATTATGTAACCCCGCTGATGTCTAACTCTTTTATGAAAATTAAGAAAAAATTTGAATTTATAAATTAATTGGTGTTTAGTGTTTAAAAAAAACTCTACTTACTGCAACTCTTGTTTTCTTCACAATACCTGAATTTAAGGACAGAAATCTGCTGCATAATTAGAGCTATGAAGGTTTATCTAAGATGCAGGAATGTTTGATGCACTTTCAAAAGGAGAGGAAAACAGTGTTCAACCAGTAGGTGACACTATTACTCTTAAAAAGCTTATAGTAATGGACCAGTTTCTGACAACAACCATCAACCCTGTAACATTGAAAGCACAGTGTTGAGTATTTAGAAAAAAAAAACGTTTCTCCTGAGAAAGAAAGAGAAGAGAACAATGAAGGGCACAGTTTTACTATGAGCTAAAATGGGTTTGTGTGTAAACCGTGTCCAAAAGAGATGAAAAATGCCCATGTTTCACGGTGGGACAAGTAACATCATCTTTGACAGTGTGATGACACATTGGTTCAATTTCCAGTTGTTATAGTCAGTACTCTGGCTGTTGGTGTGTGGTGTGCTGTGTTGGCCCTGTCCTTACCCACCACATATGATAACACCAACCAACCAACCAAGAACAACCAACAACCACTAACAACCACCAACAACAACAACCAACAACAACAGACAACAACCCACAACCACCAACAACAACCAACAACCACTAACAACAACCATTACAGACAACAACCAACAACCACCGACAACAATCACCAACAACAACCACTAACAATCAACAATAACAACCAACAAAAACCAACAACAACCAACAATCAAAAACAACAACCAACAACCACCACCAACCAACAACCACCGACAACAACTAACAACACCAACCAACAACAACAACAACAACGAAGTGCTTTCCATAAAATTGCTGTACAGGCAGTAAAAGCAAACAGAGTAAAATACAATTGTAGTGCCTGGCAACTCAAATTGTGAGTACGCGTGCAACTATGCGTGATGATGTCAGAGTACGTGACAGGTATGGAAGAGGGAAGAGAAGTTATTAAAGAGTGCGATGACTGTTGGAGTGAGTTCAAGAATTAAAGTTAAGAAGAAGTGAGAAACATTACAACAATAATGACACATGGCAAAGGTTAAACAAGTGGATCTTGAGCTTTGCTTTAAAAGCATCCACAGAACATTCTAGTCTTATTTCCACAGGAAAATTACCTTCATCTTAGCTGACAATCGGGGTGTTAGGTGTTTAGGATATCCCAGTCTTTAGTTGACCTGTCCCAACTTTTTGGGAACACGTTGCAGGCATCAAACTCAAAATGAATGAATCTTTTAAAAAAGCAATAAAGATTATCAGTTTCAACATTGATAGACTGAACAAATTGAATGTCTTGTCTCTGTAATACATCAAATAGAAAATAGGTGGAAAAGGATTTGCAAATCATTGTATTCTGTTTTTATTCTTGTTTTGCACAACATTCCAGCTTCATTGGAATTTTTTTGTTGGTTTTTTTAGCATTTTATGACCCTTTTGGGCTGGTATTCCAGTGATGTAAAGTTAGACACAGTAAAAGGTGTTACTTCTTACTCAGCTAGGCCGACACAAAATGACCTGAAAGTTGTGCCTTTATAAAAAATGTTTGGGGCTAGCTGTTAGCACCCACTGAGCCCACCTCCCTGAAAAAGACATGGTCTGGATGGCAGCACATGTTGCTCCTAAACCTTTATGTACCATAGACTGTATGTATCATGGACAACTTTGCTCCGCCTTCCGTCACTATGCGAATTTTAATCCAAAATGCTCTTGCTCGCCCATAGGCTAAATCGAGTGTCAATCATACAAAACATGAACCCCTAATAACTTTTAAAAATGGAGCTGCACAGGAAAAAGAGGACTTGAGCACAAACCAGTCTTACAATCACTTAATGTCAATATCGCAACCAGGGAGGAGAACAATTTGTAGTCTGTGTAATTAATTTCTCAAGTTTGTCTACAACACCATAAGGATTGCTGGAGGAAGCAGGGTTTATGACCTATACTGCAACCAGTCACCAGGGGGTGCTGTTCTCGCAGAGGTTAATAACATACACAGTGCTTCTCAACCATTTTTAAATCACATTTCACAAATTATGTTCACATTACCTCATTAAGTCTCACAGCAATGGTCAGTTTTGACATTTACAACTTTAAAAATGGTGGATAAACACTGAGTTTTTGGCAGAAGCAGCAGATCTGTAGAAGCAGCCCTTAGATTTGATGTTTTAAAAGTTTTACACTTGTGTTACTTTATCTCCCTTTTCCCTTTTGTATCTTTTATACTTGATATATGAAATATGATATGTGATATGAGATGATACTCTCCAGAACTGCACTGATAAAAGAAGCATGTTTGTCCACATCTACTCAGCCCAAATAAACATGAGCAGAAAAACCGGAATAGTTGTTGGTGGTAGGTGGTTCAACATCCTCACAGTAAAAAAAGCAGGAGGAGAGAAAACTGCCACCACACCCTGCACACATCTCGGTGTCTAAGCCTCAGGTTTTCAGTGATGGCGCGCAAAAGTTTAGAGATTCTGAAATTTATTTGTTTGATCACATGGACCATTATATGTGTCGTAGTTTTATGGGGAGTTTTCTCAGAAAACTTGAGGTAAGTTCTTTTTGTAATCAGAGAATGTGCTTATTCCATCTATGATCTTTTCTAGCATGTTTATTGCACTTTCTGCCAGATAAACCTCTGTGTAAGCAGATTTAAGGGTTTTTAACCAAAGGGAAACACCCGCACACTGTTCAACTTGCAGAGAGAGGAACAATTTATTTGCAACTTACTATACCTTCATCAGGCAAATCATAGATGCGTGATGTTACCTCTCCGAGGGTATTTTAACCCACATTGTCTTGTTCAGCTACCCTTCCTCCCCAGAATACAAGTACAAAGCTCTATTGAAGGCGTTGAATGCAAGAGTCGACTTGATATCACAACTTGACGGGTTTGATGCAACAACAGTCGGAGCCACCTCACCTGATGCTGAGACTCCCATGCCTCCTCTCGACATCGAGTCATTCACAAAGTATCCTGTTTGGGATTTTGAGGACATCTATAACCAGGATGCTCCCCCCAGAAAGACAGTAAGCATGATGAACAAGGACTGAGTTGTTTTAAAGGGTTTAACAGTGTGGGAGTGGATAATCATAGCTGCTGCTTATTTGCACAGTGTTCGGTTGTTTTCCTTCATGGTTGTTAAAACTTGTTCTACAGACAGTTTGCACGAATATTTTGGTGATTGTCAATCTTTAATCCCTCGTGTCTTTCCCTCTGTTTTGATAATGCTACTGTCAACCCCCTTTAATAAGTAAACCTTCCCTTGATCTGAATAAGTCATTTCAGTCCAATCTCAAAGTTCATGTTTTTAGCAAGTTCTGATGTACACGGTTAGAATCAAATCTTCAACTTTGCTTTTTGTTTTAAAAAATTAATATGTTATTTTACATCTCAGACCTGTGTCCAGTCTCTGCGAAACTCCCAGGATGAGAGCTTCAAGAAGGCTTTCCTTCCCAACATCCGGCTGTATCTCCACAAAGACAACTTCAACATGAGCGAGTGGAACCGGTTCTCACACTTTAACAGTCCATTTGGTTTTATGAGTTACGAATATAAAGGTAATATAGCTTTGTTTGTATTATAACCTTAACTTGATCTTTACAGATATTTTCAGAAAATGTTATGAGACATAAGCTGTCAAGTGCTAACAAGATCCATGGAGGTCATGAAGGTTCTTGTTGTAAGTTGTTTGATTATTGTGTCTTCATTTAGCATGTTTTTGTTCCTGTTTTGGTTTGCAGATGTGATAGAGGCGATTAAGTTGATTCCAGAACCAAAAGAGCCACTATTCCCCCCAAAGCTAGGAGGTGATGGGTGTGTGCGATGTGCTGTGGTGGGCACAGGGGGAATCCTGAACGGCTCCAAAAAGGGGAAAGAAATCGATGATCATGATTATGTTATCCGGTAAGTAATGAGAAGAGAATCATTTCTGCTTATTAGGGGCTATTTTGCTGAAAAAAGGCTTCAAACCATTTTATTATTTGGATCAGTTTTTGTTGGTTTAGTGCCAGTCTGTGAGAAATATTATCTCAAGACACTTTTGTTTGTTATTCACAAACCATAACAAAGAACTCATTCACATTTCCAGCTATCAGTGACAACTACATGCGGACGAAAAACTTATCAGCATGTAGAAGTCAACTATGAAGTAGGCCAGTATGGTACGGTTTGTTTTTTTTGCCTCCCTCGATTTCACTGTGTCATTTTTACTCTCCTGGAAGTACAACAGAGTAAACCGCTCAGAAAATCTCCAATTGAAGCTGATGATACTTGAAATGTTGATCTGTGGGGAAAGCTCTTATATTTAAACGTGTTTCTGTTTCAGGATGAATGGTGCGCTCACTAAGAATCACGAGGAGGATGTAGGAAACAGAACTTCTGTGTATGTTCACACAGCTCACGCCATCACCGGTTCTAGGTATTTACTGGGCAAGTACGGATATACAAATGCCCCTGCTGACAAGGTATCTGAACTTTGATGAAAACAGCAAAATACTTAAATTGTCTTAACTCCTGCACTCATCCTTCATCATTTTACTTTGGCAGGGAATAAAATATGTGATGATTCCTGAGGATATGAGGGATTTTCAATGGCTCACCGGTCTTCTTAAAAGAGAGAGGGTTGCTGCTGGACAGTATCGTAACTATAAGTGAGTATCAGCTCTTAAAATATTATCAGATTGTGCACACACCAAAACATGCTTCTTGTCTCTCATGTTGGGGACTTATTGGATTGTCATCTTGTTTATGGAAAAGTTAAATAGCTGCACTTTCTTCAGGTAGAAATCTTCTATCCACTGAGTAAGAACATAGGGGTTTGGCAGTCTGCTCACGCTCAGGTCCTCAAGTAATACGCCCTGTCTCAAAGAGTCACCTCACATATTCAGAATTTTTACTTTGTTCTTCTTACATAATATATGAAACGAACTGAGGGCTGTGCCTTTCCACAAATATATGAATGTCTCATTTCTAAAATTAGTTTAAAGACATCTCTTGATTTTTGTTTTCGAACCCTCCAGGCCATGGACATACTACAGCAACCAATTCAACGAAAGCCACTTTTACGTTCTGCACCCGGACTTCCTCAGATACGTGCGAAACAGGTTAAGTTCTTGATCATCACACTCAACTTTTTTTATGGTTTGTATCAGTGTTAGTGTAAGAAGTTGAAAAAGATAAACAAAACTAATCAGGTATCCTACATTAAATGCATTATTTTCTGTGTTTAATTCCCATAGATTTTTAAAGTCTCCTAATCTGAACAAGGATTTCTGGAGGTTAGTCAGACCAACCAACGGGGCTTTTGCTCTCTTCGTGGCTCTACATACATGTGACATCGTAAGCTATCCCCAGTTTCTAATTTCTTTTTACTCCTCATACACTTTTAAATGTTGTTCTGAAAACTCTTTTGTGTCATGTGAAATGTTTTTTAAGGTAGATCTGTTTTTGTCATCCCCAGGTGTCCGCATACGGGTTCATAACTGACGACCACAGCAAGTACAACAACTACTACTATGATGATGGAGGCACCAAAACCCATATCATTTTTTATATCAACCATGACTACAACTTGGAGAAGGATGCCTGGAAAAAGCTGCACAACACCAAAATAATGAAGCTTTATCAAAATGTGTGACAGTGACGGACCTTCTGGATGCTCATGATCAATAAATATCTGTCCACAAATTATCTCTCTGTAGTTTACAAATCCAACATTGATTATATCTTGTTTTGCAGTTGGTTGTTTATGAGTTATTGCTGTTCAATCTGTTTGCAAACCGTTCAAAATTTATATCATCTAAGAGTGCAATACTAACTAGGCCCGGCTGCTCTGCAGCTGGCTCGGGCCCTAATCAAAACACAGTTCTTAGGTCAGACCCAAAAGTTTTATTGAAACTTTGACAGAACAGGAGCACAACACCACACTCCTTGAACATCATCCTTCTTAATCCTCCTCCTCATCGTCAGCTCCTCCAGCTCCACCCTGGCCCTTCTTGGCGTTCTTTCTCTTGACGCGGCCTGGGCGTCCACCACCGTATGGAGATCTCAGGGAGAAGTCAATGTGTTTCTGGCTGTCCAGGCGAACCACAAAGGAGGGAATGTTCACTACCTGCTTACGAACACTATAGGAGAGAAAAAAAAACATTACTTTATCATTTCACAATTCAACTTTATTTCTAACCAAGAGTCATCTCCTATTTTAACTTCAGGCTTCATTGACGAGGAATTCTTGACACCACAGAAAATCTGAAACTTTTACTTAAATCATCAGCCTGAGTAATACAGCATGTAAACAACTGCTCCATTGCCCGAGGTGCAATCCCCCATACCTTACCTGACAGCCACAAAACCCAAGTGGCACAGTCCAAGCCCTCAGTGGCAGGATTGGCTCTGGGCAATGTCTACTGACAAGGTATACGGTTTTGATACCGAATTGACCTTGCTGAAAAGTTAAACTGATCTCAGCGGTGATAGTTACAAGCTGATGATCCTCTGAGGGGAGAGGAAGCATTGAGTGATTCTCATGAGTCCCTCCTCAGACTTGTGACCCCTCCTCCCTTCATTATGTTTATTTTTCTTAAGAATGAGATCTTACCGGATGTGCCTCTGGCGGATAAGGACGCGGGCATGGTGAATGCTCTTGGCAAGTCCGAGCTTGAAGACCTGCGTCTGCAGCCTCCTCTCCAAGAAATCTTCTACTTTCAGACCCAGGATGTAATCGAGCTTCATCTTACCCTCATCCAGCACACCAATCCTCACCAGACGCCTGAGCAAAGCATTACCTAGAAAACCACACAGTAGTTACAAAGTTGAAGGGGCTTTAAGTAGACTTTTGAGTAGAGTGTGCGACAATTTTGGCCTCATTGACGAGGAATTCATGACACCATTGTTGAGTCTGACAAGTTGATATTTAAATCATCGGCCAGTAAAATTGTCACAATTACTGGATTTGTTCAAAATACCTTCAAACAGACGCTTGGGATCTTTCTCATCAAGAGTGAGCAGCTCTCTGGCAGCTTTACGAATCTTTGCAAGGGTGAACTTGACCCTCCACACCTCACGCTTGTTCCTCAGTCCATACTCACCTGAAATAGGAAGGTGATATTGTTTTAGATTCAACGGATATAGAGGAAATCCAGAAAGAGCAAACAGTAAGTATGAGGTTGAAACATACCAATGAGTTTCAACTCCTGGTCGAGACGGGACTTCTCGAAGGGACGACGGGGGGTGACATAAGTCTTGCGACAAACCCAACTCCTGGCAACGGGCATGGCGGCTTAGAGGTGCCTGCAACATCAGACATGAGGTTTTTTTTAGTTGGTAAATTAAAGTCATAAAAATAGATATCAAAAACAGGACGAACAACAAAATACTGTCTGGTTGATTTAATTAAGAGCACATAGGAATCACAGGCACCGTAGCTTGTACAGTTTTTAATTTTATTTTTTGATTGCCATCTATTTATTTACTTTTATTAATCCCATGTTCAGCACTTCGTTTGCTGTATCTGAAAGGTGCTTTATAAATAAACATTGACTTGACTTGATAAGGCAGTCGTGTTTGTTCCTTTATTACAGACTTCATTTTGTAGTAAATGGGAAGCTTTTACAATAAAATGCCTTCAAATTTGTTAAAACTGCTCATTATCTTTATCGAGTGTATAACATGCCTTTTTAATTGATGAAATCCCTTTACGCAGCGTACACCGATGCTAACGTTTCAGTTAGCAGAGGTAACACTCTTTTAGCAATTATGGTATTGAATAATAAAATATACAACACCGATACAACAACGTGAATCCGTGACTACATTTGCAAAAACATAGATCACAAAACATCGGTGTTGTAAGCTGCAAACTTCAGTCAAACAACTAGGCCGCAGCCGAACCGCACCACGTTGCTCGGTGAAACATGCTCAGAGCTAGCATACATAGCTTTCTATTTCAACAGTTCGTAAGACACGACACTTAACGTTTTTAAATAATATTTCTTATGTAAAACCGTTATCTCTAATGGTCTTCAAACCCTTGTCCATTTAAAGCCGTAAATACCACAAACATCCTCTGATATGTCTGACAAAGCTAACATCAGTACCTGTCTCGCTCAGGCTCGCGCAGTAAAGAGGACGTTAAAGGAAGTTCCCATTGACTTATAGGGCCAGAGCCTGCACTACATATCCCATCATGCATGTCGGTCTGAACGGAAGTGGGAAGATGAAATTGGCGCACTCTGTTGGGCAAATGCTAAACAACGGGTGAAAATGCTAAACTACAAACTAAAAATAATCAGGGTTTTGTCAGCTAACTCTTTTTGTTTATGTCCAGGTTTGAGATTCAGTAAACAGACATTAATAACACAAATGTTTGCGAGTGTGGGGAACAGTTATTCAATTAAACTGGGGCTCAGGATCATTAACATTGCATTATGGCCTACATTATTTGGGTTTTAATATATTTTTTTATTTTTTCATCAAACCACAATGAAATAGGTCATTATTACAACTGTGTACAAGCAGTAAGATGTCTTGCATGTCAAAGACTAAAGGTGGTAAGGTGGTAAACTCAGAGAGGACATGGGTGACTATTTATATAACTCTGAAATGGGACCCTGAGAGCATGTGTTTCTGTCTGTCAGGCTGCATGATCAACGGATGGACACACAGAAGCTCACTTGCTTTCTGTTTCACTGCTCTATATCCTGTCTTTTCAGGGCAGGATCTCGATTGATTTGTGGATTTTTTTTGTTTGCTTGTTTGACATCTCTGCAGGCTTACAGAGTCTTACACTTCCTCCCTGTGACCCTCTTGGATTTTATTTTTTCTACTGTCAGGATTTTTTTCTTCTGATTTTTCCTCTTTTCCTCAGCCTGGCAGCCTGTCCTTTGTGCATATCAACCTTTCCCCTGCTGTCTTTTTCCTTTTCCTCTTATTATCCTACGTTCCTGGTCTCCTTGTTTGTGGTTTTTGGGCTATGCTCTCCTCACCCACTGTGATTCTCCAACCTTATGGACTCCCTGTCTACCCACAGACAACCACATGCTACCCAAGCATAGTCCAGGTAACGTGTCTCTCATATCTGAGGGGTGAATTCCCAAGTAAACATGTTGAAAAGTGTTTTTCAGTTTAACCAATTTCAATTTGCCAAAGGAAAAAAAACAACCACCGGAAACTAAAATAGGAAATAACTTGTTACAACAACAGGATTGGATCTATAGCTACACAAATGTTATTCTTAAGCATTTTCTGGTTGTGTAAAATGTAAAAACTGAACTAATCATGATACTTTTCCCTACTGATTCATTGATTCTGTCCGCCATAAATTAATCTTATCGGGAAGAAGAAATCAATTTATGTTCAGCAAAAAAAAAACCTTAACAAAACTTTCTGATCATGATCATTTTACACACTTGGAAGAAGCAGAAAGATCCCGATCTTATCAATTAAATACTAAATTTTAAATCATATTACAGTTAGTGATTTAAAAATATAGAAAAATATGTACATGGGTCTTAATAGATTGAACTGAGAAAAAGGTTTAAGTGTGTCAACAGCAGAAAGTCCAGATGGAGAGAGGTGAAGTAAACAAGGATTGAAAGTTATTTATTTTAAAATAAGGACACATTAGACGTGTCAGTGATGCCACCGGTGGTTATGCATGTGTGTGCGTATGTAAGTGTCCCTGACATACCATTAGTGCCACAGTGCATCTGGTATGTGTCTACCTTGCCTCTGTGCTTCACACCAGCTGTATTTTTAGCCCTCCTCCTCTAGGCAGATAATCACTAGAGGAGATTCTGTCACCTATCTTGTTGCCTGCAGTAAACTCTACTTAAAATAGGTGTGAAATCTGCCTGTTGTGCATCTAAATGCTGACTGTGTCAGCTGTTATTTAATATTGATCCCAAATTTTTGGTTATTTGAGGAAAATCACAGGGCTACTTAGAGCAAACAGGTATAATCAAAGGTGATGAAACATCCCAGCATGTGTTAAACTTTTGACTTCTTTAAAATGTTGTATTTCAAGTACTCTGGACTGCCTCAGGTTTTTATGACCCAGGTATGACTGAAGCAGAATTTACTTGAGGGGTGTTGTTTTGAAATCTGGTCTCCTGGGACTGTGTCAAAGGTCAATTTCTGCTTTCTGTCTCTGTCATCTTAACCTTCTCTGTGCTATCAGCTATCTGATGAAGGATATATTTATGTCTCCAAACATGATTAAAAGAACAATCACAATAAATAGAAAGTTGTAGAAAGTAAACTTGCAGGACAAAGAAATCTTTTGCATCACTGAATCAAGCGAGGTGTCAGCTAGCACTTTAAAACTCGGTGGTCAGCTCTCACAGGACACATCTGCAGTAAGTATCACTGCCTGTGTGTGTAAATCCTGGGACAGCTGTCCCAGCAGGCACCTGGCTCTGAGCCGTTGACCTCTAACCCTGAGCTGACAGCTGAGGAAGGAGACGAGAGAAAGAGGGAACAAATGGATATCAAAAAAAGCCTGTAAGGAGGAGCGAGGGGACACATTGTATCTGCCGGCTGACGCTGTGATACTGAGTCAGACATGTTGGCTGATAGTTACAGACTGTGAGAATGTAAACCTGGAGGAGAAGTGATATCTTCTGGATAAGTTTATCTTCACTCGCCTGTTCCTTAATTATGTGTCTGGGGGGCAGAGAAAGTCAGACATTGTTATTTTGATACAGACATGTTGGTTTGATGTGTTTGGAAAACTGGTCCAGCATGAGACTGTGGTTTATACCGCCATAAATAAATGGACGGACTTTGATCAGAGTCACAACCACAGAGATTCCAGTTCATACTCCACAATTAAAAAGAATGACAACAAAAAAGATAAATGCTGCCATCTGAAGTATTTCAGATTTCACGTCTGTCTTGAACTGTATTACAAAAAACAAACATACTTTTTTGCCATACTTGCACTGTAGCCAACAACACGGAAAGATAGCAGGTTCTCTGTTTATTTTTTTATGTTGTAAAGTTTCACATCAACCTCCATACTGATAGGAAAAGTTTTTTGTGAAGATTCAAGTCTTCCTCAGGTTGAATTACAAAACTTGATTAGTCCTCTAGCCTTCATGTAGTGCTATCATCAGGCCGAGATACTTAAGTTTATTAACAAATACATGATAATTGTATTACTTTTCTCCTCCCTTACTTAGGCTTGAGTGATTAGCTGTGCTTTGCATATTAACATACTCCAGTACTGCCAACTAGACCTCATCAGTGGTTTCAGACCTTGACCTGTATCATTATTTTTGTCTCCAATTCTTTCTTAATTGTAAAATCTGTGTCTACATAGCTCTAATTTCACACCTCCAGGCGTAGCATCTAAGTTTCAATCAAAGTAGACCCTTCTAAATCCCAAAGTTGGGTGAGAAACTTGTGGCATTTTGCTCATATAGAAATGCATGGGTATATGTTTATCAATCTGTTTGGGGGACCGATGGAGGGACATCTATAAGCCCTTCGTTAGATGAATACATGAACACTAAATGATGTGGTGTGTTCCCTTTAGAGACATTCATTTTGGAGTGCTTCTTAGCTGTGTTTATTGTGGTTAGGTAACCAAAGTTGTCTTAGTTCACTTTCACTTACCACCAAATATTTACTTTATTTGATGGAATTATACAAACTGAATATTAAAAAAGTGACAAGAAATGTAGCATTAACAGCAGTAGACCTATTTCTAGATGAGGGGGATGTACCAATGGCAGTGTTTAAAAAATGAACTATTTTGAGCTGATAGCATCACAAAAACGCTGTTAGTGGACACAGGACCCGGGGCTTTGAAGTAAACTCCTTGTCATTAGGTTACCTATAGTGTAGATAATCTTTGAAAATGTAGGTGTGAAAGCAAGCCGAAGTTGCTTTTGCTAGTCTTCATGGAAAGCTAAGCTAATGAATCTGACCTCTGCTTATAACTTTATTTGAACTATAGGCTATTTAAATGCAGTTTAATGTTCGAAATGTTGCAGGTGGATTTCACCTATATAACTGGGAGAAATAAAACTTTTAACTAAACTTGCAACAAACAGAAACCCAAAATTCCTGTTTCGATTGAAAGTCAACCAGACGTCTTTCACTTAGTTTAAGGGAAGTAGGCTGAGATATATTGATTGATTAATGTTCCAGTAAAAGTAATAAAACCATGTTGGCCTCTCAATGTGATATTCTTAGAGTCGACCTTTAGCATGATGTACAGACATGCAACTGAAGGAGCATTTACATTCATAAATACCTCATCCTGAGCTCTATCTGCCATATGGGCTGAGTGTGTGTGCGTGTCTGTATGTGTGTTAGTGAGTGTTTAAGGAGGAGGCAGTTAGTGTGATTGACAGTTACAGATGACCACAGCTGGTGTGGCCCCCCTTGTCTTTTTACTCTGGCAATCATTTGGTGTGATTGGTGGAGGAGAAGAACTTATGGTGCGGTAGGCGGGTGGTCAGCTGGCATTAAAACATGCTGCAGTTGTTGGACAATGCTGCAGAGATCCAGGAATGCAGTGAGGGGGTAAGACAATGCATTGGTTCTTAACTAGATAGTTTACTTATGTCAAGTTTACTCTAGTTTACTGTATGCGATTGTTTCCGCCTGTTTATGTGCAGCAAAGATCTGATGTGATTTGACTGAGTTCGGCTGTTTTAAAGATATTTTAAAGTTTTTAAGTCATAATTTCTGTTAATCCAACAGAAACTTATTTGATAGCTGTCAGGGAGATGCTAAAGGATTTGTCTTCATAAGAAATGTTTTTTTCTTAATGTCATCAATTCTCTCGAATGTCAGAAAATAGTTTGTAAAGTTGGTCAAGATTTGCCAGAGTTCTGACTCTTTGCGGTGACTTTCTTGCTTCAAAACAATTGAAACAAACAAACAAAAAAAAAGCCATGCTGTTCATTCAAATGAAATGAAGTGACCAATTGTTTTTGTCACATAACTGTTTGAAAAAGAAATAAATAATATTCTTTACCTTTGACGAATCACAGATAAGTAACTTTACCACATTGCGGATATACTGTAACCAGTAAAAGTTTTCAACATTTTATATGAAGTACTAAAAGTTAAAGTTCACATTATGCTGAAAAATAAGTGTTTAAGTCATGCTCTGTACTTCATATTATTGGAGTTGGGTTACAGATGCATAAACGTGTTTCTGACCTTGAAGTTATCGGGGTTGAGTTCTGTTTTCATGCTTTTACATTCTGGTATCTGTATGCTTGAGTTGATCTATAAGGTTTATTTCATGAATCTGCAGCATAATCTGAGAAATTTAATTCATGCTGGATATTTGAAGAAGAAATCTCGAATATTTTTACTCAGACAGTCATGTTGACTTCCATGCTGCGTACACATTCATGTCAATCACAGCAATTCATTCTAGTAAAAGAAGTTAAACGCGGTGGTTTGTTTGTTTACACCTCAGACGTCTGATGCTGTATCTGTCATCAGTGGCTGATCTCTCTCTCTCTCTCTCTCTCTCTCTCTCTCTCTCTTTTTATCCACAGGGAGGCCCCACACAGGAGACGGGGCCTGGCAGCGGCGACCCTGCCCTGCCACAGGTCTATGCCCCTCCTCCCTCCTACCCCCCACCAGGTCAAGGCCCGCCAACATCTGCAGGCAGACTACCACCACTTGACTTTAGCTCTGCACATGCCACTTCAGAGTACGCTGAACACCCACAGCTCAGAGTCTATCAGGGTACGCAGCACGATGGGACTGAAGCTCTGACATCCAGTAACACGGTAAGAAAAAAAAAACCCAACATGAGAAATTCATGCCCCAGTAAAACATGATCTTCTCTAAGTTAATGTGACTAGAGGCCCTGCTGCCATGGGTTGATCATCTATAGGTCCTATCAAAGAAACACGGCCAGATAGAGTTTCCTTCTATATTTAGAGCCACACTCCCACTTTGAGGTCCATGTACGGGAATGCAGCTCACACTACAACACAGGGGGGAGAAGCAGCTGAGAGGGGATTTGTTGATGAAAATAAATCCCCACTTTCCTTTTCCCCAGTGTCTTATTTAGCCACCAATAAAACAGATAACCTTTCAAGATGATAGACGTGTAGTATTGAGTTTGTTAAGTGTGTTGTGGATATAAACAACATAACATCCAGGCTGTATATGATGTTTTTATGATTAGTGCAACTGTAAAGTTAAGTAAAGCTTATTTATAAAAACAAAACAAAAGCACTTGTACCTTAAATAAAAAAAATTAAGTCTAATTGATATTTTTAAGTCATAATTTTTAAAAAATTCACCATCCTTGTAGTTTGTAAATGTAACAACAGCCTTGCTATCAGTCTGTTAAGTTGAGTGTTAAAATGTATTATTATTATTATTATTATTATTATTATTATTATTATTATTATTATTATTATTATTATGTTTTAAAGGGTAAACATCCGCTACAGCTGTGAGATTATTACAACCTGTTTTAGATAAAATTGACCCCAAAGTGTTTTCCTCTCAAGCCTGCATTAATTGCTTATATTGGACTCTGTATATTAGTCCAATTTTGCTTTGAGAGCTTTGTGCAGTTGCTTTAAGAACTGCAGCTCTCATGGAGACACACATTTTGTCATTTGATGATCCTTTGACTTCTTGGGGGCTTCTGTAAGGTCAAATTTTCAGCACAATATAAGCTCACACTACTTTAAAATAGGGAAGAGCATCTTTGCTAACATGTCAAAAACTGAAATTGTATGACTTGCCAACTTTCAACATGGAAAACTATGTTAATATGCTAAGGTTAGCATTTAGCTGATCAAGACCTCCAGTGCAGCTTTACAGAGCTGCTCGCACGACTTTAGACCTCCAGAAAACTCTTTGGGGAAGCGGCTGCATTTGAAAACAGGTTGAAATACTCTGTCAGCAGATTAATCTAAACACCGAAATAAAGCAACTCTCTTGTCGTGTTTTTAATCTTTGACAAACACCTGTCGTATCTCCTTCAGGCAGCACAAGGACAGAGGTGTTTAAGTGAGCTTTGAAGCAGGCCAGCTCTTTGTCCTGCTGCTACACATCTCTTTACCTCCTCTTATAAATGGTCTTTTGTGGCCCCATCTATATATTCTATTACTAGAGCCCCTGACAAACTCGGGTCCAAGCTGATTTTCGTGTGGGGAAAGTTGAGACGGCGCCATGGAGGGAGGGGGTCAAAGGGGGAGGCTGACCAGATGACCCCCTTTCCCCCTCTGAAATATCGCTCAGGTCTAGAAACACTATTCTGCATCGTGACATGACACCACCACCCAACCCCACCCTCTCCCCCCTGTCTCCCCTCCACTGTGGCCTGTCTGTGGTGTGTGTGTGTGTGTGTGTGTGTGCGTGGATGTGACAGTCTGCTGTCTTCAGTACTGAGCTGCAGCAAGCCAGTGTAGTGTAATCCAACGGCCTGTGTGAGTTGTGTGTGTAAATTACTCCTCTCCACGAATGTGTCTCTTTTTCTGTCTACCCCAAACTTATTAATTATGCCCCTTGACAGATGACCTTTAACCCTTGGCAGAAAAGCAGCACCGTGACCCCCGACTGACCCTCTTGAAACATTTAGTTTTGATCTATGCCCCCTGTGCCTTCCTCCCAATCACCCTTTTCAAGCTTTTTGCGCACCTTATTTGCCTTGTTTTTTTCATTTGATTTCACTTTTCACTGCTGCATCGAGGCCTTTCAGATTTCTGCCTCTTGGTACTAGAATGCTAATAATCAAGTCTTCACTCCTGCAAAACAAAACTACAATTTTCTGGCACATGTCAACATTTTCCCAGTAATTTTCCTCTGCTTTTTTTTTTTTGATGTTCATTTTTCTTTCCAATGCACTTCGCTCATTTTTCTCTTTTTTGCTCTCACTGCTGAAGCTTATTGTACTTTTTTTCCCTTGCAGACCTTTTCACTCTAATTTCCTTGTTTGGACTCATTCTTTTGTCTTAAAAAAACATTTCTTTAACATTTCGATTCTTGCACCGGTTGACCAACACATTTACATGCACATACACATACATATACACATGCACACAATAGCATCGTGGTGCATTGTGGGTCAGTGAATGTTTTGGGTTTGGCACTTTAGGCCTTGATTTTTTTTTTCTGCATGGGTAATTTCTGATAAGCAATATTTAAAGAGTTTTATGTGTATTTACAGAAAATCACAACTACTTCAAAATTGTGAGTAATTATAGGCAAACTAGTAAGTCACAGTCTTTCTGCTCTTCTTCTGAGGGGGTGCTCAACTTGACTTAATCTCTTTGCAACAGCTTGAGTGAGTTGTAGTGTTAGTTTCAGATGTTTTAATATAATAAAATGTTATGGCACAGTGTCTGAGAGGGATCACTGGTTGCTGAATGCTCTTTGGTTTGAATCACTTTACTCTATGACAATGATCCTTATCTAATCATGTGATGCTTTCAGAAGTTTTCACAGAGTTTAAGACACACTTTTCTGAATTCACTGTATCATCCTCTCCATCTTCATCTTTTCTTCTCCACTGATGCCCTCTCTCTTCTTCTGTCTTCACTTCTACTCTGTTCATTCACTCTATTCTTTCTTTTTCTATCTTTGTTTTCCATCCTTCTGTTTTTGTTTGTTCTCTCACGTCCACTTCCTTTCTCGTCCGCTCTTCTTCTATCAACATGCATGCATCCTCTCTATCTCCTCCCTCTGTTTCCACACCTTCTTACTGTCAGGAGGATGTTTTGGCCCCTGTGACCTCTGACCCCCAGTCCCTGAGTGTGTCGGTGTCATCAGGGGGTGGAGCAGGAAGTGGGAGCGAGGAGGAGGGGCCAGGTAAGGCCCAGCCAAAACGCCTCCACGTCTCCAACATCCCGTTTCGCTTCAGAGACCCAGACCTCCGCCAGATGTTTGGGGTATGTATTTTTTTTAATATCTATCTGAGGCACGACCCATCATGAATCGAACCGACTTGACATTGACTACTTTTCTGACATTTCCAGCAATTTGGAAAGATCCTTGACGTGGAAATTATCTTCAATGAGAGGGGTTCAAAGGTTAGCATCACAGACATTTAACCATTTCCTTAGATTTTAAAAACAGAATAAAGAACAAAACTGTGTGAACTTGCAGGGCTTTGGGTTCGTGACCTTTGAAAGTGCGACTGAGGCTGACCGAGCAAGAGAGAAACTGAACGGGACAATCGTGGAAGGGAGAAAGATTGAGGTAAGGAAGAATTTGAAGATCATATGAGACCTTCTCCTCTACTCATGATTATCCCTAATCCTGGCTTTTTGTCTCGCTCTCTGTCAGGTCAACAATGCAACTGCAAGAGTGGTCACCAAGAAGCCCCAGACGCCCCTCGTGAACGGTGAACTTTCAAGTACGACTCTCTTACTTTTTTTTCAATCCAAATAGTTACTGCAGTAACTCAAACAGGTCCAGCAGATCTGTGCGACTGAGAACCCTCACAGATATGAAACCTACTTTTGTTTGTGCAGCTTCAGGGTGGAAGATCAACCCTGTGATGGGGGCTATGTATGCACCTGAGCTCTACACAGGTAAGATCCTCTCTGATTTGTTAACATTAAACCACAGTCTTTTTCATCCCATTTGTTTGAAGAGTGTTTTTCCTCCCTCCTACTCCTTAGTCGCCAGTTTCCCATATCCTGTAGCAACTCCCACCTTGGCCTACCGGGGCTCTGCTCTGCGCGGTCGTGGCCGAGCTGTGTACAACACGATCCGCTCAGCTGCAGCTACACCTGCTGCTGTACCTGCCTACCCCGGGTAAGACTCTGCTACCAAGTCTGTTTTATCTGCCTCATTTTACTCAGTACTTAATGGTTTGATGTTGTATTTGCTCTCTTTTATCAGGGTTGTATATCAGGATGGACTGTATGGAGCAGAAGTCTATGTAAGTCTCACTCCTAACTGTTACTCCTGAGTTCATTTGAAGTGTTGCATCCTTATTTATGTCATTTGTTTTTTTGTTTGGCACAGGGGGGATATCCTGCGGCTTACAGAGTGGCCCAGTCAGCATCAGCTGCAACAGCAACTTACAGTGATGGGTAGGCAACTCTCTCAGTCCTTGCATGTATTTCTCACAACTTACTTGTGACCTGTAGACAGGACAATATTGAAGCAGAAGAACTATTTGTACAAACCGCACTTCTAATGAATTGGGAAGCATTAAAAAAAAAAAAACTTCTAAGCAGTCAAATTAAAGCTTCTCTGAGGAGTTTTTAGTTGGTTATAAAACAGACTGACATCAATGCTGATCATGTGTAAGACCAACAAAAGCAAAGACAATATTGTTTTGTAGGTATTTGCATGTCTAAATTGTCACAGGGAGGAGGTTAAAAATAATAACGTTATATGTATAGCGCTTTTAAAAACAGAAGTTTACAAAGTGCTTTAACATATAGTCATAGAGCACGTGGAAAAAGACAAATAAAAACAAAAAGCTCAGTTAAAACAGAATTGAAGGTCATTTTCATACATATGGAACCCAGATAATAAACATAAAATAAGACCATGAGGACCAAAATAAAAACATAAAATGGTTCAGAAAAAAGAAAATGCAATTAAAAGAGGGGTCAAAAGAGGTAAAAGGGGTCAAAGTGGAAACAGTATAGTAAATATGAAAGGCAATGTCAACAATGATAATAAAATAATAACAGGTAATACTGATAATAAAAGTAATGATAAAATAGAGCAACAGAAATGAACAAGAGACAAAACAATAAAAGGTCTAAAGGGTTAGTTAAGAAAAGAGTACAAGTATAAAAAAGGCAAAAAAGACAGTAAAGCTGAAATAAGACCGAGGTAAAAGAGATAAGAGATGACAGATAAAAGATAAAAGATGGCATCACATAAAAGCAAGTCTGTAAAAATCTCCTGCTTATGTTTGTGTGCAGATACGGACGGGTCTACGCCACAGCTGCTGATCCTTATCACCACTCAGTTGGACCAACAACAACATACGGAGTTGGTACGATGGTGAGTACAAACACACGCACACACACACACACACGCCCGTGTTGGAAGCGATAGTGTTACATGCACTACAGTCTCTGCTTCTGTCAACAGGCCAGTTTGTATAGAGGAGGATATAACCGCTTCACCCCGTACTGAGGCGCCTCTCAGGGGTGGGGATAACATCTCTTTTGGACTCTGGGACTGGCTGATCCATGGACACTGCAGGACAGATGATGAGATCCTTAAAGTTTGTAAATGTGGGAATAGTTTTACCTCCTGTCTCAATCTCACCCTCTCTCCGAGAGACTGAATTGTAAATACTGAAGGACTCTGATCACTAGCACCTGGAGTAGGATGTTATATAAGACAGTTGCTTAAAACCCTTTTGAGGATTTTTGTTGTCTGATGTTTGCTCAAACTACAGGAGGGGTAGTAGATGGTGAATACTGTAAATTGCTTTTTTCTGAGTACTATCTGGGATTTTTCAAGTTTCACGGGTCAAACTGTACAAAAAAGCATTTGCACAGTTCAGCTTCAGTGTGTGTGGGTGTGTATATTTATGTGTGCGTGTGTGTGAGTGTGAGTGAAGTCATGTATCAACACTGTTCATTGACTGACTGAGAGACAGCTGTGACTCTGGTATCAATATTACAATCTCAGAACTAATGTTTGTCTGGACTTAGCTGCGAATTTTTGTTTTTTAGCATTTCTAACAATCTACCTCTCATACATTTATAGCTTTACAAACAGCCATCTTGATCGATCCTGTAGCCTTAATTTTTGACTGCAGAGCTTTCTTTAACTTTCACTTTTTGTTTTTCCTTTTTCAATCCTCACTAACCCGCATTTTTCTGTTGCTTTCTTTTGTACCTCATCAATTTTCTGAGCTGCGTTGACCCCTCGTTTTTACATTCAAATGTTCCTGTTGCCTTTAATTTAATACACTGGGGGTTAAAGGCCCTGCCCCAAAAACTGCCTCCCTCGTCTTTACACCCCAAATAGAGCTGTGCCTAAGATCACTTTTTCTTTAGCACTCTTTTTCTCTCTAATGTCGCCTTATTTCACTCTAAACTGTCATCCTATCTGTATTTTTTCTGTTTTCACTCAGAGCTGCTGAATGCCTTCTCCCTGATCATTTCTTCTCAGCCTTTCTTTGTTTTTCTCTCTTCTGGTGTGCTTGATGTTTACCTTTGAATAAAACCTATTTTCTCTCCTCCCCTCGCCTGTCCTCAATTGATTCATAACATTTTCCAGGCTTTAGTCACTCGGTGTCTAAACAGCTTTTTTCTCAGCCTTGACTTGTGACTGATTAAACTTTCTCCTGTCTTATATTTCTTTTTTGTATTTAATCTCTTTTTCTACATCTACATCATTCTTTTTATTTCACTTCTCTCTTACTTCCTTTTCTGCATTACTTTAGAAAACACATTTACGGTAATTGAAACATAGCTTTGGTGTGTCTTCTCTTCTTTTTCTTCTGTTTTCTACTGCTTTCACCATCTTCTTTAGTAATTGTAGGTGTAATTGTACAAGTATAAGACTCGTACTGGCTTCTCTTTTTCTTGTTTCTTTCTGATTAACAGTAAACTTTACTTTTGACTTTTTCCTCTTTGCATGATATATTTTAATTATTTCTATTTTCTATCCCTTTTGCTTTTTTCCTGCACTTTTAATTTCCACCCGTAAAGCTCTGGTGAGATTTTTTTGAGAGCAGATTGTAATAAATACTGACATACTGACATTATGACCTACTAAAGAAGCACTCCTCAGCAAAGTGAATGATTATTTCTTTATTGTTTGTTTATATGCCTGTCATATGAAGAGGATTCCATCAATCAAGTCATTAAATTCAATCAATTCAATTCGATTTAATTCATCAAGCTGCAGAGAAACTTTTTAAACATTTTGAACTTGTATCACAGTGCTAAAAATTGTTATAAAAGTTTCATTTCTGCTTCTCACAACAGAAACAAATATTTAGAATTTCTTTTTTGACTAAAGAAATTTATGTCAGAAACCTCTACTTAGTGGACAAGATCAGATTCCACTTTCCCAACAGGAGGTGCAAAATTCCACACAACTCCTAAAGTCCCTCACATGAGCTTTATGTAGCTTTTTCTCTTTGCCTTGTAGTTTTTAGTTTTCTGCTTTTCTCTCTTTATACAATTCTGACTGTAGTTTCTTAATTTAGTTCCTCTCTCTTTCATCAGTAGTATTTGTTCTGCTTTAATAGTCTTCTTAGTAGTTTCTTTTGCTCTTACCAAACAGCCTGGCTATGTTTCATAAAAGAGTTTTCTCAGTTTGATTTTTCTTTTGGTTCATTAGATAATTTTAGGAGGGTTCTTTGTGGGCTTTAGCTTAGTTTTTCTTTTCTCTGAGATTTTCTTTCCTGTATTCTGGTGATTTTTCTTTTTTTTTCCCCCATCAGTTTCTTACATCTGTGGGTTATTCTACCTGTCATTTTATCTCATCTATTGTTTCCCCCTTTGCTTTGCATTCAGCTCTGGCCTTTACGTTTCTTTGTTTCATGCTTTCTTTTCTTTCTAACCGTCAGTCTTTCTTTTCTAACTTTAACGCATGCACTACTTTCCTTGCTCTACTACTTCGTTCTACACCAAGTTGTTTTTCCTTTTTTCCAAATTCTCCAAAGATTTTTCCATCCTTAGTCTCTTTTACAAGCACTCAGTTAAATTTAATGACACCTCTATCTTGAATAAAGTGGCTGAATTAAGAGTGAAAAAGAGCTGCATCTATGAAAAGTCAAAGGACATGCATTTGTATGTAATCACACCTTTTTTAAAGTCACAGGTGCCTCTCACTTGGTATTTCAAATAAAAAGTCTATGTAAAACTTGACTCCACAGTTCTGATACTTGTTTCTATAACCCCAATTCATTTACTGTGTTCAATATTGTTAATCCTTTAATGCCTTTTGTATCATATTTGATACATAATTTTATACACTTCTATCAAATCAATATGATCAACAAATTACTAAAAAAAACACCTGAATACAGTCCGATAAATGATAAAAATGTCCTCGATATGTCCTTGACGAGATCAATATATTTGTTAAATTTTAAGGACATTTGTTTTTTTTTGTTTTTTTGGGGGGGAGGGGTTCAGTAGTAAATGAAATAAAAATTTCAGCTCTAAAAAAATCTGAATTTTCGGGCCATAATTTGTGGTATCAGGCATTAAAGGACTATAAGCAAGTTTTTAGTTTTAATCGTTAATAGTTTTAATCCAATACTGAAATGAAAACTGAACAACGATAACATATCAAACGTCATTCTGTTTTCTGAAAACTATGAAGGATCAGTTTGAATGTCAAGTTAGAAACAAATGAAAAAAAAAAATCCTCCTGGACCAGAACGACACAAACACTGAAAAAGTTGAGTAATGCTTAAAACAGCAACAACAAAATCCTCTGTACGATCATCCCCCTAAAAGTTCATTTCCAACAAGCTAGTTTTATGGCTGTGCATTCCAGAGAGGCAGAATCTCAAGAAACTGAATGAGACAATTGTTCAACAGAATCCTGTTCATGTTTTGGGGATGTCATCATCCACAGGACACTACGTCACCAAAGGAGTCAGAAAATCTGGAGAAACCCCTCTACAAAACTGGATAAGATCATACACTAATGTTGGATGGCCATTATCTTAGAGCCCTCAGACATGAATCACTGTCTGTGAATTCAGTTCAACACCTAACAGGTTAAAACTACCATCGCAGTAACAAACATGATTCAGAAACTCTGAAGACTTCTGTGCCCGGGCCCGTTGGGGTTCAGCTAAGTAAAGTGGAAAATTGTCCCGTGCTCTGATGATTCATAGACACTGTATCCTCCTCTCCAGAGAAAAAGGGACAACCCAACTTTTCTGCACGTAGTTCAAAAGCCTGAATCAAGAAAGGGGCATCACACTTCCAAATTCCCAGATTAGTCTCTTTTTATTCCCAAAAGTGGTCTTCTAGGTCAGTGGTTCTGAAGTCCAGTCCTCGAGGCCCACTTTGGATGTTTCCCTGCTCCAACACACCTGATTCAAATGATCAGCTCGTTATTAAGCCATTACAGAGCTTGATAACGAGCTGATCATTTGAATCAGGTGTGTTGGAGCAGGGAAACATCAAAAACATGCAGGACAGTGGGCCTCGAGGACTGGACTTGAGAACCACTGCTTTAGACTAATGAACAGTTTTCAGAAATCACTTTGTTACAAGCCAAAACTGAATGCTTATACTTGAATTTTATTAGATTTGTTCAAAATGTACACAGTATTTACAAAATGGCAGTTTTTCATCTCAGATCTGTAGAGTGAGGATGAGAATAGGATGGAGGAATTGCAGATAAACCTTCAGCTTTAGTTGTTAGTGGGCTGCAACACAAACTATTAAAGCTTAGCAGAGGAAACACAATACTTACTAGTGATTGTGACTACTTGCACAGGCGGCAAACAGTCACAAACATATTTAACATCAAACAAAAAGAGAAGAATGAGAAGAGAAGTGATACTTGTTAGAGATTTGAGAGGGAGGAGAGGAGAGCATGCAGGCAGGTGTAATGTGGGAAAGTGAGGAAAGACAAAAGATGAAGACGATTCAAAAAACAAAACAGAAACAAAGACGCAGCAGGAAATGAGAGGGGTTGAAGAGCGAGGCCTTGGAGCTGTTCTAGTGTCAAATAGGAAGGAGTTACAAAGACTGATGGAGGGATACAGTAACATGGGAGCAAAACAATTCTGAAAATAAATCAGGCATTGAAAGGGGAAAAATACAAATGCATCTAAAATAAAAGTGTTTTGTTAGTTGTCTGGAGCGACATTTCTACTACAAAAATAAATCTGACATTCTGGGCTCATTTAATGCTTAAAACCTGAGACATCGAATATAAAGAAGCATCAGTGAAAATCATCACATTTGAAGAGGCTAAAGAGTCTTTTCTTGGTGTGGGCACATACACCAGCAATTTAAAAAATAAACTTTGCCTTAAAAAAAAAAAAAAAAAAAAGACTGGATATGAACTGTATATTAGGAATATGAAGATGAGCTCTCATGTTCTGTATGTCCAGACACATTTTCAAGTGATAAGGGATCACACTTATTACAAGGTGTTCGTATGAGATCTGGGAAACTAGGATACCGTCAAGTGATGGCCTTCATTAGCATTATTAAAAAAAATGCAAAACTAACCCTTGGTGTCTCAATAAAACTTAATTAAATGCATCTGGACAAACAGAAGATGACGTGTTAATTTAATCAATCTTTCAACATTGTATTCAATACAACAGGTATCAGGAGACACAGAAAAAAACTCTTGAAATATTTGGGTTAGCAGCAAAATCAGATTAGCAGCAGATCAACACTTTGCACATTTCATTGGATAAAACTCCCATGTATTTTATCAGCTGTATGGCTTCAACTTCAGTGGGTCAAACCAAGACTTGGATTGCTCACAATTCACTCTCCTTGGTTGGCTTCTGGAGGTGGTTGTTAGCCCACTTATCACTCCTGTTTGCTCCTGCAATGCAGCAGTACAACACGCTGAAGAATGAGAGGTCTGAAGGTGTAAGAGAAGGAAGGTGTGGGGAACTGAGGGGGGGAGGAATCAGCAATAAGGACAGGGGGTGAGGTAAATGAAAGTGGGAAGAAAGAAAACATGTTCAGATCATTGTCATTACAAGGTTTGGCTGAAATATCAACAATGAGCATTTCGGAAAAAACAAATCTTAGATCAAGGTTTACAAAAGCGTTTTGTCAGCTTGTAGGAGCCATCTACTTTCCTTGATGGCATTGATACTGAATTGGATCTCTGAGACCTACTTTTTATCAAGTCCGAGTCTCCACGTATTGTGTTGAAGCTTAACATGAAACCAACAGGCGAGTGACTCCATTGACTTTGCCTGACAAGACAATTTTCATGACAAAACTGTACATTGTAGTAGAAATTTAGATTCAGGCAGACACTAGGTTCAAATGCCTTTCCTGAAATATTTAGGCTTTACGAGGAGAAATAATGAAACTGACTACTTTCAACCTCACCACTACATCCTGCAATTCTGTTCACACAATCACAAATAGTCTTAAAAAAAAAAAAAAAGAAAAGAAAATCACACTTACCCATGTGTGAACTAAAAAAAAAGTGCTACCTTATGCACCAATTAAAAAGAAACCACATCAATATCATACAATATTTACAAAAATATACTGGGCAGACATGTAAACATGTTGATTGTACTGCAAGCCTGCCTGCACTCTTGTTCTGTTAAATCACTCTGAATCTACCGGGCTCCACGTCTGACGGGGTCATTTAACACTGTGTGAGTGAAAAAGAGCTGCAGTGGATTACAATGCCAACCTGCACTATCATTTTAAGCGAAGATGAACAAATAGTGGCGTGTGGTCATTGAGTCAACAACCTTTTTTTTTTTCTTTTTTAGAGCTGGCGAGTCAGTTTTTTGGAAACTGTTGGAACTTTCTCACAGAACTGTTCATCTTAGACATGTGTGCACTGCCATAGTAGACAGACTACACTCAAACTCCTCAGCCTCTTTGATAAAGTCCTGATTTGAAGATTGAGTACTACTTGACTTCGGCCACAACAGAAGCTTAATTTCTAGAGAATTTTACCACATATTTGAATAAACGTACAGCGCCTGTCTTTACTCAACCAGTATTTACCTCTTTATTTCATTACTTCCTACATCAGTATAAAACTCATGTTATAATTTAAATACTTATTTAGAGAAGCAGCATTTATCTGAGCAGAAACATCTCTGGGATCTCATGGACTCAGTTTTTTTGTATTTTAGGAGTGTCAATTTCTTTATTCTTCATTCATTTATGTAATTTCTGTCTCTTCATTTGCATTAAAATCACCTTAGCATTCTCATTATTGTTTATAATTTTAACAAGAGAAAGCTGTACTGTGGTCCACATGACACAAAAGATTTAACACACAAGAAATGAGAAAACACTTGAGTTAGCCAATCATCCACCTCCTCCAGAAAAGTCCCTTTCTCTTACCAGCCCTGCAAACGCCAGAACCACAGCATACAAACCACTTGTTGCTCCCTCTTTCATTCCTTCCCGAAGCAGCAGCAGCAGCAGGTTTCTCAGTGATGCTCCAAACACAAAGGATTCACCTTCCGTTGATCTTCGTGTTTCTCAAGAACTATAGCTGGTGAAGATTACACTGCCGACATGGATGAAGGGTGGACGTCATCAATGCTTTGGCGTAGGATCAGGGGTTGCTGGATTCCAGGTGCTGGCAGATCGTCTACCAGAGGGTGATGGAGGTAGATTTCCTCTCTGCCTCCAAGTGCTTGGATTCTGAAGATAATATATCTCAGCGTGGAAGACTCGGAGGAATAAGGGGATCAACTTGATGAAGAAAACTTGCCTGTACTCCTTTCTAAACAGTCAATTACTATCAAGGGCCAACCGACGGCTGGACAACCATTTCATGACTGTGACCAGTGAAAAAGTTCTTCTTTTTAAAAGCAGGAAAAAGGCTTGAGACTTAAGTCCACTGCATTCAAGGCCAGTGCAAACACAGCTGAGCGGCAGGACATACAAACCACCAACTCTTCTTTTAGACAAACTGCAGACATCTTCTCACCTTGTCGTTTCACAGTCTCTGAGGCATTGTTAGCGTCGACCTGATTCTGTTTGCTTTGCTTTGCACCAGAGACAGCTGATGGAGAACAGCTTTTTACATTCCCTTTTGCTTGACAAGGCTTGGGACTTCAGGTCTTGGAGCTGTTGACTTGAGGAAGGAAAAACACATGACAGAACACTGTTAGCTTTGACATCTGATGGTGGTAAAGGAACAGGAACCATAACGTGTGTGCGCCTCTCTGATCTGCTTCTGTGACTTCTTGGCCTTCAAGTACTGAGACTGAATAATAATCCTGGATCTGAACTGGTCCCTCACCTCTCTGTCTTGTAAGTGTGGTAATGTGATGGGAGTTCAGATGCTTTGAAATATCTGTATGACAGTAGGTGCACCCCGTGTTTAAAACAGAACATCGATGACAAAATTACATCGGCCTTCTGAAATGTGAATCTTGCAATGGATTAATGTAGCAGGTGTCTTTCTGGATGTGTTTCCCTTAGTTCTTGGATTGCCATCTACTCTGAACTGGCTGAGGTGTCTCAAGTGCAGTGCATTGTGAATGTCAAGATCCCTTTCTATATGGCTCTACCCACAACCCCCTCTCAGGAAGCAGCCAAAGCGGCTGTGCTGACTTTGCAGTCTATCTTATTTGGATCAGATGGGGTAAAGGTGACACCTAGCCCAGTAAGAAATGCCATACAGGTCTCTAAACAAGGGAAGCCTAGATTGGACTGCACATACTGCACCGGCACATCGGGCCTGAACCTGTGGACAGAAGAAATGTTTGAGGGAGATTAGCAAATAGGCTTTAAACAGAGAGCCTTTGCAACCACATATTTCACCACCCCATCTTACGTTTTGACTATGGCCCGAAGTGCAGCCTTTCTTTCTCTCTCTACAAACTTGTCAATGAGGTACGAGGCCATGCGTGGGGCTTCCTGGTATAGCTTAAAGAATCTGCGGTAGTTTCCTAGTGCCCAGGCAGCACGGAGAGAAAGTGCATGAGCCACGCACACATCTTCCCGTAGCGCGGGGGTCAAGTATACCAACTCAGTGGTCAGATCTGGAGCGAAGAGTAAATGGTCAAAGTTAGTGTGCTGATAACGCATCTGAACGCTTTTTCTGATGACTCAACAAAAATGAATGCAAGAATACCTCCAGAGTTTTTGGTAAAGATGTAATACATCAATCTATATGCTGTAAACTCGCCAATATTTTCTGAGGGATTGTCCTTATACAGAGCTTTTAGCTGCGTCTGGCACTGGTTGAACTCTTCATGGTCTCCCTGAAGACAAAAATGTGCAGTCAGTGTTGAAAAAAAAAGGAGTGTCATCACTTTATTTCGGACAAAGAGATATGCTCACCTTCTCTAAAGCAATGCGTGCATGACATTCGTACACTTCCACTGTGAACTCAGTACGAACTCCCTGGACCTGGATAAATACAGAAATAATAAACATTAATCCAAATACAGGAAAAAAAAAACAAAAATAAATAAAGCCCAGCTGAGATGGAAATGTACATTACAAAAAGACAAATAAGAACAAGTCAACATATATGAAGATGTCCTACCGTGAGGTCCTGCCTTATGGACTTCATCTGCTCACATGCATAAGCATAGTCCTGGTGGGTTTTCCAGTGGGTTTTTACAGCCTGCATAGATTTTCTCAAGACCTGGTTAGGAAAAAGTTACAATGTAGGTCACATTCAGGTCACCACAGAGAGACGTTGATATGCCAAGGCATTGCATCACATGCATTTCTGTTCCTGTCATGGTTTTTGACAATCTACGTTGTATCAAGTAAAGTCACAAATTTAAACTCATTAAAAACCCATCTATTCTGTAACTGTCCAAACTCTGAAAACAACTGTTTCCAAAAGCTCCACAACTGCCTAACAACAGTACACTGAAAGGCTGTTTAAACAACTCTACTTACAGGCACAGGGCGGACAGTGGAGGGGTCTGGGGCACAGGTCAGCCTCAGGTATGGCTTGGTGATGTCCTGACATGTCCCCACGATGGGGCAGTCCTCCCAGCTGAGGCCCTCCTGAGTTCCGTCGGGAAGGTCCAGGGAATGGATGGAGAGAACCAAGGGCTCTGAGCGAAGCTGTTTGTGAAAACGAGCTGCTCTGCTCTGCTTCTTGGCTTCTCTGTTGGGATCGTGGAAATCCAAACCAGCATTGCCTCCTTTCCTTTTCTTTCCAACACCTGAATTGGCGTCTTCCATATTTCTGAGGAAGAGGATAATAGGTTACTTATGAGCTGTCCTGACACATAGTGTGGTACCAAAAACCATAGATCAGCCCTTAATGTGGCCTCTTCATCAGAACAATGATTAATAAAAAAAAGTCGGTCTTACAAGACAGTTAATATTTTCTTACAACAAAACTAATAGTGTACCTTCTTCCTCTGTTGGCCTTTCCTCCTCTTCCCCGCCCTCTCTCTCCACCTCCGCGTCCTCTTTCTCTGTCATTACCACGACCACGGGCTCCTCTCTGGCTTCGTCTTGACAGCTGAGGTCGAAGATCACTGGAGATACTGCTATCTGACTGCGAGCCAGAATCACTGAGATCACAGAGACAGGAAACATTTTAAAAAGGACATAAAGATGTAGTTGGTAACTAAGGTAAAAAATCCAAAGGAAAAAGCATCTCACCTGCGTCTGTGCCTTTGGTTACTTCTGTCCCTGTGTCGACTGTGAGACGGGGATGGGGAGCGGGAGGAAGAACGGGAGGAACTAGAGGATGGACTTCTTTGAGAAAATATATTTCTGTAATTGCCCAGTCTGTGTCCACCCCTGCCTCTTGAAGCTGCAGCTGCTGTACTTCCACCACGGCTAATTGAGCCATCTGACGCCCTCTGGGGTTGAATGGCTTCCCAACGAGATTGTTTGACTTTTAGTCTAGAGGAAATAAATAAAAAGATCCAAATGTATATTTGTCAGTTCAAACTGCAGGTAACACAAAGTCACAAAACCAAAGAAAATGGTGAAAATTATTCCTGCTCATCTAAAAATGTCTTTACAGGAGCAATGCCTTGTCCAAGTTAGTGTACATATACATACTCTTGACAAAAATTGATAATAATAATTGACTTACTCTGGCAAAGGTTCCCTGGTCCAGTCAATGGTGTAAGCAGAGCCATCCTTTAAGCGGTCCTGCAGAACTTCTTTCAGGACCTTCTCTGTGCGATCTTTGTCCTCTTCGGTCTCACAGGCTGTAAAACAGCGCTGCACATATTCTTTCATAGCTTGGGGCCAGTCCTGGGGCCTGGGAGGAAAGAGTGTAAGGATATAATAAATATATTTGTAAAGAATAAAGTAATAGAAGAAGATATTAGAATCAGATAAAATAAAATGGAAATTTAAAAAAGAAAGGGAAAATCTGTTAAGACAGACAAGTTCTCACCGTGTCTGAGCACCTCCAGGTGCTGCTGTGGCACTAGCTGGTGAGGAAGGAGCTGGATTTAACCCTGAGGGCTGCTCGCCTGGAGGGAAACTCTGGTTGGAAACTGGACCACACTGAACCTGATAGGGTCTCTTGGAAATATTGAACTTAACTGAAGCTGTCCCAGGTGCTTCTGTGAGAAGAAAATACAAGAGAAAAACTACCATTAAATAAAAACAATAAATGCTACCGGTGCTGTATATAGACAGAACTGACACCTGGTCTAAATCACAAAAGAACCTGGAGTTCTAAGTTTGATCTGAAAAAAAGTTCTTTGAGATGCGCTTATGTTGATGATCTTTAACTTTTTGGTTCAAGTTAAAACAAAAACACACTGAACAAAAATCCTGAAGGTCTGATACATTTAACACATGTAAAGAACATGTATTATTATGAACACCTGGGCAATCTAATGCAGCTCAACTCAACCATAAAGGTTGTAGCTTCAATATAATAATACTAACAATGCATTTTATTTTATTTTCATGTACAATTGTTGTTGACATGGTCAGACAGGTGATAATGGTTCTTAAAATTGACAGTTAAAGTCGAAGCTGGTGCTAGTGGTGTACGGGAGTGGGTTGTGCTGAAAAGTGTTCCTTGTAATTTGCATGTTTCATGTTTTTCTTGATAGTGGAGAAAATGTAGGGGACACAAATATAACATATACCACCACTCACTATGTCCTCAATATTAATTTAAGTACAATAAACACCAATGTGCTGGGGCCAATAAAAACTGAAAATTTAGCAATTACTGGGAGTAGAATTAGTGTTACAGCTGTTGTATTGGATTGCATTAGATTAAATTACATTGGATGATTGAGGTGTTTGTCATGCTATGGATGGTTGATGTGAATGTGAGCTGTGTCTGTGAAATACTGCGCTAACTCTATCAAACCATGTAGAAAAATTTTACATATTAGCAACATCATAAGTAAATCTTACGTTTCATGCGGTGCCACAGTTGCTGTCCTTGTTTCTGGTTTTTATTTTTATTGGCCTCTCCTCTACCAAGCCCTGGCATATACTGGCCTGGCTGCTGCTGGTGCTGTGGGGTATTCTGAGCGGGCTGATAATTGTTTGGGGCCTGGAAACCTTGTCCATAGTTGGGCCTCCCCTGGGAATGATTGTACATTTGCATTTGGTTGGGGTCACCGGGTGGGTATGGCATGGAGTTATTGGCACTATAGGAATTTGGAGAAGGTGGAGGGGGGTACTGGGAGTTAGGTGGGGGAGGGATAGGAGGGGGTGGAGGAGGAGGGGGTTTGTCTGAGGTAGTTGGGCTCTGGGGTGGTTGGGGTGTAGCGGGAGGTGGAGGTTGTGGTTGGGGTGGGTAGCTGGGGGACTGATCCTCCATTCCTGGCACTGGGGGAGGCTGAGAAAAAAATTGATAAAAAATGAATGTATTTAGAGATCGAGTTTTATCAAGTCATTTGTAAAAGAGCATGAGAATAGATTTAGCCTTTCTACCATCATGTCTAAAAATATGCACAAATCTCCAAACCAAGGTCTTGCATGTACCTGTCCATTAGAGGTTGGAGGTCCTGGGTAAGGTCCTGGAGGTACACCATACTGATTTGGTGGATAAGCAGCCCCATACTGAGAATTCAGAGAAAAATATATTTGAGAGCCTTTTCCAAAATCACTCTTACAACCAATGTTAATGCAGCATACCAAGCTAAAGCTGACATAAGTGCCTTCCAGCTTGTCATGTTAGAAAGCAGTTAATATCCTGGTAAACAAATACATGTTGTTACAGTAACATGAGAACAACATTCATCTCTGTACTTACTGGACCCATTGGGTAATAATAGTTGTAGGGGTATGTGTATCCAGGATAATGCTGCTGAGTTTGCTGGTACCAAGGATAGTATTGCTGTTGTTGCTGAATGGCAGTAGAGTCAGACACTGCTGGCTGAAACTGACCGGCCTAAAATAGCAACAGTACAAAAACAAGGCTTTAAACTCAAAGCAGAAGGGAACGCATCTTAAAGGGACAAAACAGGAAACTAATAAACAAACAGACTAACTTTTACAAAATGCATCACCTCCCAACATTCCATACAGGATTTTAAAAAATTTTATAGTCACTAACTTGCAAAACCTTTTGGCCCTTAGCTATCCCTGGGTAAAGCTTGATGCTGGGTTTACAGGTCTTTTAAAGCATTAATATATCTCAGTCATTTTCCACATGACCTTAAAAAGTTTAATTACAACATAAGATCTACAGATTGACAAGGAAGGAATTTCAGAGTAGAGAAACAGGTTAAAGCACACCTCTGCTGTAGTCCGGTTGGCTTGTGCAGTCTTCGCAGAGCTCTGACTCTTGCTGATGGACGCTAGTGCCTGTCTTGCTTTCTCCCATTCTGGATTTTCATGAACCTGGGCGTCTCCAGCTCCACCGTAAGACCTAAGATTAACACAAGAATTTAATTCAACCACATAAATTAATTGTTTCAAGATTCTGATCATGCGTGACATGAATTCTCGAACCGTTTTGACTCAAGATAAAACCATACGCAGCTTTCCAATTAAGGGATTACATTGAGAGGCAAGTCTGATCTTCTTATATAGCTGTACAAGATAGTGGAAGTTAACGTGTCCTAGTTTTTCAATACTTGTGAATGAACTTCACATTTCCTATCTCTCAGATAAAAATATCTACGTTATCACCATAAACGTCAGCCAGCTTTCGTGCTAGCTTCCCCTGAACACACCATTAGCCTATACCAGGCTAGCAGGGCGTGAAAACATCCGTCACTTTAGATCGTGGCGAGACATTCAACCATATCACACAGCATCTGAGAGTAACAGTGATGATAGACGCGATAACCACCTTTCACTGTTTATTTCGTGAACCCCAGAGCAGAGAAAGTAGGACCTACCAGTTGGTCGAAGGAGTTGCTTGTGCCGTGTTGGCCGCCATTTTGCCACAGTGTTGCTAGCTAAGCTAGCTAGCAAAAAAACTCGGCCGACCGTTGGCGTTAGCTATCCTGCTAAAGCAAAAGATAAACAAGATAAAGTCTGACACTTTACAACAAAAGAAAAACCCAAAACCGACCGCAAACGTCACTTCCTACGAGAAGAAGTCAACCTGCACCATAGTTTGAGTCAAGATACAATTAAAACAATAACGGGAATTCCTGAATATTCGCTTTCCCTGTCGTTGACGACCAACTTCGTCTAACCGGACACCGGAGACACAAAATGGCAGAAACGAGCGTTTGGCCAAGTCGAGTGACGTTCTGCTGCGTATGTTTCATAAGCCCTGAACAAATTCTTACAGGACTAAATTACTCGGCTACTCCCACTGTTAATACTGTCTCCACAAATCAAATGTTTGGATTAAGTTAAGGTCAGAAGAACGTTTAGTCCCTAGATTGTCAATCATAATAAATGGGCGGGCTTGTTATGCCTGAGACACCAGACCCAGGGTAAATTAAGTCTTAGATTGGAACGTTCCTATAGTCTATCATTAATCTAAACATTATATAAACCAGTTAATATGTTTATGTAGTGTTTTTCAAGACCTAACACAAACACACATAGTCATATATATATATATATATATATATATATATATATATATATATATATCTTCCTCTCTCTCTCTCTCTCTCTCTCTCTCTCTCTCTCTCACACACACACACACACACACACACACACACACACACTTAAGTTTAGCCTTTACTTTTTCTCTTTTTTCCCTCAGAAGCACACAGCTGCAGGATGTGTGAATGTTTGACCTGAGTGTGTATATCACAAAGAAGGGAGTCATTTCCTGTCAATCTCCCCCCAGTTCTTGAACCTCTATTTCATCTGAGCCTCTGAGTTTCCATTGAGTGCAAATGATATTTTTAGCCATTGTTCTGAAACATAATTAGTTAACATGAGCTATAGTTGAATCAAGATAGTTTTGGTCGAGATGGTTTTTGATAGTCTCCCCTTTTCACTATTTCACTCATATAAATACCACAGAGTTAAAGTCTAGACCACCCTTCATCTTCTATTAAATGTATTTGTTTATTTGTTAGGGGCATTGTCTTCTTTGAGATCACGTTGCACAACTTTCCAATAAGATACTGTATTGAGTGTAATTTCCAGCCCATTTCCCACACTGAATGATGCACTACTGCTGCTGTTACTGAATGAATAATTTGCTTCAATTGTCTTGTCGGTTACATCATCACACAAATATGCTGAGCATTTGAGACAAGATCTCACAAACAATGACTCAAGAGCCAGCGCCATTGTGTTTGTACCTGCTGTTTAGCTTTGCTTAAGTCTTTAACCCATGGGAGGAAGCTGGATTTTATGAACTCTTAAATTACATTTCTCCCCAGCTCTTGTTGTTGATTGAAATTCAAGTTATATCCATATTAATCCAGTACTCTAGAGTAGAATTTCTGGTATATTGGTATGTGTGGTGAACTGTGGGTTCACAGATTGACAGACTGTCGTCAGAGGTGCAACAGTCTGCATAAGGGTTTACTTCACTGACTGCATTCCACTGTAATTGCAGGCAACTGTAAGTCAAACCCTTCATAAATGTTTTAGAGTGAAACACTGGCCATGTATATTGGTGCAGTGAGCTCTGCTTTAGCCTGAGAAAATATAATTCTATCTCTCTTAACTCTTGAGGATTTATGTTTAACAGCAAAAAAAGTTTCACATAATCAAGACTCATTAAACATTCTTTTTGTAAATATTTTTAGCCACTTACAAATACATATTGTTTTTGTAGATGAGACTTGAAACCCTGGCTTTAATCATAAAAAACGGAGTATCTGAAAATCATTCTTGGGTTGCCAGAACACTGTTCTATTGACAAAAAAGTGCACATTGAGTGGATTATTCCCCTGGTGAAAATAGTCCCAAACTAGGCTGTGACTCTTTTTAGTTTTAAGTACCTGGCTTTAAGAAATGTTTTATTTTATTTTGCAGATCTGCACCTCTAGGCAGAATTAATTGGCAAGGAGGAACATTTCTCAAAAGTAGGCCTTTAAGTTGAAAAGTATAGGCCCTATGGCTTTTTGTCTTCTTGAAACTTGTTAACAATAATCAAAAACGAGTTTTGCTAGCCAGATATGATTTTCATAAATTTACATCTTACTGTATAAGTTAAGTTTGATGATAAAAACAATCATAAAGGCAAAGGTAAGTCATGTATGTGCCTCACAGAGGTTCAAAAGTAGCAAATTTAACAAATGTTGGGTTTAGGAAAAATGTAATATTAAAGAGGGTGTTGCAGGATTGCATTTATAAATCTTAACAGCCTGATTTTCTCATTGTTGACATCATAACATTAAAATGAACATCATATTTTTCAACTTGTTAGACTATCTAAATGTATATTTATGGACCTCCTTTTGTACAAACTCCCTTTTTTAAATGAATAAAGTAAAGCTAATAAATACAACAGGCTTTAATGAACGCCTCCACAGTCAAGGATTAATCTCCCCTGTATTAGACGCTGCCTGGTAAAGTCGACATCATCTTTGATCCAGCTTAAACCAATAAGTGTCGCGTCACTTCCTCGCCCCATGCCCATCCCTTTGGAAAGAAAAAGAAAACTCACACAGACAAACGACGGCGAGAAAAAAGAGCGAGGGAAAAGTCGAGAGGGAAGCGAAAGCCAAAAGCCAGATGAAAGAGTTGGAAACTTGCGAGGGAGCCGATCAAAGACCAGAATATTATCTTTAAAGTAAGTTTTCACTGTTTTGTTTCGGTGACTCTCAGTCAGGTCTATTGATAAGTTTTACATTGATCCGATCGGGGCTCTTTGCCCTGAAGTGTAGACCTCGCGTCCTTTCCGTATGGCTGTAAATTACTCATGAAATTCTGTCCTCAGCCATGTGTCATTACAATTATTGAAACGTTTTCAGGTTAAAAGGAAGGCCTTAAAGCCCCCTCCCCTATCAAATCTTTATCCCACATTCATTGACATATCAAAATGATTTCCTCTCTGTTATTTCTGATTTCAAGTTGGGCCTATAAAATGTTGTGAAAGGAGTTGTTGGTAACCTCAGTCAGCCTGTTAATTATTATCAGATTATTGGGGTAATATTTGCTTTCGTGACCAATAGTAAGGATTTACTCTAAGGAGGCTTTTCTTAGGGGAGTTTTATCATGTTAAATTTTGGATATAAAGTTCATCAAAGCAGTAAGCCTACAGCTCTGTGGCTTATTGGTGTCAAAAGATGAAGGTTTTTCTTTTAGAGAAAGTTACTGTCTTGTTTTTGTCCACATACAGCCCTGAGGGGAGTGAAAAGTATGTGCTAGCGTTGCATGAGTGTGTTTCAAGTACAAGTCTCAGCATGGCCTTCACAGCCGCACAGTGCCAAAATGCTCATCGCTTTCCTCCAACATTGCACAACATGGTGGAGTACGGACGCCGTTCTGCCTTATCAGGGGGCTAGGGGCTGTGGGCCAGGATTCAGATACTTTCTGCTCATTTTTCTGTTACACTGTCTTATCTTGTTTTTTTCAGCTCATTACATCTGTCATTTACACTCTGCCGGCATTTAGAAGTAAGAATTCACCCACTCCCTGCTCTGTCCTTTTCTTTTTTTCTACAGTCATGCCACTGCACAAATCATCCCGGGCCCCTCGCCTGGACCCCACCATGATTTCAGCTCCGTTGGGTGACTTTCGCCACACCATGCACATCGGCAGGGGAGGTGATGCCTTCGGTGACACCTCTTTCCTGTCCACACTTGGTCCTGGCCAGGCCAACAATGACCCAGGGAGTACAGGAGATGCAGCTCAGCCTGAGGTGATGGTCAGCCACGGTGATCATTACACAGATGCTTCTGGAAGCCCACAGAACAATGAACTCCAGCACTCTGAGTCAGTGTCTTCATTCGACCTGGACTTGGATCTGGGCCCGTCCATGTTGGGGGATGTTCTAGGAGTAATGGATGGTTTGGGGCTCGACTCCAATGAGGAGGATGTGTTCAGTCCCAAAAACGGTCCCTCCTCAGCGGGCTCAAAGCAGGGGAAAGGTCCCATTGAATCGCCTGTGAACATGCAGAATGAGCTCAATGGGAAGGACTTGGTTGGTTTGGATGGAAACCAGGTGGGAGACAGCAGGATACCAGATGGGAATGGGATCAAGCCAAAGGGTTTACGGCCAAAAGTGAGATTCAGTGACAAACGAGAGGAGATCATTCGCCACGCATCTGAAGAGGAAGAGGGTCAAGAGTTTGAGTTCCCGGATGAGGATCAGCTGGAGTGTCGAAGTCCTACTAGAGGTGAGGGCAAAGGAGATGAGAGTGTAGGAGGTGGAGGTGAAACTGAGTTCACCAATCACAGAGTGGACCTTCCACCCAGTCCCGCCTCATCTCACAGCTCAGAGTATGAAGGAGTGACCTCATTGGACAGGAGGAGGGTTGACAGCTGCCACTCAGAGACTGATTCAGAGGAGGAAGAGGAGGGGGAAGGACGGGGCTACACATTTGAAGATGAGTTTGATGACGAAATTGGTCTATAGGGGACAGGTATATTCCCACCTTGAAAACAAATCTTTGCTGTCGAATAAATCGAGCATACTGTATTGTACTCGTCATTACTTCAGTATCGTTGAAATTGGAGACTCAAAAAGAATGCAAGCTGGATTTTCAAGACTCAGGAAGATCCAGTTTGACGATGTTCCTCTACTGCAAGAGACATTTTTGTTTTAACTGCAGGGGTAACAGATTTGTAAAAGACAGTTTCATGTGTTATTTAGGTAACAAAAATGAAAGTTTTGCAGCACTTTGATTTATTTTGTTCATCTGGATGCTTTACTATAAAGCTGAAAAGTCAATTTCAGTGTAATTAGTAACGCTTGCTTTGTAAAGTCTAATGTCTTAAATTTGCTGGGCACACAACACGTGTTGTGAGCTTTACATTTAGTGCCTTTTATAGAGCTGTATGCTTTCATTAATGTACCTTGTGCCTTACTCATGTCTCTATAGTTATATCTCATATGCATGTTTATTACAGTCGTCATGCCTTCTCCATGTTTAAGCTTTACAAATGGTTTTCAGAGACTTTGAGATAATAAAGTTATCCTGTGTTAAATTAAATACTGTGAATCTGTCACATTCCAGATCTGACAGGGAGACTGCCACTTGTTCACAACAAATCAGATCTTATTTTTTTCTTACTGACGTTATTTAGCATGTTTTAATGTACCAAAGAGTTTCTTTTTGCTTTGGGGCTTGTACTTAAATGCACAGACAATCATGGGAAATTTAAAAGGTCAAATGTAATTCAGAAACAAAAGTGTATTTTTATACATGTCTCTTGCTTTTACACTGCTCCTTACTGAAAAGTATTTTTAAACACAATGCTGTAAGGGAGAAACCATTGTGCTCATCTGATGAAAATGCTGGTTTGAACTTTTTTAATCCTGTGCTTTCACGAGGATTAAAGTGAGAACAATAAAACAGTTATTGGGATTTTAAATATTCAGCCTTTGGTCTGACTCTTTCTTTAAAAATGTCTACAGGGCAGGACTGAAGCACAAAGGAAACTTATTTAGAGTGTCTGAGAATCCCTAGGTCTGGAATATTTTTTAAAACCACTTCCTGGAATAAGCCATTTTCTGCTTTCCTCTATTACAAGGACAGCAAAGAGCAAAAGACTTTCCTTTTGAAATCAGACATACAAAAACAAACCTGGATTTAAACATTTTATTTTAAGAATAAAGTAGTGAATTCCTAAAATATTTCAAACATCTGTAAAACATACAGAAAGAAACAATGACAATTCTAACACCTCATGGCACGCTGTTGGCCAAGAAATGTCAAAGAGGGAAATTAGTAACTACACAGCTCAGTTATATACATTGAACACACTGAGAATTGCAGCTTATAACACGTACACATATGATGTGTAGTACTCCAACGAACGCAAAAATCACACATGCTACACAGATATCGTCCTGAACACATTGAACCCTGACAGAGCCGTGGAGATCATCACTCCAGGGATCTGCGGGTGCCAGTGGATCTCCTTGATCTCTGACTGACCCTGGTGCAGGAACAGCAGCTGAGGGGGTAAGTCCTTCACCCCTTCCACCCTGGCACCTGCATCACATGACTCCACAGAGAGATCCCACTGGCTGATGACATCATCTGCACCAGAGGCAGCAAACACGCTCGAGTCCACGGGGCTCCACTCCACTGACGTGATGGGAGCACCATGTTGTTTGAAGTTTGCCACAGGCCGCCCGGTCTACAGTAACAGATGAAACCAGAACTTTTAGGTGGGGCAGCTTTTTTCAAGACACAAAACTATTCTTTTCCTAAATGAGTCAACTCTTTAATTAGCAAATTCTGTTTCTGTTTGACGGTGACCTGCTTCAGTATCTTGTTTTCAATCTAAATATAAAATAGGTTCCTGTATGAAGACTAAAGTGGGTGCAGTGACAACACACCACAGTGTTACACACACAAAGTAGAACAAATGTTAATAGGTGGAGCTGCCTTACTGTGGAGGTATTTGATTAAGTGATGGCGTAATGCAAAAAGGGCTTAGCTCTGTTTGTCTTGCAGCTTTAATGGAGGGTTATTACATTGTGATGCCACCTATTGACAAAACAGTCACATCCTCACTCTCTGTCAGACATTTACAAGCTATGAGTCAGAGTTGTACGGATACAAATCACCTACTTTGAATGAATTACATAATCAAGAGCGAGGCCACTTTGAAGAGACTAATCAGACCTTACCTTAAACTGACGCAGGTCCCAGACTTTCAGAAGCCCATCGTCCCCTCCTGACAGGAGAAATGGTTCACTCCTGTTCCAGCTGATCACATTGACATCTGATGAGTGGGCCTCACTGGCTGAAAGCATTGAGTTTGGCGGAGCTCGAACATCCCAGATCCGAATGGACTGATCCACTGAACATGATGCAAAAACCTTAAGCAAACAAGCGTGAACTGTATAAGAAATTGAGATCCATATTATATAATGTTATATATTATATAATGCAATGTTGTTTTAGTGTTTTGTAGGAGTGTTTTAGACTTTGAACATAAAATCTGTGCCTAATGCTGTTGGTTATCACTGCAGCACTCATTAAAACAAAACATCAGTTAGGTTGCACAGGTGAGCATAACAAAAAGCAGATGTTGTGCACTCATATGAGGAAAAAGTTAACAATGAACAACCAGGCCTTAGAGTTCCGCACCTCATACCATGAACTAGTTTGGTGAGAAAATAGCTTCAGCATGAAGACATCATATAACTGTAATGTTTTAGTCTGTGATTGCAGACAGTGGCAGTGTGAACAGCTGGTGTTCTAACACAGTCTAGTTTTATTCATTCCGATCATTCATTCCTCCTCACACACCCCCCTCTTCCATCCAAACACCAGTGCAGCACAAGTGGGCAAAGAAGCTCAGTCTGACATTATTAATCCTGGTGAAGCATTTTGTGCTCTTCATTTGAAACATCCCATCTTAATGCATCGTTTTGATCTGTGGGATAGGGGACATACAGTGGGTGTGTTTGATTTTACTAACACATGCTAACAGTTCGTGTGCAGCCCTTGTTTACTTGAAACAGTGCCTCAGTCTGACCACTGATGTCATTATTTTACTAAGAGCATACCGTAGCTTCAGTGGGTGACCACTGCAGATCCTCAACAGACTTGCTGTGGGAGCTAAAAGGTCGTTGGTCGATCTGCCACGAAGTCCCGCCCTCTCCTGGCTCCCAGACATGGATGTTCTTGTTGCAGTCCCCACTGACAAGACGACCTGAAGTTGAAAATATGCAAAGCGCATTCAAAACATTTTTAAAATACCCAGTATAATGAATGCTTCCTTGTCCACTCTACTGTTCTGCTCTAACATCTCAAGACCACACTGTCATAGTAACGAAAATATCTCTAACCTGCTTCGCCTAGGGCTGCACGATTTTGCCAAAAAATAAAATAGTTTTTTTCTCTGAAAACTCGATTTTCGATTTTGATTTGTTATTCAGTTATCATATTTGTTATTCAGGATTTATGCATTCTCTGATCCATTTTTATCAAGTATCGTTTGCTGTCATCCAAAATGCTGTTCCTGTGTGGATGAAACGCCAATACGACACAAAAAACTTGAGTTTACTCCAGAATTCATTTTCATGTGGACGGGTTTATACTGACTTCAGACAGACTTTGCAGCAGGGAGTGGTTTACTCATCATTTGAAACTGCAAAGCCGTATGAATACCACACAAATAATCCGATAATGATTTAAAATCCATTAATCGTGCAACCCTAGATTCACCCAAATTTTTTCTCTCGCCTCAGTTAGCACAATTCATTACTTTTACTTGTTTGTTGAGTATCTAGCATTTCCAGCAGAAAAACCCGGGATAGTTTCAGGGACAGTTGGAAAAAATAAAAGATGACTCCATGGACTAAGTGAAGTATGTGTTTCAGGCAGATCTGAACTCAAGTGCTGTTAAATGACACTAAAAGCAGGACAATTTCTGGCTGTTGAGCATTTCATTAACAGGCTCAATGGTTTTTAAACAACAATGTTTTGATAAAATAATACTCGGTCATAAATAGCATGAGATTGTTACAGCTTTAAATTTTACACACAAATCTCTGATGCAGCAGTGACAGAGTGACGGACATGTACACCGGGCACACACAGTTCTTCTCAGGTTATTTTCACTTTACAAATTTGGCCTGAGGCCTGTGCTATGCAGCGAGTTTCACATACCCAGGACATCTCTTCATTCTCTGGCTTGACTAAAAGATCATGCTAAGTGGTCACATGACAGCTGTTATTAACTCTGTAGGTCAACCTGAGGCTTCCTCATCCAGCCATAGGCCTGTTAATGTAAGAAAGGCGCCGTTTTCAGCCATGATGAACGACAAAAAGAAATTTTGCTATTACACGACCAGGACAAATTACATTTGTTTTAGAACTTAGGTAAAATAGTTGCAATTTAATGTATAACGGACAGCTGTCAAAAAGAGTCATTACTGTGTGAATGCATTTGCTTAAGTTCTTCCAAAGATACTGCCACATCTTTGGGGTAAAAATAAACTACAATCACTTCTTTTACTATGAAGATATTATGTTGCCCAAGTATTTGTGTCTTTTACAAACTTTTAGACTTATTCTTTTAGCAGAATCAAGCAGAGGACTGCTTTCATATGCTTACAGTGAGAAAAGTTTAAAGCTTTTAAGTTTAGGTCGATATCATTATGCGAAAGAATATCGCTCAAATAAAAAAAAATCTGAAGATGTCTGATATTCATTATTACTTTTGAAAGACTTTGCTACTATTTAAACTTTCTCCCCTCATACTTACCCATGAAGATACTGATTTGTTATCAGATAATATGCTCTTAAGCAGGTGAGATGTGCATGACCCACGTATGTCATGCAGACAAAGCCATTAAGTTTTTTTTTTTGCATTACAGATGAAGCCCTGACTCACCTGGCACTGTTGGTGACCAATCAATCGCAAAGCCTTCAGTCATGTGTCCTGAGAAACTGAAGAGAGCTGTAGCTTCCTTCTGCTGACTGATAAAAGCTGCCATGGCAGCAGAGCTGTTGACAGCCTCCAGCTGAGGTTGGAGGTCAAATATCTCCACCTGTCCCTTCTCTGACCAGACAGCAGCCAGTGTCTGTTTTCCACGCTGAGTCACCTGGAGACATGGAAAGAAAATCAGTGTTCTGGAACTTTTCCACAAAGGCTTGTTGCTTAAAAGACAAGATATCTGATATTGGAAAAATGATACACAACATACTCTGACTCTATTAATCCCTCCATAGTGAGGCATCATGGCCAGTTCCATCTGTGGTTTCTTATCTTCATCTTCCTCCTCGTCACTTTCTTCATCACTGCTTTCTTCACCCTCCTTTTCTTTTTCTGTTCCATGAAGGTTGTGCATGCGCATGACAATAAGCCTGAGAGAAAGTATGAATTTAGAGAGGATGTGGATAACAAACTTGCACTTCTTTCCAAGTGTAGTACTGCTTTCAGACTGTTACCTTAGGATATGCAGAAGATAGTAAACCATCTATGAGAGAAGCATCTTACATGGAAATCTCATCTAATCATGTCATAAACACATCACTATCTGTCATGTTCATGTTTCTTTTCTTTTCTTTTTATGTATACTTATATTGTCTCTATCCCTGGTTGGGCTGGTTGATGATTAGTCTATATTGTATTTATGACAATTTGTATATGTTTTGGCCTTTCCCTACTAATTGTATAATTATAACCTGTCTATGTCCTAATTACTTTGTTGTTTGTACCCCTATACTTCACTGCCCTGATGGGAGTGGAACTCTGTATAAGCCTATTGGCTTCATTCCCTCCTTGCACTGTTTTTAATCTGTGCTTGATAAATAAATAGAAAATAGACACCCATCTCTTTCTGCCTTTCCATCAGATGACACACCTAGCATGGCTCATATCTAAAATGATAATTGTGTTATATTACTTTCCTTCAAAAATATATGTGTATGTAGTAAGGACTGTATCTCGAGTCTCCTGAATGCTTTTTGCACAGACGTCATTTTTATAACCTGTTTGCAGTAAGGAGGTGAATATATACCTGTTACTCATTGCTGTGTCCGCCTGGGTGCCTGCACACAGCAGCATGGAGAGAGGGAACTGCTCCCTACCTTCTCCGTCTCCATCCCTCAACACATCGAAGCTCAGGCATGGAGCACCTAAAAACAAACAAACAAAAAAAGTTAATTGCTGGATTCTCACAGCATCTCTTGTATAATGTCAGAAGACCTGTCATCCATCTTTTTCACAAATGCTGGAAGAACTTCAAAATATACCTGAATAACTTCTCACGGATAACTAGATGAGTACTGTCAATGGTGTGGTGGTGGGGGTTGTTAGTTGTAGCACATCTGCAGGAGTAGCAGTGCTTTTCCATTGTCAATGTCTTGACCTTTGCTGCATGCATTTTGCTATGATTTATTTTATTTTATTTACTTAATTATTTAACTATTTTTTATTTATTATTTGAACTATTATAATTGTTATTATTATTAATAATTTAGTTTATCCTTCTATTTATTTACATTTATATTTTCTTTTATTATTATTCCATTACTGTAACTATTTTTTAGGGATGTAAGAGTTAGTCTATGAGGTTTGATCTGGGAGGGAGCGGGTTTGGGTGAAGTTTGTAGTTCTTCTGATGTTATGGAAGTTGTTTACTGTTTATGAAAAATGTTAATGAATAAATTGTTTAAAAAAGAAGACCTGTCGTGCTCTTACTTGCCTGTTTGACACTCGTGGTACATGCGGTAAGCGGACCGGTCCATCTCCAGCTCCTCTCCGGGCTGAAGCGGCTCGATCCCGGGGACGTAAACCTTCTTCTCCCCGTCTCCGCCTGCTCCTTCCTCCTCCATTTCTACTCCTTCATCTTCATCGCTACCTACTTCGTCCATCATCTCCTCCGCGGCTGCTTCCTCGGGAAACGTGTCTTCATCGGGCGCAGACATGTTGGAAGAGTTTGCTTACTTCCGGTATGCTGAGCGGCCACGTGGTTTAAACATCCTGCTCCCTCTCCCCCTCCCTCCTTCACTCCCTCCCTCTTTCCTTCCCTGTCCAGCTCCCCATTTACAGGAATTCAGCTGGCTTACTCTACGCGTGGACCCGGCTGCCAGGAAAAATCGAACATACAAATAGGAAATTGCACAAACTACAACTCTGTAAGATAAATATTAACCTAGCCAGACATCCGGGGAGTGAAGTAGATGTTCAGGATTGTCTTCCCGCCCTGGAGAACAAAATGTCTTTAAGGAATCACTTAAATCATTAAAGGGGCTATGCGGTGGCCCAAGACAAGATATCCCACTTTCGAAAATTGGGGTGGTTATTGATCTAATTTTAAGCAAGCCCAACATTTGTCAGAGGTGTAGTGAAGTCTGGAACTGACCAGTAGCCCTGATAAATGTGACTTTTGTAACTGCAGCTAAAGGCGAGGATCAGCTATACAATGAGTTAAGCCCATTTTCTACTTACTTTATAACTACAATGTAAAAGAGATCTGCCAGACAGTTGAAAAGCACTAACATTGTGCCTGATTACCAGAGGCGGAATCAGAGGGTGGCCAGGGAGAGCCCCCGCCCTCAGACATCTGATTGGCCTCTCAATGTGCCAACCTCCAAATCCTAAACTATGATTCTTTCTGCCTTTTCAGAGGCGGGACTTATATTAAAACAAACGGTTTCCCCTGGTGCTGGGACCAATGCTGCATTCCAGTCATCTTGGAAGTCGGGTGTCAGAGCTGGGAATGACGCTACACCCAAGTTGACGGCATTCCAGTAGGCAAGTTGGAAAACCAAGATGTCAGCCATTGTTAGCTGTTGTTTACAATTGTCAGCTGTCGTTGGCCATTAGTTGTTAACCGTTGCGAGTTGTTGTTAGCGGTTGTCAACTGTTATTAGCGGTTGTCAGCTGTTGTTAGTTGTTGTTAGCTATACCAGTTGTAAACCACACATAACACAGTATTTTACTCTTACAAACACCATAGCATCTTGTTCACAGTTAGGCATTGGGCAGTACAACATATAGCACTAATTTCACAAAAACAAAACAGAAGTGCTAATAAATAATACATTGCGAGAGCTTTCACTGTTACTCTTTACTGTTGATGCACTGCACTGCCATCTTGGATTATGACGTTGTCGTCAAGTCAAGGTTGGTGAGGATCGTCCGACTTTCCGAGTCCAAATCCAATATCAGGGAAGAGTTCCAGATGAATTTCCGACTCTTAGCTTGGAAATTCCGTCTTCTGAGTAGAACTGGGATGCAGTAAATTGCTTCTTGTGGGTTCGAGACCATGTGAATGCAGGAAGTTAATTTATATTTTTAAATTAATACACCACAGTAACCTCTGGAGTCATTATTGCTGGTTCCACTTTACTTCAGCACTAGAAATACACAACCAGGTATGACACAACAATTGGGAGTCTCAATTAACCCTCATCATTAATAGATATGGCTCTAACTGCTAGCTTTGTCCATATAGAGGAAGAAAATGCTTTTCATCTGCTGCCTAAAGATCACAAGCCTACTGACCTGTCAGAAGTCAGAGAGAGCAGGAATTGGCAGGATTAAGAGTTCAGGAGCAATCAGACCCAGTGGAGGATCATACAGTTGTGATACTGAGTGATTAACATTACCATATGTAACACTGTGTTCATACCACAGTTTGCTAATTTATGGTAACATTGTGAAGTGAGTGAAATTACAGAGAGGAGCAAAGCGGAAGAGGCACAGGAAGAGAGAATGGTGACAGTGTCCTAATACTTTATCTTATAGATCAGAAAAGTCAGCCCATACTTTCGGTCTTGCACTCCTGCACCTTGAGCAGAGGCAGATCAAGAAAGCCCAAGTCCCTGACGTGGTGCAATATGATGGGATATTAAAAAACAAAAGTGGCTTTTAGCAGCATAATTGAAAATGGTCGCCTTGTCCTCAAAATTTGCAGCTCTATATAACATATAAAACTATTTATGAACTTTCTCAGCAACAGCCAGCAAAGCAGACAAAGTTGTGCTCTACTAATAAAAAAAACTGCAAGCTGAACTTTACGACATACATTCTTTGTAAATCATTAAAAAGTTAAGACAATTTGTATTTTGTTATCTTCATTGTGTTGCTTTTAAAAGTTAAAAAATACATATAGCCATGCAACAATCCTGAAGATACTTTTCAGGATGCATAAAATAGAAATGATTGGTGAAGACAGACAGGGCAAGTAAGTCCAATGTACATTTAAGAGTACAGAAAAACCACAAGCCACCCCTGCATAAATCAAAGCCCAAGTCAGGCCACCCCAGGCAAAAAAAAGTCTGTATCTGCCCCTGCTTGACAGTGGAATGATTTTGTAGGATGTTTTCTTTCTTAGTTTCTTTGAATCAATCTGTTAGTACAATGATGATCTAACTCTTGCAATTTGAGTTTGTGCTTCAGCACACTGAATCATCCTCTCTAATTTTGACATGAATCCTGTGGAATCAATGGAGATCGAAGTGAAGGCCAAAACTCTGTTCCCATTCCGGCCTGAGCAAAATGTCTGGAGCTGTGTTTTCAGGATTATGAAACTTGCAGGAGGATCCAGAGAGGACAATGGTGCACATAACATGCGTGGGCGTTTACAAGCAGGGGCAAGTGTGAGCAGCAAATGGTTCCCTTTTATTCCTCGTACAGATCTTGACAGAAGTCAGAACATCCCTGGAGTCCTTTTTCCATCCAGAGTGCATTCCTCTCTCATCTGCAACCCATCTTTCACTGTTTATCAAAGTTACAAAATAGTTGTGAAGGATTTGAATGTTTAAAATGACTCATTAAAAAGACAGCAGTGATTTCTGAGCTCACATGACTCCAGTACAAACTTTGGGTGCTGTTACTGGAATGCGAAAGTGATTAACTTAACATAGTCTACTGTTGCAGAGGAGAATAAAATACAAATATTTAAGAAACCATACTGGCAAACACACGCACACAAAAAACTACTTGTGTCTTTTATGAGTGTTTAAAAAAGTGAAAGACTGTTGAGAGTCAAAGTCCAGCAATAAAAACTACACTTAGGTATAAAAGTTTAAGTAAATATAAATACTTAAATGCTTTTAAACTATAAAAAACGAGCACTGTGTGTTGTCCCTTTGATAGCATGCCACAGTTATAGTTAGTGGAAGTTTTGGGTTAAGGATTTAGTTCATACCTGTGCATCAAGCAAACCTCTCTGCAATGTTAAGAGTTGTCAGTAGACTATAAGAAGCATGATAAAAGTAGCTCAAAATCACACCTCAGGGCTGTATTTGAGTCAATTAAATTTCCACCACTGAAAACAAACAGCAAAGACCACAACAAAGCTTTAACCACCCAACCATAATTACTGTACACATGTATATCTAAATGTCTTTAATTTACAATTATGTACAAAAGTAAACACCCATAGACTGTAATATCTTACATTTACATAAAATTCATTGTAAACAGTGATAAATTCCACATCAATAGAAGATGGCTTATGTGCATTGGCTTTATCTGTACGTGTTAGCATATAGAGCATAGCTAGCTTTAGCTCGTCGCCCGCTCCAGCGACGGTGGCTTCTTAATAGGTATGTGTGTACGATATCATTTATTTGTTACAGAGCACTTCTGGGCAGTGAACGTAGCTATGTGGACTAGCTTTGGACATAAATGCACCCTGTGCATGTCACTTCAAAAAAAAGCTTACTGCATTCAAACACAGAGACACAAATATAAGAAAACAAACATTCAGTGCCAGGAAATGTCTTTGCATTTTGTGTGCAGCATTAAAAAAGATCCTTTTAGTAATCATGGCAACAGCCACCAGTAGAGTCTGAATAGCAGGGGGCTCCAGACGGAGGCGTAATATGTTGAGGATGTTTGAGGCCCACCGCTGGACGGCAGCTGTGTATTGTCTATCATCATGTCAGGCCGAGCGACCTCCTCACTGCTTATAGCTCGGGTGGTCAACAGTCTGGCCCTCGAGGGACCGTAATCCTTCCTCTCGACAGAGGGGGGCAACGTGGGTAAGGCACACGTCTCGATCTCAGACGAGCAGCTGACACTGATCCACCGAGTGAGAAAAGCTGATGTTAGTTTAAGGAGTTCTTCAGGAGGGGAGGATAATGTGGGGAAGTGGCCCAGGTCGGTCTCCTCCTGGAACCTCTGGGACAAGGGAAGAAAGAAGCTATTTAGGATTTCCACTGTACGGTGATATGCCTTTAAAAATACTTTTTTTTATATACATTAACTAGATCTGTAGACACCACAAATTATGGCCAGAAAATTCAACTTTTTTTAGGAGCTGAAATGTTTGTTTCACTTACTACTGAAAACCAAAATAAATAAAAATGTCCTTAAGATTTAACAAACATGTTTATTTATCACGTTTGATACATTAGATGTTTTTGGAAACTAATAAACTTGGGTGCTTTTTTTTTTTTAGTAATTTGTTAATCATATTGATTTGATAGAAGTAAAAGTATGTTTTAAATATGATACAAAAGGCATTAAAGGGTTAAAAACACCTTTAAACATAGCACATCAAAATGTAAAGCCAACCTTCCTTTTTTAACTTTGTTAAACAGAGTGAAGAAATGAACCCCTAAAAGGTCACATAGATTCAAATGAAAATCTAACCTCTGTATTCTTGTTCCTCTTTATGATTTTTTCCAGTGTCTGCTTCAGATCCAGGATCAGAGAGTGATTTAGGTGCTCATCCCAGAGGTTTCTAAGGAGCACATGCCAGGAGTCCAGGAGGACCACTGCAGCAGGGAACACACAGCACTGCAGGGAAATAGTCAGTCAACATTACCCTTAAGTTAAGTTTAGCAAACAAAACGTGTGAAAAAACACCACTAAAACCACATTACTGGCAAGGTTGGGGCAACATGAAACAGCAATCTTTTGCATAACACAGCAAATCAGAAGACATCATTGAGGAGCAGCTAAAAATAAAGTTAATGTGCCTTAAATGGCTGAAGTCTGGAAAATTAAAACTACTTTTTACTACTAAGATTCGTGATAGTTTTCATCTGATAATACACTCACCGAACTAGTGTTGCACAGCATGCTTTCTCTGTAGTGATGCACAACATAGTAATCTTTTGGAAATACTTTTCGCTAAAAAGAAAAAAAAAACAAGGGAAAAGATGAGACTAAACCCTCAAATGATTCAATAAATTAGCATTTAGACAAACATGAAAAGTGTAATCATAAATACATTTAAAAATGTGGCAATGGGAGAACTTTACAGGTTATCAGATAACAGCTAATGATCATCATATCAACAGTTTTTTCACTCACATCATCTTTCATAAAACCTAAATAAACTCAGGACATGGTTGTGCTGTTGAAAGGATTGCAGATTTTTTAAAATGATATAAATTTATCACTGTCACAGGGTAGAGAGAGGATTATGCTCCCTCAAGAAGCACCATATGGTCTACATAAAATCATAAACAGTGTCAAAGGTTCTCAACTTACAAATCCAGTCGGATTAGAGTCGATGGTTGATTTAATGTTTTTCACTCCTTCCTGGTCAAAGTCACATTCACCACCACATTGGACAGTCAAGAGTGATAGCAACAGCAAAACTGTTAGAGGCATGAGTGATCAGAGAATAGAGACAGCGCACATTCAGATAATTGATGGAAACTTTCTGTGGTTTTGAAGCTAGTTCACACCGCATACCTACTAAGAAACATTACATCACATCCTGCCATAATTAGGTATTTCTGTAGAAAAAAAAATGTCATGAAATGTTGCCTGTTGTTGCAACAGCTCTGATTGAATAAGAACACAGGAAATGCTCAAGTAAGAGTCCAAAAACCAGGTTAAATTCAGCTTTTACTCCTGGCCAAAGTGCGACTAGTTCTCATTATCAAATATTTCCTATTTTACTTTCAGAACAAAGTTTGCAAAGAGCATTGACATGCACTTCATTTACTTTCTCACCTGGAAGTGACATCCTTTTTATCTTTCTAAGAGGGAACACTTCTCCATGTCTTCTTGTTGACGGCAGCCACTCTGCAGACGGGGGTTTCTGTGTCAGTCTGTGAAAGGCAAAGTTTCCTCCTCTGTCTTCTCGTTAGGTCTTTGACACTGAGTGCGCTGCTCTGTCTCCTCTTTTCTCCTTGTTGACATCCCTTATGCACTCCGTCCTTTTGAGTTCCTTTGGTACTTTCCACAAAAATGCCTCATTTATCCTCTCACGCCATCCTGCTCTCTCACTTTGGATTTTCCCACTTAAGCCAGAGTGGCTGCAGCCTTTTCCCTATGAAAGCTTTTGTTGTTTTGTCCTTTTTTGTTCCTATATCTCTTTCCCTTTCCCTTCCCTCTCACCACTGACCTAGAATCTTCCTGAACAGCCTAATTTGAATCACCCCCCTCTCTCTCAGCTGGTCAATGGATGAAGCGGGAGAGACTCTGGCCTTCTCTTCCCCTCTCTCTCTTTCCCTCGAGCCACCCTGTGTATCCTCACTCAGCTCAAAGTGAAAGTGCTTGGCTGGATTGCTAGTCTGCTCCCTTTAAGTCTCGGCCACTCCCACCACCACACGTTTTACCTCACTATTGACTGACCCGGCCCCCTCCCCCCCCTCTGCTCCCCACATTCCCTCTTACCCCCATCTTCCTCCCCTCCTTCCCCTCCTCCAAACCAGGCTGAAGGAGGCTTAGTCATGCAGTTGGAGCGTATGTTTTTCATTTGGACTCTCCCCCACACCTCTGCGCCCTCGGATCCCCTGCTCTTTATCCATCCTGTTTAATCATCACATGATCTTTCTTTCTGTTTTTTAATAGATCACATTCCTTAACAAGTAGGGTTGCAACACTACATTGTCAGAACTTGCAAGTCATGCCATGTATGACAGCTCTCTACAGTCATTACTGGTAAAGTAGGCTGCACAGAGGTGGTTGGTGTTGATTGTGAGGTCTGATATTGTGCACAGCTGTCATCACATTGAGCCCTCAGGTGAAATGAAGCCACATTATGTTTTGGTTTTCCTTTAGATGTGCGGGGAGGCGTAAATTACCTTTGAAAGTTCAATCTTCAAGTCAAAGAATTGTTCTTCTGTGTCCTTTTTTGAGTACAAGCCAAAGACAGCAAGATGGTTTCCTGAAGTCCCCTCACTGCTCAAGACAAAAAGGAAACAAGCGAGCTGCGGTGAGATTAATGCTCCCCGAGGCGTCATCATCTCGAAACCTTTTCACCTACACTTTCTTTTAATGGCAGGTATAAATATCCAGTCACCATGCCTTCTTCCTGTTTCACGTGACTTGCATATTGAGGAAAGTAAATGTGTAACTCATTTGTGGTTCTGCTACATGTTGTGTTTGTGCTTCTATTTGTGCAACTTGCAGAATGAAATCCAGATTTGAGTTACAGAAAACCATAACAATAAAAAGGAAAATTTATGAGGACTATGTCTAGGAAATTTTTATTGTAAGAAAACTTGGAGTCTGAATGGTTAGTTACTCCCTTAATTTAGATCACAGTGGTTGTTTTTACCTCAGCACTCCATAGGAAGGGGTCAAGATGATAAAGTTAAACAAAGCCGTATGTTGTTGAGTTTTATTGACTGAAGTCTGCATGCTTCAGCAAAACAGAAAGCTCAAATAACTAAGGTATGAAAAAACCCTGCTTTATAGTGGATCAGTGTGTGACTGGCTCATTAAGAAGCCAAAATCCTGCTCATGGTCTGCTGTGCTGGAGCAAGGCTGTGTTATGCAACCGTTTTGTACATTTCAGAACAGAAGAAAGCCTCAGAAAAGTGTTGTCTTACACCACTTGAGGCTTGTTGGCTGAAGGCCACTCAAACAAGTGAGTGCAAACAGGCGGAGAAAAACTGCTCTGCTCCCCTTCACCACTTTTACTCTCTCTTTATTTCTCCTGTTTGCCACAAGATGGAGCCAAGTGTGGAATGTAAAACAAAAAGATGCCAGCGACTGTTCACATTCATTTATTAAACATGAAATATCAGCAAAAAACGTCTACAAAGTGCATAGTCTGTTTAATAAGTTAAAAATACATGTTAGTTTTAAAAGGCCCTCTACATTAATTCCCTTTTTCAAACAAAAGCAGACATTTTCTTAACTGGCTGTTAATCTGAGCAGCAGAGTAATTGGCATTATCAACAGTTGATTTCAATTGGAAATACCCAGCAGCCCAAAGCAGACCTCCGGACCTCTATTCATCTGTTTCTTTCACTCTACAAAAAGTCCCGAGAATACAAAACAATTGGTGTTGATAAGATCCCCACTTTCACTTTCCCTTCTTTAGAATTACCCCTGTTTTCAGCCCCTCTTTCTGAACTCCTCTGCCTCCTCGCTTTCTCACTGACTGGGGCTCCTCTCTCCTCCTCGCACGGCCGTCATCAGATGACTTTTGTAGGTTTTACTGAGTCCGGTCATCCAGAACTTGAGCAGCCTGACATTGTCCTCCTCCCCTGGCCCTGTGGCCCCAAGGAGGGCTAGAACTTTCTGAGTGTCCTCCCTTCCCCGTCCATCCACTTTGGAGAACTTGAACAGCACTTTGACCTTACTGAAAGACATGGAATTAACTTTGAGATGGCAGAATCTCACTAAAACCCAGGTGGTCTTCTTCCAAGAATAAATAAAGAGTACTCACTTCATCCACTCCTCCTTCAGACACAACAGGCAGTGAGATACAACGTCCACAGACAAGTTCTCGTTAGACAGGGCAACCTCGAGCTTGTTCAGTAACGTGGGACCTGGAACCAGATGGTTTAAGGGTTAATTTAATCAAAATTCTTTTGCCATGATGTATTACACAGGGAGCTATAATGAAGTGCAAAAAAAAAACTCAAAATGACAAAGAGAGTACAGAGCAACAACTTCAGTAAAACATCTCTTTGTGCCAAGGGAGTCTAGAGGTTTGAACACAAAGTGTGGGCTGTGTCTAGTCAAGTATCTCATCTTATCTAAAATGTTTCATCTCTCAGATTTTTTTCCTTAAGGTGTCAGGCACGTAGAATAACAATCCAAGCCCATCAGTAACAAAATCAAGTACTTTCGATTGATGTGCTTTGATCAGGTACATTTGCCTCCAAGAAACAAGTGGTAACCTTTGCCAGTTGTATTGCCGCTGCCAAAAGAAGCTGTTTGTTAGAGCATTCCCTTAACTTTCTCTATCAAAAACCTCAAAGTATGTACTAAAAAAAAAAAAAGCCTTAGATTTACAATCACTGTTTCCTTCCAATTCCTAAAAGAAGCAGGTGTTGGCTTTTGAATGAGACTTGTAGGGAAGATTTGCCTATTCCCTGGAATCAGATCCTGGGAACCTTAACACAGAACATGTCTAGACATTTCCCATTCACACGTGTTTTTGCTCTGCCTTTAAAAATGTCATCCGTTTGAGCATTATGATGTGGATTCAGATCCAAACACAGTTAAAACATCTAAAATATATCCTGTCATTAAATCAAAAAGTTTATTTGGGGAAATGAGTTCCACATTAGCAACAATTAGCACTTTTTCTTCTTTAGGTTTAACTTGGCGCCAAAGGACTGTTTGTGCTTTTTTCTGACACTGATAGTTGAATCAAATGTACTTTGACTATTTAAAGACTTGGGTATGTGCACTCACCCCTGTCTGTAGGCTGTGTGTTGGCACTGCTGATCGTGAACTGATAAAGTGAGGCGATGTCGTCTTCACCTACAGCTGAATTCTGGCAGCTCCTGTCTGAACTGACATCTACCAGCACTGAAAACTCTACAGGATAAACAAACAGGAGATAAAATCAACAACAAAAATATCTTCAAGCACAAAGCTTAAACATGTAAGAGCAACTTTTCACAGTAAGAGTTCAAAGACTCTTGTACCTGAGGAGCTGACATGTGTCGGGATGGGTACATCTGGGCTCAAACCCAAGAAATTGCATTTGTAGGCCTCCTCATACTGGGCACTGTATGGAACAGAACGCACGCAGCCCACTGGGAGCAAAGACTGATGGGAAACAGTGAGGAAACTTTAGTTTTAAATGAGTATGCATGTTAATGGCAGATCTCGTTCACAGATGAAACTATGACTCATAACAGCAGAGGAATTAAATGACAGCTGAATTCACTTTAGCCTTTTGATATACTGTCGTGACTTACTTTAGCACTTTAAAAGACCTAAGATAATTCAGGGAGTTTAACAAATGATTTTTGTATAATAGTGGTTAAAAGTATGAATTATGTCTGGGGCAAAGGGAAGTAAAAAGTATACAAAAAGGAAAAACTTTAAATCCATAAGAGTTACTAACGTACGATTGAAGATCTCAACAAAATGGTTTAGGTTTCTATTTTAGTTACATGCTCTGTCTTGTTTTTATTTTTTTGCATTCATTGTTTAAGAAAGCATGTACAGGCAAGAAAAAAAATCAAGCCGTTTAGGTGTGCTGTGAAAATAAATACTTCTGGGGTGACTTCAGGTAAAAGTTATCAGAAAGCAATGAGCAACAACTTTCGCTTTAAAAGTAATTACAACTTGCTGAAATTTTCCACAAAGTTTATGTCTCATCAAATAACGATACGAGAGGGTTAAAGTTTTTTCTTTTAATTTATCACAAAACTTTTGAACCTCGACAACATCTGTGTAACATGAGGGACCTAACCAGTCTAAAGAGAAAAGTGGAGCACCTTGAGCACTATAAAAGCTGACTGGATGAGTCCTGGGTCTGCGCCTCTCCATATGACCTGATTTCCCATGAGCACATGCCACACAAGCTGACGAAACTCAACCGCCCCGAGGACCTGCAGAACCAACCAGACTGTGATATACATCCAACAAACAGGATACACGACTTGCTGTGGAGAGCATAAAACTGAGATTATTTAATAAATGAAAACGTTTGTGTGCCAATATATAGAAATTATTGCAATGTTATGTTTTTATGTAATACCATAAAAGGAGAATATCAAACAATTTTACCACACAAAGGTAATCTATGTAATTGTGCACTTGATATACACCCCTTCAATTCACCTGTCTCAAATGCCTAAGTGATCTGAACTTGGGCCCAGGTAGTTCATCCAATTTCCAATCATCACACAGGAAGTCATGGACCAGCTCTCTTCCGGATTGGATACGCTGAGGTTTAGGACCGCCGCCTTCTGCACCCTCCCAGCAGCTCATTTCTTCCTCTTGTTCTGTTGGAAACAGAGAATGACATTAAACAAAAAAACAAAACAGTAATGAGAGAATACTGCATGAATGTGGGGGATTCCACAGGAAGTTATTACTAAGATCTGTCTAGATATCATATGCTATACACAGCCTGAACATGACGTCAACTGTTGAGTATTTCCAAAACAAAGCCAGCCGTGTAGAACTGACCCTATTTTATAACTGATAGTTTAAATCAGCTATTTATCTGTACTGGCGCAATGTAACTAATTGAAAATGTTTTAATTATTTTTTTGTCATGTGCATTAGTATAACCTCTTGGAATTGTGATTTGAAGAAAATGCAATGAAATTAAAGATAAAGACCCAAATGATACCATCAGGGGACTAGAGATTACTATTCCACACCCTGGAAACTGAGTTTTACTTGGAATCTTCATCACTTTCGAAATCTTTGTGCCAGTATGAGGCATTGTATGTATTGTAACCACAATAGTTTACTTAATCACGATACCTTCCTGTACAGACAGTCTCTCAGTAACTGACCCAATAATCTAAACTTTCACAGCAACTGTTCAAACAGATGATAAAACCACGACACACTGTGCAAACAAATGACATCTGTTGATTTGATCCTTTATCAGGAAGACTAACCTTCCCTGGAAGGCAGCAAATGTTGATTCATCACTCAGATATTGAGGTTAATATTTGTCCCAATTTACATCAGTTCAACACACTTCAGTTCGATTTGAGTCAATGTTATCATATTAGATTTAAAGGTTTGATTTGGATGAAGGTTTTAGATCAAAGAGTAAAACCACATACTGATTAAATATTCAAACAATAAAAAAAAACATATACCATAAAGTTAAACACATTGTGTTACGGTATTGTTTACAGTATTAAACTACATAGAAATCATACATGTCAACATAGTAGCATGTATTTCCATTTCTGTGTATTGATAAACTCTCAAAGTTTATCACCCTTTTATTCACTAAATGCTTTCCTGTTGGAGGAAGAGTATTTCTGTCTCAACTTCTATAATAATACCAAGGGTTTCTGATGTTTTTGGTTGGTTAGTTTGTTTCTTTTTAAAGCTCAAGTTTGAAGTCACTTATGCTGAAAATCACTTTATGCTTTATATCACTGACGGCAGGAAAATATCATGCCAACTAATGATCTCTTTTTGTAAAGCTTGATCTATACTGACAGAGAGGAAAATCAGTCAGTTACACACGGCAGCAGATATGTTTTTTTGACTGCAAAGACAAGAGACCCTTCCCATGTGGATTTGGCACAAATTTTCTACCAGCATAATGGTGGCAACAACATTAAGAGGGATTCTTCTTAATAAAAGGATTGACTTGGGGCACCATTAGCTGAGGGATCTGGGACCCATCTACAGGGGTTATGCCTCAAGAGAAGACCACAAGTTCAACTCCAGTCTGTAAGTTCTTTCCTGCATGTCAATCCTCACTCTCCCTATCCACTGTTCTATCCACTTCAATAAGGGCTTTAAAGTTTGACTGTGGTAGATCTAATGCTTTCACCCAGTTACAGACTGGACCAGCATTGGATGGTCGATTACCAACGTTTGCTTTACCTGTCTGTCTCTCTATGAGCACCAGCGTGTCTTCTGTGGGGGCTCCCTCCAGCAGCTTCTCAGTCAGACGACTACCACAGGCCTTCAGCAGCCTGGAGAAGAAGTTAAAACATAAATGTGTATCGTGAGCGGTTAAAAAAGACAACGGCTTGAGATTGCTGATAGTACTTTGACTCACCAGCTGAAAGAGGAGTGGAGACTGGCCCACAGGTTTGGATGTTGGGTTAGAGAAGTTAGTGATCTGGCTGCATTTCCGCTTCTTTGATGGGGGAAAACCGCAGGTGAGAAGACGCTGTTCATCCTCACCGCTCGCTGGGGACACACTCCTTGTTCACTATCAAAGACCTAATGGAGATCACAGTAACAAGAAATTATACAGCCAAACAGATACTTGGATACTACATTATTTGAGACTCAAAATACAGCAGAAAAGAAGCAGAACATTGGTTAGACAATAAAACCAGGAAAAGAAGATAAGTAAACCAAAATACCAAAAGAGATAAAAAATGACACAGAGATATAAAAATCTAACACAAAAAAGTAAAAGCAACAAAAGATAAAGCAGGTACGATTCAGAGTAATAATAAAGGCATGTAATGGTCTTGTGTGTATCCTACCTTGAGGGCTGTGCTTTGTAAGCTTTGTATAGTGAGTCTAAGATGGCGTAACAGGAAAGGCCAGGAGTTGATGAGGTAGATCCTGTCCATTGCCACCATAACAATACTGTACCAGCGCTGGAAGCCCCTGGCCAGACTGTCTTTAATAAAGAAAGTGTGTGAGAACACAAATCCATGCTGCTCATCCCCAAAGAAAATTGGCCCTTCACGTCCAGGACATACCTAAGGAAACACAAATGAAAGCAGAGCAATTTGCAGCAAGTAGTGAATTGTATGCAGGGGTTGCGTTTTGTGTTTGTGTGGCATCAGTGAATCTAATCATGACAGACATTCAGACGTACGTCACTGTTTACCTCACAGCTGAGGCTGCGTACACAGGCCTGGCGGACCACGCTAAAAAGCTGTGGCTGCCTGGGATGCTGGTGGCTCAGGAAGCGTATTCCTGTTTCATCATCGATGCTCATAAAACCCGGGTGAGACGCAGGAAGAGATCGACATCCCTGTGTGGCAAGCAAAGGGAGATAAAAATCAATAATTGAGGTACAATTCACAATACTCTCCTGTATTGTAAAGCTGTTTCTACTGAAGTACAATGAAGAAGAAATGAGTATAGAGAGGGGTGCATTTTTCTGATAAGGTCCACTCACGTCACACATCTCTCCTCTCTGTGTAGCTGAGCTGTTGGCCCTCATGGTCAACCCTTCACCCTCCCGGTCACCGTCTCGGTCCCTGTCACCGGGTACCGGGGCACCAGCCTGTGATGAAGGGGATGGGGATGGAGGGTGCAGGGCTTCAGTGCAAAACAACGTCCGAGGGCCATGGAGCTCACAGAAGTGACAGAGAGCAACCAGGGCGTTCATCTGGAGAGCAGACACAAGATTATGTACGTTTTATGGTTAATGCTGTTGTTTTTGAGTCTGATACCAACAGTAATACTAATAACAGTAACAGTATCAGTCCATAAGTATAAGTTATGAATTGCTAACTTCGCCAGGGTGAAAATAAGGTCACATCAGTGGGTCTTACCTTCAGCACAAGTTCAACAAATGACTGTACTTATGCTGCCTCACAAAGAGAGTCCAAACAGCCGTCACATTATAAAGCAGCACGTTAAACAAGAGCTTAAAAAACTCGATTCTTGATAAAGTCCGTGTTTCAGAAAAGCATGGTCCCCTGTAGCTCACATTTATTTATTTATTTATCTTTTTTCTTCATCTACCTTCTCTCTGTCTCCCTTGCAGCTGCTAGGTGGCAATAACACATCATGTCACATGACTCAGAGTCACGCGCTCGTGCTTAATGACGTACGGCAGTTGGTTACGTTTGTATTCCTCGAATTTAACCGTAAAATCAGAAATATTCGACTTCCTGTCTTAACTGAAAGAAAGATGGCGATCTACTAATGCGTTTTCTTGTAAACGGTTTCACGAAATATTTTCCACTTAGTCATTATGAGACAAAAATATTAAAAACGTCATTACCCATAATCCCCTTTAGACAGAAACGGGGTCAAAGGGCGAAAAAGTCGAACTCGTTCAGGTTTGTATTAGTATATTAAAGATGAATGAAAATGATTCAAAAATGAGCTTCAATTTGTTATTTCGAATTTTAAACATGTTTTATCATTTTGAAGATTTTTTATTTTTTTTTCTTACTCAATCTTGAAAGATTTGTAAAACCATTTCCGCGTTAGTCAGAGTCGCGTGGAGAACTGAATTTCCAGTTTGTGGAGTGCTAGGTGTTTATTTGATTTGTGTTTGGAAAAACGCCGGAGTGACTCGTCAAATTTGTTCTGGAGTAACCCTGACTTTTAAATTTCTGGTTTAGTCATGGCGTCAGACGGTTCAGAGATGCCCCCAGTCTCACCGGAGGACCAGAGAGACACAGAGGAGGGGGGTCCCGGTGACCCTGAGAGTGGCAAAGACATACTGAAACCCTCAGCAGGTAAATCAGACATTTCATGTTTATACATCATTTTACGTTGTTTTAAGTTTTTTAAGTAAAATACCCTGACTGTGGACTTGATCTGGTAAGTGATAGAAGACTCATTTACATTGGAGAAATGCTTTAAAACCATACAGATACATATATTACATATCTATCATATCTCTCTCATTTAACCCACTCTGAACACCCTTCCCCCAAATGTGAGTCATTTGAGGTGTGGTAAGATCTTAGTTTTGTTATCATGTGGCTGAAGCCTCTTATCTTAAGGTAGATTAATAAGATAGTGGACTACTATATTTTCACTTCATGCCTTACTCTTCTACTAGACATGTTTCAGGAGCTAGGAAGTGAGTCATAATCCATGAGTACTGATTCTAAGCCTTCCAAAGACTTTTACTCCCACTCCCACCTGTGGGAGTTGGTTTCTATCCAGATTAACTTTAGGAGGATTGTTATTTCACCCAATTACTTCCAGTAACTTGAATAGAGATCCGATGTCTGGAAGCATTTGGAAGATTCACTCATTTTCTCTGATGTCCCAAACTACCTGAGCCACTCGGTGCTCTCGCAGAGGGAAGGGGGATGTTACAGCAAATAATTAAACAGTCTGGACCATGAGTCATATCCAGTTCTGCTGTCTAGAAATAGCATTACGGGGTGTGTGGTATGTGTTTGAGTTTACAGGCAACCACATCACATCTTACTTGGCTGACATTTGAGCCTCTGGAACAAGTCATTGCCACCTGCTACAGGATTCACACTCTCAGGAAGTGTATCAGAGAGGAAATCAAGTGTTAAATCTGTGTTTCCAAGAGTCAGCGTTCTCTTAGGGATAAACCACCAATATATTCAGACTTGCTTAACAGGAGAATCACAAAAAATATTTAAAAATATTTCAACCTATGACCCTCTGCCAGATGCATCTCACTCTATTCTCTGTCTTTTTCTTAAATAAGACATAAAAGCAAGATCAATCTCTAAAAAGTAAATTTGGAAGGAGATCATGTCAGACATTTTTCATGGACCCTGAACTCTTTGACCACAAAGTGACCACAAGCAAATCAGAGCAGAATAAGGGTTGTGGGCAACACAAATGTGAAATCAGGTGTAATCACCTCAATCTGAAGCTATTGCTCTGTGACTTTGATATCATGTTAATTCAGATGCGTACCTTTTATTTAAAAGGATAAACTACATGTTACATTAAACTCTAATTACATGTCTGTCTTTCTAACTTTGGGTCGCCAGCTCCTGTTTTTATTGAGTCTCAAGGTCTTTGCATTATATATGGGTTTAGAGGATGGTCCATGTTTTACAATTTACAATTAAAGCTTGATTGATTGATTTCTCTTTGCCTCTTTTACTGACAGAGTCAACAGGACAGGTGGAGAAGGAAATCAACGTGTGCGCGTTTTTCCTGAGGGGGAGATGTCACTTTGGACAGAGATGTCGTTTGTCTCACAGGTCTGCTCACTACAGTTATCAGCTCCAAGATAGAGAATAACTGCCATAATTTGATAAGAGTAAAAACAGCATCAAACGAGTATGTAATTAAGTGTTAAAAGATGTCAGAGGTGACCTTTTTAATGTTAGAGGATACTTTCCATGTGAAAGTGACGGTTTTAGCCACAGTCACTCTTTATTCATGTAGACATGAGAGTGTTGTTTTAATATAGATTTGAAAAAATTGACATATTACCCTGATATTACTAAACTCTACCTGGATATAAAGAATTCTTAAAAAGCATCCTATGTTACTTCATTTTTTTTCCTTTTCATTTAGCTAAAATACTTCGAATGCTGTGTGCTGTTTCAGTCCAGCTATAAACACTAAATCATTTCCTTGACATCTAGTTCCTATTACTCTGCTCTTGTGGTTAGAACGTATCTATAAGGAATTTGAGAAATGCAGTCTGTTTTTTCGTTGGAATTTCTGATTAATTTCACTCACTGTTCATACTGTTAACCAAATGGGCAGGGATATTAAGCCATGACTAAATATGAGTAATATTTTTGTTTCAGTGTTTTTTTAAAATCTATATTTAAACATGGTACTGCTTTTGTTGCCCTCTCTTCTCAGTGAACCTTCAGTAGATGACTCAGGCGCTGCATCTCCTGACCAGGATGACAAACCAAATCTAGAGAAGGATGAAAAACCCATGAAGAAAGTGAACAAACAAAAACAGCCAAAATATGATGCAAAAGGTCACACCATCTGTAGCTGGTTTCCTATATCATGTGCTGATGACATCACATTCTCAAGAGGTCAATGAGACCTTATTTTACTATGACTCACTTTTTCCCCCCATTAATCCGTCCAAACATTTTTTTCCTTATTATCCCCACGCAGAAGTGAACAAAAAGCCCCGCATGCGCACAGCAGATGATGTTATCTCCCGCATCCTGTGGGACCCCTTGGTGGACTCATCAGAATTTGTGGTGGGCTACGTTGATCGCTTCCTGGGAGTGCTCGAGCGTCCCTTTGATGACTTCAACTGGGACACCAACCCTTGTGACTGTGATTACACCACTGAGCTGGCTCTCCCCAGACACAGGATCCAGTACTTCACTTACAGAGGGCACCGCGTGTGGGACCGCCACACCAGGACAGACAGGGTGTTTGGATCTACTGGTCAATCTCTGGCTCCCCCCTTTGGAGGGGAGGGGGAAGTAAAGGGTAAGAAAGGATCTGTGATAGCTCACATATAGAAATTTTACAAAAAAAAAGCACATGTTTTAGAGTTAACTCTGACCAAACATGATCAATTGTTTTACAAGAAATAAACATGGAAGACCAGGAAAACCAGCAAGAGTGCTTTGAAACACCAGAGGATCAGCCACCTGCTGTCTGTAGGCAGGAAGAGAGGGAAACAGATGAGTGTATTCATACCCAGGACACACATCTGGATGAGGAGAAGCAGAGGGAGATGAATATTCACACCCCTGACTCAACAGCAGCGGCACCACAGTGCGGAAGAGACACTTCTCAGGAACAACAGGAAGCACAAGGAGCATGTGTTACCGAGGAGGCTGATAAAAGGTCTGCTGTTCATCTTCATACATTTATTTAAACTGAAAGACAACAACACCTGATAGAACAAATATCATTTTAATACCTTCATGTTCCTCACACCATCTGCTCAGAAGAAACATAAACTTCACTTTACACTCAGAGAAGGAGGACAGCACATTGGTTTATGAAGTGACAACAAACTTACTGACCGGAAAATAATCCACTAAAAGTTTAAAGTTAAAGTATAAATGCAACCTCATTTCTGTCTCCATATTTTCTTTTCAAAATAAAAGCTTTACTCTCAGTTTGTGAGGGACCGAGCAATCAGGCAAAGGACAAAGGTGTGGAAAAAGATCTTGTTCCTTTATTTACTTGGAAAAATAGATCAAATCACAACAAATGTTCAACTTAATTTGGTAGAGCAAAAAAAGAAACAAAACCTGGGCCCATTCTAAAAGAGGTCAACTCAGCAAAAACAACTAATCCTACCACCTAACATAATCAAACAGACCTAACTAAAGTGAGACCTGCTGGGGGTTTAAATAGACAAAGGACTAGTCCAACAGAAACACAAGGGGGAAACTAAATGTGACTCCAAACTAAACATTTAACAAACTCAGAAAAATAGCTTCAAATCATCAAAACAAACTATTTACAGAATAAACTAAATTGCCTTTACAAACTGAAAAGAACACAAACAGAAGATTGGAGATGAAATAAAAGTCCATGCTGCCCCTGTGTTCCCCCTTCATGGTCTCTCCCACTTCCTGTGGGCAGGGCTTAAAAGGCCATCTTTGATCAGCAGACAGCCCTTTGCCAGGAAACTCAAACAAAAGAAAACAGGAGTAAGTATAACTTGAGATTACAGCATGATGTGGAAAATCAACCATGTGACAGTTTGTTAACTAAATTGTGTGCACCCAAATTAGAAAACAACTGCCATACATGTAATTAAAGTGATTTTATTTCAACAGAAAGGTGTGTAATGTGCTCTTTTTAAACTACAAACAAAACTGGTGTTAAAACCCAAAGAAAAAGAAATACTAACACGAGGTAGTGGCAGTTTAGGCCACCACAATGGTCATGAGCTGGATTTGAGGGTTGGGACAGCTTATCAGTGCACCCCTACTCTCTGAGAAGAAAAAGTTAAGATGTGCATATTTATGATATTAACACATTAACTGGCACACCGCAACACACATCACAATATATGTGGTCAACTTTTCAAATGAACTCTGCATCTTACAAAAAAAGATCTGTACTGTAAATTTATGTAGCTGTTTGCAGCTGAACTTATAAAGCACTCTTTCTCGATGCTCATTCACCTCTTTAACGATTTACCCCACTTGATGTCATTTCAGACTGAGGCCTTCAGCAGACCAGATGTCTTCATCATGTCAGAAAGAAGAGGACGGTATAAAAGAGGAGACTGCGGAGGACACTCCGGCTGGGTGGCAAGAGAGCTGGGAAGGGAATGCAGATACTTTGGTTGGTACTGCCCCTCACTCTTTCATACATCCTTCTGCTTATTACAGCACATGTTTGACACAGTGACCTTTGTCTGACACAGAGTCATCTAGCATCCCTGAACATCACCCAGAATCCATCAGCACCTCTAGAGCAGAGGGAGGAGAAACGAGGTGGTCGACCCCCTAAAAAACGACCCACACACTTCATCACCTTTAGAGCCAACACTCCTGCTGTCCTCTCCTGTTTCCAGCAGCTGCAGGAGGAGGTCACCTCCCTCCTCCCCGCCTCTGCCCCTCACTGGATGACTGCCTCCAGCCTCCATGTCACCATGTGCCTCCTGGTGCTGCCGGGCCCTGCTGAGGTAGCTACCGCCAAGGAGATCCTCCGACAGTTTGCCCATTTGGATCGAAACCCTCCTGTGGCTTTGACCTTTCCCGTGAAGCTGAAGCATTTCAACGGGAAGGTGCTGTACCTGAGCCCCCAGCCTCAGCTCCACCTCCAGCAGCTCAACAACGGCCTGCAGGAGGCCTACAGGAAAGAGGGTTTGCTCCACAGGGACTCCTACAATCCGCGCTACCACCTCACGCTGGCTAAGGTAGAGGACAAGGAGGGGGAGAGAATATTTGAAGGGATTTGGGACCTCAAGGCGGGGAAGGGGTTAAACTTTGGTCGTCTGCCTGTGAACACCTTATACCTTTGTTCCATGGGTGTCTCCGAAGTAGATGGTTTTTATGACACTGTGTGCACGGTAACTCTCAGATGATACAAGAGCTACTTTTTACGTGTACACACAGCATACATGTGCGCTGATACTTGAGATATTTGAGTAAGTGCAATACTGACGTTTGCAGGGTTCATGTGGCCTTACAAACCAAATCTGAAACGGTGGAAGTTGATAAATTATTATTGAATTGTTTCCATTACGAATTGTTAGATGCACTTTTAAGAAGTTGGGTGGGACATTTAAAAAGGAGGGCCTGAGGAGAGTCAAATAACTTTATGCAGGGCTGCACAATTGCGTACGCACAATGTCAGGTTAAACTTTGTCTACATGCAAACATTACTCTCGTACAACCACTAAAATCTTATGAGAGGTTTAATGAAAATGAATGTTTCTGTCTTGATGAATGAATTTAAATCGAACATGGATGTAAGTTTTGAGTCACTTACATTTCTACTTAAAGAAATGAAGTTTAAATGTTAGGTTAAAGCTGCTACACTACATCCATGACTTAGTGCAGGTGTAAACGGCTGAAAAGAAGAATGTCAATCAAATATAACTCAATGTAGACTTAAAACAGACAAAGGCATGTCCATTAAGTTACGTTTACAGAAAATGTGAGTTTGTTTACAGTTGTTTCTACTATCTCTAACATTTTTTGTAGACTAAAGTCAAATGATCTCAACACATATATTCAAAACAGATAAATCTTATCCCAATAAAACACTAGATGCTGCATGAGTCAAACTGGAAACTGTCGACTAAATCACAAACTACAGTGCCGTTAGTTTTAAAGGCCTTATCAGCCGCTTTCCTGCCTATAAAAGTGAGTGAAAATGCAGATTTGAGAACTTATTTTCCTGAAATATAAAATGCCTTCAGCAGAAAAGAAAATACTTGATAATCTGGATCGTGAGGCCATCCTTTGTGCACAGGCTCGGCTTCATTCATGCTTCACTCTGATTTACAGCTACACAGACACCACAGATGCACCTGCCATAAAGACTCATGTAGCGAACATGAATTGTTTACAAGAGGAGATCATATTTTCTAACTGACTACAAATGAACCTGAATGGATGTAATCTGCAGCTCTTAAATCCACCTTTATACTTCCCCGTTTTCTATGAATACTGTATGGAGCACTCTTAAAAGCACCTTTGTATTCGTCTACAGTGTAAGATAACTACTATATTGTAGAAGATATTAAATATTGAATTGGCTGTTGGAATCCTGTGTGTTGTGATGTTATTCTCATAGCAGTGATGGACGGCCTGGATGCGGTGCTGTTGCTGTTGTCTCCCATTCAAACAGACAGAGAGAGGCTGCGTGTATGCTCCCTGAGCAGCTCTTGCATACATAACATAATATTCTGTCATCTTGGCCTTCTTCTCCACAGATACATCCACTATACATAGTCTGTATTAGTCAGTGAGTATGCTCTCTGGCTCTCTACCGTTTGCTCCCTCACTCGCATTATCTCCCAGCCTCCCTTCCCCCACACTCTCTCAGTGACACAGAAAAACTAACGCCGCCCCCTCCCTCTCTGCTCACTCACTTGCTTCTGCCCCCCTTTCTCTACTGGCAGACAAACACCATACTCTTTTTATTCCCTTTTCTGCCATTACAGCTCAAATCTGCAGAAAAAAAATCACGCTTGGAGCATCTCAGTCAGCGCCCTCTCATCACTTTTGCAGCATGTCTCCTCAGCCTCCTGGTCCCTGAATCAGTGCTGATGCTTTTCTGCGGTTGCCGCTGAAAACCGCTTTTGCCTTAAAAAAAAAAATCCATTGCATGCCGCTTTCCCCCTTCTCTATTCATTGTTCACTCCATCTCACTCCCCCTCCCTTTTTTCTCAGCATCCCTCCATGGGAACCCACTTTTTTTTTCCTCCTTAATGCTGCTTCTCCCTGCATCTCCCACTCCTCTTAATTATCTATGTGTGTTGATTCTGGCGGTATGTTATCTCTTACATATATTAGTTTCAAACACATCCCCACCTGGCTGTGCTGTTACAACAGGAGTTAAATAATTCCCATCCATCATATGAATGGATTTCTAATCAGACCTCTTTGCACAATTATTTAGCACACACACTTGGCTGGCAGGTCCGCATTTTTTTTTTTTTACCCCTTCTCACAGTAATCTGGTCAAGGTTCAGGCTGAAAGTCTGGGCACAGATTGGTCAGGTTGATGGGAGTGTGAGTGTGAGTGTGGATGTTGGTGGGGGTTGTCGGTAAAAGTGTGCCTCTGGTATCTCGGTATGAAGTGAGAATGGGGTTGGACCTCCGCTAATCCCTGTTAACAGATTAATTATCTTTGGGCAATATCGCGTTGTTGCTGTGTTGTGAAGTTTCATGGACGTTAAGCTACGAAGAGCTACAATGCGATGTATAAAGGGTCCCTTAGGGGTGTCTCCTCAATCTTAATCCCTCTCTCTCTCTCTTTCCCTCTCTCTCTCTCTCTCTCTCTCTCACTCTCTCTCTCTCTTTTGCTCCCTGACTCTCTCACTCACTCGCTCTCACTGAGAGCTCCTCTCCTATCCATCACCACAAGCACCTCTCCACTGCCACCAGACAACCATACAATTATTGGCTATTTAATATTTCAATCACCGCAAGAATTATTGGTTATTTTTCAGCTCCTACATTTTGACCTATTTTTGGCATGTCACCAAGCCATTTTTTCAGGATGATGTTTTTTCAAGAGCATCAAGCGCTGATGGCTGGCAGTATACCTCTTTGAGTGGGTAAATATTTCACGGACACCGGTGAAGAGAAGAGACAGAAGGAGAGAGAAACCTCCCAACGCAGCCGATAGAGGTAAGAGACTCATTTTTCCTCATTGTTACTTTTTTTCTGTGGTTGCCTCAATTATCCTAAACCCAGCAAATCAAATTATATCAATGCAGTGCTGCTATTTTTGCATTGTTGCATTATTTTAATAAATCCTCAAGGGTGTCCATGAAACCATCAAAATGGACTCATGCACATCTTTTCAACTCACATCTAATGGATGCATGTCTTTTCATGCAGAAATAGAGAAATTGTCACACGATGCTGTGATGATTTGATTGCATCCCATCATTTCCCTCCAAGATGAATCCATCTTTTTTTTCTTTAAATACCTAAGGACTCTTTGTTTAAAATGCACTGTGATGGAATATTTGGGTCTGTGCAGGCTATGGTCAGTAGAGTGGAAGCGTTTTGTCACCATCAACTTGTCATGCTGGACTCTTGCACACACCACAGCACTGATTCGCTTTGACTTACTGACTATAAGCTCCACTTACTTACCTTCGGTCAGCTGCACTCACTTCCAGGTTTCACTGTTGCAGCTGAGCATCAATTTTGCACGTGAATGTCAAGTGAAATTGAATTTTAATTTTCTTCCTCTTGTCCTGGTTTCTAGAGGCAGAAGTTAAATGTAACTTAGCGCCCTTCATAAAGATGCTAATGGTTTTCTCCTGGCTGGTATAGAGTGTCATAGAGCTGTAATCTTCTGCCATAAATTACACTCATTAAGGCTGTTGTTAAGAGGCTGTCAGACAGATACTTTGGCTTTAATGTGCATCGTTACAGACCTTGTGAGGCAAAATGCAATAATCCAGCAGCAACAGAACCACATAAATTACATCATTTCATCAAGTGAGTCCAACTGTGATAAAAAAGATGAAGGTGGAGATGATGCCCCCATGCTGAGGATGATCCTAAATTCAGCTGACAGAGATGCCTTATCCTTGCTCTCATTAGCTGCCTCACAAAATGGCCCTGTACTTTACATTCAGACATCATGGAGTCTCATCTCATGCAACTCATTTCATTCTCACTGTCGTCTCAAGCTCTGCGCAGACTGAAAACAAACAAGGGGATTTTTTTTTCTGTCTTTAGAGAGTCTTCTCTTGAGGGTGAGAGCTGGTGGTTTTCTCCAGCATCTCTCTTCTCTTTTTGCTTTTCCCTCTCCGCCGCCGTCTGAGCTCAGAAATCATATTTATTTGGCTTCACTTATGCAATGGTCACAGGCATGATAACAAGCTGGCAGGAGACATCAAATCAACTTGAAGATTCAGATCTGTGACAACTGCTGAGTAACTGCTGCTCCTGGACAGTACCCCCCCACCCCCCCTTCACTTCCATCTGTGCATCATTAGGTCGCCTGAATAAGTGCCAGCATGAATATCCCACCTAAACTTTGACCTCATGTGCTCTATCACTCTTTATTTCCTCCTTGATAGGCATTGACAGAATAGTTTTGTGCACAAATCAACACCACAAAAGGACAGACCATCTGCTGTCAGCCTTTAATGCTCCCTAATAGGTTTTTGAAGGTGTGAACAACTTGTTTCACCTTTAATCAAAAATGTAATGATACTTTTTTGATTACCTTTTTGATGGCTGTCCAAATTCTTCTGAGGAACTTTTAGGTTCTGCTGCTTTTGGTGCCCCGTGCAGACAAAGTGTAAATCTTCTGTATGGTGGTCCTGAAGGTCAACTTGACTAACATTTCATGACACAAACATGACCATCAAACACAAAAATATTTTTAAGAATGCCATAATATTTCAAGAAAACACAAACAATTTATGAAACTTGAAAACTTTTTACAAAACACAAAAACATTTAACTGAACACAAAAATGTTTCACCAAAGAAAATTTTCACAAAACAGAAAAATTTTAAACAAAAATCCTTTAAAACGCTAACTTATTTTGTGTGTTGTGAAAAGGTTTTCTGTTACATTACATACAAGAAAGTTTATGCACAGTCAAATGTTTTTGTAGTTAGCCTAACTAGCATCTCAGTTTTCAAGTTAAGTTTTTTTAGTTGAGACGTTTTGCTGTTTCAGGATATGATTTTAGTGCTTTATGAAAATTCTGTTTTATGAAATGCTTTGGTGTGAAAAGTTTTCTTTGTTTGTGTTCGATGAAATACTTTCGTGTTTTGTGTGGGATTTGACATTTTTCAGGTTCAGTAATTTGGTTTAAGTATCAAAATAGGTTTTTGCATTCAGATAAATGCCTGTGTAGTTGACCTTAGGGCCATTGTATTTCTCTCTTTGCTGGTCTCTCATTGCATATGTGTAAATACATTTTTTTTTTTTAACATAAAATCTCATCCTTCTTCATTTTGAATATCTATCATTCAACCATCAATGACTCTCTGGTATGGAAAAATCTAGATAAAGTTGTTGTGGAATTGAGCTGTTAATCAACTCGTCTAAAACCAACCAGTAACAGGGCCAATAGAAGTTCAGAATAACCATGGAAATCTTCTCTGCTGTTTGGTGATTGGCTGGTGGATTTAGGTCCTTAGGTAATAATTTCAGTGTGTTTCATCACCTGCTGAAAACTTCTCACTGGAGCTTTAAACTCTATACAACACAGGACAAAACACCTTGATTGTTGACATGCATGTAAGTCTCTGCAGTCACCTCTCTGTTGTTCTCATTGTCACTCTTCAATTCCCCTGAAAACTATTGATACTTTGGGATAACTTGATTATATCTATTTACGTTTTTAACTTATTTTTTAAAGTTTATTTTATTACTCTGTTCCCATTTTTATCAGTACATGATGTCGCAGTTTGACAGAATTGCGCCTTGTTAATAGTATCAGCATCAGGAAACCCCGTCCTCAGTGGAAATCATTATCTCGCAGTAACATCATCCATCAAAAGATATGCTTTTCTATACTGACCCACTTTATTGGTTGTGGTGAACACAACAGGTAGCCTGATTCTCCTTTGATCGAGGAATTATTCCCTTACTCGATTATTACGCCACTCAAACTGCTTTTATCCTCTCCAAACTCTGATGAATGCGCCTCATAGACCTGTCAAACAGCTCCTTATATACATCTAATCCAATAAATTCAGTCAAGATGAACGATGATGAGGGAATACCATAACACCAGAGTACAGTCTGTTTACAGTGCTGATATGCAGTGGCTGGATGCAGCTCTCCCAGCGTGTGAACCATTATGTTCGGCACAGTTTTAATAAGGGAAATGGAGTGCTGGCAGTGATTCGATTTGTGACAGTTGGGCTGCTGGAACCATTAAGGTGAACCAGCTTATTGTAATGGGCTTAGAGCAGCAGTCCTGTCTGGCCTGTGGGTAAGCTGTTAACTTGTTCTGGGCCATAACCTCCCCAAATGTGAAAGGGAAACTGTTTGGCACCAAACGTGACATGTGGGTATGTCCAAAGTTTTATCATGCGTGGCTTTAATAGGCCATAGTTTGGATCAATAGGGGAGTAAAAGGCCTGGGCAGTGTAGAATAATGCACCGTTATAAAGTTGAGTTGAATACATAACAGCTGCATGAAGAAAAAACAATAAAACAAGCCTTTAATTCAGAATCTATCAAACTGTATTTGACTCAAACACAGGACTGTATCTGCCTGTAAAATCAGCATTGAGCTCAGCTTTGTACCTCTTTGTGTTGAGGCATCACTGCTGCTGTTGTGAATGGTCCTCTCTCCCCGAGCTGTCATAATAAAACTCTTTTCTTAAACACTAAAGCTCGTCTGGTCTCTTAATCTGGGCAGCCAGTATCAGGACCCTACCAGGCCGTCGTCTCACCCTCCGTCCCCCCTCTGCTCCGTCATTGTAATAAGGATTGCAGTGTATGTTTTGGATAAACGGATTTGCCTTTTGTATTTACCCTACTTTCTCCCCCTTGGCCGGCTTTAGCGAGTGAACCGGGGGTTGATGTTTGAGTCAAATATAGCAGCCTTTGTGTCTTCTTGTTGCCTTGTGTAGTTTTCTTTTGCTGCATATGCCCAACCATGAAGACTTCAAAGACCCCCATACATCCCTTATATAATCCATACTGCTCCCATTAGACACACCCTTCCTCATAAGGTTAGGAAGACGGTTTGTGTATCGCAGTCAGTCTTTAGACAAGGTCACGCAATCTCCACGGAAACCCGCCCTGAATTTTATTTATTTGTATTATTATTCAATCTGCTGATGGTTTTGACTCATTGAAAAGTTATTTGGGCTAAAAAGTAAATTAAAAAAAGAAAAAAGAAATGGAAGGAGAGAGTTTCCAGAGCCTGCATGATTATACTTGGACTCATCTTCTGTTTATCTGCCGAGCAGTCCAGAGTCTTTCAAATGCCGCATATGGTTACCAGATCTGTTATTTATGGCGTGGCTTGTCACTTGTTTGAAGAAGTGTTTGGGCTGTCAATAATACTGTTTTTTTTTCCATTTGAGATGTGTCCAAAAAAATTTAAAGGAGGCATTAAAAGCCTCCTGTGAATTTTATTTAACTGGTTGTAAAAGACGTAATCGTAATCTAGATGCCTCTGTATGACCTACAAAAGAAAACAAGACCATAGGCTCAAGGTTTGGTTGTTTCAATGTGGCTGTTTTTGATTTCTGTAACTTTCGCTAAGGGGGAAGGTGTCAGACCAAGACCAAGACCGCCCCCGGCGGATATTTCCGCCGGGGGCACTAAAACCAACATCATCTATAAATTTGCAACAGAAACTTCAAGTGATGTAATGGAGTTTCTGAACTTCAAAAAGTAATGAGATTGACATTAAAACCCTCACCCACTCTTAAAACTTTAAATATAATTCAAAACATCTATGACAGGATTAAAGTTTAATATAATCCACACCCGCACGCCCAGCTGAGAGGAACTCCAAATGAGAGGAATCACATTTATTTTTATTAGTACAAACTTGTTTGAGAAAAGTGTTAATTTTTTTCTTTGTTCCTCTCATTTAGTCCTCTTAATGTTTGACCTTCCTGCTGGTAGAAAGAATAGCAAATTTGCAAAAAGACAAGATCAGGACAGATAAGAGCTCAATAAATATCTTTTGATTATAGCTTAATGTGTTAAGTGTTGCGTTTTTAGCAACTAAGATAGTCCAGAGAAGAAAAAAAGCACATCATACTACTGTTTGTAGCTCTGACTGAGATGTTTGCTCTGATTTTTACTCCCTCGAGCCTGTTTCAGGTAACTATGGGTGACATCTTGACCTGTATCTTCTCAGCTGATCTTTGGTCATAAATTGTCTCCTCTGTGCAGGCATTCAGGGGTTGTGTTGGGCTTGCGGTGACTTCTTGCCCTTCTGTGCTTGGTTTGCCCTTCACCTCCTCCTCACCTCCTCTCCTCCGCTCTAACTCCGCATCCCTGCTTTCTCTGACCTCTCTCTCTCTCTCTCTCTCTCTCTTTTCCCCCTCCCTCTCTTTCTCTCTCTGTGTCTCTTGCAGGGTTGGAGGAGGGGGACCAGCAGCAGTAGAGAAAATGGCTGCCATGACAACGGTGCCCAGCTATACCCCTTCACTGTGGGTGAGAGTGTGTCACGCCCTCCCACGGCTGGACCTCAGCATGCAGATGAAGGACAACATCTTTGTCCCCGACAGCTGGGAGTACCAGCAGGTAACGGACACCTGCCACAACTGTTCGTAATGTACCACACTGTAACCACATGTTCAGGCTGAGGTGCCTCGTTGCATAACAATTACAACCCTGTCGCTCAGTTTCAGTGCACAGGAATGCTGTTTTACAATTGGGCAGCCAGATTATGAGCAGTTTTCTTCATGGAGCACAATAAAGTGCAGCTGAAGTCCCTCAAAAATAGTGGCAATCTGCAAAGCTTCAAAAGACATCTGTAGTTCATTTAAACACATTTTGATGCTGAATTTTTCTCCCAATTTTTGGTAGCAGAGACGCTCTGGACTCAATAAAGAGCTCCTTCATTCAGATGAACTTCTTCCATTTTCTTCATACTTTCATATGCCAATATTTTGCACTTTGCTCTCTGCAGGATTCATTTGCAGGCTTCCCCTCACTGTTATTGTCTGCACTGAGCTGCATAGTTTTGCTGATGCAAAACTGCAAAGGTGCCATCCTTCTTCTTCTTCCCCAACATGCTCCCTCTCATACAAAAAAAAAAAAAACTAAACTGCTCCAGCTTCTCTCAGTGCGTGTTTGTGACTTCTCTGCGGTACAAAGAAAAGAAGGGAGGAGGGGACGCAAATTATCCTGCAGAACAGAAAGACAAAAGAGAGTGAAAGTGCTCGGAGAGGGAAAATGAGAGAGGGAATGAGTAATACGAGGAGGTTGCTGAACAGAAGACCGGGCACACACAGAAAAAGAGAGAGAAGCGAGTGAGAGAGTGGGAGTGAGAGAGAAAACGAGAGAGAGAGAGAGAAAGAGAGAGAGAGTGGCAGTGAATGTATTTAAGTAGGTCACAGATTATTAATAGAGATTCAGCGGTGTGGATAGAAAGAAAGAGAGGGGAAAGAGAGTGGGGGAGAAGAAGAGTGTGAGAGCGCGGGGAAAGGAGGGAAGGGTGGAGTGGGGGGCGGTGGGGAGGGGCTTCAGAGAACAGGAGGTGAGATAGGGAGAAGGTGGAGGAGCGAGGAGTGACAGACGGGCAGATGGATGAAGGATAATGCTGCAGATATGTGTGGGAGCGAAATGCATTTCAGTAATGTTGACTTTATGACATGGAGCCTGATCAGAAGCAAAGTCTGATGGCTTAGTGACATTAATATCTCTCTGCTGTAAAGGCAAATCAGGGATTGAAGGGTTAAAGCCCTTGAATGAAATATAAACACTCAGGAATCACCTCAGATGGTTTGTAACTCCATCTCTCTCTAATGTATGTTTGCACAAGGTGTGTAGTTGTTTTTCCTTTTTCCTTTTCTTAACACGAAGTTGGTATTCTTCTACATTTCAATCACGAGCTCCTGCTGCTATGGAGGCGGGACACTATGACAAGTTATGAAGTTAAAGAGGATCACTTGATATTTTATTCTCTCAAATTGCTCCTCTTCACTTGTAAAAATGAAATTAAACCCTCATTTTTCTCACTCACTGACTCATCTCCTCATTGCTGACTTCTCCTCTCCCCCTCCTCTTCCTCCCCTGTCTTCCAGACTCTGCTGGTTTTGTCCAGCTTATCAGCCATCGCTCTCGTTATCTCGCTCCTGGTGGTTCTCTCCTTCCTCATACATTACTGCTGCTGTCACCGTGGCGACCGGGGCGAAGGATCGGAGGAGGAGGAGGAGGATGAGGATGGCAGCACAGGTCACGGTTACAGCGGGAAGAAGGGGAGGGGCATCTGTTGTGTCACATGGGTGGCGGTGGCGGCTGTCACGCTGTGCTGGTGAGGAGGAAGATCCGGGCATCATTTTTGACCTCTTGTCTGTCATATTTGATGAAAACACCCACACACACAACACATGTCATCTTTAGTCAGGGTCAGACGGAGTATTTACATCCTTTTCTGAAGTACCACGCAACAGTGTGAAAACATTCTGTCTGTTTAATAGTCCTGAAATAATGTAGAAGTAAGAGTCTGATCACCGAATATGAAGAATTAAAACACACTGGTGGATAAGTGGCTCTACTTTACACATCCTGACTTTAAATATTAGACTTGGTATGCACCTATGTTATATGATACATACCTATAGTTATCACAGCTGTCAACAAAGCCTAAAAACACCCAGTAAATATCAGTACATCTACAATAACGACATGGTAACAAAACAAATATCTCACTTATAGGATCAGTAAGTATGAAAACCTGCGTTAATGTTTTGGTGGCATTGCTGCTTTTGTAGATTGAATACTATATTTTTAAAACTAATTCATTATTTAATCACCAGAAGTTTATCGTTATATCTGCAAGAAGTTTAGCTACTGTAAGTTGTTTGGCCCGTTGTTTTATAATACAGAGCTCTGAGGAGTTGTGGTATAATTAACAGAAGAGAGGAAAGTGCTCAGAGGAAATAATCCCCTTCTCCTTCGAGCTTGAAATTTGGATTTGAGTGCATTTTTTTTGCAGTGTTTGTGGAAATATTAACTTCCTGAAAACAAATTTAAAAATTAATACCAACCATGTTAGTATGATAACTGAGAATACACGGACACAACATACTTGTGCCCAAATGAAAAGTGAAAGCGCTCTGTTCAAAATCCCATCCACGTCTTCATCCTAATATTTATGCTCTACTGACAAGTTACATAACCTGCCATATGGCCCCTGATGTCCCTCAGCACCCAAACATGAAGATGTACGGGATCAGATGGGCAGCGAGAACCAGCATCTCCGTAGTTATCAAGTGAACGCCTTCTTTCACCACTGATTCATCAAGTTAGGCCCACGGCGCCCTGGATAGGCTCAGCAGATAGCTCCAGCATCCTGGAGCCATCCCCCCACCGTGGTAGCTCTCACCTCCCACCTTACCCAGACTCCAAAATAGAAAAGAAAAGACCAGCGAGGAAAGAGTGTGAAGAGAAGTTACAGAGAGGACAGAGTCATGGCAGGACGCCTGTTTAAAACGCTGCCAGATTAGGCTGCCATGAAGGAAGAGAGGGGAAAAATGGAGACAGAGAGGCAGTTTGAACCAGAGGCTGGTTGGCTTAGCTTATCTTAGCTTAGCTCATCAGACCTGTGAGATGGAGAATGTGCCAACCTCACTTTCTCTTCAACAAACAAAATCAATCTACTAACTGTATTTCATTTTGTTACCTCCATACTCCTCTCACTTTTGAGAGCCTTTATGCTAAACAAACGCTAAGACGCTGCTCTATTTACCTCATCGCCTTGAATGTTGCACCTCCTCATTTCACTCTCAGTAGGAAGGCAAAGTTTATTCCCAAAAATGGTGAACTATTCCTTTAAACGAAACCATCTGTCAAGGAAACTGAAGAAGAACTCATAAATATCTGAAATGTGGCAAGAAGCCTGGAGTAGACGGCTGATTAATATTTAAAAGTTTAATTTAAAAACAGTTTGACCAAATGCTCTTAGTTCTGTCATGTCGCTGCCTGGAAGGTGGAGCAGCATGGAGGCTGTGAATCACACGCTGTCAGCCTCTATCGTCATGTGCTTTTTAGTCTCCCACACAGTCACCAATGTCACTGGAAAGGACAGGAGGCCTGGGTGACAGCTGACGGTCATGTTGGGTTGCTGTTTACCAAACACAGGCCTATGACAGCAGTGTGTGTGTGAGTGTGTGTATTTCAGTAATTCCCCATCACTTTGTGTGTGTGTGTGTGTGTGTGTGTGTGTGTGTGTGTGTGTGTGTGTGTGTGTGTGTGTGTGTGTGAAGAGGATCTCAGCACGCCCACTTATAGTACAGTCACTTACCCACCAGTGTTCCCCCTTTAGATCTGGTGAACATGCAGTCATCAATGCTGCTGCTGCTGCATTGTCTCTGCTGTACATTATGGAAATGCTGCTTGACATCTGTCCAACACACTCTGGTGTAGAGGAAGCACGACTCAGCTGCCCATCAGACCTTTTTAAATGCGCGCTAAGAGCCCAGCTGTGTGCTGTAATAAAATTATACTGCAATTTAATGGTTCAGTAGTGCTTGTTATTGTATTCCAGTCCTTTCCCAGAGCATTCATATGTACTGAGACTGAGTTTTTATCTCACAGGACAAAATGTACTGTGGATTAGATATCAAGTGTCATAATGTTGACGTCTTATACCCACTATAGGTTTCTGTGGTTCACGTCCCTTATGGAATTTGATGTAAAGTCATGGAGTCTCCGCTGTGATGCTCTCTAGAGGAGCTCTTTGTGCCTGATAGGATGAAAAAATAATGCGGCATTTAACGTCTTGAAATTATTTAATGTGACACCCTTTTGCTCCAGATGGTGGCCTTTTGTCACAAAAACAACATTGTGTCATCTGAAGTGCAGCCACATTACACTGCGTTCACATTTGGCAGCTTGAAATGCAAAGCACACACAGACGCAGACACACATTCCTCCTTTTTCCCCCCTGCTTTCTAATCTGGGTCACATACTTTGTGGGAGATTGGGTCATACCATTCCTCTCGGGTTTGAGGGGATTTGACGAACATCTGGCTTAAGCCTTAATCTGAATATTTGAATAACAGATAGATGTGTAAACACATTGCTATGTTAAACATTTTGAATGTTTTCCTTGCTAAAGCTTAACTGTTTTGTGCCAGGAGTCAGCTTTTGTTCCCACCCATCATCTGCTTATTTCTTCCCCTGCACTGCACTGTTGGTACGCTCACATAGAGCGCACACATCCCATCCTCTTCAGCTCTATCTGCTTGTGTCACATTCATTTAAAATGTACATACACACTGAATTAAACATTACATTTATGCCTCTGCTGCCCCCCCCGCACACACACACACGCGCACATATTCATCCTCCCACAATGTTTTCATGTCTCCTTTTTTTTCCCTTTGCAGTGTTGCCATAGGCATCGGTTTCTATGGCAACAGCGAGGCTAATGATGGGATGTATCAGTTGACCTCGTCTCTTCTCACAGCCAATTATACGCTAGCTTCCATCGATCTGCTGGTGAGTTCTGCTCTCCACAACTTAACTGTCATGCAGAGTATCTACCCTGTTTGTGTGTGTGAGTGTGTGTAAGTGTGTGTGTGTGAGTGGGGGGGGGGGGGGTTATGCTTGTATGTGGTCTACTGAGAGCCAAAGACAATCAGATACAAACTTCGGTTGTATTGATCCCCCTGTGTTTAGACAGTGGTTTGAGTCACACTGATGAATGATCTCCTTCTGCTGAGCTCTGTGGAAGATGCAGGTCAGAAAAACACAAAAACAGAGCTAAATATCTTTGAAAGTGGGGCAAAAAAACCCACACGAGTGTATTGTAATAATGATATAATGTCATGTGATGTAAACTTATGGCATGTAAAGCAGAAGACTCAGTGAAAGTGTGAGAAAGTGACTCTCAAAAGTACGCTCTGAGCCTCAACTTTTGAGAAATAAGGGAAAAGTTCACTGAAAAAGAACAAAAATGTGTGTTTTCTTTTATTTAGTGTTAGTAATGTTTATGTAAATTTGCAGATGAATCTATGTTTAGGTTATGTAGAGGCATCAATATGAACTTTGAACTTACTTTGTTTTTATGTTCAAATGTTAAGACTTATTCTCTATCATCCATCATTGTAGCATTTTATGACCTACTTACATGTAACATCTTGATTTGGATTTTTCCTTCTTCCTCTACTCCCTCCCCTTTTGTCAGGACATGTTTATTGAACATCTAACCATCCTCTAATATTGTGCTCCTCTCTGTCCACGAATACTTTCCCTTGAGCCTGAAATCCAGTAAATGTCCCATGTCTGGTCTGCATAAGAATGTCCAATCAGAGCGAAGGATTCACACAAGCACTTCCAAAGAAAAGCATGCCCACTTCCTAAGTAGTCCCACCTGTTTCCACACAAACGACCTGAAAACATAAGGGATTCTTAACAGCTGTAAAAACATCTAATTATATTAATACTGAAATTATAAAGTAAGGAATATGAAGTTATTTAAATATAAATAAAAGATTTGCTTTATATATTAGTGTCTTTGTAACTCAGTGAAAAAAGAACTCAGAAGTTGAAATACAGACTTCATATACTCTAAAAGTAGTGGTCATGATATTAGTGTTGGTACATTGGCCTTTTTCAGCTGCTGATAGCTTTCCTCTAAGATACAGGAGGCATAGTTATGTCTTTTCATCCATGTTTTCCTCTAATGACACATTAGAAATTATATTTACTAAATATCAAGAAATTTCAAGTGTGAAAAATAGGAAGAATAAGAAGGAGAATTAACAAAAAAGTTGCATCATCTTTGGCTCATCCTGAGGGCACAGCAGTGACTTGCGAAATGAACAAAGTATATGAATTATGTAGGTGTAGTATAGAAAGACACATATACTCAAAGTAAAACCTCATATATTCCTTACCCTCTGGTTACATGTTAGAAGAGAAATTTTAGCCGATGACTCCTGCTGTCTTATATTGTTATGATGCTGCAAGCTGCTTTATTGAAACTGAATAGAATTACACGCAGCAATAGCTAAATTAGATTTATACATGCATACATCACATTAATAGTTAGCCAAGATGATAATAAGAAAGTGGAGGCTTTGCAACAAAAAAAAAGTTGCAAGTAACTGGCTTCAAACCATCCTGTTCTGCACTAGGCAGATCACAAATAATTCATCATGATGACACAGGCAGTTTAAAACATGCCCCGAAAAGCCTGCACTCTCATGTTTCTCTGCACTACTGCCATCTATCATGTTGTTGTTATAGCCTGATAATCTTCAAATATCTGCAAGTGGAGAGTGAAAGTGAAGTCCAGAGTTTTACATGACACAGTTTGGTCAAACTCTAACCAGCTTATTATGATAGATTCTGAAGTACATGCATTAGACAGCTGCGGCATCAAACTGCTCAGCATCTTCAATCGTCCATGTCTTTAAAACAACCACAATGGCTTTATGGGTATCGTGCTCTCTTCTCTGTGGTTTCCGGTCCACTTATCTCCCCTCAAATTCTTCCTCCTCTTTCAGATTTCAGACACAATTTCTGGGCTGCAGCTGTCCATCTCTGGCCCTCTCACCTCAATGGAGGAGCTTTTTACCGGCAGTAAACCGTTCCTGGTTTCGACGCGGAACTGTCGGAGGTTATCGGAGAACGTGATCAACCTCCTCTCCTCCATCTCACTGGCCCGTTCCAGTGTGGACACAGGCCTTGGTAACGACAGTAGTGTGAGCGGGGCATCCATCATTCCTCTGACCCCGGTACCACCTTCTGTGGCCCCGACGGTGGTGCCCACCAGCAGCTTACTGCCCAACCCCTTTTCACCAGGCTGGGCGGCCAACACACTAATGGTCAATGAAGACTACAGGTGAGGCTGTGGTCCAGAAAGGGCAGGAAAGGTGATGACTAAAAGTTTTCTTTTTTTGGTATCAATTTAAAAAAGTTCAGTATGACAGTGCAGCACTGACAGGCAAGATAAGACACACAAAAGATGGTCTTATACAATGAACAAAACAACAAAACATGTATACACAATGACAGCATGATGTCTGTGAAGCACTGAGGACTTCTCAAGTCAGATACCCTAGAGTGGGGGGTGCGTTTTATTGAACACGATGATATATTAATACCCAATGTTTTACACTTAAGTCTTTTACATTTATCCAGAATTTATTCAGAATTTATCCAGAATTTATCCAGAATTTATCCAGAATTGACAGTTCCGGTTGTCCCACAGTCACACCAGAAAAATCCTCTTCAGTCTCTGTGGGCTCATTTATGTCCTCCACAGAATCCTCATTTGGATTTCCTCTGAAATTCCTCACATATTTTGATGGATAGTTTGAACAGCTCAGTATTTTTTTCTACTTCTCTATTGTGAGAGGTAAAACCAGATATTTCTCCCACTGTCTAGATGTGTCTAGTAGATACAGGGAAATCTAAAATAGCACGACACAGCCATTCACACAGCTCTGTCAGTGGTTGCATCTCTTATTTGATTAGTGGTGGTTCTCTTATTACCCAGAAGGATGCTGCTGAGTTAAACCAAATATACGATTTATTCTGATGCTGTCTTTTGCATTGGTCATGAAAAAGATGCACTGCACTTCAAGGGTGTTTGTAGTTTTGGTTTAAGCTGCAGATTAGTCCCTGAGTTCCTGAACTGTTCAGCCCATGACCTATGAAATTGCAATACTAGAAACTGGTGACCCTCTCTGTCCCACAAGGTGGATATTTTAAGATTGCTTGCAGCGATTCTTGAGCACCAACAAGCTGATCTATCAGGTCAAAATGTGAAATTATAAGTAGTTATTTTGTATTGCTTTTATTGGATAAAATATTGGTTTTTAATGGAGTTCAAAATGTTACTTTTCTTTTTTTTTTTTTTTTGGAAGGCATCAGTCTGTGACTCTCAATCAGGGAAGCACAGATTTTGGCAACACTTAATTGTCTGGGTCTGTAGTCTCTAAATAAAAGAACTGCAAAGTCAAAGCTTTTCAGAGTTGACTTAGAAAATGAGCTCCAACTGGGAAAATAATAAAACACGTTTAAAAGGTTTACAGGCAGCTAACAAATCGACATTCTGGATTTGAAGAATTAAGGTTTATGGTTTTGAATGCTAAGAAACCAGATCCAGACCCCCCAAAAAAATCAGACTAAACATTATGATGTTTAATTATGCCATATATTATTCATTAACAAATCTATCTAGAGTTGGTCATTTGATCTTTACTTACATATTAAGTGAATAAATCTGAATAAATTCCTACAAACTGTGATGTATTATGTTAAAGCAGCAGCAGCAGTGGTAAATATTGGCAATGATAACCTGCTTTCTGGGAATAAGAAAAACACGATTCAGAACATAAACTTATTTTACAGCCTTTCTCCTTGAAAGCGTTTGTTTGTCCTGTTCATTGCGCAAGAGCTGAGACTACAACTCCAAATCAAGCCAAAAAAGTGTCTCACTAAAGGAGGTGGCGCATTCCTTTGAAGTTCATTTCTTCTCAGCGAATCACCTGAATCTCTGCTCCTCTGGTTTATAAAACTTTGTCATCACTGACACAGATTTGTCTGCGTATCACACGTAACGCACCAACTCAAGGTGCATTTTGTGGCAACTGGAGTAAAAGCTCACTTATTTTCCCCTAAGGATTTTATCACTCTGCATCATGTGCTGTGTATTGTGTAACATCAAACTTTAACTTCTTCATATTTATCAATCATTCTCTTCATTTTGAAAGCTGCAAAACTTTGCAAGAATCAGCTCCTCCTAAAACTGCTTCTTTTTGACAAGTTGATGTAACAAAAAAAAAAAACAGATGGAAGCATTTGGAGAAGAATGCACATAAACCCTTAGGATTGCACAGATTTCAACATGTGCAGACTGTTTATCAATACTGCCAGACCCCTGCTCTCAGTTTAAAGAGGTGATGGGGAAACTTTTCTGACCAGCATTCATAAATGTTGCCTGTTTATCAAGATTATCAGCATTTGTTGAGGTTATACGATGGAAATAAACTAGCCCTGCACAATATGTGGTGATGCCTCTATAACCTCCATATTCCATCTCTCTTAATGAGCCTCCATAAACTGTTTAGAAAACGTCTATAACTATGATGTTAGTATTGATTGATAATGTTAGCAGTTACAATAATGTGAAAGTGCTGCCTCCCATAAACAAAACCACACACAGCAGACTCACAGGATGTCATTCATCAGTCGCTGTAGACAGTGAGAGGTTAAATAGGGTTCAGCTCCCTCGTGACTTCACCGCTCTCCCTGTCTTACTGCATCTTTTTTCTATTAGCACTTGAAACTATTTGAGCCGACCACAGGCACACGTTGAGTGAATAACTCATTTTTTCTGCAGAACGTCGACAGAAATACTCAAATAATCTTATTACGCTTGTCAGTCGTTTTTATTCTGGGAAAAGCGTAAAAAGAGAAAGTTTTAATCCGGGATCAGATGAAAAAAAAAGCTGAATGAGTGGTGTACGGTTTGTTTGTCACACATCACAACAAAAACAATCACTATGAGGGAAATCTGAACTAATATGCTTTTTCAAAAGCAAGAAATACAAGAGGGGTTCTTACAACTGAGAAAGAGAGATTGGACAGTGAACTGACCTCGTGTTTGTTAAAGCAGCTGTTCTGTGGATGCAGGTTTAGCACAGCTGGTAGAGCCTCTCTCTCTCGCTCTCTCTCTCTCTCTCTCTCTCTCTCTCTCTTCCTCACAGTTGTAGCTCATCTGTCAATGAAGGCAAAAGGCCAAAACAAGAAATTAAAACCGTTTCTCTACCTTCGATGCTCTCGAGCGTAAATTTAACAACGTTTTAAGAACACAAACAAGTGAATTAACACCTTAAGTCACATAACCTCTGCACTGCTATCAATTTTAACACCCTTTTTATTGTTCAAAAGTATACAGCAAACAATCAGGTAGATACCTTTTATTTCCCTCTAACATATCCATAGAAATATAACATACTGGGGCACCTGTCGAGCTCATCATGTGCTCCATGCACTACAAAGGTCCTTTAAATCATGTTCAAATACCATCAGTGGTCCTCTGTTGCCCTACATCCCCTACTCTATACACCATCTTATCGCTAGAAATCAAACAACACTGAAGCTAAAACCCGAAAATCAACAATAGAAAACAAACTCCTGCACAACATATTACTATCAAAGATACATTTATGACTACATTTTTGTAGCATGACACAACCACTTACACAGGTTGGTTTGAAATACAAATAGTTTAATTCTCACTTCATGGGGCAAAAGAAAATTTGATATAACTCATTCACTTAAGAGAAATTGAGGTTATGAGATTTAAAAAAAAAAATCTATTTAAAGGCACAGCTGACTTAACTGACAAGTGGGCACAAGTGAAGCAGTTAGCAAGGAGGCCTAAGCCCACCTTAATTTCCCTTCTTTGCCTCTTTCTATGTCGACCAAATGTCAGGATGATGTCAGTGAGTCTTTGTCCATGTTTTAAACATCTTATGTAGGAGGAAGAAAAAGTAAATGAAAAATCGTCATTTTTGTGCGTATCCACATAATTCATTCCCGCTCTGCATGATCTAGTCCACCCCGATCAAAAAAGCTCGGATATGCTCCTGCATCAGATGAAAGCACATGCAAATGGACTCTGAATCAAGACTTCCAGCTCAAAGAAGTTGTTTTCAGATCAAGATTATCATTGCAAACGTCATATTTACATCAGTTTTGTTATGTAATAGAACCTTCTTATATGAGGTTTGTGTGTTTCTGTCACAGGTGGCTATCATACGTGTTGTTACTGCTGCTTGACCTCATAGTGTGTCTGTTCATCTTGCTGGGATTGGCCAAGCAGGCTCGCTGGCTGCTTATCTTGTAAGTGAACACCCACACACACACACACCTGCACATGCACATGCAAACTTATTTCTTTAAACAATGTCAGGTTGTCCTCTTTGCTGAGAAGTAAGTGTGTGCTTCCCTCCCCCACAGGATGACCGTGCTGGCCTGGCTGGCTCTCTTCCTCAGCTGGGGCTCCCTGGGTTTGGAGACGGCCACAGTAGTGGTGAGTGAACCTGAGAGGAGTGCTCTGCTGAGTGGAGGGAGGAGGGTTGGAGAGAGTGGGGGGATGAAGAACTGGAGGAATAGGAAGTGAATGAGTCTGTCATTGGAGGAATTGGCTGGCTACAGCTGAGGACAGAGAGCTATAGGAGGCTGACCCATGATGGCAGGCCAAAGCTGTGTGGATATGTGAGTGTGCTTGTGTGTGTGTGTTTGTGTGTGTGTGTTTGATCTCTGTACCCGTTGTGCTAAACTGTGAAAAGACCTGCCTCCTAGGGAACGCTGCAGCCGTGGCAGAGGACCAAAAAGGCTGGAAAATGGGGCAGAGATTAAAGATTCAATGTGCGTGTGCACATTTGTGAACAAAGTGTGTTTGTGCGAAAAGTGCGTGTTTTTCCATGTGAGTGTGTTTGTAAGTGTGTGGGCGTTTGGCGCGGTGAAGAGAAGATGGAAGTTGAGGAGAAGCGCTTACAGAAGAGGAAGAGGAGGAGAGTGCATCTTCAGTTTAGAGAGAGAGAGAGAGAGAGAGAGAGAGAAACCATCAGCTCGCCATCAGCTGTGTACGGCTCTAAGATGGATCTGTGCCTCTCTTCCTGAGGCTTCAGGATGTTGATGTTAGGAGGTATGGGTGTAAGTCGAATCCTGTGACAGTAAAATTCACAAACATGATCGCCAGACAACATTCCTGCTGTCTTCCAGTGCCTAAACATGATAACACAACAAGAGTGCTGTGATATACAAGCAGAAGTACGGGCCCTCTCAAAGGCAGAGACATAACAAAACACGAATGTTTTCACAAATGGAGCAGTGTCCTATTTTCCCTTTGCGCCATGAAGTTTGGTCCTGCTCTCTGAAGGGGACACTGTTTTGGGGCTTTTTGAAGTGGGTAAAATGTGGCTGTTTTTCTGCACTGCTGCCCACTTTAAAAGTCCCAGTGTCATGTGGAGCTGGCAGGAGATGTCCCAAGTCCTGTGGGTCCGAACAGAGCCGCTCTGTCCCTGACCACTGACAGGGAAACAATGGCCCAGCTGTGGGTCTGCCCACTTTATTCTGTCCATGGTCATTGCTTTTCCCGTCAGCCCCTTGGTGCTCTGTGTGTGTGTCTCTCACTCCCTCTTCTGGTGGGGGGATCTCATACTGGGCATGTTTGTGGGTGAACTGTGTCTGAAAGTAGGCCGGATTTACAGGAACGTATGGAGATGAAGCGGAAAAAGAGGTTAACACAGGGGAGGATATGGTTCACGAGCCAATGGAAAGTAAACTTGAGGTTAGATTGCAGAGCAGGTTTGTTCAGGACATGTGATGCATCAGATCAATATCCACTGCTGTAGTGTGAGCTGCTGTCAGATATCTAAAGAGGTAAGTATGTCAGTCGGTCAGTGTGTCTACTAACTTTTCCCTTATGATCATTTTCTCTTTTGCCCTCCATCTTTTGCCTCATCTGTCCCTCCTCCCTGCTGCTTTTCTCCCCTGTCATTCTCTCTAACTCTCCCTGTCACTCTTCCTGCACGGTCAGGCTCTCAGCGACTTCTGCTCAGATCCAAACATGTTTGTCCTCAACTCCACACAGTTCAACTCTGGGACCAGCTCAGGTACGGTATTTAATCTGCCCCTGCACAAACAACACAGTGTGAAAGTGCTGGTTGTTCTGTGACTCTGCAGTAAACTTGATTTACCTCCAAGCTGTGCTCCTGTCAGCACAATCTAACTTATATACACTGTTTTCCATTGTCCTCTGCTGTTTTGTCCCCCATTCAGATGTGTTGGATTATTACCTGACCTGCAGCAGGCGCATGAACAGTCCGTTCCAGCAGGTAATGTGACCTCACATATATTCAACACAGCACATAGCAGGCATTCAGCTGACACTCTCACCCTCATTGACTTAAAGTAAGTGAGCAGGCTGCACGTCAGGCTGGCTCAAGGCCGGTTAAGGACAAACCCTGTGAGGATGGGAGGCGCAGCTGTTACTGTGTGTCCTTTTCCTTACATGATGTCTTCTACATGCACAGCATATTAATGGTGTATTTCAGCCAAAAATGCTAAATTAAAGTTCTTACTTCCACTGACTTGTTGGCTTCAGCTGCTGACCCAGTCGCAGAGGGCACTGTCCAACATTCACACACATCTCTCCAGTCTGGACAGAAATGCTCTGACACAGTTCCCCAAAGCCGAGGTATGTTTGTGTTTGTGTAGGAAAGCAGCTCTAAACAAAAAAATATACTTTGCTTTTTGGTCCCGTTTCTAAGTTTTGGTCTTGTTCTGGCTGCGGTAGAAATCACTCAGGGAGGTTCAGCAGATACTCAACTCCACAGAGGGAAACTTCCATCAGCTGGTGGCTCTGCTGAACTGCCGAGGTCTGAATAAGGTAATAACATGCAGTGTGGACCTGTCCTTCGACAAAAACATACATAACCAAATCACCGCCTCTTCATTTCCATTGATTTTCCCTCTTTTTTTTTTTTTACAGGACTACATTGACTCTTTAAAAGGCCTGTGTTATGATGGGATGGAGGGATTGCTCTACCTCTCCCTTTACTCTTTCCTCTCTGCTCTGGCCTTCACTGCAATCCTCTGCTCCCTGCCCGGTGCCTGGAGGAGCTTCCCCAGGTAAAAGAGTGGGAATATGTGTGTGGTGTGCAGCTTTTATATTGCAGCAGTAATAGTAGTAATTAAAAAGCACAAAAAATCTCATAAAAACAAGGACAAGTAGCATAAACACTGTTTAAATAGAGTTTTAAAAAATGGTAATACAAGCCAGCAAAAACTGTTTTTGGATAGAAGTTTCCCTGGAAGCAGTAAATCCACAGAGTCGAGGAGGAGGAGGAGGATAAAAACTCCCCTGCTGAAACATTAATAAGAAGTGGTGTGCAAATATCCAGGATGAGTTCATCTTGACAATACAAAGAGAAATATTAAAGCGTATTAGAGACAACCTGGAAATGTTTCATGTGTAACTTGGGATATGCAAAACGTATCCAGAGAAAAACACACCAGTGGTAGCTGGAAGTCTGGATCTACTTCAATGTTTTTATGAGCTCTTTTATTTTGTCGAATATCCACATATCAAGAGTGACGTAGGTAGGTGAGTGACAGATTTTCTTAATGTACTGAAAGACAAAATGGTGAGGGTAGTTTTCCTGAGAATGCACACGGGGTCATTGTGAGTATTAAACATGGCGGGTGATATAGTTTGTAGTTGGTCCTTCAATTTCTGTATCCTTTCTGCTGGCACTGTTTGCACAGGTTACTTTTCCTGAATATCTAACCTATAATTAGCAGTTACTAAGGGAATCATGAAGCTATCATATGAGCGAAAGAGCTGTTTATTGAAATTGTGTGTACAAAAACACACATCACTCCCCTACTCACACGTGCCCCTCTGTCTGTGTGTCTTTCAATGATGACTGCAGTGAATCCGAGGAGTACGAAGACTCAGACAGCGAGAGTGAGGACCCCTTCACCTCCCATCAGGCACGTAGACCTCAGGCCTCGGGGTCTCAACGAGGGGCCATGGCCCCCTTCTATAATTACCCGGGGGCCGGGTGGACACCCCCCTTTTCTAGTGCGCCGCCCCTCCCGTGAGTAACACAGACACACAGACACGCAGACAGACAGACAGACAGAACGGCATAGATATCTCAGGCAGGGAAGGATGTTGCTCTTAGATAGTTTCTGCATCAGGCATGTGATTCTGCAGTAGATTTGTACTTATGGGCAAATTTAATTCTAAAGCCCCCCAGATCAGGGATTGTACATAATCCAGACCATAATATGACAACACAGAGTATGCTAAAACAACACAAACAGACTGCTCGATCTAGATGTTCGATGCAGACACAGTGATTTTGGTATCAAGCATTCTTGATGTTTGCAGGTTTCTCCATAAAGACCATTTATCTCTGTTAATAATAACACACATTAAAAATGAAACACACCCACCTTTACAAGAGAGTAGTGTAAGTGTAGTACAGTCAGCTAGGTCAACACACTTTTCTCTATTTTAGCGTAAGCCCACAGTCAGGTCAAGCACATGCATTGCAGACAGACACACAGACAGGTCAATATGGACTCCAGTGTAGGCAGAGAAACAGACACAACTCCAGAGGTCTGTCTGTCTGTCTGTGTGTCTGTCTATCCGTCTGTTGAGTGTTTCAGGACAGACGATATATAGGCCGCTCGCTCAATTCACAGACCTTGTCTCAAATGGCGTCCTGTCTCCTAAACAGCAGCAGAGTACTGCTGTGTTGGGGGGAGGGTGTCATTGACGAGGCCGCGCTCGTAAAAACTCCGGCGATGTGAGGCTCAGGTTGACTATAGGTAACCCCCCTCAACCACCCACCCACCCACCCACCCACTGCCAAAACACTCCTGCATCTCTCTCATCCATCTCCTTACTGTGGTGTCCCAGTCTCTCCGGGTATTTCTCTTACTTCTTGCTTTTGCTCCCCCCTGCTTTCTTTTTTAGTTTTCCTTTTTCTCACTACCAGTTTTTTTTACGATTGTTTTCTCCTCCCTTTCACACTCAATGGTGTTTCAAGCTTAGTAAGCGCTCTGAGAAACCTTAACGTGGACTTTTTAACTTTCTGTGCTAATGCCAGCTGCTTTCATATCTAATTTTAAGACAAAAACAAACAGATCCTGACTGGATTGAACTGTTTAGGCTCAGAAAGTCAGCCAGCACTAAAAATACAGTCCACTCTTTTAAGATGGAATCTGCTCGGGATCGCTTTAAAGCTCTCTGGGTTTTTTCATGCAGATACTCATGCTGAGATGGGACTGATGAGTCACACTCAGAATTAAATGCATGTTGTAGGTGATTACTTTATGAATCCTGCACTCAGGAGTGGACTGTATGGTGCTCCCAGGGCTTGATTAATCACTGGTATAAATTTATATTATACTAGGTGCTGTGTTTTCCACACTATATCTCTAACCGCTCTCTCTCCTTCTTTCCTGTTACCTGTCCTTGGGTCCTGTCACCCTGCGGCCTCTCCCTCCCTACGTCCCCTCTGTCTTTCTCAATGTGTCTCACCCCTGTTTCCCTTTCTTCTTCATCCTCCACTCCTCCTCTCCCTCTCTCTTCTGTCCTTGTCTCTCTCTATCTCTATACAGGACTCCAAACGTTTCCTCCAATGGCAACCCTGGCTATGAGAGCCTTCCCTTGACTGACAGGCAGTCCCCACCCCCCTCTGTGAGTTCCTCCTTCCTGTACTTGTGACACCATCACAATCTCTGCCATTAAAAACGTAGCTGTTAGCGCATACGCTCGCATTAATTTTCAGTAGTAAACGGACTAACATAGTGGCGAGGGTTCGACCTTGCAGGACCCAGTAGGCTTGCCTTTGTTGACAGAAATCACATATTTTATCACCAACGATGAACTTGGACATCACTGCTTCTGTCTCACTCTCTGACCATTTCACAGAGGACCTTACCTTGACCACAGCAACCTTTAATGAGCCTGAAAGTGATTCACATTTGATACTGAAGTTAATTCCTGACTATGAAAGTAGGATTTGAAAGAGGGGGTATTAGTCTTATTTTTTTGGGCTTTATATTGTCCCTCCGATCACTTCTTAGCAGCTTTACAGTTCAACATATTTCAGACTCCTTTCTTCCAAAACCCTCATTTCAGCCTCTGAGACACTCCATTCAAGCCATTGTATCTTTATGGCCCCCCCAGCTTTCCTGAACCCGGCAGTCTTGAAGTCTCCTTCACTGTTGCCATGCAGCAAAGTTGTGTTTCTTTTTATAAAATGATAAATTTGCCCTTTTAAGGAGAATTACTGTCTGGTGATGTCTTGTTGATTTGAGCAAACCTTATCTTCTCATCGAATTCTTGTGTGACTTTTTGAACAAGCCAGTCAGAGCGCCCTGTGGTCCCATCTAGGGATTACTTTAACTCACACTAACAATCTGAAACAATCTGCAACCCGAAACTATGTTCATGTAAAGAACTGACATCCAACATTTTAACTTAACATTTGTTTTCAAAATATGAAAAAGGATAAAATCTCTCAAACCAATAAAATGAAAGGTACTCCCACTCCTCCCCTTGAAATCTGAGCAGCCCATGCCACTCCTGGCCAAATAAGCAGAGGGGTGGCCAAGGGTGGCATGGGCTTCCCTTGAAATCTGAGTGGTCATAACATTTGCCACTCCAAAATCCTGAACCATAATTTGCCATTTCTCTTGTCAGGGGTGGGACTAGTGCTTCTGGTCCACTACTTCAACTCGGTTTTGCAGCTTTCTTTGTATCCAAATGTGGCACAATTTCTCTTATTGTTACTAAATATACTTTAATATTCCAGTTAGTCGGTGGGCACCCCAGACCTATTGATTGAGAGATGATCAACCCTCCCAATACAAAAAGATGATCAATAATAATAGTAATAATCTTTATTTATAGAGCACTTTACAAAATCTATATTAAAAAGCAATTTATGGAGGCAAATGTAAAAGCAATTGTCAGTGGTGTCAACCAGCGTGGACTATCACTGAGCTTCAGCTGCCCCACCCCTCTAGCGGTGAAAGAATTTCTTATGAAAACAGAGAGAGAAAAAAAAACTGCTTTAAATAAATATCTTTACAGATGTGGATATAGCCTAAGACACGGTTTGTGGAAATAGGAAGGAAATAACCTTCACATACTTCATGCCACCCATGCAGGAGTCTGACTTTTCAGGCTGAGTTGGCCTTCCTTGGGCCAACTCAGCCTGAAAAGTCTGGACGCACCCCTGTATGAAACATACCACATGTTGCTGTGTTTCTAAATCTCCATGCCAACTTACCAAATTTCATTTTGCTGGACAATGAGAAGCAATTATGTTGTCAAAATAATCTTCACGGGTGCCTTTAAAATGTTGACTTTTGAGGGGTGGAAGTGGGAAATCATGATATGAAATAAAAGCCCTTCAAATCCAGTAATCATACTTATTCTTCTGTCTATTTTGGACAACAAAAATAGAAGTTTGAAACACAACAAAAATTCATATGGTCCACTCACATGGTTTTTCCAGTGTTTTCAGTCATATCCTGTGGTTTCTTCTGGCAAGTGAAGTCTGAGGTTGCATTTCCCTGTAACCATGAATTAATCACACAGCACAGCGCTCAGTATTATGAAGCAAATTCAGTGAGCTTGATTCATAAAAAATGAGCAATCTCTTTTTCTACGGAAGAACAGGAGCTGCAGCTGAAATCTGGGACACTCTTCAGGATAGCTTTTCTTAACTGATCACGAAATTTCCCTTTTACATCCATGTATGAAAGTTTTGAATAAATGTAAATATGATAGTGAGCAAAACATCCCATCTGCCTCCCCTCCTGAATGTAATCTTTCTCATGTAAATAACAAATCTCTTTCTCTTCTCTTTCACTTCCTCTGGATCCACCTTTGGACCATGTCTACCTCTCTTCTGTTGCCTCTCATCACCTTCTCTGGAAGTACAGTATTCTCCCAGCATGCTGACTGGTTATGGGGGAAGTCAATCACACCCCAACCCTGCCCATTCGCGGAACCTGTATTCACGTTGATTATAATTTTTTTGTTAGGAAATGTATAGAAAAAATGTTTAGTTTTCATATGAATGGACACTTTACTGAAATGAAAAAGAAACTAATCTAAATAAAATGAATGCTATGTGTCAATTAAAAGTGCGTAACGTCAGTACCACTGAGCATTATCATAATTAGATGCACTTAAAGAAGCAGGTTTAAAGGGACTGTTGATGTAACCGACAGGGTCTGTGCTGGTTGAGCAAAGCTTTGAACCAAGTCTGCTTGGTCTAAATTCTTTCCCCTTGTCTGTCCAATCTCTGTGTAAACTGTGAACAGTGGTGAGGCAAGTCAGAATGGTATTGACGTTACAACGTTGTAGTTTTATATTCTTAAATGTATCAGTACCACCGATTTATTTTTAAGTTTTTATATAAATATTGTTGTAGAAAAGCACTGGCACGTAGCAACACGACACATTTTTTTCTGTGAATGGTTATGCAGTTTCCTCACTTGGTATCATTTTTATTTTTTTTTTTTACTTTTTATAGGTGGCAATTCTGTATTTTCCTTGTATTACCTTATGGTATTCTGTATATCTAACTGTCTATAACATCTGAATAATCATGAACCTTTACTCTTAAAAAATACTTGAGGGCTGCCAAGACCCTGTTTTAAAGATTGGAGAACTACAACTGCCTCTCAAGTCCTGAGAGTGGAAAACTACAAATCCCATGCAATGACAGCAGGTACATAGCAATATGATTCTTGCTACTGGTGCTGCAGTAGCCCTACCGTAACTAGCAATAATGACTATGTATAGCATTGGGTTTCTGAGACTTCTCCATCATGTTTTGTGTATATATAAGATATGGTTTGTTGGAGATTTCATTGAATCCCCCGTCCCTGCCAACTGACCTTGTTAACCCTTGAATTGAGTTTGTATGGTTATCAATGCTCCTTTTGAATGGCATCCTTTTACACTCAAAGAGTCTAATATAAATAAAAATAACTTCAATAACCTTCATATGGTCTGCATTGTGTCTACAAGTCAAAGCAAAGAAAATCAACACACACTGTGCTTTACAACAGATTCATACTTAAAACAGGAGTTCAAACTTTAATATAAATAAGCTTCCATAAGTTTATATGTGAGCAGGTCACCAGTGTGTACCAGAGTGTTCCTATCTTTTTGGATATGCATAGATCAAAAAGGAAAGACAAAGTTGAACATAAAAGTTACATCAACAGTCAAAGAATCAAGTGTTTTTGCATGTTTGACCCATCGAACACATCCACAATTGTGTATTTTTCTGTAATTCTTCCTTTTAGATTTCAGAGAAAGTGCAGGATTTTATTTATGGCTGAGCTGTTTGAAAGCAAACCTGTGGAGACTTGAAATGTGGTAGAAACAGATAATCAAACCTATCTTGCTGCCTTTTATATTGGCAAAGCTTCATTAGTGTTTTAATTCAGCAGCATTATCACAACTTAACTTTGATTTTGCCGTGTGATTATCGATCTCCACAGGTTGATTGTTTTTCTGCTGAAGTTTCATAAAAAGAAAAATGATCACTGCCTCGAAGAAACCAAGCACTTTAAAATCCAAAGCTAAGGAGAGCTGTGAATAACGTATTAAAGGTTGTAGTGAATGGATGAAAACATGCAAAGACACTGGCTGTTCTACAATACTTCATCATATGATGCCTTCACATTACCTGAGTCTATATGGACTCACACAAACACACGAACTAGCTAAATAAATCTAACTCTGCAGTGCATAGTAGGTTCAAAACTAAGGTGTTGGGAAGTGATAGTGCGTTTGGCTGCTGCTCAATAACTAATCTAATGGGTTTTACCATCCTGAATGTAAAGAAAACACTGTTCTTAATTTGGCAAACCTGGACGTAAAAATCTAGGACAAGGCTATCTAAGGTGGAGATTTCATTTACAATGATGTTCATCTTAGTTGAAGTCACCAAAGTAGCTCAGTTAACTTTTTTGCAGATGGTTTATCATGCACTAACACTGCAGCTATCCTACTAATAAACAGGGAGATCAGTCATGTCGCAATCCACCCATCATCAAACTAGTATACATTTAGCTCCAACCATATTAGCTTCAATGCACCCTCCCAGTGTCGGACAATGTACCATAGCAGGACATCGGTCACATCCCAGCATTAGCTTTGATAGCTGTTACAATCGAAACCGTTCTTCGTGTCAGGAGTAAACAAATGTCTCTGCTTCTCTTTGGAATTTCCTCTGTGAGTCTGAGTGTAGAAATTAAATGGATTTTAGTGCATTCCCTGAAGAGGTTTCTGTCATGAGGTGTTTGTTTTGTAACAAAAAAATGTCTTATTTTCCCAGAGGAGTTTTTTTTCCTTTCCCATGCTTTGTCCTGTCACCAAAAGAAATTACTTCTTGAGGCTGTCAGAGTTCAGCCACGAGCCATCCTCCTCCACCTCCCGCCGCACCACCAGGAGCATCTCGGCCACATCCTGAGAGAGCTGTTCACTGAGAAACGTGCTGAAGGAGAAACAAAAGCATGACACAAGAAGAGAGTTTAGAAAACTCTGGACAGAGACAGAGGGCAGTTTGCTAAACTGAAGCATTCTGACACAAACAAGCAGTGAGGTAAGCCCCATGTGACTGCTCATATGGGGTGAGTCACTGGCTGAGACAAGAGTCGAAGCAGAATACAACAGCCAAGATTTGATGTAACTCAAAGCAAACCCACACACATGCAGATTACACATCTGCTACATGGAGCTCCAAATGATGTAAATACACCCTTACCGTAATTCTGCTTCTCCTCCAATACAGGCAGGACTCTTCAGTTTGGAGTCCAGGTTATAATACTGTCCGTTAACTTGTCGTACTGCAAGCCAATGCCGCCGTCGGAGTGGGAGGGACACAATTCCCAGCGATACTCGTGATGGGACATTAAGAATGAAACCCTGGACCTTTGACATGCAAAGGCTCTGAACCGTCCTGTTTTAATAAAAAATGGAGAGAAATTCAACATTTACTTCTCCATCCAATGTTTTTTTCTACTTTCAGAACATAACAGGGATTTGATTTAGTAGTTTAACCATTTGACTGCTTCCTGGCTCTCATACTTTTGATGCATTATATTTTCCAAAGTAAGATGTGTGGCTATGTGGGAGATGGTTAAAAGTGTGATATAAAGTGAAAAGTTCAGAGATCTAGTAAGGCACTCGGTGTCTGTCTGCAAGTCAAAAAAGATATGTGTCTTTGCTGATTGCCAAAAGAACAGAAAAAAACATTGTCCTTTGCCACTTGAGCATAAAAATCAGACTTTACAAGATGACCCCATAAATGCTTCTATGTACAAACATGTTGGAGCAGTAAAATACAGTTTTGTGGTCTCACAAGAATCCGTGTGTCTCTCTCACCTGCGTTTGTCCCACCACACAGCAGCCAGTTCTCTGCTCTGTAGTGCCGCCATGATGACGTTGACGTCATAGTTGCCCGTGCCTAACACTGAGCGATGAGGGTTCACCACACACTGTGGAGCAAGCCTGCAAAGATGATTCATCAGAGTAAAAGAGACTTAAAGAGGCATTCATCTCACACTGGGTACAGCTCTGTTTTGTATTGGCCGTGGGTAGAGAGGCCTTTCTCAGTTGTGATTTCTAGAAACAGGATGTTTCTCAGGTTTTGTATGTGCTATGATGCTGCTATATAATGCTATGTATGTGAAAAAGGCTGCTCCGTGGTTGGATTCAAGAGGATGTGGTGAAGAGATCTACACTGAGTATAGAGACTATCCTGCCCTCCTGTAGTAACTCATGCATGGGATAGGGAGACTGTTTTTTGACGCACTCTTATAAACAATTGTCCACATGATGATCCATGTTCGGGTGATGTTCCCATTCAATGATCGCCAATTCACACCAAAACAAAAGGATTAAACTGATGCAAAATAACTGATAATGTGACGAGGTGATGCTGCTGGAAAACAAAAAAGGTGAGGTGAGTAATCCTGGCGAGCGGTAAAAACCGCATGACCTTCACCTGGTTACCTGCCCCCTGTGCCTATATAGAAAATGCTGCACTGCCAGCAGTGGAGACCTGACGTAACCCATGACGGACAAACGAACAGATGAGGCTCCTATACTGAGTAATGTGGAGAGTATTCTCAAAAACATGGATCACCCCCTTCACAACACCTTAATGGACCAAAGGGCCAATGGTGGTGGACGGATCCTCTCTTTTTGCTGCAGGACAGAAAGATTCAGAAGATCTTTTGTACCCACAGCCATCAGACTTTATAACTCTTCTGTAAATAGTAGATAACTTTTAGAGACTTGACAAATGAGACGACAGACAATTTAATTTCCCTTCGGGGATCAATGAAGTTCTTCTTATTATTATGATTTTCTAAATTAGTACTACTATTAGTACTATGAGTACTACCAGTGGACAGCCCACTTTTTTCTCTTAGGGTGTTTCGTATATTTAGTCTGTATTTATTGTATATATTTAGTCTGTATTGTACATACTTCTTGTTATATTTAATGTTATTTTGTGTTTTTATTGCTGTTGTAACGTAGGAATTTCCCAGTTTGGGATTAATAAAGTCTATCTATCTATCTATCTATCTATCTATCTATCTATCTATCTATCTATCTATCTATCTAAATGAGCCTCTACACGCCTTTAGATTATCTGTCAAGCTATACAACCACAATAACAATATTGTTTATAAGAAAGTTTGTATTTTTGTTATTTTCTGAACACACTGTTATCAGAAATCAGACCAGGGTGTGAGCAACAACCTGAGGATTCAGTCAAACAGAAATAACTGTGAAGGAAAATCTGTCATGTCCTGCTTTTTATCAGCCAGGACAAGAAACAGCTATTGGTGGGATCACAGAGATCATGTCATTGGTGTAAAAACAGTAACGAAAAAATAAATGAAAGACAGAAATAAAACGTATGAAGCACTGAGGTCACAAATAGGTCTTGGAGACAAGGGTCAGACTTTAGCTGAGAAACATCCCAGTTGTAGTCTAACAGAAGTTTAAAGAATTAAAGCATGATATTTGTTGACTTGTTTCTTTATATTATAAACTGCTATATAATAACATAGACTTACCGTTTACAGATGTCATCAGCTGTCTCTTTGGTGAACACGCGCTCCTGAAGCACGTTGTTGAGTGCATGAATCGCGCACAGCTCCAGTCGTTGCTTCTCATGAAACACTTCTCCTTCGCTCATACTAACGCTTCATTACAACACAGAGGCACAGAGAAGAAAAAATGCGTTTACAAAGGTAAACATTAGCTACCAGACGAGCACAGTTTATAGGACATTCAGCAGGACTATAACTTCTCTGACTATGCTGGCTAGCTAACGCTGCTGCTGAGGGCGGCTAAAACTGTAAACACTGATTCTCCTCCGTCTTTGGTAGCTGACAGTTTTAGAAATAAACTGCGAACTGAACGATCAACAATCAACAAGAGCTAAATGAAGCTGCTGACCTGCTGATGAAACAATTTCCCGATCTAACGATGCTGGAGTCACATCCAGCCACATCCAGAACCCCGGAAGCAGTTCCGTTGTTTTCATTCTGTTGTTCTTGCGCGACGGCCACGCCCATTTCGGCGTTTACTTTATCACTATGCAACATCGGCTTTTTTTTATATGCTTATGAATTCCCATAAAAATCTAAATATATCTTACTGAATCTTTGTGAAGAACTAATTGTTTACGCGGATATTATGGATACACTCACCTCACTGCAACCACCGGTCTTCCATAGTTTAGCACGTGATGTCAAAGCGCCCTCTAGTGTTGAGACAGGAAATAGACGGGTAAGATGATGGTAGGATGAAATACACTATGAAATAAACTATGAGATGTGTTTGCAGGGAAATATTGCAACCCACTGTAGCTACAAAAATGACAAGTCTTGATCTTGTTAACCCCTTGAATTTAGTTTATGAATGGAATTGGACTCGTATCCTTTAACTCCTGGAGAGTTTAATACTGAGGGACCTCATAAGCATTAAGTGTTGTAGGGAGAGTGGGGCAAGATGAGCCATTTTTCACATTTTGGATCTCTACATCAAGGCAATCATAGTTTTGTCTCTAACTAGTGTATCTGCATATATTTCAAGATGTTGTGCATCCCTGCAAACCAACAGAATGAGTGTAAACAGAACTGTCCTGATAATATAGCATGCCAGAAAAAAGTGGTCTCCTATGGTCGACTTACCCCCAGCCCTCCCTCACCTTCTCTCTCCCTAAATAACAGTCACTTCTTCACATTTATGTGTATTTTTATCTATTATACGCTATTCAACTGGTACAATAATTATTTTTATTATTACTGCATATAACTGCTAAAAAGCTCTTTTTTAAAAAGCCATTTTAACATGAGAATGTCTTTAAGTGATTCAGAACATTCACAGCAGTATTTTTGAAAAGAAAAAGTAATAAATTTAAACAATCTGAACTGAAACTCTGATCTTCTCATCATACTTCTTTACTTTCTCAGTTAAGCCACTGACTCAACTAATCCCTAGCCAAATGGCTCAACTTTCCCCAAAACTACTATAATGACTTTATTAGTCCTCTAAGCTAAAATGGTGGACTTTTATGCTCAGTTTTTGACCTCATGTTGCAGCTCATAGATACCACAATTGATGTATAAAATCTAAAAAATGATCTTTTTTGGTTTGAACACAATTCTAATAAAACTTATGACAGACTAAATTCACTTTCAAGAGTGAAAAAAGTTTTTTTTTTTTGTAAATAAATGTCTAACCCCTTCACTCATGTGCTTCTCACCTTCACAGACTCCATGAATTGATGCCCATCTCCTAAATATTTGGCCTCATGATCAATTTCTTTTACAGTTTCCAAACAACAGGGGGTGGCTCAACTTACCTCACTCTCCCCTATTCAGCTGCAGTCTTGGACTAGTTTTTATCATTCGTTGTACTTGGTGACATCCGTAGTCAAAAGTGTGTAGATGTCTAACACAAGACGAATGGGACGAGTGCTGTATCCTATTGTACTAGCTTCATCTGCACATATGTCTTCAGGCTATGGACAATTTATGTGCAGACTGGACACTTGAAAAAAGGAATTCAGTTTCATAAGACTATGCCCTTTTAAAAGTTTGTTGACAGTGTGAATATCATCAGTTATTATGATTGTATTTGCTCCCTTTTCCCCTCCACGATGAATATACAGTGTAGATTTTGATAAAGGGTTATTGCAACGTCCCACTGACTCAAAACTACTGGCTTACACACATCTACAATCATATTTGAAAATATTATTGGCATAGCATGGTTATCTGTTATATTTTCTGTAGCTGAATTATATTAACTCATAGTAATGTCAACTGAAATTAACAAAACAGAGTTTTTCTTTTGACTTTTGTTGCCTTTGTTGGTTGTATTTGATTTAAAATTTCGGACGTTTCATGGGGGATGTGAGTTTTTTAAACGATCCAATGACAGCAAAGTATTAGTAATGTTTTCCGCTCTGCGTGGTTGATTGGGTTTCGGATGACAATACGGCGTCCACACTGCGCTTTGATTGGCTGATATTTTCTGACGTGTCAGACCACTTAGATGCCCATTGGTCCATGGCGGTAGGTTAAACAGAAGATCATATTTTTGTTCCTGTGTCAACGAAAAGAAGAAAAGAAGAGTCGCCAGTGAGACCCTAGATAAGTTTACATCAAAGATAGTTTTCCAAACATAACGGAAAAGTCTCATCATATCTGACACTAGCCAAACATCCACCGCTTTAGCAGAACTCATTTTGAAAATGGTAAGTCGTTTGACCGAGCTTATTGCTAATAGGTGTAAGCAGCAACTGCTAGCTTGATTCAGTTTTTAGCCGTCGCCAGCCGTCGAGCTTTAAATTCGGTTACGACTACTTGCTGGACTCGCTAACATTAACATAGAAGCATCATCTATCATTACCATAACAATAGTTTTAAATTTAAGTCTCTATTATGAATTTTAGGACTGCTTGCAGCTTTATTATTTGCGTTACCATCTTGAGGATAAGCTAGCTATGCTAGCGCTAATGATAAATGAACGTAACGTCGACATTGAAGTTACGTCGAGAAAGAAATGATCAGCTAAAAACAGGAATATCAGAAGGAGCCTGTCAAAGTATATAACACGTTTTTATTGTGAAAATAATCTTTACATTTCTTTGGCTTTTGTTGGTAACTTTGGTGCTCAAGAGGTTTGTTGTCAGCTTCCGTTTCTTTTTAATTTTCAGACTTAGGTTTATAATATGACGGTTTCTAGAGAACATTTCACATTAACATCATTGTGCGTGCACATAAACAAGATTAAGGATTTATGAGCCCCATGAATATTCCAGTTTTATATATTTTTTTTTTAAAAAGTGGAATTTCATCACAATGCCGTACCGGTGTTTCATATGTTGAAGTATCATTACTTAAAATAGGGTAAATGCAAAATACACCGTCCAGCCATGACTTTAAGAACACAAGAGCTATCTGATGCAAGCAAACAACTATTCCATCCCCATTATCCCACAAAGCTTCTACATCCTCAGTGTGTGTGGACATGGTCAGACAGTTGGGTTAATCTTCCATAAGTTAAATTATTTAAGTTATGGTGATTACTGAGGGGCATTAAATGTAAAGATGTTCATAATCTTCTCCCCTCATGTTTGCAAATCAATTGTCTGATTATGTCAGTAAAAACAAAAATTTTTAAGGCTTCCTGAAAGTAAAGTGTATGTTAGGCCTGTTGTATTCGATTGCACAAATGTTCATAATGTTGCTGGTTAGTGTTTAGGCGTTCAGAAACGCAGTGAGGTGACCAGTTTTTTACATTACTTACCAGCTTGATACCAGCTACTGTCATTATTTACAAGTAACATGTAATTGCTTCACAGCCATTCTTACAGATATAACACCAGTGTATTTTCTACATTTATTTGCCTGTAAGAATAAGAATCACTTTATTTTATCTTCAAAGGGAAATTCAGTTATGTATTATATCAACATTGTATTATATCAACATTCAATAAGATTACTTACCATCAGTGTATGTGAATGCTTACAAATTTGATGTGGCATCAGATTTGTGGTCTATAAACTGAAATAAGACATTAACAATTGCAAGGAATGAAAAGCTGCATGAAGTTATTTTAGGTTCCAATACAAGACACAAATAGACAGATACATTTCTGTTTAAGTTGAGATGTGTAAATCTATTCACAAATTATCTGTTGATCTATTTTTACTTATAGGTTGTGTATGTGTCTGTGCATATGCACAACCCTAACTGGTTGAACTGTCTTCCTCCAGAACTCCAATGTGGAGAATTTGCCTCCTCATGTTCTTCGTCTGGTCTACAAAGAGGTTTCAGCTTTAGCAGCAGACCCACCTGAAGGCATCAAGATTTATCCCAGTGAGGAAGACATAACTGAACTGCATACAGCCATTGAAGGACCAGGTACGGATTGCAATATTGATTTAATCAAATGTATACTGACCATAGTGGGAAAAATGAAAAGGTTAATTAAATATTAAAGTGAGTAAAGTCATTGCTGAGGTAGAAATGAATCACTTTAAATTTCCTATGACAGCTTTGTCTTGTATAACACCATTTTTTTTTTTTTTACAAACATTTGTATGCATTCCTTTAATTACATTTTTTGATAAACAAATCTGTGTCTGATGAGCTTATGCCTATCCCCAAACTCGGTAAAATATTTCATAAACTGTTTTGCACTAAAGAGAGATCCTATCATCATGTTAAGGTAACAACACCCCTGACCGTTTTTTTTTTTTTTTTTTCAATGCAGCAGTCAATAGGTAGAAAGTATTCCTAGTCATGCCTCTATAATTATTGTACAAAGAACTTTAATGGTTGTCGAGATGCTGCTTCATGCTGTAAGACTCATAAGCCACTCCAGCCACATGTCTGTCATTGTCCATTGTGTCTCTCTTTTCTAGAGGCTCATTGCTGAAACCCTTGTTGTTTTTAAGTACGCCTTGAAGAACCAGACACTTTTCCTCTTCCTTTCACTCCTCCACAGTGAAGCCTCTGTGCATCAGTGTCCTTTACTGGCTCCAGATACATATTGCTCTCCTCAGTGATTATGTTTCAAGTGGAAATATAGTATTTTTGGTAACTTCCTATGTGTATTTGTAGCGACACAGATGAAGGATCTTCTGTGTTTCTGTTTGTAGACTCACTTGTCACATAGTGTCCCTCTTCTTTTCCTGGAGTTTGGCACAGTCAAGACATACTGTTCATAAGATGAATTCTTTATGCTTTGACAGAGGGAACTCCATTTGCTGGTGGCATTTTCCGAATGCGTCTTGTCCTCGGAAAGGACTTCCCTGCGGTTCCACCTAAGGGGTATTTCCTGACCAAGATTTTTCACCCCAATGTGGGCCACAAGGGAGAGATCTGTGTCAACGTGTTGAAGAGGGACTGGAAGGCAGAACTCGGACTCCGACATGTTTTACTTGTAAGGAGAATAATCAGTCTAAGTTGTTTTTCAGCTTCGCTGATCCCACAAGTTTGTTTTTACATTTCCATCTCCTCTTTTTTTTCCCTCAGACAATCAAGTGTCTTCTCATCCATCCAAATCCTGAGTCGGCCCTAAATGAAGAGGCTGGGCGTTTGCTGTTAGAAGACTATGCAGAATATGAGTCCCGAGCTCGTCTGCTCACAGAAATCCACGCCATGGGCGGGCCCGGTGGGACTTCTGGGGCACCCCAGGACCCTAATGATGGCCCACAGCCTAAAAAGCATGCAGGCGACCCTACAAAGAGAGCAGGGCCCAGTGCAGCAGCTGTACCGGCAGCTCTGGGTAACGGAGCTAACGGAGCCAGCACCACCAGCAGTAATAGTAACAGTTCTAGTAACACTAACAATGTAGCAGGGAAAAAGAAAGCAGACAAAAAGCGTGCATTGAGGCGACTTTAATACCTCATTGAAACCCTCAGTGTGTGAGTGTAAGTGTGTGAGTGAGAGATTGTGTAAATATGAATATTGAAGTGTGACGATAATGTTTTTGTTCCCTTTTTCTGACTATTTCTACCACCTACCCAGACTGTCCACTTTGTACTCATATCTGAAGTTTGTCCTGTTGGCGTTAGAGGTGTGTCTATTTCCAAGATATGATGAAATATATTTGTTAGACTTTTAACAGAAAAGGACAACACTTTCAGAGCCAAGATCATACCATTAGGTGTTGTTTTTTTCTCTGGTATGTGTGAATGAACAATACAGGAGTTGGAATTTACTGTTAAAAACATTGCCTCTTATATCTGCCTGTTAATGAGACCTGACTAGTTTCATCCATGACTTGGCGTCAGCTCCTTTTCTAAAATTACTCTTGGTAAAAGCTGCTGTGATGGTACCGTGTACTGCTCAGCCAGACTGACTTGTGAGTTTAAACCAGAACAGTACTTGAAGGAAATAATGGAAGGAACGATGGAAGTTTGTTAATAATTATGTGGAAAAGGAAGCAGAGTCACATCTGAGAGAAATAATGTTACACAGTTATCATAATCCAGCTGAGGCAAAGGTATAAAAAGAGTTAAAAGTGGATTTCAAGAGGTCTGTTATTCTCTTTGTGGAGTCACAACCCCTTTTTAGGTTTTATTTTTCTAAAATAGTTTCACTGTCCAGTATTTTCAAAAATTGTTTATAATTGACATGTTCATATTCAGCTGTCTTGTGGTTTTGTGTGAAGACCTAGATCAGTGGCTTTAAGGGAACAGGGTAGGTTGCCAGACCACTTTATAAAAATCCATTATTTTAACGTTTATCTCGGCTCCCTTACAAAGCAGTTTAGTGCTCTCATGTACCCAACTCCAGACAAGCCATGTGGGTATCATAGGAGCGATCAGCAAGAAAACCTCCATGTTTGATAAAATTTGTCTCCCCACTTGTCGCACTGGCTGGTTCCCTGGGCAGGTTTTCTCTCTTTTCTAAATGCATGCTGGGCCTACATTTCCCAAGGAAACACACTGAAGCTTTTGTGTAAATTTGGATGGAAAATGTGCCTCTGGAACTCCTGTCACTGTGCAGACTGTTGGCTGGATATTTTATGTCCATTTTAAATTATTTAAATTAATAAAACTTTGAAATACCAGAAGTGAAACGAAAAATGACTCATATTTGTTCTTTTTTGAGTGGCATTTAGTATGGTAATTGTTAATCTGGGTTAAGAGCTGTGCAATAATAGGTGTGTGTATGTCTTCCCATCAGAATAGCTGCTAAGAAAGAAGCTTTTACTGTTGAGTGACATGTAATATCCCTTCATTTTGTTTATAGTGCTCTCCTGTTCTCCAGTGATGGAATAACCATTATGAGGGGGAAATCAGTAATTGCATCCACCCCAGCAAACCAGTGAGTGAAAGTGCACCCGGTAGAGCGTCATTGGATCGTCTAATGAAGGGCTCCACTAGCCACTGCTGCAGACATGCAGCAGCCCACCCACCTGTGTAGAAATAGCAGCCTGCCATGCAGGTAATAATCAGGCCTTTCTTGGACACCTGGGCTCCACAAAACCCTTTACATCTTCCCAAACCTCATCTTAGATGTGCTTACCTCCTTTCAATCTTGCCCTCACCTCCTTTATTTTTGCTCTCATCCTGAAGTAATATTAAAAAAAAAAATACATATCTCTGATCTGTTGCAATTTGGGCCAGGAGTTTAGGGAAAGGTACGCTTGTTTCCATGTGTGAAAGACCAGATAATGGAGATTCTGTAGGCTTAATGTGTAATTTCTATTCATGCATCAGACTCCTCGTAAACAGTTTTACTGGAAAAACCTAAATGGTTTCATTCATGTGCTGCTGATCTGAAGCCTGTGAGGTGGCAGTTACGGTTTGAAGACACACTGGAGCCAACTCCATCTCTCACAAACCTCACATTGTGTCTCCCTCACTCTGCTTGATGTATTTTCTTTCACAGATCTTGAATTTATCCCTGCTTTTCTACCTAAACTTGGAGGAATCTTTGAATTGGTAGAGCAGGTCCGGATCTAATCGACAGTTTCGTTCACACTTCAGTGTTAAAGCTTTTGCGCCAATCCTCTCCCCTTCCCCGTTTTCATTGCTTTCATAATTGCCACCAACATAATGACACAGTTGCTGTGGCAACCATGTCTCTCTTTTCCTCTCTCCCTCACACACATACAAAGAAAAAGAAACATAGACACACATTGCATCTCGAAGGACTTCTTCTTTTGTGAATTTGCCGCCTGCTTTTATTCTGTATATTCCACTCATTTATATAGCTTGTATGTTTCATCCCTGTCTGTGACTTCCTGCCAGACCAGGGCAGCTGGATCCCTGACCGATATTTCTGTTTTTTTGCCAGAGTCAGTGAATTGTAAGCCTTCAGGGTCATTCAATTACAGAGGGGAATGAATTGGAGGGGAAACATGAACGCCACCAGTTGAATGGGCTTAATGACCAGCAGCAGCAGCAGCAGCAGCAGCATCATCATCATCATCAGCAGCAGCAGCAGCGCGAGCTGAGACTCTCATCAGCACTAGACTGAGCGACCAATCACAGCGCTCCCCCACCGGCGGACCTCCGTCAGGCCAGTCGCAGTCAGGCGGTGTAACCTATATCTCACTTGGAAATTATGGAGGCAGCCAGCTTCAGTCTGTTCTAACAGGAAAGTTCAATTAGGGAGAATTGTTCTTGTTTTTTTGCGGCACTTAACCCACGCTCATTTTCTTCTTGGTTTCAAGGAGAGTTCCTCCGTAACTTCTGCTGTACAATAATTTTCTTTCTAGAGAATACTTTGTCACATGTGTCAGAATTTCACAGAACATCTTGTTATGGACACTGACTCTCGGTCTGCTGCTTGCGTCTTTTTTCTTTCTGTCGCAATAATGGAATAACACGCCGGATGGAGACAAATCAGGAGGAGCGACAGAGATCTTCGGTATACTGAGGAGAAAAAAACCCGTTTTTTTTTTTAAACAGGTGGCAAATCCGGCAACAGTTCACGCTGTCCCAATCATCCTCTGCAACAATAACAGGCTGCCATCTGAGAGACATCCAGTGCGCAGGCTCTCCCAGCGCTGTTCTTCAGTATCAAACCCCAGAGCAACGCACAGGTAAGACACGACATTATGCACCTTTCATTAGCGCAACATCAGGCGCAGAATTACAGGAAAAACTCTTTCGTGCCTTCATTGTGTGGTTGTTTCTGTGTGTAAATGAAGTTTGGCTTCTGTTTGGACGCATCTGCCGAGCCCGAGGCTCTTAAACAAAACACTTGGATGAAAGCTGCGCCACAGAAAAAAAAAAAAACATTTCCACAGGGGATTTGTGCGCCGCTGACATGTTCTTCATCACTTGAACACTTTAATTTACAACTACCTGCACATAAGGGCATGAAGAACATATTGATATTAAGACACACACACGCACAAACTGACACATCCAGCCGGACTATACACACACACACACACACACACACCGGCACGGATACACCCACGCTCTTTTAGCCTACTGATACTTGCAAGTCATGTCCATAACCCGTACGCTTGTTCATAGCAACTTATTAACCTAATGAATGGAAGAGTCTGAGGAGTCTTGGTGCTAATTATGATGCGAAGTTACTGCGTATTTATTTCACTGAGAACACCAAAGCAAACGCTGTTCCCTTTTTCTTGTTAAGTCATGAGCATGGCTTTAGGAAGGCTTTTTTCTCTCAATTGATTCCCATTGCAGTGCGTGTTTTTTTTTTTTGCAGCAGCGTTTCCAAAGAAAAAAAAGGAGCCATTTTGTTTCATTTCCAACAAACACCTGTTGAAATTGTTGCACGCTCAGACCGTCTGCAGAGCTGCTCGACTGCAAGGCATAAAGTAAGGGCGCCGCTTGCTTCATTTGCTTTGATAGGATTGCCAAAGTCTGCGGTTAGGGTTTGCTCTACCCCCAGTGACCACGGAACTCAGAGACGCATCTTCACAGCTCAGAATCTGTGCCCTTCACCCTTTGGTTCCTAGCCGCGCCCCCCCCTCCACCCCCCTCTCTCTGCTGCATTGCCTCAACAGCACAGTATAGAAATTCCTTCAAGAAAACATGGCTTATTTTGTATGTTGAGTCACTTTGCATGAAAGATATGGTTTGAGACCAAAAGCTCTTGGTTGCAGGATGACCGAAGCTCCACATTTTGAATTAACACCCAGACATGTCATATACCAGATCTTGTTCTTTTTTAAATAAAGCTGTTATTGCACATGTACTGTGAAGAGATTTGTGTATTTGTCCAGAAAACCTGAATCTGAGCAAAATTTGCTTAAGTGAGTTGGGAGGAAGCACAAGGTATTGGTGTTATCTTTTTTTTCCAACCCAGAGATGTGCAGCAGATGTGACTTTGAAATCTGGTTGGTCTAATGGGTGTAGATTTGATTCTGCCTCCCTTCTCTTTCAATGCCTCTTTCTCTCACACACACAGACAGAGCTGCAGTGCTATTCTGAGAGAGTTAGCTGCCTCAACCCACGCACAGAATCTGAGAAAGAGAGAGAAAGGCAGAAAGAGGGAGAAAAGAGGAAAAGGAGAAGGGGAAGGGGAAGAGCGAGGAGAAGTCCAAAAGGAGGTTTAACAAGTGCATAATTCAGTCTGTCACATGCAGAATTGCACACATATGCAAAGACTTTCTTTCGGTTGAGCGTTTCCTCCTTTAACTGATCAAACAGCTGCTGATTAACGGTCTTTATTGGCACTCTTCTTGTGTGTGGCATTGACTGTATTAGCAGCTCTGTTTGGTGGTGCTGTTTGTGTGATGTTGTATTGGTAAGTGCTGGGAGAAATGTACTTGATTCTGTGCCACCCACACACGCCGCCCTCCCACTCACGGTCGTCTCTGCACATCTATACCTCTGGCTCTTCCCCGCTCGCCACAATCTCCTTTTGCTCATTTAAATCCCTACCCTGCATTTATTCCTCTGCTTGCTCTCTTTCTCTTTTTCCTCCTGCAACCAAACAGGCACACTAACACACTATCTGCCTTGCAGAATACACACGTATTCGCGTAATGTAATTGATAAAAATGACTGAACATGTGAACCTCAAATGTGCACACACGGGTTGCAGAGCTAGTTTCTAAACATGCCTCTCTTCTGTGTTGCAGTGGATGTTCCAGGTTTGATTTTCATCATGCATACCCTGAAGATGATTTTGGAGATCAAGCAGCACGTATAGATTCAACGGAGGAGAAATTCTACTTTTTTCAAACATTACTCAGTGCTTTGTCACTCTTGTTTTTCCACTGCTGAACTCTCCTTAGAAGGTCACAGGAGCATGTAACTGAAACAAGCGGAGCCCTTGGTGATTTCAGTGTTCTGTCTCCCCCCCATCTGTGCCTACATTCTCTGCCACAGATAGGGACGTTTTTGATAATTACATGTAATTATAATTTCTGTGGGAGACAGATCTGCTTCTGTCTATTATTGCCAACACCTCCAACACAATAACTTCACACATTTACATATTTCTCAACAAAAGTGATATTCTTTGAACCTCCGAGACTAATCAGGAATAATTTTACTTAGAGAGACATGTCACAGGGAGAAGCCATTCAGTTCATGTCTAATTAGAGCTACAGTTGAATGACAGGGGCAACTTTTTGTGCCTAGAAGCTGAATACAGAGCATTTAAAATCCATCACATTTGCCTCCATTTTGCAATAGGCTGGTTTATGCTTAGCCTTAATTTTCCGCTGTTACTGTCTTCTCGCACTTAAGCCGAGCCTCCCTCATTATCACCCCCTTCCCAATCGCAGTAACAGTCTGTGCCAGCTGAGTACTGATGCCCAAAAATCCAGCAGAAAACATAGAGTATATGGTGTCTCTATAGATGTGCTGAGTGCCCACGTCAGGTTAACATGAAATTACAGAGTAATTTGGCACCATTAACAGACAGCTATCATTAACCGTACTGTCTCTTGATTTAATTCGATTGTTTACAATGCCAAAAATCACCAAATTTCTAAAAATAATTAAAGATTTCATACACTTTTCCAGGAAGGATTCGCTAACGGTTTAAATAAGTGCCAATTCTGACTGTAAAAAGTGCCGTACTAAATGAGTCATCCAGGAATGAACTGACCAGATAAAACTGTTTACATTTGATCAAACATAGGCCATATACTATTGTCCAAGTGCCATGATCAGCGCAGGAATGTACGGGGCTGCCATATTTTAATGAAAACATTGATAGAACGTAATGCTAACTGGTCTTTGAGGATACAAAAACAGAATCTCCTCCAGCATTGAGCCAGATATTTATTCTTTTCATGCAGGTGGACATGTAGGACAAGGCATTAAGGACTAAAAGCAAGAAGATTGTTGTTTTTAATTTGTCCTTTCTGCAAAGATGCGCAGTGTTCTAGACTTGAGAGGTGTTTTTGGAGGGCAGAAGATGAAGTCATTACACATTCAGAGTTCCTCTCTAGCAGTAAATTAAAATCATTTTAACACCATTATCAGCAATTATTGAAAACGTACCAAAAAGATTCTGACAGTGTTGGTCCTTCTCTGTTTTACTGTTCCTGTGCTTTTCTAATATTACACAGAGTAGACAGAGTTCCTGAGAAAACACAGAAGCAGGCTTCAGATTTCATCATCCCAAATACAGCTATACATCATCAGATCCTAGCAGGTCGTACATGCTACTTGAAGGTTTCTCATGCCGTTTTAGCGGGTTAAACAGTAAAACGAATACCTTATTGTAACTGCATTGACTCAACAACAGAAAATAGATCTCTTAGTCATGTAAAAATGACGCCCACCACCAATCTCAGAGTCTTCGCCGTCTCCTTACTCTCCCTTCTTGCTGCCCCCCTCACCACTGCTCTGGACACCTCTGCGTCTCCCCCTCCCCCTCAACATGCCAACCGCTCAGGAAGTCTGTTCACTGAGCAGCCTCAGACCGACCCCAGCCCCTCTCTGCTGTCCCTACCAGCGCAGGCCAACATCAGACCTGCTGCCCTGCAGAGCCGGAAGAAACCCCCTGAGAAACTTCCAGAATCCTCAGAAGGAGTCATAGAGATGCCTCCAAGACCCCTTCCCCAGGTCATGTTCCCCAAAAATGTGACATCAGCAGAGGCCCTTGCCCCTCCCTTAGGTGCGGCCCAGGTGGCGCCCATCCGACCCCGCATGATGGATATATGGATGGATGTATGTCGAGGTTATTATGACGTCATGGGACACTTTGACAGTGCTTTCAACTGCTCCAAGGACACCTTCGTCTACTGTTGCGGGACCTGCCACTACCGCTTCTGCTGTCCAGAGCGAAGCCGGCAGCTGGACCAGGACAGCTGCAAAAACTATGACTCCCCAGACTGGGCCAAGCCGCAGACAGATTCCATGATCATCTCCGAGGAACTAGGTCCTGACCCGGGTTTTGATCCCCTGAAGCAGCAGAGCCACAACACAGGCTTCATCATTGGAGGTGTGGTCATATTCATGGTGGCTGTTGCTGTGGGCATCAAGGTAGCCTTCAACAAGGTGCAGCAGGAAGCCAATCAAAGGGACCTCAACATGCCCAGGTGAGGCTATTTCTTTCATCATATTCCATTGATTGATTCATAACTTCACTTCATGATTCGATATTTCATCACATGTATGAATCCTGTAATCAAACTGGGTTTTCAGGCCTCCATGAATGGCCCAGATTCATCATCCTGGCCTCAGAAAATTGTCATTAGTCATCCTCTGAAACATATTTGATCTTCGTCAAGTGGCTTCTGTGGAATTCACGGCTGTTTTGATTCCTCTGGGCTTCTTATCTCATAAACAACGAGTAGTTTTTGCAATAGATTATTTTATAATTTTGTTTATTTTTTCGCTTTTTAATTTTTTAATATCATTTTCCCCCTTCGGACACAGTATTAGATAAAGATGGCTGTAGACAGATACTGAGTATTGACAGTCTTTAAAAGAATGTGATTACAGTTTTTTTTTCATTATTGTACTTCAAAAAATGGAAAAGATTAGGGCTATTTTATTTATATTTTTAACACAGGAAATATTTAGAGAAAAAATTGAATCTAGGTTCCAATATAATCTGAAAAACCTTAAACCCCACATGAACAATGAATTAAGCTGATTTATTTCATGTTAAATATGAACAAGTCACTTTTTAAAATGGTACAAAATAACTAATATTTATATGGAAAAGAAAAAAAAATCAGTACAAAAGTGCCAGCCATAGAGCAAAGACTGCCGAGTGTAATGACTTAAAGGTGCCAGACATGTTTGTCACTTTGAATTCTACGTGATAGTCTGCCATTGGCCAATAGATCACTCTCATTATTATTTCTTTTCTCCTTTTCGCTTGTGTTTGTGGCATCCTCAGAGCCCTGGTGGACATGTTGCGGCACCAGTCGAGCCCAGTCCAGCAGGATGAGAGAAACAACAGCGTGGCTCTGACTGTAGGCGATGGAACGGGCACACTGGGGAGAGCTCCAAAAAATCTGTACGCCCCAGGCCTACCCAGCAAGGACAACAGATGTGAGTGTCTCCGGCTTTTATTGCATTAGTGAATAGCAGACTCGGAGGCACAATCAGAGCTTTTGTAACTGCATCCTCTGTATGCCGAGGCACATCGTATTTGTCACGTCTGCATGTGAAAGCAGGTTTTTTTTTTTTTCTCTTATTCCCACCCCCAAGATTTCTTTGTAACCATGTGGCATTATGGGAGAAAAATACTCAATGGTGGTGTGCAACAAATTTCTAATTTTTGTCTCAGTATTTTCTCCCCATTTACCGTGGATGCAAAAGACAAAACAAGAAAAAAACAGTTTTTTCTTGTATCATTTAGATTTCAATTTACAGTTAAAAGAAAATGTAAAAGACTCCGGAAGTAAGGGTTTTTAAAATGTGAATAATTCTCACAATCGTGTTTAGAAGCTCTGTGCATGAAGATGATCTGATTTGATCTTTTCCTTGTGAAAAAATCACTTAACTGGAAAGTGCCTGACTAGCACTCTAAGCTGATTTCCTCATGTTCTTTTGACTTACAGTGGGCAATCTGCAACACAATTTCATCCACTCATCAGGCTCCAGCCCCAAACACACTGCAACTATCGGTAAGACAGCTCCTACATGAATTGCATGTGAATACCACATACTTTATTTAGTTCAATGAATTTTAAAGACTAGACTCATTTTTCCCACACTAATAACTATTTGAATAGCCAATTTTGTGTGCTGGTGCTGAATGCAAGTTAAAATCTGTCAGCTTTGATGGCGTTGTTACATCCACATAGTGCTATGTGCAGTGCTCTATATCCAGAGGAGCAAATCTCATTTAACACACGGCTGTTTTCTCCCCATGGTCTCTGCAGAGCGCACGCCTCGTATGAACAATGCTCAGCTGGCGGCTGGAGGCACCCTGCTCTCCAGTAAGCACAACAACACCAAATCCCAGCCCTCCTTCCACCATTCCCTGCACAACCTGGCTCAGCTGCCTCCCTCCTATGAGAGCGCCACCAAGCCTGAGCTCAACAGATACTCCTCTCTCAAACGCCTCGGTAAGTACCTGCATGTTTGAGAAATGTCTGCCCTTCGCTCTTTCACTGCAGCCGTTCCATGAGCGCTGAAACTCGGTGACACTCTTGACACTGCAGCAAAGAGTGCAGGATGCGTCATTATGTGCTGATGCTTTTGCTGTGGTGATAAACAATTCAGAGAAATTTTCTTTGGCTTCCAGAGAAAGGTCTCGATGAGTACTCTTCTGGTTACTGCACCACCAAACGCCGGCCTCACACAGCCCAGCCGGCCCTCCAGTCATCCCAGCACCACCTCCACTGGGGAGGGGACTACACCCTCAGTGGGAGAGGAACCCTTCCTAGGCATGCAGCCCGGCCCTGGATCCCTCCACCGCCTTCTGGCATGCCCGCCTCACCCACCCCCAATCCCTATCCTCTGGATCCCCCTGAGCCACAGTACAACCCCAACTACGACACTCTGTCTAAGCCCCCAAGGAAAGTCAAGTCCACTGACCAGCTGCTCAACATGGGTGACGTCCCTGGTAACACAGGGACACTTTCCAGGCTGTCCAAGAACCAGCAGCACCAGTACTACAAAGCCATGGCTGCCTCCAACAAGAACTCCAACACGCAGACGCTCACCAGGAAGACCCAAGACAGGAGAGAGGAGAGGCAAGAGCGGCTCCTCATGTCGCCTGACCATTTGGAAGAGAGGATGGGCCCACCCGGGATGGGGGTGGTCGATCCGTACGCCCACACACCTGGAGGGATCGTCCCCACGCTGCCTCGCCAGCAGAAAGCTCAGTCCCAGCAGAATGTGTGTGCCACGCCCTCCCTTGACCGGCACCACATGATCAAGATGAACTCGCACCCCACGTCCGGGCGGGAGCAGGAGAGGAACACACCCATGACGGGGCACATGAGCGGGAACATAGGCTGGGCAGGGGAGCCACCTGCGCAAGGGGTAGTCATGGGAACGGGAACGCTAGGAGGCCACAGTGCCAGGAGGATGGCTTTTGCGACAAAGAGGCAGAACACCATTGAGCAGCTACATTTCATACCAGGAGGGGGAGGCGGAGGGTCAGGAGGAGGAAGTGGGGGTGGGAGTCAGGGAATTAGGACGGGGAGTAAAAATGAGGTGACGGTGTGAGGTTAGTGCCTAAAATAGAGTTTACTCTCATTAAAGATATGGGAATAGATCATCCTTCTGCATTTAGCTCTTAGATATACAACTAAAAATAAAACTAGCAGTACAAAGTTTAGTAACAGTATAATGTGCTTAGGCTATTCGAATTAGTGTGATCTTGTTATTAAATAGCTTAAATAATATACTTCAAGAAAATCTGGGCGGGGATTATCTGTTCCAGTTACGTGATAGCCTACATCAGCCATATTTTGTAAGACAGTTTGCCATATTGCCATAAACAGCAGTGCCATTACTAGCAGAAAGACTGACTCAGAAGGTGGAACAAAACCAACAGAAGTGTCGTTCATGATTTTGTTTTTTATACGTTTTTTCCAAAAGTACTCAGGAGCCATATTAGATAGGAATCGATAAGATAAGTAGATGTATATATTTTAAAAACGAGCTTCTAAAGAGGAGGGCATTGAGGGATGTTGTATCACAAGATCTAATAGAGATTTGACCTGACTACCTGCTGGACTGTCAGCCTGATTTATTACACTGACTCTCATATGATAGAGCTCAACGGACCAGATGAGTCTGCATGAACCGTGTGCCTGATGACGGTTTTCTGAAGATCTGAAACTCTCACTAACCCAACTCATGCTGACACAAGGAGGCAGAACTGTCTTTTGCTTCCCATGTTGACGGCTGAATGAGGTGGGGGCTGTTTTCTGACAGGGACTCAGCAGCCTGATACCATTGGCAGGACTCCGCGCCCGATTTAAACTTGGGGACGTACCCACATTACCGATCTGACGCCTGGGTTGCCTAGTTTTCCATGTGACCTTAGATAAAACCCCCACAGGGACTCACACTCTGATCACTGCTACGCTACAGAGTTGTTTACTGATGTTTGATTACATTAAGATTATTTTTCCCTTACTTTCCTATCTTTAGATCAGGACCTGACTGTAAGAACAATGGGCTACCAAATAAAATAGAGCCATCTGTTCCTAAAAAGTCTTGACATTAACATTGACGAGTCAAGAGCTAAGAGAACAGACATGTGTGTTTAGTTTACTAATAAAAGGGCAACTTTCTTATTTGTAGGCTGTGTACGGAGAGCAAAAAGTTTTTCAACAGAGCACAAATGAATAGACCGTGACGCAGAGGTTGCACTTACACAACTGTCCTTCAAAAGCCATTTACGGAGATACAAAGAAAATACCACAGAGGAAGCTGGTCTGACAATCACCATTTTATTTTTTCTCTCCAGTTGACAAATCACACAAGTCAGTGATATTTTGTACAGTCAAAGAAATCGGCTTCAGAGAAAGCCAAAAAAAACCCCTCTGAGTCAGGAGACCTGAGGCCTTCTCCTGCGTGGCTCTGTAAGCCATGAGAGACTCGGATGGTTAGGAAGCCCTGCCCGTCCTCAAGACTAAGATCTTGCTGTATCATATCGCACTTCAGCCAGTATGAGAAAAAAAAACACAGAAAAGAGAAAAAAAAAAATCTTCATCAATAACAATGCTTATCAATACTAAGGGCTATCCTATCCTATACTGTAGTATGTGATATCTGTGGTCCATATACAATGCTATCTCTTTCTCTTGATTTTGTGTTGATATTGTCATGATGTATTAAGTATTAACGTGTACAAAAAACAAAGAGCAATTTAAGCACAGTTCAAAGAGAAACACAGAGACAAAACTTTGCACAAACCTCTCCCCTGATATTTGCACCAGATACAAACATACTTTGTATCAAGTCCTCAAGGTTTACATTCTGTATTAGCACAGCTAGAAGTGTGACGGCTCAACGGGAGGTTTTATATCGAGAGAGGATTTTTTTTTAAATCAACAGAGGGAAATCCAAGAAGGAACTCACCACTGCTGTTGTTGTTCAGTCATGCGAAAGGATACAGAGAAAAGAAACTGACAAACAGAAATTTTATTCGGACAATCTTCCTTTACACAGTGCTAAATGTAGTTGTTCTGAATATGATGGAGTGTTATTATTAATAATTATTATAACTGTTATGGTTATTATTAACAATTATCTTATGATGTGATGTTCTTTTACTTGATGGGATTTAAGTGTTTATTGTTTTTAGATAACTAGCATTCTCATGACTGGTTGTTTTTTTCATACATCTGGTCGTAAATTCAAGTTTTTAAAAACATTCAGAAATCTTGATGCATGCCAGCTCCATTTCATTTAGCGGCGTTTGGAGTCCGCCAGGATATTTAAGGTCACCCACGCATAGATATGGCCGATTTTCCAGCTGTACGTACTGTGCCTAGACATTGGCCTTATGACTTCTTAATCTCAAGTGATTACTTTGGTTTCCACTCGGGTACAAAACCATCTATTGAAAAAATCTGCAGCCTTCTAAATGTATGTGAAGACGATGGTGTTTGGGTGAAGGGTAGATGTGACTGGGACAGGCCGGATGTTGTGAAAGCCACTGACCCAATAAGTTATTATGGGAGGTACACACTGAACCCTCGATGCCATAATGTATGTGTGCTGGGATGAATGTTGGAGAGACACAGAGGTGTAACAGAAACCCGAGCGCAGTGTCTCTTTCAGGGAAAAAGGACAGGTGACATACAGTAGTATTAGATTTTTTTAATAGAGCCACAAAAGGTCTGTAGCAAAGTCTGTAAAATCTCACAAGCCATATCCATCGAATCTCATGACCACAATTTTATAAATGGTTACTCTAATTTGTGCAAGTATTGTATTTTGTATAGCTAGTACAATCAGAATATTTTGAGTGACATTAATTTGAGGATTCAAAAATGACGTGTTAGTATTTAATGAATTGTACAGTGCCAAACTCATAACATTTTGTTGTCTTTTTATTGTCAGAACCCCCCTAGGAGATGACGGGGTCAATTCTTTTACGCAGCTGAGAACTTAACACACAGACGAGTAAGCTACAGAGCTAGTTCCGAGACAGAAATGAATGAATATGGTGTGTGTTTTTACCATTATGAATTCATTTAGAAAGAGAGGATGTTAATGCCCACCTGAAATGTGAAAATATATGAACAGTATATTGTGTGGATAGGGACCGTGTCCACAAAAGAAATTTATTTTCATGCCTACAAACTTCAAAACGACCCTTTTGTTATTGTTTAACGCACTGTTCCCCTTGGATACAACAGTGACTTATACAAAAAATTTGTATAATAAAGTTGGTGGAAAAAAGTTTTGTCTCCCCTCATAGAGTGTGATGTTTGTCGCATCAGTGTTCCTAGCTTTTTACCATAAAATGTCTTACTAACCTTTTTGTGACACCTTTTTATTTTGATTTGATCTGCCCGGGACACCCTGAACCTCGACACTTATCTCCATTTTTCTGGCACATTCTTATCAATGTTACCAAATACAAATTGTTAGCTACACAAGATTTCTTCCTTACCTATGTAAAACAAGCTGACATTTCGCACCTTTTCCCGCAACTACAGTCTAAACTGGCCAAATGCCTTATAATTGTGTAGGAAGTTACCTTTTTCAATGAATTTGGGAGAAAAAAGGTTTTCTCTGCATTTTGAAGGACTATTATCCACAAACACTATCATGTATTAGTCTGCACAACCTTCAGGCAAGATTATATGAGATTTCATCAAAAAAGGCTTGTTCTTGTTGGCCATAGGGTGAAAGCTTTTTTAGTGAAATCAGTTATAATGCCATTTTGATTTAAAGCTAGTCAAAAATGTCTATATTTAAAAAAAGTAGAAAGTTAACAAACAAAAAGTGTCATTTGTTATACTTTACACTGCAGTATACCTTATCACAGGATAATAGTTTATGTAAGAAATCAATTATATGTTTGTTTATCTGTTCATTTTTAAATAGCTCTTAATTTTACACTTCTGCGGACAACTGTTGTTACTTTTTAAATTACACTACTTTGCATTTTAAAAAGGAGATTTTAAAGCCATATTCATGATGTAAAGCAATCTTTATCAGCCTTTTTCGGGGATCTTTTTCTTTACCTGCTAATCTCTAATGATCCTATGTTAATGTGACGGCATTTGCATTCCGCAGAAGTCTTGGTTTGTTTGCTTTCTCTGCTTCATACAGGTCCTGTAAAAATGTTCCCTGCGATGGTAAAGCTTGAAACTGAAGCCCAAGAGAACTGAACCATAGGTCTGTGGCAAATCTAAAATAGTTGCCTGCTGACGGTCTGTTTGACTTGCACCTGTGTGCTAAAGCTTGTAGGTGGGAGCTCAAACTCGATGTACTGATATATTTTGATTCTAGTTGACACAAAGAGCAGATAAGTTTTGACTTGCCACATTTATACTGGGGATACCATAAGCTTTTACACTTGTACACACAGGCTAGATAAATTAGGCAAACAAAATGTAAAAAAATGTATGTATTTTTTTAACCAGACACATTGTGTGTAGAACAAAATTCAAAGAGTAATTGGAGTAAACAGGCTCAAAATGAAGGTACACAAATAAAAACTTGCATGGCAGAATGATCAGGTTTTCATCACTGGTTGAACAGAGATTTTCCAACAACAGAACTACATTGTCATCTGAGGCATGGCCCAAGGCAAGAGAACATCATTGCCAAAATGTCTCTCCTGTGAAAGATAAAAAGCAGAGCTGAGACTCTTCTGTCGTATTCAATATGAGACAGACTACAGACAAACCTGTCTGAGCAAGCAGCCAGTTTCAAGACAAGAGGCTTTATCAAAAGGAAATATGTTACAAAATTCTGAATTTAAAAATAAGCGCCAGACAAATTAGTGTTTTGTAAGGGGTCAAAACAGAAGCAACAGCCCCATTTAAATAAAAGGCTTTTTAGTCTTCAGTAGGTCAGTGTGCACATAAAGTGGGTCTCTGATAAAATCCCACATCAGGTATTGTATAAGCCACAGTAAAGATGTGCAATGCCAGTGGGAGTGGAAGACTGTACTCTAAATGAAATGAAAAGGTGAAATTGTCTTCACATAATTCACATCTCTGGGCCGTCTGAGTGCAGAGTTATATCATACTGTTCCAGCAGCATCCTCACTGTGAGGTAAGGGCTTTCAAGCTCATATTTAAAACCCCCAGTGAATACATTTATTGCTCTGCAATGTAGGAAGGCCTAAATGAAAGAGCAGATGGCGGCATTGTCCTGATACAGACATTATTTTTTGCAGGAGGTACACAAAGTGATTCAAGCATGGACAACCTCTGATGCTCTACAATCATTGTAATTTACACATTTCACCACCAGGAGGTTCAGTAGGTCCTCTGCTTGCAGACAAAACCAGTACATACTACATTATTTCAATGTAATGAGTATAAAATAAGTCTTTTAAAAATAACCATTAAAGAGGCATTTCAGATGGATGAAGTGCCCACACTGCCCAACACATGTCAGCATGCATATTAATACATAACATTTATGCGACGTGAAATGAAACCCCATTTCTCACAAGTTTTGCTCAGATTATGCCGCTGACTGTGACTGAGAAAAACTACAAATTGCAAGAAAATATAAATTAATATTCAAGTGTGTGTGTGTTTGTGTGTGAGTGTGTGTGTGATTCAAGGCTTTCAGTTTCCTCTGATGATGATGATGAGTAAAAGATACCCAGGCAGCATGATTACCATCTTTACAAATCAGAAAGGAAATGATTCACATCACTGTGATTCAAGTGACTGAATCAGATCCAAGATGTGTGCCATGATGAAATGATGATTTTGCCCGAGGTTTAGTTCCTGAGCCTCCTGTGACAGTCTTCAAAGCTTTGGAAAAACACAAGTCATGTCTCATACCAGTCTCTCTTAAACTTATTTATCTGGTGAGTGAAATTCTTTAATTTCACTGGATCAGGTTTTAGCAAACTCAATAATATAAATCTGCTATAAATCTAAGAAAAGAGGACACAGGTTTTTCCTTTGAAATTCATTATGAAATGTGTGTTTGTTCTCAAAGCCCCATCAGTTATTAACGAAATTAACTCTTGGTTTCCGATCCACCTTTTGCTAATATTTCTTTATTATAAGCTCTTTGTGGTTTATTGAAGCTCATGTCAAGAGTTTTTCACTGGTTGTGAAACAGACTGAAATTAAACCATAAAAAACACACAGACAATCAGCAGCAAGACCGTCCGTCTGTCTATATTTTAGTTTCTAATTCCTGACTTTATGTGAATGCGTGTGTGTGCATGTGTGTGTGTGTTGAGGTGGTGTTGTCAGTTCAGACGACTGACAACATGCCAAAGGAAAAGCCTTTCTTAACACTTTCAACAGCAATTACTCACAATGACTGTCACTTTTGACTGGAAAAAAAAGGTATCAGAATGAGATTTTTTGTTAAAGGACTTAAGATGTGCAGGAAAAGGTGAAAGATGTGCATCTCTATTTTAAAGCCCAGGGAAACATTAGGTTAAATGATGTAGATTATTTTATGGTGGGAAACCAAGAAAAGAGGTGGAAGCAGTGGAAAAAGGCAGGAGAAGTTTAAGAAACAAAATCTGTAACCTGCAGGAGAGGAACCTGTGAAACTGAAAGTGAACCTAAAATAATGCATTTGGGGACATGGTGGCGTATATAAATTCAAATTAACTTTATTTGTGTGGCACTTTACACACTGAGGATAACAAAAGTAAAAGAAATAAACAAACAGAAATTCTGAGAGAGGTAAAAAAAAAACAGGGGTTATAAAGCAGTAAAATAAGATTTATAGTGACAAAAACAAGAAATACTGACAAGGATAATAATAGTTATCAAAGGGATTGCACAAGTCAACCCATTTATATATAATCCTATTTGTTAATAATGATAATAATAATAATAATAATATTAATAATCACGGCTAAAAATGTGCTCGAAACTGACTTCAATCAATCAATTAAATCAATTAAAGGAGAAGACTGAATGGTGGGGAACAAAATTTCACAGTCTCGGGGCACAGATAAAGAAACTCATGTCCTCGTAACACTATTATGGTATAAATACTAAATCAATTTTCAGTTTTATGAATGTTACCCTGTTGTAAGAGATGTTCAGTATGATGTGAGTAGTGAAAGACAAGTTTATTTATTATAAGAAAGAAGAAGCCACAACTTCTAACACAGTTCACATTGAATGCATCTGACCACAGTGAGAAGAGAATAAAATATAAAACTGGTTCATCTTTGATAAGCAGGAATGTGTCTGAATCTTGCTCATCCAGTTTGGTGTTGTTTAACTCCTTTATTTAGTTTACCCAAACTTATAATTTATGAAGGATTTTGGTCTTATCCTTAGATAAATAGTGGGGCTTGGGTCTCCCCACTTAAAGACTCGGCTACCTATTAAAAAACAGAGATAAAGCCTATGTGTGCATCAAATGTTCTGAAGCCGATTTTCAAGCAGTTATGGAGTTATAACATTTATAGCAGGCCTATTAAGTAGCGGAGAGAACATCCCTTTACTCCTCCTGAAGCTAGATTTGATATATCTGGACAAAGGGTTGTGGAATTCGATTAGTGATCAAGTAGTAAGCGGTGTTTGGTGACACGGCAGACCCCTTTACCAAACGCTGGATCCGTTGTAAGCCCTATTCAACGGCCCGAGAGCCCCGCTAGTGCTACCCGGAAATATTACAAGGGCCGGAAAGGACCAATGTTAAGAGAGCACACGTCACTCACTTTTACCCAAAAATATTATCACCGACCACCCCAATTTCTCTCGGTCGTCGAACTCTTTCGCTAAAGCTGCCTTCCGGCTCAAACTGTCGGTGCCAAGCGGAAAAGAAGGCGGCGGCGTTGATTTGTTGGGGGTACGGTGTAAGCTTTCACCCCGCTCAGCATCAGTGAAAATGGCACTGGCTAACGACTGGAAAACAGCACGCAGAAATGGAAGCGGACGATAGCTAGCAAGGCGGCAAGAAGAAGGCGTGACAGGCCTCATCCATCTGCAACTGTGCTCTGCAACTGGATGCGTAAGTAAACATTTGCTGAATATAGGTTACACAGATGTTTATGCTAACGCTAGCATGGTAACGTTAACAGCGGTTGCTGTGCTTTTAATACGGTTTGGGGAGGTTGCTAACATTAGCAACAGTGGCTGTGCGGTTTTATAGACTGCGTGTGGCATCGAATTGCTAAACACGCTGAGCCAGAGCAAAATGTGATAGTAATGTGAACCGTGAACTTTTGCATGCAAGCGTGTCCGATATTTCCTTTTTCCTCCAAATGCTAACTATTCCTATTA